ATGCTGATGCAGGTGTTGGTGCTAACGTTGGTGGCAACCTGGGAGGTAATGCTGGAGCCAATGTTGGAGGCATCCTCGGTGGAATCGCCGGTCTTGGTGGTAATGCTGGCGCAGGCGTCGGTGCCAATCTCGGTGGGAACCTTGGAGGAAGTTTGGGCGCCAACGTGGGTGGAAATGTTGGTGGAAACGTCGGCGCGAATGCCGGTGTTGGCGCTGATGCCGGCGCTGGAGAGGACTGTGACGAGTAAGGTTGCCGCAAAACTCAGTGCATTGCTCACCGGCGGGCATCTATATAAATGCTTTGCTTCTTAAAACCTTTCGATCTTTGCTTGATTGTTTTTATTAATGTTACTGGCTCGGGCTAGGACTCTCATTATGATTTAGGGCTAGTCACACAACATGTCTTTCATTTAGATGTCATATAAATAATTGTATCAATTTTGTCTTCCATCTTTCTCCGTCTAAAACCAGTCTAGCCTTTTAAACAAAACTGGGAAACGCAAAAAGTAAAATGGAACCTAAAGTGTGTGGTTCACACTAAGCAACGTATTCGACATTAGGAGAACGTAGGCATGATTTAGGTCCTATGTTTTTTCATCTGCAATGATGCTTTGGTAAAAAAGGCGTGTGCTGTATCAATACAGGCCTCGATTGAAACAGACCAAATTGATGGAATGGGAGACGGAAAACCTACGTTTAGTCCATTGCAGAAGCACAGGCTTTCTCTTCGAGTCGTAGCCTTGGGGTCAGGGCCACCTAAAAGTGACAGTATTGGAACTGAGAGCCCGGAAAGATCCATGTTGCTTGGCATAAGCCATACAAAAACGTTGAAACCTCATTTGGATTCTGTTTCCACCTTCACCTTCGAGTCAGTCTAGTATTAGGGTCGTAGGAAAGCAATATTTAGCAAGAATTTTGGGGCAAATGGGAACCTACCCCATGCTGTTTTGTGACTGAGTTGGGGTTCTTGCTGGCACAGGAAATTGATAAATCGACTACTGGTGTGGGAAAGACAAGTGAATATACCTTGTCATAATCCATAGGTTTTGCCACCGGATTCCTTTCAAAACTCCTCTTTATCTCGAATAATCTGGTTGACTGTTCATCTCAGAGCAGAGAATCATCTCACGTTGATAACCACGGCACGCTGAGAAGCAACCGTCTATTTTACTCCTTTTTAAGTCAGAACAGTCGCACGATGTCCTTATCACCAACTGCTCGACCTACGAACCGTCATGTCTCTGACATTATACATCTACACCCCAAAAAGGAACCCTGGTGTGCTGGATATGCCGTCTCACAAGGACGCAGGTGCTATCGGCATATTATCGCGTCTGATTGCGCTGCCGCCTGCAGTCTGCTTGACGAGGCCACTGACAAGCTCCATGCTGGGTGCTCCATAGATCAATTATTTCAACATTTGGCACCACTTGTTTTGTGCAAAAGTAGCCATCAGAATCAAGCATCCCATCTAATGGCCACCTGGGGTAGGCAGATACGCAACTTTCGCATTATTCAAACGGCTTGGCAGGATCCGTTAATGTTCGAACGCGAATATCGGACAGGGTTGGCCCAGATGATTGTGCGGTCAGAGGAAGTTGTCAGAGACATTCACAATTGTCTTGACCCAAGCCATGTTGGCTCTCTGTGGACAAGGGTCATGGCAGCCACAAGTGCTAGTTCGCAACTGAGGATGGGAAGATATTTATCCAACTCACCTAATAATAGCTTACAGAGACTCGAGCCCCCCGCGATAGGATCTGAAGCTAGAAGCAGTCCACATCGACCTAGAGCTGGAACTACAGGCTATGTACGTTCGTCGGCTGTTCGTCGGTGCGTGGAAGGGAACTGTGTTATTTGCCAACTGCTACTATGGGAGCCAGGCTACTCGACCGACGGAGAAGAGGTTAACAGTAACAGGGATAGGGATGATAACGAGAAAGGCCAGACAGAGCATACATTGAACCATGGCAAGGTCCACCAGGAACGTGAAAGGTTACTGGTCTGGTGCAAGAAGAGATGTGGTACCAATTTCCACAAGTCCTGTATGGATCGCTGGACAGAGGCATGTCAGAAAGACTCGCATCCAGTGCAGTGCCCTATATGCCGGTCGCCGTGGAAAGCGTGAATTGCATCATAAGGTCAGGCGTTTGTGCCCTCTGTAATGCCTTGGTTCCGTTGAAAGCCTTTGCGATTTCTTGTTTATTATTGTTGATCTCTGTACCTTTCCTTTGTCCTATATTTCCTTTGATGGCTTATAGTTATCTAATTCAATCGTCCGCTCTTTGTCGTGGGTTAACTTACAAGATGCCAAGTAATGAAAGCTACAATGATGTTATAACCAAAAATACTCTTCGTTACATGCTTACATTAACGCAGATAAAATAAGATTTTAAGGTCAGTGGCCTTTTGTAATAAAGAATGAAAGGTTGCTACCTGCGGCACAAGCCGTTAAGGAGAGTGATCTTCATAAAATCTACACCCTATCCCTGTTTCCCATGAAAATATTCCTCATCGCCATAATGGGTACAAAGATTACATTGTCATTCTTATTAATCTCTCCTGGGCTCTTTGTACAAGCTCTATATGGTGCGCTGGGTTGTGCTATATAGAAAGACTGTATGCATTTATAGCCCAGGCTGTTTCCAAAATGAAGTATATTCATATATACCCCTATGGCCGTTCGTAGCAGGAAGCATTTATTGCTTAGACATCTCACTTACTTCATTCCTATGCATCCAAGCTGTCCTACCATGGGAATACTGCTGACGAAGTGGAATTCCCTTGCTAACGTGTAAATGCGATGGATTCGAACTACCTTACTCGGACTTGCCCTACGGAAGTACTGGAAAGAATCCTCTACCATGTGCGTATGACGGACCTATGGGAACTTATCGATGTGACTGCAATCGAGCAAGCTGCCATTCGGGCTCTCAGCAAGGCCCGACTGAGGGAGCTATTCCTCTGGAACAATTTCTATGTCTTCGAGTCAGATCGAGAGTGGAGGGAGTGGCGTAATGAAAACTATTTCCGCCAGCTCGAAGAGCAAAACAATCTGAGAAGACCATTAGTTTACCGACACGACGACCCTGTAACACACTGCATCGCGCTGGATCGTGAAGACCGATTGCAGTTCATGCTGGAGTGCGGGTTACCACCGGAGTGCTGGACGAAGACTGGCTGGAGTCCACTCGGTGTGGCAGTTCATTACAAAGCAGACAGGTGCTTCAATCTGCTCTGCGCTGCACAGCCTGAAGACGATATTTTACGACAAGATACCGGAATCCTTCCTAGCGCTCCTAATTGGCTCATGACTTTCGTCGGGGAAAGAGCATACACATATGGCTTTTCGAGGCTGCTTGATCACTTTGACCATTATAACGAGACTCAACAACATAGGATAGAGCTTCCTCCTATCAGCCCCCAGGCTGTCTACCATGTGGTTAGGGTCTTTCCAGTCCCACTGATTGAGCGTGCCGCTCATGCAGGACTCAGGCTCGCTTTAGCGTCACATCAAGCCACCCAAGAAGGAGCCTGGCACATTGCACCCATCCGCCCGGATGCAATGGACTTGATAAATGTCCTGTGCCGTGAGTGTGCTGCTGGCCTAAGCAGTTACGATGCCTACAGTCGGACTCCCTTATTCCAAGCTGTAGAGTCTGGGAAGCCGGATGTCGTGAAAATATACATTGGTCACGGTGTCGACGTGGGTCATATCGACGTGAGGGCAGACACAGCCCTCCACGTTGCGTGTAAACAGAGGCCAGTGAATCTGCAAATCCTGCAGCAGCTTCTTGGTCTTATCGACCTCAATTCCAGTGCTGGAAGCGCGCAGGGCACACCATTGCATACATTGCTATCGAGCACATGGGAACATACGTGGAACAGCATTCCTTGGGCCTCAATAACTAGCCCAAATGGTATTACCTACGGTCGAAAACGGAAGCGCGTTCGCCCATTATCAGCCGAGGAGAAAATGATCATGGATGTTGCTTGCGAGGCTTGTAGCAAGATCCTGGAGCTTTATCCCGACCAGCAAGCTGTTAACGGAGATGGACAAACCGCTTTAAAGCTGGCTCGAGTACTTCGTCTCAGACGGCTATCGAGCAGGATTCTAGGGGCTGCTAGGAAAGCAGAGCGGCGATGGGATAGACGACTGAGACCTAGGATAAGATATTGACTTTCTTTTGTTCTTATGCTTTTCGTCACATTCACTAGATTCATTGCTTATGTCTCACATTTAGAACTCCCGTTTGGATATTACGCGCACTGTGTAGTGTGGTTGGATACCCTCGGCGACGCTGGCCTTATTGTTTCTCTTTCTCTAATCCCATGTATTTGTCTTTATGCTTGTATATTTCTATCTCTATGTTGGAGCTGAATTGTATAGATACTCATAGAATATCACTGAATCGCATAAACATCATCAGAATGCGATAAGCGCAAGGATAGACCTTGGAATGCAACGTGATCAGCTGATCGATTAGGGCGGATGACACCCCAACCCCAGCAGCAGCAGATGACATCTGCACCTGATTATAACCCCTCAGGTTGTTAGATATAAGTCGACCCTTGTATCTTTGGTCTAGAAGATATATTGAATTCATCTCATATTATCTGTTATCTTGAACGGACTGAGATACCACCACCCGCCATGAACTTGAAATCTATCGCTGCGGTGCTGCTCACCGTCTCGGTGGTGAGAGCGGTGCAGCATCAATACACCTGTACTATTCCTGTTTTTGGCAATGATAGAATAGACATGCTAATGAATGCAGCTCTACGAACGACATCAAAGGAAGGTCACAGAATCCCGGCCTTGAAGTCGTCACAGAGTGTTCTTGGACTTGGGGTTGATGAAAGCCGTACGTCACCTTGGCTATCTTAGGGCTATCGATAAACTGACCCTAGCTAGGTTGCTACACCTGCTCATCGCCTTGCTCGCATGCGGTTTGCTGTCATGGACGCTTCCCTCAGTGCTGTTCGGATGGGGTTTATTGCTACTGTTGTGAAGACTGATTTCACATGGTCGGGGATAGTACAGTATCATATTAGCTATTAGAGCGAGCAATAATTCGTCTTAGTTACACATCGAGATGATATCATCTGGAATGAACGGCTTCAGGATGTTGATCAACGCAGACAACGGGATCCAGTCCAGGGTGCCATGGATGGTTTCAATCGCGGCTCCACTGTATAAAACTCTAGCAAATAATTTCTGTTCGGAGGTTTCCCTGTTTGCGCTCATTAGCCAAGATTGATCACAAAAAAAGGAAAAAAAGGAAACCGGCGTACCAAATCTCCATCGCAATGTTCGATGCCATTCCCGGCCAGCGAAGCGATCTGATCCCTAATGCACCAAGAATAGGTCCAATATCGCCATCGTGCACGAAATTATGGCTATACACTAGGTCGGACTTGCGCTGTTGTACAGCCTCCAGTTTCCGCACAATTTCTCCGATGAAGAGCCCTTCGACGAGTTGGATGTATTGCGTGGCGTTCGCGTTGGTCCGCCACCAGTAGTTCCACTCCCAGTCGCCGGCGCGGAAAACTTCGTTTGCCTGGTCCGTTGTCACGCAGTCAGATTCATCCTGCACGCGACATGGAAGTTGATAGCCATTGCATAGACGGCCCTGGAAATTGTCGGCAAAGTGGTCGAAGGTAGAAGTCCAAGAGTCGGTAGCGTTAAACATCGTAGATAAGCGCGTGCGCAGAGGCTCAGTAACGGATAGATGTTCGTTCCATTCCGCTGTGGATTGAATGGATGAGAGCAGCGTGTCCCGAGCGGAACAGGAAAACCCGCGGTCGATAGTGTCAATCCCGGAGGCCTGTTGGTGGAGCGGGATTGGTCCGGAGTGCTCGGGGAAGATTCCGCGGAGAACGCCGCCCGCGGAGCCCTGGGTTAGGGCGGAGGAGCTGGAGCGGAACCAGACCTTTCCATCTGGCGAGTCGGGAATCAAACCAAGTTGGTCACCGTAGACGGCGCGGAGATCGCGACCGTGTTGGTAACCATCTAAAAGGCCGCCGATCGTGAGCTGTGGGTACTGGCAGGACCCATTGACGTATGTTGTCAAGAAAGGGTTAGATGGGTCGGAGTAGGCTTGACCGTAGACTGTCGCCGGAAGGGTCCCCTGAGCAGCTGGCGCTGCGTAGAGATGCGCATGAATGTTGTCACAATTGTAGTCTTGGTTCTGAGGCAGTCCGTTAGTAGTAGTTGAAAACTTCTACCGCAAGCCACGACGTACCTCGCCTCCGGGAAGAAGGTTATAAGGGGTGCGACGCTGATGACGCTGGAGATACTCCAGATACACGAGGCGAGCGCCAACGGAGTGATTGGCAACGGGAGGTGGAAGTGAATATGTCTCCTCGTTGGGATGAGGCATGGTACAGTAGTTGTATACATCACCTATCGGGCTGGCCTGGTCGGCCGGGGCGCTGTAGATGCCACCGTACGTGCCGAGTGACGCATTGGTGATGAAAGTTGTGTGGTTAAGGGGCGGGTAGAAGGTATCTCGGGACGCGAGGGACGGCGTCCCGGAGAGGAGGGTTAAGATGAGGGCAATCATGTCTAAAAGACCTTCATACACTGATGGCATCTTGTTGCCATTGTGCGTGTGGGTTTATTTATGTGTCAGTGGTCATATTGCGCGTTGCAGACTTGGTACCCAGAACATATCATTGCACTGTCAACCCGCCAATCACGGGTCGCCCTCAGACACGTGGCGTGCGCCTCGGAATTTGCCGAAATAATCACCGAATTTGAAGCTTCAATTCAATGTCAATATATAGAGTCGGTACGTAACAATGCTGGAGCACGTGTGTTCTATTAAAGCTTCCTGTGGCTCAACATGAGACATGGTCTACTTCGTATCGTCCGTTACTATGGGGCGGCTCGGCATTCTAGGTGCACCGACTACCGGGTTGTCATGATATCCAGTTTGATCAGTCATTGGGCCAAGGGTTTTATACCAGACAGCTTTGTTATGACAATAGTAACTATTCATTCGAACGATATTCGAAACAGCCAGTACAAATCTTATAGACGTATGTGCACATGCTAGGATTGTACGTATTACATACTGTAGATTAAGCGATACAAAGAGGTGAGACAAAAGTAGGATATCCATGATACTGTCAGTTGAGTTGTGGTTAATGACGTACAATTGCCATGGGGCATCTTGATACCTAATTGTCTTCATATTCTGTTATGTGTTCTTCATTGACACGAGATAAGGATCGACTGAATACGTAATATGGACGGACCGACAGCCTGGGCAAACAATGCATGCCTCAGGCACCAGATGTAATTCCTGGCAAGTGGTCGAGTGACCGTCCGACCCGTTCGCCGCTAGGGCTCTTGGCAGCAGGTGAGGTGATGAACCCTGGACTTCATTTGTTTAACGGCCTACGAAGAGGCTCCGCAGTGGAGTTCCCACTGGCCTATAATGAGGGGCTTAGGGCTGATTCACTGGTTCTCGCTGATATGGTGATTCACTTTAGCTCCGATAGTAACTGTCATATTGCCAGGGTTTTTCCGCCAAAGAACGATATAACCGGGTGAGCCCCTTGCTATCATGTTAAGAGCACAGAAAGACTTCAACAATGACAGGTTTTGTAATATTCCCTGTTGACATGAGCGGGGAACAATCACCATTGATGATCAACTCTTTTCCATGGTTTTCATTTTGCTAAAAAAAGTTCACGGTGATCCAGTGGATTTGTCTCCAGTCACTGGGCCCTGCATAAACCAATGGAGCCCAGTTCCCCCCACGGTGGCCCGTCAAATTAAATTTTCAAGCCCAGGGACCAACTCTCCTTGTTGCCTTAATCTCTGTGGAGGGGTGGGATGAAGCAATGGATTCTTCGCCCACTATCGTCCGTTAGCTGGGTCAGGAGTGTCGACTTTTAAACTCGAATGAATCCACTTTTTTGTCAATTTCTCCGCCCTCTGTCTTGTCCTTTTTGGTTCCTGATATTTTCTCCAGTTTTTGCTTCCTTTCTTTTCGGCCCTTCGTCGCTGTGAATAATTCTTTTGTATCCTGAAAACTTTCCCAAATCTCCAAATGTGCAACAGCACATTTACTGACGTCCTTGCTCCTTGTTCGAATTAATTCCTATTGCATGGATGGAGGCTATGCCGATCACTTTTATTCTTGATCCTAAACCTTGTCTTATCGTGTTTAATATATAATTCCTTGACACCCCACCATAGCTAATGGCGCGGAGGATATTGTCCCGCAAAACCACGAATGTCCTGGTATTTATCCTGCTAGTGGTGATTGTGGCTTCGGTGCTCAAGATCAGTGTGCCTGATACTTCCCTAGACCCGGCGACGCTCTACCACCATGCCACCGGCCAGGATAAGAACGAGCCGGACTATTGGGAATGGGAAACTACTACACGATTCACTCCCCTGAAGAATCAGTTCACCGCGAGTCCCGGCGCTGATGACGAGCACCTTTGTGACTCTTTCCCCACCTATGTGTTGTCACGTATCCAAGTTGTGCTGAAGATCGGGGCGTCCGAGCCCGCCGATCGCGTGGACGCTCAGATCTCGACCGTCACCCGTTGTATTCCGAACCTGCTCATCGTCTCCGATCGCGAAAGCGAGCTACATGGTCATCGCGTGCACGACATCCTTGCGACGCTTCCCGAATCGTTTCGCCTCAATGTGACGGACCTCGAACCCTACGTAGCCCTGAGGCAAGGCGATGAGAAAGCGGTGGGGAGCGACGAGGGCTGGCACCTGGATCGCTTCAAGTTCTTGCCCATGATCGAACGCGCCCATGAGGTGAACCCGACCGCGCAGTGGTACATTTTCCTAGAATCCGATACCTACTATGTGTGGGACAATCTCTTCCGCCTTCTCGATCAGTACGATCCGTCCGAGCCTTTGTATTTTGGTTCGCCATCACCCGGACGGGAAATCGCTCAGGGCAAGCCGATGTATTTTGCGTACGGTGGCGCGGGGTTTGTTCTCTCTGGTGGCGCGATGCAGAAGATGGTACATAGACATCACGGATCAATGGGTGAATACGTTCAGCCATCTCTGAGCTTACAGTTTGAGGATATAGTGAAAGGCGACTGTTGTGGGGATTCCGTGCTCGGCTGGGCGTTGTACCAGAAAGGCGTCAAATTGTCGGGCCTATGGCCCATGTTCAATCCACATCCGCTGCATAGCATTCCATTTGACCATGCGTATTGGTGCCAGCCGGTAATTAGCATGCATAAAACTATGCTATCGGATATGAAGGGGTTGATCGAGTGGGAAAATCGACGCGATCGCAAGGTTCGTCCAAAATCAAGTTTTTTCCGTTCTCTATAACTAATTCCAATTTTCAGAAACCTTTATTGTACGCGGATTTGTTTGAGTACACGCGCATGGGGACTTTCGAAAGCAAAGCAGACTGGGACAACGGGGACTGGGGTGGTTTCAGAGAACCCGACGAGTCGCCAGCACACGTCTCGATGGAAGCCTGTCGGAGAGCCTGCCACGAGCACGCTGAATGTCTATCGTACACCTACGACCATTCCGGCCATTGTATCTTTGTGCGAACAATGCGATTAGGTCATACTAAGCCGCCCACGCAGGAGGTGCGACTCTCCGCTGGCTGGGATGTGGAGAAAATGCAGAATTGGCGAGCGTCGCATCGATGCGAGAAGCCCATGTGGGTGAAGCCGAGCATTACGCGCATCTTCTAGAGCATTGTACATTATTATTCTGTGTCAGGCGTCTGGGTATTTTGGGTTTATATGCATTTCATGATGTTGTCATTCAATGCCAAGCTGTTACGATATAGAGATGAATTGTTGTCATTTGCACAGAATACCAGTTGATATTTCTTGCAATTATTCTTTAATTGATACCTAAGACTTTTGGTGGAGCACAATACGAGCTCATAGCCCTTGGTTCACATCAATTGTATCGTTCTCCCTGCTTTGCATACATTTTCCCAATCCCCCATAGACGTTCAATCTGACGTTGATCCTTACTTGTCACCGACACATTAACCCTGGATGGTCGGCCATATATACTACATCTTAGGCACGACCGATAAATATTGGACATATAGCCCTTCCTGTGCAACATATTGACCAGACAACGATCGGCAAGTATCCTATTTTTACCTGATAAACAAACCACTATTCGCAGAACCCATAACTATCATCCTGCTGGTCAACATGGTATCCTACTTGAAAAATGCATTCGACATCAAAATGGCAGACCCGCTTGAATGAGTATTGCCCGAGACCTAATAAGCCACCCCTGAACCTTAGAGCCGAGCTCCAGACCAGTAATATCATTACCCTTGTCAGGATAATGGCTATCCGTATGAGCCTCCCGGGATCCGAGCTGCTCCTCGGGATTGAAAATATAGATCGCACAGCAAACCCCGAGACCCACTTCCCGGTCCATGAAACGACCACGGCAATTGATCATGGCAATACTCCAATTGAATTGCCTTGGAACCCTTCCTAGACTCACTTAGAACTCTATATCCTTGGCATCACCATCGACTATGTAAGCTTTATATCACGAGGACCCCTGGTGTTGAGACAGATGGTGGTGATCTCGAATTCTAAATGAAAACCAAGGTCCCTGGGTGGAAAGGCAAGAAATATAAGTTTGACTAGAAATAAGTCAAAATACGCTCCACGGAATAAGTACGAATGAATCATATCTGTAAGCTGAAAGGATAACGGCGACAAGATACCAGTTTGCCAAAGTTGTGACGTTCGCGAGAGAAAATAGCCTCGTCGAGATCTGTTAACATGAATAAGTCTTGCTCACAGGAGTTTGAATTTCGAACCGTTGATTGACGATTCTCTTCTGAGTCGTAATTGTCTAAACTCTTTCCCTTGTAGTTGTTCTTAGTCAGAAGGCTGGCCCATTGCCTTAGATGACAAATCCAGATATTAACTACATTTATCTTCAGATATTTCTTCCCTGAAAGCCATTAGTATTCTCATGTGATTGCTGCCTTGCCGAGGCCTGTGATCACATTATAGCCTGATGTGCTTTTCTGTAGCCCTTTTAACTGTTACTATGATAAATGTCATCGGAGAGAAAGGGAAATACAAGCAAGAGGAATCAGGAATGGAGATCAGATGATAGATTAGAAAGTAAGATCAGAGAGTCTACGACCACTTGGAAAGATGTTTCCCAATACCTATTACAGCATTCCCTGTGCGGGTGGTAGATACTTTTCATACTTATGTGGAATGCAAAATATGGCGGACAGTACCGCACTATAAACATACACCTACAAACATAGAAAACGTGGATTGTGTGATACTTGTGAAGTAACACTAGAGCCATGGACGAGCTGAAGTACAGACCTTTTGGAAGTTCATCTGGGAAGGCTTTGCCGTCTCAACTGAGATCGTGATATCATGACTGCAAGAGAACAGATGGGAAAGCGAGGAGACAGATACATGATTATCTCTCTTGCTAGGACCATATTGCATAGCGCTTATAGTCGCTACTGCCAATGCTATTATCGCACAACCAGAAGCAACAGTTGGAAATCAAGATTCATGAAGACCAGAGATGTCGCGATAAACTAGGCAAAGAAAGTCAAGATCTTCCTCACTGATTAGGGCCAAGATAATGAGTATTGAGCCGATCCTGGTGGGATAAGGCCCTTAAATATGCCCTAGCTACGCTTCGTAATCGTTGATATAATTGGGGAGAACTGAAGGCGCACGTTTAAAGACCAGAAATCTCGACTACCGGGTAACATGATATATCCCAAAGCGAAGTCCAGCTAACTTACGGGTAGGAGTCAGTTGATTTCGCAGCGAGGTTGGATGGGAACAGAATATCTTGGCTATTTCCTGTTTATGCTCGCTGCTTGTAAAATCTCCTATCCTACGCCATTTCCAACCTCTTGGGTTCGTTCCAGACACAGCCATATGGACAAGGGCCTGAACTGGCTCGGGGGTTGGGAATAGGAGTTTCTCGAATATCCACGCGAAGATTGCCATCGTAAAAGACGCATTTGATATTCGAGTTGAGGAATGTCAATACTTAATGTGCTGTTAATGATTTTGACGAATGCTACAGAAAGTTATAATTACTTCATACTATTAAACGACGAAATTAAAGAGGCCTTTACCACACATTATGCCGGAATCGAACCAGATCCCGCTGCAAATCCCGACACAAATAATTCTTGACTGATCTCTTTCCACCGTTGTTCTCGGCATGATTAGTAAAGGACATGTCACCGGTAACTATCAATAAGCAGTCGGCTAATATGGTAGGAATGTAAGGCGCCTGTATATAAGTGTGTGTCAACTTTACACGTCCTCTACTGCCGGGTTTAGGGATTTGCTGGCGGTGTTTGCTTGCTCGATTGCCAGTGCGGCTTCTCTAACGGCATTCAAGCTACCAATATGCTTGATTTGTCATCACACTTGCCTCAGGGTCGAGGTACATATATCTCAAAAAGAATAAAAGGTTCGGTCTCAACGTACTTTGGTCGATATCTTCGTTCACCTACAGAAGATATTCCCTTAAAGTATAATTTCATCCATTCCAACAAAGAGCCAAAATGGCTACGACGAAACCAACCATAGTATTCGTTCCAGGAGCCTGGAGTTCACCCGCAGGATTTGATGTTGTGCGACGACTATTAGAGTCTCAAGGCGTTCCAACCGCAGCTGTTGCCCACCCATCCACAGGTGTTGAACCGCCAAGCCAGACGCTTTCTGATGATGTGGCAAACTTGCGAGCATCCCTGGAGCATGAGACTGGGCAAGGAAGGGAAGTCATTCTTGTGGCCCATTCATATGGTGGATTTGTTGCCTCCGATGCAGCCGAGGGATATGGATTGGCTCAGAGAAAGGCTGTAAACAGGAAAGGTGGCATAATCGCAATACTGTACATTGCTGCTTTCCTGGGCAATAAAGGTATGACTATTACCGACCTTGCAGGAGGAAGCTTGCCACCGTTCATGCAACTTGATGTAAGCATAACCCTCATTTTGATAGTTCTGTAATTGTACAAACTAAGACGATTTTTAGGGTTTATATTGCAGAATGATTGGTGAGGCGGATGTTCTGTTCAATGGTCTGGATCCACAGGATCAGGAGACAAGAGTGTCTGAGTTAGTTCACACTGCATCAGCTGTTTTCAGAAGTCCAATTAGTTATGAACCATGGCACACGGTCCCATGTTATTATCTAATTTGTGAAGGTGATAACGCCGTTCCTCCTTCAGCACAAGAGGCAATTGTCCAAACTGCGGGCAAAATGAAAACTTACCGCTGTGATTCATCGCACTGCCCTTTCTTGAGTGTGCCGGAAAAAGTTGTTGAAGTTCTTGAGTCTATGATCCAGGAGCAATGCTAGCTTGCTTGCATCATGTCAGATTCTGAATTTGAGTAATACTGAGAGGATTCAATATTATATGAAGCATTTCGCGAAATGAGAAGATTTACAGAAAGCTTTCAGCCACTCCAAGTGAAATGAGATGATTATTATTTCCGCTTTCACATCAAATTTGATCGTTCATCAGTGTCTCCTGTCTGTGCTCTTTAGTTCTGAACCTTGGAATATATGAAAGAAGGAGAATTAAAGTCCAGATCGACACATGCAGAGAGGGAATTTGAAGTCTGCATGAAACCTGATATTTCTTAGTATATTTGCCTAAACTTCAGCTCATATGCTGTGTTGTACAGGTGAATGGAGGTAGATATGTGTTGAACTCGAGGGTTTCATTGCGCCTTGCAGTTCAGCTATCTCGCTACCAGATGATCCGTACCAAATGTCTCTGAGTTCATGAGACAGCTTTTACCAGGCTCAGCCACAGTAATAAAAACGTGAAATCAAGCCCACTGAGTTGTGAAGTACTTGATCGGCGAGCCTTGTACATTTCCTACCGTGGGCAGTCCTGTAACTGGTGATTTAGGGTATCCCATATTTCTCTCCAATACCATTGTTCGCCGAGATGTAGAACTGTAATGTTGGACCACATTCACAGTTTCCACGGGTATAATAAGTACCCCAAGAAGAAACGTAGGCGATTAGAACTGGATTATCTTTCCTGGTTCTTTTCCCATGATACCTTCTAATTGCTCGATTTCTTCGAGTATTTCTTGCCGAATATTCTCAGGCTTGTGGAATAGTTTCATGTGTTTTCCTACTTTCGATATACACCAAGGTATGATGCAAACATGAATAGAAGATCCAACCTAGAATACTACTAGTACGGACGGCTGTGTGCTTTACAAAGCGCTTTGGTGTTTCAAGTGAACTTGGTGATCAATATAATATAGATTTGCTAAGACAATAGTGTAGGTCATTGCATTTTTACTCGATGAGTAGTCAGTTGGGTGGCCCCGAGCGAATTTCCCCTGTCGTTCTTAATTTTATTTTATTTATTTAGCTCGTTTCCTTTGTGTACTGTGGAAACATAAAAGAACCGGCAAGCGGTCACAGAGGGGATTGGTTCGTCCTAGAAATAGACCCCTTCTTGGGAAAGATCATAATTCGGTCTAGCCAGGATTCTCCAACCAGTGCTGTTACCGATATCAAAGACTGACTTAGGCTCAAGAAGTTTCCATTGTAATATACGTCAATCTTCCTTTGGTTTTGAATCTCAGCCCCAGACTCCCTAATACTAGGTCTAATTTTCAGTAAACGTCGTGCTACCTAACCGCCATGAGCATGGCTTCCCTCAACTGAAGCAAGGGTCAATCCTTCTTCCTCATCCGAGATTGGGACTCGTCTCGATCGTGACCAGCCAGTAACCCTGTGCCAGAACTGCTGAGCCCAAGCTCTCAATTTATAAAAAAATGATGCCTTCTTTGCTATATCTATCGCACGCAAAATATCATGCAACTTAGCAAGTTGCACTTTCGCTGTCTCTAGCTCCTTGCTCAAATGCTCGTTAGCCTGATGGCTAGCAGTTAGCTGTGGCCGGGTTCGTGCAAGAGTAGTAGATATGACATTGGATTCCGTTAATAGAGCTGATTTGCTTTCTTTTAGTTCCGTGATTTCGTCTTTTGTGGTTTCTAGCTCCGACTTTAGGTCATCCCTCTCTTTTGTTAACCCTCGACTCACTAGACAAGCGCTGTCCAATTCATTTGTTCTGTCTCTGAGACGTTGGTCCAAAAGATCCTTCTGCCCGTGGAGGCATTCGATTTCCACACTCCTATCCATGTTCTCAGCTCGCAATGCGTCTCTTTCTTTCCGTAACTCGTGGATTTTCGCTTGTTGTTCCGAATCCTTTCCTTCAATGACTTGTTCAGCGGTAGCCAGACGCTGTGAGAGATATGAGACTTCTGTAGAAAGCTCAGAGTTCTCCTTCTCGAGGCAGTCTGTATCAACAGCTGTTTTCTGCAGCGATGCGAGTGTCGTTCGACATTCCTCCAAGTCCTTCTTCATGCGTCTCTGCCGGCGAACATACCGAGCTAAGGCGACGGAGAAGATTTCTTCAGAATCAGGATCGCAATGAATCAATTCCCGACATTTTTGTATATCCATAGCCATAGCTTCCAGTGCCTCTTCATTTGTCTGTGATGAGCATTGGTATTGGCTGTTGAGGTGCTCTATGTTGGCAAGAATCCTCAACCATCCATCGACAATCTCCGCTTCTTGGCCAGCATGATAGTCACAAAGGCCTAAGCTAGCCATAGTGCTCAACTCATCATAGTTTATCGTGTGTGGTAATCTCTTCGACATGCCCTTCAGCATTGAGCGTATGCGGGAGTATTCGGATTTCTCAACATCCCATCGACAGCGACTGTTGTAGCGGCTACGGGCTTGGCCAAGGCAGAACATGCCCTGGCGCCCGCCTTTGGTGACTTGAAGAATAAGGTCAGGGTCCCAGAGTGGATCAGGCATGATGTGGCTCTACTTGCGAAAGATGGGTATTCTCTAAGAACAAACATAGATGGAGGAGTGTCAAAGAGTAACATGTCTGCTTCGACGAGGATATGGCGACATATATGGGGAGCTGCGCCGCATTCCCGGGTCGAGTGTGTGGATGACAAGGGTTGCACGCGTTGGGGCCAATGCCATTCAAACTCAGCTTGGTTAGCGCCGTTCAGTGATGCCTTTACGGGGTTGATTGGTCGTGGATCTTGATCCTTTTTCATTAGTGCCGCTTGCGATAGAATCGCGATGTGTCCCCCAGCTATCTGGGTGGTTAGACGCACTGCTTCATTGTAATAGCACATGGATTTACATGAAAGATCACGCATTTCTAAAAGTAACTGATATAACTTAGTTATAAGATCTACACCGAGTAGCCTGGAGGGCGATAGCCACTCTCGGTCGCTCACACAAGTGATATCTGTTACGCACTAAAGAAACAAGGGTGAACCGAGAGCCAATGTAATGCGCCACCGCTGAAGCGCTACTGCAAGCCATGATTCAAAATACACGAATGTCTTAGCATGTTACATAAGATGTACCATGGGTGTATACCGAGGTCGCTCAACTATGCACCTAGCTGGCTTTCCACATACCCACCGCCATCCTGCCGCAGACCAACCCTTAGACAAGACCCCAATCGGTAGCAGTACATACAATCCGATATTTGCCAGCCACATAATTACCAGGTGGACCCCAGTTCTCTACATCATTGTTTGGTTGAATCTCTAGTCAAGTAAACAACAACAATTATGTGCGACTGGATCAGTAGAGTCGTCCCAGGACGTGGTATTTCAGTGGAGGTTTCAGTATAGGTTTCAGTATAGGTTTCAGTTGGAGCATAAGAACCACTTCGAGCACAAAGCCGTTACAAAAAAAAAAGACAGGAATTACGACTGGCAGGTCATCAGCGAACCTGCCGTACATTTGCAAGGCACTGGGACTAGCCAACGATAGCCATAGGGCTATGGCACAAGGGATAATACACTTTACTGTTTTCAAGGCCTGACTATACTGTCAGTTGGTAATTATAACCAAGGCCTATTGGGAGACTGAGGAGTCGGAAAGAATTGCATTAACAATACGGTGACGTGGATGCAAGAAGTAAGATGGCAAATGTCAAGATACCGTGTAGTAATATAGTAAAGAGCCTTTCGTAACTCTATACAAGCTATAGATTAGAACTTTATTTCTCAAAGATAGAATCTTCATGGTTAATAATGATTAATATAAAGTAGGAGCGTAAGTGTGATACTGTTCAATCGGTGAACATGTTTCTAGCCACCATCTTAATTATGCAATCAAACAACCATGATATGATCGGATGGGTAGAAATTAAATACTATATAGACATGAAGAGCCTCCCAAGGTGATAAAAACCTAGCTACGCTCTATGTATTATTAAGCAGAGCAGCGCTGCGCCTCGTGTAGTCCAACTAACCTCTTGGCATTTGTGTTGTGTCAGACTCCGTCCTGCTCACCAGATCTGCCCTTCTCACTATCCTTTTGATTTACAGGCCGATATTGTATTTACGACGTACAGCCGATACTTTCAACACAGCATCTGCTATGGAGAAGACATTTTACTTCATTGATGGGCTCCAACCTGACAGGACGTCCAAGAAGCTGATGCGCCGTCATGTCATGAAGGGTAAAAATGCTGGCAAAAAGGTCCACCGGGCCTCAAGAGAAGGGCTATCAAAAGATTTACATCTGATAAAGGCTGTCAATACTTCAGGCCTTCATCGAATGTCCCGCAACGATGATAGAAGCGCCGATCTAGGTCCAGTAGACAGGAAATTCGGGGATACGATCCTCACAAGCGCGTTTCCTATAGCCGAAGTCAACCGGTGTTCCCTTAATATTATCAACCAATGTGAGGGTCTAAACCCTTCGAGGTGGCCCACTTAGAGCTGACTGCTGTTTCAAGTCTTCGACCTAACCACTGAACGACTATACCCTATCAGCCTTGGCTTTTCCTTATGTGAAGTTAAGCTTCTGTGGCTCCGGTTAGTGTTCACAGATGAGGCCGGTAAGATCGGGCACACTCATATGGTTTTATAGACTCTAACCAAAGCTGTAGCCTACCATTGTAATATCAGTTTAATGCAGGCATGCAACGAAATATACCTGGGAAATGGCACTAGCAGCCCTAAGGCATTGTATCACTTGTCCCAGACATTCACCCATATCCAGAGAAGGCTCGGAAGCTGCGATGCTCTCTCAGATTCTACTATGGGGTTGATCGTATCCCTCATCATGCAGGAGCAAATTAGAGGTCAAGGCCCTGCTACTGAAGTGCACGCCAGGGGGCTACAAAAGATGGTGGAGCTGCGTGGGGGCCTCAGTGACCTCGATAGGAACCTTACCCTCGCCTTGAAAGTCTGCAAGTGAGTGAGACCATCAGGAGTCTGTCGCCGACTTAGCTAACTTTCTTGATTGAAGGACGGATATAATGCTTTCTTTACAGTACGGACGACCGACGATGTTCTTCCGAGACCACATGGCTGAAGTGTGGAATAAGCTTGCGTCGGATAGACACCGTCTTTACTACGCTCCAGTCACACCCTGGAATGATTTGCATCCATACCTTAATACGATATATTCAGACATTATGAATCTTTGCTATCTACTGAATTGCGATCCATATCAACCAATACTTGATTTGTTGGGATTCGAAGAGACCTTTGTCTCAATTTGTTATCGCCTTCTAAGGTTTATTCCAATGGAGAACTCTGCCTGCCAAGTCGACACGCAAACTGCGTGCCATCTTGGATTGCTCATGTTTACCATGACTACATTTTTCCAAGTTGGCCAGAAGCAAATCATCGATTTCAAGGCACTGTCTCTGCGCTTCCAGAATTTCCTAGATAGTGACCCGTCCGAGCTTGAGGATAGCCTCAGTCTTTGGCTTATAACTCTTGGTGGCATCTGGTGTTCAAAAGATCTAAACCGCGATTTAGCTGCTTCGAGGATACGTCTACTGGCTCAAAAACATGGAATTTTCAGCTGGAACGAGCTTCGAGGTTGCCTTGGTAAATTTCCATGGATACATGCTCTACATGACCAACCTGGGCTTGGACTATGGAATCAAGTACAACGCAGTCACTAGATATTGAGTATGGAATTCTACCGTGCCTATACTTCTACTTGCCCCTTTACAACCTAACTGAACTCACGCCTGAGGGACTTCTCACCACGTGAAAGCCTGTCCAACCAACTTCTCGGATACATCCCAGAGCTTCTCAGCCTCCTGGCTAGACACTGCAAGGGGATGCGCTTTACCACTAATCTGACAATTATCCAGATACGGTCCCCAATTTTCGCTCCCGCTTCTGCGTTTTCCTACCCCTTGAGCCAGCATTGGGTCCAACGCAGCGACCAAACTAGTTGAAGCCCCTGCGCCCAACGTTCTCGGTTTGAAAACACTCTTTCTCAACTCCGCAAATGCCCCCAGATCTTCCGGGGACATGTTCCGGCCCAGCTCAGTCTCTATGACTCCTGGGTGTAACGATACGGTCAGGATTCCGTACTTCTCGAACAACCGCTTGTTCGCAGCGATGCCGAAAAGCACATTCGCAACCTTGCTACGGTTGTAACCATCGAGATGAACATACGAGGCGTCCTCGATGTCTCGGCATCCACACATCGCGAACCAGGGGTAATCGGGCTGTTCTTCCACCGGCAGACTTTTGTTCTTCTTGTCGAAGTTCATGTCGCTCCATCGCATGCCGGATACCTGGGGCGAAGCGGAGCTCACGTTGACGATGCGTGTGGCGCCCATGGGGTTGCTCTCAGCAGCCTTGATCAACTTTGGCATGATCAAGCAGGCGAGGAGCCAGTGCCCTAGGTGGTTTGTTGCAAAGTGCAGCTCGATACCATCCGGGCTTAATGTGCGTTTCTGGATGCCCATGATCCCTGCACTGTTGACTACAATGTTGATCATGGGCACGTCAGCCCAGTTTAGGACCTCCGTAGCTGCATTCCGAACCGATTTCTGATTGGAGAGGTCCACTTGGAGACCACGATAGTTCACATCAGGGAACTCAGTTCTGAGGGCGTCGATGGACTCCTGGATTTTGACGGGGTTGCGACCGGTAATAATCAGGTGGGAGGGCGATTGAGAGGCCTAATAAATTAATATGGGCAAGGTGTATGAGGCATTGGTGTGGTAACTTACGAAGGCTTGTGCGGTCGAAAACCCGATACCACCGCGATTGACACCAGTAACGATAATAGTCTTGCCGCGGATTCCTGAAGCAAATGCCTCTGCGACCTCGAGGGCTTCGGTGTCCTCGTTGAATTTGGTATAGGTCGTAGTAGCCATTTTACCTATGTCGTTTGGAAGGTGGGAGCGGCAGATATTCTATCGAAAGATGGGAAGTAAAGAAACGTGTACCGTTGATTATAGTCTTCTTCTTCTCGGAAAAACGGAGTTATTTATATCTTTGCTGGCAGTTAGATCCTTGAAGGGCGTAGTACCCATCCATGATCCATGAGCTGTCCTTCAACCAATGAGAGACTTATTACCGATCTTGGGTAAGGTTTATCAGACTCAGCCAATGAGAGATATACTGCCTAAGTTGGTTAAGACGATGTCATCCACCTCATACTAGTTAGTTATCTAGTAACTCAGCACTACTCAAGTAACCAGTAGGGCACATAGGCACGGAGTAACATTTAAGTGATACAGCTGTTCATATACTGTTAGCTGTACCCATAGTTACCCTGGCTTGAACTACTCCGTGCACAGTTGGTGATATATTTGAACCGTTGTTCAATACAACTATCGGACATTCCAGCAGACACATAACGATACTTACTCGGCAATTCTGGTTTCATACAGGAGGTGGAATCTATTCCTTATTCTATATATTTCCCCCTTCCTGACAGATATAGCAAATGCGCCCGTAAGGTGTAGTGGGCAGTGCTTCTCATCCACTTGGCCGTTCCTCAGCCGCATGGTTGAGAGGGAAGCCACCATTCGCTGGTGCCTGTTCTCGATCTTCATCATTTTCAATTGTTTTATTTATTTTTTTTATTTTTTATCTTAATATTAGTCTATCTTATAAGTTTATTAAACAATATAGTAACTTAAATTTACGGGGATATCCTAATAACTACTATTACTAATAGAATAAGATTATAACGCAAGGTATATACTAGACCATTCACTTATATACTCAGTTACTGTTCCTATATATCTATATATTCTGGTATATATACCCGTAACCCTATCAGCAGACAAGATCATGGCTATACAGCACTTGCCTGTTAGTATATCCCGCATATTGTATGTTCTTCTGGGACCATATCCAATACAGAGCCTTGCCTCTAAGTTAATCGGAGAAAAATAGCTTGGCCCAAATCATTTTCAAACTTGACCCGCTCCTATATAACCTTAGTCCGTTGTGCCACTTGTTGCCCGTTTCCTCATCTCGTTGGGAGATGGTGCACTGCGCCTCATGCCCAGGCTAGAGGCCTGCTCATCATTGGAAGCTTGGGGCGCAGAGGAGTGCTTGTTCTTTTGAGTTTCCAAACTTGACGGCGATCTGCTGGGTGTGGTGGTTACTTCTGTATTGTGAGAAGTACCGGTCACAGCCCCAAAACGACTGCTATAACGCTTTTCCGTCAAATGGCAAAGAGCATCTTCTGTCATTGAACCAACCAACTGCGCCGAATTGCCCGTAGATGACGCTTTCTTGACGTCGAATAGATCCGCTAAAGTAGTTACCACTACTTGATCGCTGTTCTCTTCGGCAACCACTTCCCCGACTTTGTATATCTTCTGACGGGACACCTCGGTGGCCACCTTGCATACCTCTAGGCATTGCATCGAGATGCTGATGTCATCTTTTAACCGCTGCCGGTCGTTATCATCGTTTGGACCATTGGTGAGCAAAAGGATCTCCAAACGTTTGCCAAGTTGACCTATGATGTCTGTGAAGGTATCCCGGTTTTTATCCAAGGCTTGCCGCGTCAGCAACTGCGCTTCGAAGACCTTTTGCGTGCCATCTTCATCAGTACCGCGAGAGGTTCCTTGTAATAGAGACGATCCCCGGTTTGTCAAGGTTTCGATATAAGATTTCGCATCCTGGCAAATCCGAAGGCATTGCTTGGTTACTTGTTTCTCGTCATTCAGATCTGGGCCTACTTCTGAGGCTTCAACCGTATCCATAGTCATTCGCGCCAATTTCTCATCAATCCGCTGTAACTGGACCTCAAGGCTATATGCTGTGTCCTGGACCATTTCATTGTACTCTTCAAGAACTTGTTGGGAGATTTTGGTAGTTTGCCTAAGAGAGACAACATGAGACAAGTCAGGCTTTGGCAGGGAATCATAACTAACATCGTAATAGTGCCTAGGCCCACTGAGATTGTTGACTTATACCCTGCGATAGTATCTATGAATTCATTGATATCACCGCGCATAAATTCCAGTTTAGCCCAATCGCGAAGGCCAGTCTTCGATTTGGCACCGAAGGCTTTCATCGATCCTTCGAATTCACGGCATACCTGGCTGCATCGGTTCACTGGATCTTCAAGAAGGGCCAGCATAGACATTTCGGACTTGTTCACTTGTGCCAGAGCGTCCAAGATATTGGTCAGGTCCCTCAGCTCCTCTTGAAGCCTACGCAAAGTCTTGTCACGATCTCTAAAGCGTTTGATGGTTTCCACGAGGGACCTTGCCGATTGGATAGCAGCTGTAATGATACCCACTGCCGAGGCAGTGACGCTCAAAGGATCCGCCATGTTCAACCTTTGCTGCAAGATTTGAAATAGTTGCCTTGAAAAACGTGCGACGCAGGAGTAGTGAAGGAGGAAATGCCTCCTGTTGGAGCGAGGGGTGGTACAAGTTTAAATATCAACTGCTTGTATCCCACACGGCACATTGGATTGGTCCAAGTTAAGCGCCGCGGCTTGATGATGCGAGGGAGGGGCAGAGCTGCAGACCCACTTATTCTGTATGGATTTGTGTGTGAATCGGACCGTGCGGCGCTTAAAAACTATAGCGATGGCCCAATCTCCACCATTAGCGGCGCTGGCTTCGCAACTGTGGCTGTTCCAGACTTCTAGGCTTTGTGACAGAGGGATGATTTTGTTGGTTGCGGGGAGGTAGGTGAGGGGAACGGCGCTTGAGGTAGAGAGAGATGAGCCGCAGATACCGATAGACAAGGCCTAATTGGCATGTTAGGGGTTTTAACCGCATACTGTTAAGAAGAGAAACCACTCTACAACTGACTAAACTAGTCAAGTTAGTTAGTTACGGAGTAAGTCTCTTAGGTCAGCAGACCCACCCGGTGCCCTTCGGCCTGTTCGTCTGCTTTAAAACACACACAATATCTTGTATCTAAACAATCAATTCAAAGCATGGAGACGACATTAAATACTATTACGATACCTCTCCCATCCTGGTATCAGGATATATATTTCTGGGAAAGCTGGCTCCCAGGCCATGGAGGGGAAAAGCAGGAAGATGAGGTGATTGCAAGTCGCACATCGAGTAAAATTATACTAGGACACGTGACATTAACGGCGCGTATAATGTCAAGCCACATTGGATGGAATACCTAGCTCTTACCTAAATTTTCAGACGTGCTGAGTGATTGGGGAAAATATCCAAGCGGAATAGATCAAAACAAACAAACAAATAAATGAATACAACAAATAGAAACACCAAGTTGCAGGCGCTCTGCAATATATACTCCCTCGTCGGTATCCGGTTTTACTCTGTAACCCTACAGGTCTTTCACAGTAGAAGATTTGCGATGGGAACTCCAACCCCAAGAACCGCCATTGATGACTGATATAGATGCGGCAATTAGCTTATTGTAACCCTGGCTTTAGTCCTGAATCGCCAAAACCGAGAGGTCTGAGCATCCCAATGAAGCATGGTCGGCCCTTCTAGGCGACATCACCCAGAGAGAGCTAAATAAGAGGAGCTTCAATGCCAGAGAACCCCATTACAGGGATCCATCAATACCTTCTTCGGATCTTGGACGCAGCTCGAATAAGCTCCATAACCCAACTCCGCCGGAAATCCCACGGATCATCCCCCCTCCGAGGTAAACCACACCACCACATTTTAAACGAATCTTGAGGCGAAAGTCTCGTGGGCAGCAACAGCGGGAAGCATGGGCCACCATTCGGACCGACCGGATGAGCAGTCGTGTTGAACAGTGAATCCCACCGACCCCCTAACCCTCAATATGTCCTACAACTGCAGTCTACATATGAGCCCTGGCTCACATGGGAAGGGAGACACGCCCTCTAACGATTCTGTGAAGGTATTCACATAACCTCCAGTCAGAAAAAACTTCTTCACACCGAACGCTTGCTGCTAAAGTCATTATTTCGTTCGGAGAAATGCCCCGCATCTACCGCATCTGGTGGAAGTGATTGAATACCAGGATTTTCAATTCCCTCCTATGATAGCGAAGTGCTACTTAATGAACGTCTCGCAAAAAGCACTTTACAATCTAGTTCAATCTATTGACACCAGCACAGATATTGACTGCGGTGAAACCACAGGCCAGGAGAATATTAGTTGGGTCGGATGACCAGCAGCAACTCCCTCCTGTTGGTTCTCTATTTCAAACACCAAAAAGAAAAAGAAAAAAAAATTATATATAGAAATTAAAATAAAAAGGCGTTATTCTATTAGAACCCCGTGAATGGCTTTATCCACGCTATGTCACTCGCCATTAGCAACGTCAAGACAGATGGAAAGCGGCAAAGCCTCCTCATATCCATTCAAACCTACCCCAGAGAACCTTTCGAGAGGCAAATCAGAAATACTTGGCACATATAGACATGTTTAAATAACTTTACACAAGTCTTCAACCCAGTCATGATCTTCAACTGAAGGTGACAGTCCGCCGTAGTCACAAATCAACATCAAAGGCCCTTCCCATCGAACCCGACTCATGGACCCGACAATTCCCCCAAACCGGCCCATAGGCAAAAGATACCTCAGTTACACGCCCAGCCATATTCATCTTTATAGTCGATATAAAGACTCTTGGAACTCTGGCCCATCTTCGCAACCAAGGGTGCACAGGCAAAGTTGCTGATGTAGATCGGTCCCGCATACTGGCTAAATGTACCGACATCCTTGTCGCAGTGTTCGCCCTTCCAATCGCACACGCCCAGGTACATGTATTGCGCCTTTCTGACATTGTTGTCCAGGATGGCGCAACCCTTATCCTTGCCAATATAGGTGTAGAGTGTACCTAGTCGTTGCTTGGGGTCTGTGCCTTCTGGGAGAGGAATTGCATGGTTCAGTTCGTATCCTGATCCGCAGATGGTGGCTGCTCGAGCTGCTAGGTTGGCTTCATTTGCTTCCCGGGTGTCTAGGCCCTCGGCGAGGGTTAGGGTGGTCGTGGAGAGGAGAGTGATGATGTTGAGGAGCTTCATTTTGGTTGGAGGGGGAGTTTGAATTAGACGGTTCTGTGAAGGTGCTTGGGGGGATAGTGGGCCATGGTGGGGGTGTGACGGGTTTAAATTCGAAAAGACTGTCGCATAAGGCTGGGACTCATGTCTCATGGAGTCCAAGAATAGCGGCCATATTAAGCTATACGAAGTGATCTACAGGGCCTTGGGGCCACTCTATGGCAAACACGAGGTTGAAAGTGCCCTATCTGGACTTGGGAGAGTCTCAATAGCCTGTGATTGGATAATGACGTGAAAAAGACGGGGCATGTCACCGGACAATGAGTATTATTGGATAGGATTCTCTTTCATGGGGAAGGAAGTGGGTCAGGTATGCTGTCCTTAATATTTTATACGAGAAGAGATGCTCGTATTGATGAATTGGCATATCACTAGGGAGTTGGTACATATTGTACATAAGGGGCCAAAAGGCTTCCAACACCACCATATCATCAGAGTTCGGTCTTTAGGCGAGACATAAGGGAGACACAATTCGTCAAGGCCGCCTTGTTGGTGAAGTATCGGTTTGCATTCTTCCTGTCCAGGAACAATCGCGATCCCGGCCTTCTTAGCCAATTAATAGATGATAGCACTGAGCATCGACGAGGTCGTGATGTCGCCGCCTAATCCCTCCCATAAGGGTCTTGGAACCTTATCAGACAGGACTTCTGTGGAAGAGTTGTCTCAGCGGATTGATCCTAGTCAACTGAATTATTTAATATGCATAGGATACGACTGGAGGCAGAGGAGCCTCGCAACGTACGAGGAAAGGGGGTTAGACCGAAGAGAGATACGAGCGGTACTTTCTCCACAAGCAGATATGATCGCCGTTCCGGGTGGAGAGTGCCTTCATCGACGTAACATGCAGATCATTTACCCGCCACTGACGGAACCCAGATCCAATTGACGGCCGCATTGTTCATCCAACAAATATAACTTCGGTGTCCGCGGGCGAAGAGCTGGCACTCCAAGCATGCATTCGGGAATTGGTCTCTATTGCTTTCCATAGACACATGGCCACTAGCTCGGCTCAAGCGCATGGGTGAGTATTGCCCCATACATCCTGGCGGAAAAGCATGTGGTTGGCTATCAAGACATGATAGTTCCTGTCACTGGCCCAACTCTACCACTCTGACAAGTCATCAATGAATACAAGATTAATCAAGTATACGTTATGTAAGAGCAGTACTGACAAAGCCTGCACTAGGTTACTAGCCGAACCACCTATTCATCATCACGAAAGTACAGTTCTATGTGCTATTTACCGATACAGGTTGTACCGGTGTGTCTCGATTCAAATGTCTTTCAAATACATTAGGGCTAGAGAGTTGTAGATCTCAGTAGTCATGGCTAGTGAAGGCCAACTAGTTAATCGGCTGCCATAACCTCCAAAAGAAATATAGTACAAGCATTGATCCATGATAATTGGATACTGCATCTTCTGATCACTCGATGATCTAGACCGTTCTTTGAGAATAAAACCGTTGAACAGTTGTACCCACTTCTAATATGTCTCGCAGTTTCGAATGGGTCACTAAGAAAAAGGTAACATTGACTCAACATAACACAGCCTACTCAACCCATCTTACGATTGCAGTTTCCAGATCCCTACATAGTAGTAAATTATATAGTATGGTTACAAGTAAGTGGTGATGAGATGCAATATAAAACCAGTGAATGGGTGAGAAAGTATATATTTTGAGTAAGGGAGGACGCAGTGCGCAAGTTGAGTCATCCGAGGATAAGGATATCTCGAACCATGGCCTCTGACTGTCAAAAACATAACTTAGTAACAACTTACTCCATATTGAAGATCAAGTTATCGATCCGATTGATCGATAGGCAACGACGCCAATTCGCGGGGTCTCCAAGGAAGGATTCCGCGCGCCCCGAGGGAAGCCGTCGGACTCAATTCCGACATTCCGAGCGGAGACATTTGGCTTATCTCGATTTGGAAACTGTTACGCTGACTTCATGCATAATAAGCACGCCTCTTCCTACCTTTTGTTCTCTTTCTTCCTTAGACAATTATCAGATTCAGATTAACCATGGCGCCTCATCCCCTTGCCATTCTCTCTGAGGAGGAGACAAACATCGCCCGCGAAGTTGTTGTCGCTGCACACCCAAACACAGTCCTTCATTTCCGTGAGATTTACTTGTCGGAACCACCAAAAGAGCAACTTCAAGAGTTCTTGGCCCTTGAACATGCTGGACGTCTCAGTCCTACTACTCCCCGCCCCCCTCGGCTGGCTTTGTGTCAGTACGATGTGATTAGCGGTGACCGCATTCCGGTCTATCAAGAGGCGGAGGTCGATGTGAATACCCGCAAGCGTGTGCAGCACAAGATTATTGGGCAGGAGCACCATGCTGCCTTGACTCTGTAGGTCTTTCACTGATGTATTGATTGTCGATACAACACTAACCTGATCGACAGGGCCGAATTCGACGTCTTGGTCGAACGCTGTCTGGCTTCTCCATTGTTCCAGAAAGCCATGGCGGACTTTGATCTCCCCAAGGGCTTTGAGGTGGTCATTGAGCCGTGGCCATACGGCGGACGTGACTACTCCGACCCTAACCGGCGTTTCTTCCAAGCCCTGGTCTTCGCCACAAACGCGGCCAAGAACAACGAAGATGCTAACTTCTACTCTTACCCTCTCCCCATCATCCCTGTGATGGATGCCACTACCCAAGAAATTGTCCGTATTGACCGTCCCGCAACCGGAGGTAAGGGCGAGGGATTGCACGAGCAGACCTTCTCTCGGGACATCATCGGCCATTGCAAGGATTCAGACTATGTACCGGAACTGCTCCCGAACGGAAGCCGGAAGGACTTGAAGCCCCTGAACGTTGTGCAACCTGAAGGTCCTTCCTTCAAGATCACCAACGAATCGCTTGTCGAATGGCAGAAGTGGCGGTTCCGTGTCGCCTTCAACCCGCGCGAGGGTGCGACGATTCACGATGTCTGGTACGATGGCCGCAGTGTCATGTACCGACTGGCTATTAGCGAGATGGTGAGTCAGCCAACTTTGGGACCCCTACCCGGGGAAGCACTAACAGTAGCAGACGGTCCCATACGCCGATCCCCGGCCCCCATACCACCGTAAGCAAGCTTTCGATTTCGGCGACGGTGGCGGTGGTAACATGGCCAATAACCTGTCTATTGGCTGTGACTGCCTGGGTGTCATCAAGTACTTCGATGCCGTCATCACCGGTGCAGATGGCAAGGCCCAGAAGCTGCCCAACGCAATCTGCTTGCACGAACAAGACAACGGCATTGGTTGGAAGCATTCCAACTGGCGGACTGGTCGCGCTGTCGTGACTCGCCACCGGGAGCTCGTCGTGCAGTTCATCATCACCCTGGCCAACTATGAGTACATCTTCGCCTACAAGTTCGACCAGGCCGGTGGCATCACGGTCGAGTCGCGGGCCACGGGTATTCTGAACGTGGTCAACATCGACCCTGGCAAGACGAGCGATTACGGGAACGTAGTCAGTGGAGGTGTTCTGGCCCAGAACCACCAGCACATCTTCTGTGTCCGGATGGATCCTGCCGTTGATGGAGCGAACAATTCCGTTGTCATTGAAGAATCGCATCCTGTACCGATGAACGAAGCCACCAACCCCAACGGTAACTACTACAGAGTCACGAATCAGACGATCGAGCGCGCCACGTATCTCGATGCCGCCCCGCAGCTGAACAGAGTGGTCAAGATGGTCAATCCGAACAAGACCAACCCCATCAGCCAGAAGCCTGTGGCGTACAAATTCACCCCTTTGGCTACGCAGACCCTCTTGGCGGATCCGAACTCCATCCAGGCTCGGCGTGCCCAGTTTGCCCAGCACCATGTCTGGGTCACCAAGTATCGTGACGCGGAGCTGTATGCTGGCGGTCGCTACACACTCCAGAGTCAGGTAGAAGTGGACGGTGTAGCGGACGCAGTCAAGCGAGGAGACGCTGTCGATAACACCGATGTCGTGGTCTGGAGCACGTTCGGTATCACCCACAACCCTCGTGTTGAGGATTGGCCCGTTATGTAAGTTGACCTTGTTTGCCTATCCTTGGGAATATTATGCTAACAAATAAACAGGCCAGTTGAGATCTTCCAGCTTATGATCCGGCCATCGGACTTCTTCACTGAGAACCCGGCGATAGATGTTCCGTCCGGCAAGAATGCGGCCTCTCGTGTCGTTCAGTCGGAGTGCTGCCGGAACGCGCATATTTAGGTGATGGGAAAGAGGATATTCCCGAGTTGATGAATTTCTTACTCTTTGTACAGTATATAGTTAGCGTTGGACTTGGCAGTTGTTGGTGCGGTCGGGCTGTCAGCGTAAATAGGCCGATTTGGACGTTTCGAGCGATTCAATCTTGAACCTGTGAATTCAATTCTGATACATTTTAAGGTCCCTATTCCTAATATGTCTTTCTTCTCAAGGGCTCCCTAAATATTTGCTACTGCAGTGAACAAACCAAAAGCCAACAACAACTCATGAGGCATGCGACTACGCGATATGCCAGCGACTCGTATCCGCCTCAAGAAGAACCCTACCCAATGAATTCTCAGCACAGCCACTCCACATTCGAGGCTAAACATTGGCTTGCAGTAGAGTAACACAGTCCTACGAATCGAGGCTGAGCGGCGCAGTTACCCCTCATGGCAAAGCCATTTATAAGTCGCGTACCGTGAAAAGGAAACTGGGGTCTGATGCTGTGCATCCTGTACAACTTCCGCGCGAATCTGAAATATTGTAAAGATGCTGTCGTCGCGGGCAGTTCGTACTCGTTCCAGCCGCAGCAGAATTATTCCTGCCGATTTACCTGTAACTGAGTCCTCCGACTCAGAGAATCTATCTGCGCCGTCAGATTCAAGCGACGCTTCCGATGCACCAGAGGCTCCCGACAGGAACAAAATCTCCTCTGGGCCGGGGGCGCGGAGTAAGCGGACTTCGCTGCCACTCTTTCCTGAGAAGACCAAAGTCCAGCCTGGTCGTTTGGCGTTTAGGAGCCCTGATAACGACTGCTCTGGAGATAGACAGCAGGGGCTTCCGAAACAGGTGGAACAAGCAAATGAGACGTTAGCCAACCTCCGCCGTAGACGAGTCGAAACTGTTCATCGCCTGATGGCTCTCGGAACCGATCAACATATTGAGGGGTTGCCGGACATCGTCCAGTGGAAACGCCAGGAGAATACGTTAAGCGAAGGGAAAAGGGACAAAGTGAGCGAGGTGGAGAATGTGCTTAAAAAGGCGTTGAATGACAACGTAAGAAGGGCCACACAAGAAGAGGCTCCGATAGATGCCAACACAGAGCGCCACCACACCTTTGACTCTTTCGTAGAGAACGCAAATAGGGTAACAGAGAGATGGATGAAGATCCACAAAGGGCTTACCGATGCCGAGAAAATCCGACAGAGGATACTTCACGCGAAAGCTATCCGAGACGTGTTCGCACGGGAGTTATATCTGGAGGGGTCTATTCCACGGAAGACCAAAGCCAAGGTTTCATCCAACGGCGCAAAGCCTTACAATGGCACGAAGCAAGCTCCGTTCACATATGATGCGATTAGACCCGGTCAGTTCAGGGTTCTTGTTTTACATCCTGCCAAGGATGCATCCTTTCCTCTTGTCTGTACACTGCAAGTCAAGTCTCTTAAAAAAGAGAGCAAGCTCAACTACGCTGCACTTTCATATTGCTGGGGAACAGATTCAGACCAGCGCCGACTGTTGATTTTTCCCGGCTCTAAGCGGACGGCCAAGAAGTGGAAATATGTCGCACGACACGCTACAGAGATGTCCATTCGAAACAACTTGTTCCAGGCATTGCTGCGGCTACGAAGAAAGCAAGTACCGATAGCTCTGTGGGTCGACGCAATTTGTATCAACCAGGAGGACCAAAAGGAGAAGACAGAGCAACTCCAGCAAATGGCCACCATCTATCGGATGGCGACCCATGTGTGCGTGTGGCTGGGTGAGGCGGATCGCGAAGGGAGAAGCGATCGCGCGATGAATTTTATCAAAAAGATTATGGATTTCGCGTTTCTCGAGAGGCTAGCGAATGACAAGGCACAGGCTGAGAACTGGTATGCTCTGGCGGAGCTTATGAGAGACCGCTGGTTCTCTCGTCGCTGGGTTGTCCAAGAGATCTCACTGGCGAAATCGGCAGCAGTTTATTGTGGTGCAAAGACCGTACAATGGGCAGAATTCGCCGACGCGGTTTCGATTTTCGTAGCGACTCGGGATAAGATTAGGGAGCTGTTCGATTTTGAAACCTGGAAGGAGGGTCCGCAGACTCTGGGAGAGGTCCAGTCGTTTGGAGCGAGCATTCTGCTTGAAGCAACGAGTAGACTGTTCTTAAGAACGCCGAGTGGTGAAATCTTGCGACCTCTCAAGGGAATTGAGTCTCTGGTGACATCTCTAAACACCTTCGACGCGACCGATCCACGCGATATCGTGTACAGCCTTGTGTCCATCGCCAGCGATACACGAGACATTTCTGTTTATGCCGATGAAAGGCAAGGACAACAAGAAACCATGTCCCCGCAACTTGTCATTGACTACAGACTGGATGAGATTCAGGTTTACCAAAACTTCATCAGATACTGTATCGAGACTTCAAAATCGCTGGATATTATTTGCCGCTCGTGGGCAATGCCACCGAAGATGGTAAAGGGGTCCTTGCCCTCTTGGATTCGGCTTCTTCGTGATTCCGAGTTCGGCGAGCCAGAAGAAGTCTATGAGGGGCGAAAGAATGGAGAGTCTCTTGTAGGGGCTGTCGGCCAATCACGCTATAACGCCTCTGGTGGTACACCGTTCAGGCCAGTAACACCCAGCACCGATGATCACAACTGTTATCAACACGATAGCTCGCTGCCGAATGGGCAACAGGAGGCAACTTTGTCCGATCAGGAGGTTGTCCAAGAAAGGCCGTCAAGTTTGTGGGTCAAAGGTTTCAAGCTGGCTAGAATTGAAGATGTATCATTGGTGAATGCACCAGGCTTGATTCCACGAACATCTTTACGCGACATAGGTGGCTGGCCAGGGATTAGCAAGAGTCCTGATAGTGTACCAGATCACATATGGCGGACGCTGATAGCAGATAGAGACGCCGAGGGCCAGACCCCACCGGCTTGGTATCAAAGAGCGTGTCTACGATGTTTAGAAATCGCTGATACCTTTAACAACGGAGACCTCAATATCGGTCAGCTTCTGCAAGGCCCATCGGATATGCTTCGCGGCTACCTCACCCGAGTCCGCAATATTACTTGGAACAGAAAGTTCTTCAGGGCTGTTATGAGGACTGCCCATGGGGATGCCACTCACGGAGAACAAAACTCGGAAAAGACAGACAAGGTGCCAAAGCCATGTGACATGGATAATGTAGAGTTCGCATCTGAAGAGGAAACTACAGAGAGCCTAGATGGGGAGGAACGAGATTCCTGGGCTGAAGATGGTCTTTTTGGTCTCTGTCCACCAGGCACCAAACGAGGGGATTTCATCTGTATCTTGTATGGTTGCAGCGTACCGCTGGTCTTAAGACAGTCCACCAGAAAACCGACACGGGACAGTTTTAAGGTAATCGGTGAAGCTTATGTGCATGGTAAAATGGACGGCGAGGGACTAGTGGACTTAGAGAGTGGAAAGTCACTGGGTCTAGAGGCGGTCTTTGCTCTGATATAGAGCCCCCAGCTCTTCCTCGTGCGATGACTCGCTATGCTGTTCACACCAGGATGACGTTTATATTTCTGAAATTCGCCCCATGTGATGATAGAGTCGTCCAATCCTGAATGCTGGGTCTCACTTTTCTGTTGTACCTTTGCTCTAGACCATAATGAAGAATTTAACCTTCTTATTTCGGGAAGCAATGAAGGAGGAAGGAAGGTCGCCACCAAGCAGGCCCCCAGAAAGTAATCTATGAGTATTTCAGTGTTCTTTAACATAGTATGAGTTACATTAAAGACAGGCTTTCTCTATAATTATCGCTTCTTGCGAACAGCTCAATTGTTTGGGTGCTACTTGGGGGTGTGGCATCTAGAATATTGTGATTGGTCTTCCAATTTCATCCCTCGGCCGGCGTCTGATAAGCATAGGGATTCTCTCTAAGTGGCTGCAGCCACTTCTCTTTCGTCAAACAGGGCTTATTATACTCCAACACCAACCCATGTAGTTGAATCTCATCACGGATCCTATCCATGCGGTCCCATGGATACCCCTGCCCTTCCGTACTCTTCTTGTAGGACGGCTTAAAAACAATATCGATCTTCCGTAGGGCGGCCTTCCTCTCTATTGCAGCTTCAGCAAATGGTGTTACCCAGTGCTCTTCTTGCTCTCCAAAATCTGTCCAGGCCTCAGAATGTTGACCATAGATTGAGAAGTCCAGGATAAAGGTATGCAGGTTGGGACCAAGCAATATGTCAGCGTGCGATATAGAAAACGCTAATTTCTCAGTGGCATATCGAGGCCAGCCTCCAAGCTGCCATCTTGAAAGTGTGAGAACTTCTAATTTGGGAAAGCCAGATGCCTGAAGGAGTTCATTTCCACCAAATGGCAAGTACCCGATATTGATAGATTTCAAAGTGTGCTTGTGGATGGCAAGCCATTCACTAAGTATGGGAAGGTCCATGTAAAAGGGATTGTTATAGGAGCTGTCGAAGCGGAAATGGACCAATGATTCAGGCCAATTGATAAGCTGCTGTGTGGCTTCGGGAGTCTCTTCGTAGTCACTCAGACGGAGAGACGTAAATTTTGCGGCCCGGTACTTCTAGGAGTAGTGTCAATTCTCATATACAATTGGAGTGGAGTTATCTGTGATACCTTTGGTTCCAGCAGAACAGAGGCTTCCGTGCTAGTCGACTGTCTGTAAACTCCACAGAGTGTCAAACTCTGGAGGGATAGCATATCAATTTGCTCGACAATATCTCGTAAAAAGAAGCCAGGGCTCTGCAAGTTACTGGAAAGCATGATAAAGGGAAACTCGGGGATTGCCAACCAGTGTGGTGGTGAAAGGAGAGATTGAATGTCGTTTTTTTACGTCCAGTTCTCCGCAACCCCGCATCAAAGAATGCCCGGTTAATCTATTAAGCTAGTACTTAACTATTAGGCTAGTATGTTTACATGTCGGCTAGTATTGATACATGAGTCAGTGAGCCCTCACTTGATTCTAATTTCTAAATCCGTCTCAAATCTTCAGCAGGGCGCCTTTCACGGAACGACTCAGCTGAGCAGTCCAAAGTGTGTTCTCGTTGAGAATAAACATCTGGCCATTACGACCAAAGGAAAAGTTAGCCGCTCCATCTTTGATGAGAATCTTGCCCAGGAGGACGCCACCAGGCGACCAGACGTTGATGCCGTCTCCACAGCCAGCATACACGTTGCCGTCCATATCAAGCTTGATACCATCAGGGACACCCGTGTCAGCCATCGCAAAAACACGGCGATTCGTGAGAAACGGTTCCCCGCCGATGATGGACACGTCAAAAGCGTAACTAATGCAGCAAATCAGAAAAGGCAAAGCGGTATTGAGCGGCTGAGTAAGGAAGTTAACATACATAGTGGACGGTCCGGTAGGATCATTGGTACCATCACCGAGAGCAGACGCGGTATCTGTGACATACACGGTCTTCTCATCCGGCGAGAAAGCAATCCCATTTGGCCGACCAAATCCATCGGCAACGACACGCACGTTCTTGGTGACAGGGTCAAACCGATAGACCTGGTTCGGCAACTGGGGCTTTGGACGGAATCCTTGTTTAGAACCATAGCTGGGATCAGTAAACCAGATCGACCCATCGCTATGAACGACCACGTCATTGGGCGAGTTAAATGGCCGACCGTAAAAGCCACTGACGAGTAGCTCTGCTTCATACGGAGAGTCATTCGACATCTGGTATAAACCGCTCTTTTCGGTTTGATTTCCCTGACCACAGAAGAGAATCCCGTCGCCATGGTTCACAGCACCGTTCGCCATGGGAATAGTGGTTTTGATAACTTCGCTGGTCACAGGATGAGCGTTGACCTTGACTTTAGAAATTGCAATAGTCGAATGGTTAGTGACGGAGTCCGTAAAGATATTGCTGGTCAAAAATAGCTCGTCAGTAGACGGGATAAAGACGCTGGCTTCGTGCGCAAATGGGATATCATCATTCTTGAGGAGCGCCTCCAGTTTAGGAGCAGACCCGATAATGTTCAAGAATCTGTTATCGTGGATCTCAAACGTGGACGGAATCTGAGAGATATTGGCCAGTTGGCCCGGGAAGGTCAGATTGCTAGCCATCGTGCACAGAGTCTGGCTGATACGTAACATCAGAGTGCTGGGACGGGGATGAGCACTTTATATTGAGCCACGGCACAGAACCACGCTAGTGAATCCTCTATCGACTGGGCTTCCTATTCTGGATTCATGGTCGATCATCTCCATCAGATTAGGATATGGGATCCACTTTCCAGGATTGACTTTTCATTTGTCGCGGAAATATTCTCCGAAGTTCCGCCGTACAGATTGGCAGCTGGATGTCATTCTTGATATGCGATTCATGCAAAAGCAATCAACGATACGCTGTGGGGTTGCCAGATTATACGACTCTTTGCTGTAGCACACGGTGTTTGTAAACGGCAGTGTGCCACCCTAAAGATATTACCAAAATACCACCTCGGAAAGGGTCAAGCGGGTCCACGTATATAAAAGCGGAGACATGCCTAGTTTTCTGTTGTCATCATGTTCGGTCACCGAGGCACAAGAATACTCTCGATCATACATTTTAATCAATAAAGGGGAAAGCGGTCGTAGACTGGGAGCGTGCTCTTCGTGGATCTGACAGCTTTTTCTCCATTAATCGAATCCCAGCCAAACTCCCCGCCAGCTTCAAGAGAGATCCCGATGCTTCATCAACTCGTTTTGACGGGATTAGGATAGAATTGCCACCTAACAGTGCGGAAGCCGAGGAGAAGCTCCTCGGGTATCTCCAGCATGAGATCAATGAAACGTGGTCATTGGCGAGATTGAATCTGGATTGTAGCAATTTACGCATGTTCCGGACAACCAAGGAGTATATAGGGTTATCCCATCCGAACACCATACCTGGTGACAAGGTTGTCGTTCTTTTGGGGGCGCCAGTTCCCCTGGTTCTGCGGGAGTACAGCGAAGGATATATTCTAATAGGGCAGAGGTAAGCTTGACTACTTTTGATACACTGTGTCTATCATTTGCTTACCAGTCGCATCCATAATTATATTCATGGCATCATGGATGGGGAGTTTATTCAGGCTGAGATGCACAAAAGTCGAGGGCGTGAACCTCAAGACTTTGAATTATTTGACATTACTTAGGTCATTTTGTCGGCAACAAGTCCTTGTACACTCTGGATCGAGAGTTCATCATAGTTGACTGTAGTTGATAGGATGTCTCCTTTACCTAAGACATTTATCACGAGGATAGACAAAGCTCGCACAAAGTGTTAATTCATAGGTTGACGATTTCATTCCTATAGTCGTGATTCGCAGCGCTTTCCCATCATACATTACGTGGCAGTATACCAAACACAATGGTAGACTATTTGGTCTCATATAAAGAAGCGCGACGATGCAACTTCCGAGACTTCATCTGGATATTTTGGAGAAAACGAAAAAGAAAGAAAATACAACGGGAAGGATATGGGCTAGAAAAGTACCCCGACTCAGCCCAAGGGGCAGGATTGTCGAGAACATGGACGCTATCACTTACCCACCTACTTTTTCCTTTCTTCTTTTTCTTTTTATTGAAATACCCACTTGGCCAGTGACGGCCGCATTTGATTTAACCTCTCATGTGATTAGGGTTTGAAAAGAAAACTTGTCTGCGTTTATGATATGTAAGGCGGTCTCAAGCGTCCCTGTCGTTACCAGTGCATAGCGTTGCCTCGACAATAGGCAGCACACAGCTTATATATGCACGTCTGTATGTCCGTCCTCTCACTTTCCTTAATATGTCAAAGTTGGACAATGCCGATCACTTTATGGAGTCTAAGCTTTGGTGCTGCCTGCACAGTAAGTCGAACAAATATCAGCCGCACGGCGCACGCACAGTCTCCAGGTGACTATGGTACCTGCTTTCCCTTGGGTCGTTATTTTCTCGGTAGTGATGCAGCTTGTTATTTGGGCCTTTTCGAGGAAAGCGTGGGGTTTATGACATGTCCGAACATTCTATCCCCTTGCTTTTAGGGTCAAGCTGGCCGACGATCTCTCGGCTGGGATTTGGAGTTGAATGGATCGGCAGAAAAATGAACAGACCACAGCTCGGTGAAAACAGTTTGCCTGCTAGGTATGGACAGCATGGCAGAACCAGTCTAGCTAGGGTTCTTCACAGAGAAGACTCGGTGCATCGTGTATCGTACTTGTTACAGGTTGACAAGATCTGCAGTTGTGGAAATGGATGGATTGAAGCACTGAGTCGTTCACACTAGCTCCCATTCATTCTAATACGTGGAGGAGACTTGCTGGCGGTGGCTTGAGTTATTTGCGCTCACCCCACCTATGTGGACCAAGTTCCGTGCTGCGTACTTTATCTTGAACATTCTGGACTGCGGATTGTCGTTGTTGGTTGAGCCCAGTGGTCTCTGGGATATGAGACGATATCAGATCGTTCCCAAGGACCGTACAGTGATTAAAACTTATCCGGAAGGGTTATGGTTGGCTATTATCGATACCGGGTCGATGGACTTTAGTTTCTAGATAATTTTCTATTCAGACAAATCACGGTGCAGTCAGCACAGGGCACCAAAAAATCGAGTATTCCAGTGCTGAAGTGGCGGAGCAAGTTCGTCTATGCATGGATTCTATTGGCTAACTAAGATATATCACCCTCACCACTGTGGGCCAGTAGGAGAGCTTATCTGGTGCCGTACCTCGTAAAGAGCTCTCTAACGAGCACGAGGCTCCGTGTAGAAAGGCACATGTACTTGCGAAAACAGCCATGAGAGTGACTGTTAGCTGTACCAGCCGTCCCCGGCTTTTCCTTTCCTACCTTACTTTTTTGGGCCGTCATATGTCAGGCCATCGGCGTTAAGATTGGTTCGATCCTAGGCCACCGCGTGTACTCCACTTGGCTCCGTCTCGACAGTCTGGCCCTGACTGGAACTACCATTAGCAAATTATGACACTTTGCAGTCAGGTGAAATTATTTAATGACCCACCACGGCAGTATAAAGACGAGTTCAACCCGGATTTTGCAACACCTCACATCTGTTCGGACTATCGTGAAGGGTGATTCATTTCACCTGAGGCTGGGCTTGTTGTTTAGCGCGGTCGCACGAGGCGGAGTCAGATGTAGGGTTTTTTTTTTCCTACATAAAACCCCTCATCTCCCCCCAAACGCGCTGGCTTACAGCCCAACTTCCTTCCTGACAGCCCTGCGCCACAGTCGGAACAACATAGCCATGCCGACAAACAACATCACACAGGCGGTCGATGAGATTATCGACTGGCTGAAAGAAGTTATATGTTTCAATGACGGATCGGAACTGGCAGAAATTATCCGTCGCGACGGACTGGAGACTTTGACCGACGAAGAAGCCGTGCAGCTTTTGTACCGCCAGTTCGAACGCGAATTTGATCGGTTGAAACGCGTCGATTATACACTTGAGCAGGGGGACGGGCATCCTCTAAAGGGAACGTTAGATGGGAAAGGCCTTACGCCGTCGCAGTTTCTTTTCGGTGAGGATTTCGCCGAGATAAACCGAACGGTGGTCAATTTTCTCTCTTTAAAATGGCTTCTGGAGGATAACCGTCAGGCTTTTACGGCGCATCAACCCAGCGTCGTGCAGCTGTCCCCAGCAACATTCAAAAGCTTTCGCGACTTAGCACGGAGTATCCTGAAAACCCCAGATGATATATTGGCCCTAGTTGTATCATTAGTACTAGGAGACGTGGGGAAAGATCCTGAATTAGAAAAGGAGATTCAAAGGAAAGACGGCCAAAAGCCAAACCATGACGAGGTCCTGGCCAGCGCAATCAAGCTGCGTTTGTTTCGCAAGCCGCTGCGCTTACTCGCGCCGGACAAGCGGACGGAGGTGGTTCTAGGGGTGAAAGTTGGAGCAAAGCTGAACATTCCCCAACTGACACAAGGTGAGAACGTCCCAGGGAGTCTGGAGAGTATTCTCATGCTGCAGGGACAATCACAGGCATTTAAGCTGAAGTACCTCGAGATTATGCTGGATGTATCGGGGGCAGGTGCTCATGTTGACGCGCGTGGTGCTGTTCGCATGATCGAGCCGGTCTGCCAGTCCTTTTTGTCTGCCTACCCGGTATTGGAGCAGGTTATTTCCAAAAAGCTTTCAGTGCGTGACGCGTATAACAAGGTCCTGCAAAATCGAGGTCAGCTACTATCTGACCAAGGCTTTCGTGCATTATCCACAAATAACCGCAGCGAGCGGGCCTTCCTCCGCCTATGTGCGATGGGTAGAGTAGCGGATAAACATCTAGCTGAACTGTTTGAGAAAGCATTCATAGATCTCCCGCAACCTATACAAGAAGAGCTTATCACAGGATTGAACGTTGACGGATGCAACGGCGAAGATGCAGTAATTCTGTACTACATGCCCGCGATATTTGCGGAGGCATTAAGGGTCACCCGTACTGCACCGGATATAAAGAAAGTCCAGGTGCTTCAGAGCCTCATGTCATTCATGGCGCGCACATACAATGATACAAAGCCAGTTGACGGGCATCCCGGCGCCATTCTGGAACGTGACGTGTCGCGGGCGAAGGACTATATACGCAAGGACGGTTTTATCGACGATCCCACCATTTTGGATCAATGCGTTCTTCCAGTGGCGACATGTTAAGGCTGGCCCTGTGTACTTTGCTTTGTCCCCCCCCCACAGACTCCCTAATGTTAAGGTTCAATTACTATTGAGCAACCGTCATGCGAGAATAATGAGAAATGAACTCATGACTTTGGACTATTCTTACTTCAAGCCTTTCCTATTTGAGCCTGGTGTTCTTTTGCCGCGTGCAATACGTTGTTTATCTATTCTTATTCGGCTTTTTTATGACAAGACCTTATGCATATTTCTTTATAATGACGCCGCCACGCTTACTATGAATCTGACTTATGAGGGAGGCCTTTTCTATTTGTCATTTCCTATTTGATGCTTTGTTTGGCAGCGATATCAATGTTTATACGTGCTCGGGAAAATACTTTGATCAATATCAATATTGAAAAATAATCTACTGTACTCATTTATCTGGTAGCGATAAGATAAGCTGTGGCGATAACGAAAGAGAAGTCGTGATTAAATCTCAGGCACCAAGGTTTCGAGCGTCGGAATCACTCGGAATGGGATTCCACTTTTGCACTTCAGCATCAGTCTTGGTGACCCCCGTCATTCCGCACGACGATTGCCTGATCACCTCTCGGAAGCATTCAGCCGATCCCTGAGAGCCTATTCTACGAACTCATTGACTAAGATAATCTTTCACGAGCTCATCCATGCAGTCGGAATCTCCCACGCACAGCAACGTCCCCTCGGAACCCCCTCGGAAAAAGCGAGCCAAATACACTCAGGTCGCTTGGTGCGTCCATCACCTTGGCTGCAACGTTAACATGGGATGCCACTTTGCTGATTAAACGCTTGCAGTAATGAATGCAAACGGCGTAAATTGAAATGCAGCGGCGAGCCAACCTGTTCACGCTGCGCCCGTGATGGCGTGTCATGCATTTACACGCCGAGTGCTTATGCGTTGACCAACGCTGCGAGCTCTGTGGAGGAACCGCACGATGAAGGGTATGGGAAGTTTCGCGTTTGAGTTGAGCACCCGTAGTTGACCAAAATAGGGTATCTGCACGGTTCCAATCAGTTGATCGCCAAATCGAGTCGCTTCAGCGCGAGATGCGAGCGATGGCGGCTCGATTGCGCGAACTCGAATCGTCTTCGCCGGGCAACAGTAATGCAAACCATCCCACTCTGAGGCAGGCTTCTATTGGATCATCTCAAGCGCCAAACACTGGTCTCCAGCGTATTATGAATCGGCCAATGTCACCATATCACGTTGGACCCACGAGTGCGGAGTTCGGTCTCACCGCGCGTCGCAAGCCGTCGGAGGACGACGATGAATTCGAATCCACTGCTGCACCGAGTCCCGTTGCAGCGCCTGATGCGGATATCGCGACCCATGATCCACTCGGAAACCTAGGGATGACGGAGGCTCTTAGGCTGGTGACGGTCTATGAAAACGCGGTGGGCTTGATGTACCCCTGTGTTGATCTGGACAGTGTGCGGGCGTATGTTGTCGATTTCTTTCGAGATGACTCTCGTCAGATTCTGAGCGCGGAGGAACAAGATTGGTTCTTTGCGCGTGATGTCGAGGTGCTGAAAATTATCTTGGCAATTGCTTTAGTGACGGAATCGCATGGGCGGAGTGGGCGAGCTGCGGTGTTGGCTGAGCGTGTTGAGGATCGTTTTGCGACTCGCGTGAATATCCCCGAGGTTGACATGAAAGAACTTCTGATACTGACCTTGCTGGTGTGTAGCCTATCCGCTCTGTCCCCGTCATATATGGCTAACAGGAATCGTCCACAAGTCAATATTCCATTCGTACCGGGATGATGAAGTCATTTCGTGGCGCTGCATTGGGATGGCTTGTCGAGGCTCAATGCAACTCGGCCTACATTGCCAGGAAACCTGGTACAGAACAGGAGGTGTGTTCCCAGGGGAATTGCAATGGACGTGGGCTAGTCGGCTATTTTGGTGTATCTACGTGCTAGATCGAAAATGGTCCTTTGGCACCGGGCTTCCATTCGCGATCCAGGACACGGACATGGACACCAACCTTCCGGAGCTGGGCACGGCCACGCCTTACCTGACTTGTATGATCTCATACGCACGACTCAGCGGCAAGATATGGGGGCTTGTAGTCGGCTGGGGCAGTCGATCGCGTGCAGCGACGTCGGATTATTGCTCCTACCTTGATTTCCAAGTCCAGCAATGGATTCAATCCATTCCAGAGGAGCTACGGTTCGACCCTTCACGACAGCCTTCCCCTGACTCGGTACAGAACGATAACATGATGATGCTACAAGTTCTTCTTGCGCTGCAGGCGAACCAACTTCGGATTCTAGTGTACCGCCAAAATTTACTCGGTAGTGAGAGCATCGAAACAAATGTCTCCGGCGCATCCATCGCCGTCGAGACTGCAAAGAGTACGATCCACATGCTAGACTACTTCACTCGTGTTTCGGACATCTACTTTCAGCGTCCGGAGCCGTTCAATTACTTTTTAATTTCGGCACTGGCCGCGCTGTTTCTTGCCGTGTTCCATGCACCGGGTCGATTCAGTAACGTCTGTCGCGCTGAATTCTATGCCGCCGTAGACATGGTAAGGAAGTCATCGACTCGGGCCAGAACATCCAGACGACTACAGAAAATCATTCGCAGTCTGAAGTTGATTAAGTTGAATGTCGGGAAATCGCCTTATAGACACGGACAACCGCCGGAAAGCCTTGGCAAGGTCCTATCTCGTTTCAGCCACGGGCAGCATGACTCGAATCCACCCACATTGTCGCAGTCTCCGTTGCCCTCGTCGCACCAGCACCGGCCACCCGGTATCCCGACTCCACAGCCTTCCACCTCCCTTTGGTCCGTGTCCTCCCCACCGGTTACGGCCCCAGTTAATTTTGGCCACAACGACGATAGCTGTGATGACTTGACCAGCTTCTTCGAGATGGCAGGAGGGCTCTACTTCGATCCCAAGACGGGTCCCCCCGAGGAGGCACCTGCATCCGAGGGCGCTAGTGCAGGGGTGGAAGGGGTCGATGCGTTTCACGCTGAGAATGAGGCGCTAACCCGTGTAATGGCTGGCCTGTTATAGATGGAGGGGGCAGTCTGAGAGTTTGAGTACCGAATTCTTCTTCGTATAATATTTTCACCCGAGGCGTCCGTGACTTAAGTCGCTTGATCCTAAAAGGGCCAAAGTATCCCTGCCATTGGTGGAACTAGTCTAATGCACGAGAGCCAAATAGTGTGAAGCTAATGCATCCCCAATCCCGGGGTGTCTGCCTGAAGAATCCACTCGGGTAATTGCCCAAGCCAAGACGATCAGCAGTCCCCATGACAAGTGTGTTTAATTACCGCAATGGGCAAAACTCCTGAATGAGTGGCACTACGAGCCAATCACCTTTGAACTTATACCTTTGCCCTGCTGAATAACCCCAATGATGTAATTTCTCCGTCGCTATGTGAGGAGTTCATGCTAGTGACAGGCTGCCTGACCGTCTAACCGCGTTCCTCGGTCATTTCTTGGCTCAGTGTGGAGGGGTTATTCAATCACACCGAACATGCGGTCTACCCTCTCATATGTCATTTATTTTGGACATATCAGCTGTTATCTTTCTCAAGTGGGACTGCCAGTGGAACATGCATGAAACATTCAGACGATGGAGTGTCTCCGCGTCACGACCGGTGACTTGTACCATGCATATAACGCATGTACTATAGATCGCTCCGTCTCAGCACCAACAACCGGGTCGGACATTACTAGAGGCACCCGGAGACAATACATCGGAGGATTGCGTTCCTCGAATCGAAGCATCTGTTGATCTCCGGCGGAGTAAAGCGCCTCTCTCCTGGAGACGGCGCGCACATACACACGGGGATTAAGACAAGAAACTGGGAGTCTAGTATATATAGTACCGCGTATCTCGTAGGACAATCGACCTTGCAAGCTACCCATCTCTCCGTCTTCACTAACCATGTATCTCCAATCTTCTCTTGCATTAGCCTTTCTGCGGGTTGCGGTGGTTCATGGTTACGCGAACCCGGGGGCTTGCTCTGGTGCCTGCAACATCCATGACCCTGCCTTGATTCAGAATGGCGATGGAACATACTATCGCTTCTCGACAGGGAATGGCATTTCCTTTGCTACTGCTTCGTCCATTGAGGGTCCTTGGACAGCTGTTGGATCTGTATTGCCTGATGGATCCTCGATTGACAATTCAGGGAGTAATGACCCTTGGGTACGTATTCCTTTTTTTATCTTGTATTATCGGCTTCACAAATTGTATCCTCTTTTCGTTCCATGTTGTATTTTCTATTTTCTATTTTTCATATTTTCGCGGGTGTCATCCTATGTACGATGTTGAAATGAACGACCCTTGTCCATCTTCCCGCACTCTTTACCAAGCATCTCACGGTTAACACCTCTTAGGCACCCGACGTGCAAAAGGTGGGTGACCTTTACCACCTCTACTACGCCGTGTCAAGCTTCGGCTCCCAAGAATCCGCCATCGGTCTCGCAACCTCTGAGACCATGGAAGAAGGCACCTGGACCGACCAGGGCTCAGTTGTTACATCCACAACCGGTGACCAATACAACGCCATTGACGCCAACCTGCTAGTGGACGGTTCCGCCAACTACCTAACCTTTGGATCCTTCTGGCAAGACATCTTCCAAGTCACACTGAATGGGGACGCCACGTCTTCGACGTCAACGCCGGTTAACGTTGCTTTCGATCCGGCTGATACACATCCGGTTGAGGGTGCTTACCTCTACAAATACGGTGATTATTACTACCTGTTTTACTCATGGGGAACATGCTGTGGATATGATCAAACTCGACCCGCTGAAGGGCAGGAGTATAAGATCAAGGTTTGTCGGTCGAGCACGCCGACTGGAGGCTTTGTGAGTTTCTCTTTTCTCTTACTTTGCAATCGACCGGTTAAGATGGATAGCTAATAATGTAGGTTGATGCGAACGGTGTCGCATGCACGGATGGCGGTGGTACCGTCGTTCTCGAGAGCCATGACAATGTCTATGGACCTGGTGGACAGTATGTGACATAACTATCTTCGCTTGAGTTTATGTTTACTAACTTTCATAGGGGTGTATACACTGACCCGACCCTTGGCCCTGTTCTCTACTATCACTATGTTGATACGACCATCGGCTATGCTGACTCCCAGAAGCTATTCGGATGGAACGCCATGGACTTCTCCAGTGGATGGCCTACTGTCTAAGTGCATCATCTGTCCAAGTAGTGAGAAGCATCTTGTATATAGTTCAGCTTCCTGTGGAGAATACATTTCAATAATGGCGAGTGAGCCGATTGACCTCCCTTTTGAGAAGACGTTCTCATATTTTCCTTCCTGTCATCCCACTTCACAATTTTCACTTATGTATACTTTTACAGTCTCAGTATGTGCCATTCTCCAATATTCCCCGCTTGTCATACATATTATACGTGACTGAGCCAAAGATTCCATTTTTGGCTATCGCACCTCAAGGGATGCCGATTCATTGGATAGGCGGCACAGCCGCCGAAAGGTCTTCAGGGATGGAAAGTTCCATTCTCTTTTCCGCCCGAACATGGCTAGTCTGAAGAAACTCCTTGTAGATGTCGTCTTCACGGACAGGTGCCGAGCACACTATTTATAGTGAGTAGCCCGTGCGATCGTCGGATTGACATAGATCTTCGGCGCTGTGACTTAGTGTGTCACAGCTTATCTACAACACGGGACACAAACGGAACGTCACGATGATCATGGGTGGCTTATAAGCTCATCCAATTCTAGTATATTGGAATCGATATCTTTTTTATAACCTGCGATTGCGGTATTTGTGGAGGTTTATGTTCCACCTCCTGGCCCCTTGGCGCTTCAACATATCGGGGCTCAGAGAAGAGTCCTTGCGTGTTGTGCCCCTGGGCGCATCATCAAGCGAAAAAAAGGGATAGTGATAATGGTTAGGTGCCTGAGGTGTCTCTATTTTGAATTGCTTCTAGGTCACGTGGATTGGCTAACCGAGCAACATCCCTCAAGACTCAAACTGCTATCTCAGAACTGACTAGACGATGTATAGCTATATACACACCGATGAATTGTCCCACATAGGACTGTATGAATACTAGTTAGAAATCCCTCGGCAAATTTCGGCTTGGCACTTTCCATTTCGTAAGGGTTCAACCCCATAGCTGAACTTAAGTTGAACCCTTTGCTTCTCTCAACCCTCGCGTCTTATGGTATTTCTATGCTTCAATGCAGAATCTAAATTTATCGACCTGGACAAGACTTTCTACAATAAATTATCTTGATTCCTAATTTGCAGAATGGCCTAGCTTGTGGCTGTATACAGCGATGCCGTTGTCATAAGTATACAATCGTTTGAACAAGTAGGATTAATATATAATGATGTACCGCAACTGTATGCATAGAGCAGCGTAAATTTCGCGTGGCTGGCCTCACTTGAGTTGATGCTTAAGTCCCGTCCCAGAGAAGCCTAGTAGGTCTCAGAGGGATTGTTTATTTATTTGTCTATTTGTCTAGGAAGATGTTCTAGGATATTTGTCATGGCTTGAAAGGCGAATGGTTCTTATTATTCCGGAGAATCTAGATGCATGAACCGTGCTTTTTTTCGGTACCTATCCAGATCACCACCATGCAACTAACTTATCAAGCAAATCAGCCGTTAATTGTTCTAGTAGGGAATTCTCAGTTCTCCATATGGAGAGCTCTGCTCGACGAGTCCTTCATCAAGCGAGGCGGAGTTCATGGTGGGTGTCGGCCTTCGCCGGTCTTCGGGTACAAGACAGTCACGAGAATTTCTCGGCCGAGGGGGAACTTGATCAAGAACCATGGAAATTGGTATTTAGTATCAACCTTACTCCAACACAACCACGAAATTCATAGAATCTTTAAGGTGTCTTCAACGTCTACCAATCTGATACTACTGTCCTTACCCCACAAATAAACTATCTTGTCAGGATCGGGTGCTCAGGATGAAAGATAGTGACTCGCGTCCTCATACAGGACCCAAAAGCCTTTCAAAGTATACGGCGGGTTGGAGAAGAATCGTCAGCAACTTCAGTCCATCGTGTGTTAAAGTCTACATCCCTGCTGCAGCAATTGAATAGTGGCTAACGGGTCGATCCCACAGATGGTTTTCCACGACAATGGGGACAGGCATGGCCGGAATATTGTTCCATCTGATCCCTTTCGAGCATACAGCGCTACATTACCTAGCCATAGCCTTTTTTGTGCTGAATGCGTTGTTGTTTCTCACCGTGCTCGGCATGTCAATTCTCCGCTATACTCTCTACCCTGAAATTTGGAGGGTCATGATACAAGATCCAGTTAACTCGTTATTTCTGGCAACTTGTCCCATGGGGTTTGCCACCCTGATCGAATTGTGGGTGTTTATTTGCGTTCCGCAGTGGGGAGACTGGGCGAAGACAACGGCCTGGGGATTATGGATCATCGATGCGGTCGCAGCGGCAGCCGTCACAGCGTCCCTTTCATTTATTCTGTAAGTCTTCCCCGAGTTCTGAAGACCATTTGTTAATATCTGCAGTATATCGCAACATTACGTCACATCATTGGAGCGGATCACCGCGCTGCAATTGTTGCCGATCGCTGCCACAATCGTCGCGTCCGGGGTTGGGGCCGAGATCGCAGATATTTTGCCTAACGCACAGCACGCTATGGGAACGGTGATCGTGTCCTACGTGCTGTGGGGCATGTCTACACCAATGGCCATGATGATCCTGGTGATCTATTACCAACGTTTGGCGGTCCACAAGCTTCCATCAAGGGAAACCATCGTTAGTTGCTTTCTTCCACTAGGGCCTCTCGGGTTTGGGGGATTCAGGTTAGTGCAAGCCACAATACGACCTTTGAGAAAATTAGTCTGACTCCCAGGCAGTATCCTCTACCTGGGTAAGGTGGCTCGACAGCTCCTCGGTGAATCCAACGCCATCGATCCACTTGTCGGGCACATCGCATACGTTTTCGGTCTCTTGCTGTCTCTGTTGATGTGGTCTTTCGGGCTGATTTGGCTCGTTTTCGCGCTGGCTACCATCTACTACCGATCACCGTTTCCTTTCAACATGGGCTGGTGGGGATTCACATTTCCGCTTGGAGTATATGCGGCCAATACGATCCTGCTGGGGAAGGAAATGAATTTAATGTTTTTTAAGGTTTGCGGGACGGTAAGTTACCGTAGATAATCGTGAGAGCCCATGGAAAGAAAACGGGAGCTGACAGGTGATAGATACTCAGCGGCGCGATGATATTATTGTGGCTGGTGGTTGCCACCCGTACCCTGCACGGGGCATGGCGTGGCGTTTTATTCCATGCGCCGTGCCTACAAAACTTGAAGGAAAAGCTCGAAGATAGCCAGGATGACGCGACGAATGATGAAGCATAGGCTAAGCGCCCCAGAACCTTGTTCTGGCTAAGACCCTGATTTTGGCCGATTCATCCAAATGGTAAGCAATCATGCCATTGAGGGCAACTTCTTGTTTTACTCATAGTCTACAGAATTGACACCAATCCTGCAGCTCATCACATGGTATACGAGCTATGCCAGGGGTTCACCAATCATATCGGGTGTTTGAGGATTGGATTCCGGCTAGTATGCAGTATCGGTACGAGGGACCAATCCGCAGCAGATAGCGACGCCGCTCCCCTTTCAAAATCATCCCGGCAGCCTCGTGTGGACTCCCAACCGGGTACTAATAGGCGAAACGATACCACCTCGCTTCAGTTGTCAGATAGTGACCCACATGACTTTCGCTTGATCATAAGCTCGAGCCGTCTTGCGGCTGAAGTCTTGGTAGTACCTATAGAATCCGGGGTTCCCGCCCCATGGAGCCCGTCTCTCCATTGCGTTGCGATCCATTGAGCGGCAACCATGGTAGGTACATGCAAAGCACTATGGTATAGAGTCGTTGCTAAATGAAGAAGGCTTCAACAGAGTACGAGTTTCCGTTCCTAGAAGAAGTTTACACTCCTGCGGAACAACCTAAAATTGAGTAAGTATCTGTGGAGCCTTACTCACCACATGAATACATAATGACCGCGTAGCTTTGTGTTCGTCCACGGCCTCAATCCTCGCGGTCGGGTGGACCATGCCTTCGAAACATGGACGCATCAGAATGGAACCTTCTGGCCGCGGGACTACCTCCCTCAAGATATCCCACAGGCGCGAGTCTTCGTCTACGGCTATAATTCATACGTCACAAACCCTCAAGTGATGTCGAACGCGAGTGTGAAAGATCATGCGAATACATTGTTGAACTTGCTCGACCTAGAGCGGAGCCCACAGGTGGTACGTGGGTTGCCTGTACTCAATTTTGGGACAAGGCTGACTCTACACAGAATGCGCGGCCTCCGAAGATCATCTTTATCGGACACAGTTTAGGTGGGTTGGTTATAAAACAGGTATGCTTGGCCAGATGGATCGCGACATGGTTTGGCATAGATTTCATCGAATAGTCAGTCGATGACGGACTCTGCGCTAACATCTAGTACACAGGCTTTATTGAACGCGCAAGAAGACCCCAAGTATACTTCCATCCGCACAGGCACGTACGGTCTTGTGTTCTTCGGTACTCCACATCACGGTACGAAGGGTGTTGAGTTAGGAAAGATTGCAGCCAAGGTCGCCAAGTTCGTGTCCAAGGGCCATGCCAGTAACGATCTTCTCGACTGTCTGGAACACAACTCCTTATTCACAAGACAGATGAGCAGCCGATTCTGTCACCAGCTGGAAGATTACCGAGTGATCAGTTTCATTGAAGGAAAAGAGGTGCTACTGGGAGGGTCAGGCCCTGCTTCTATTAGTCATGTGAGTAACTATGCCGTCTTTCCTGTACCCCACTATCATTATACTAGGAAGTACAGGCCTAACGGTCGCAGTTGGTCGTAGACGAAGAGTCCGCGATCCTTGGACTTCCTGGGAACCGCGAGACGCGTCTCAAGCTAGATGCGGATCACTCTCAGATGTGCAAGGTCGGCACCCGAGGAGCCATGTACAAACTCATCAAGGGCAATATCAAACAGATTGCCGACCAGCTACTAGTCACAGAACAGGGCTACATTCCCCAGCCGTCTCCATCTCCGCGCGTGGGGCCGCCATTGCCACCGCGACATACGAACAGCAGCGCTCCATATCCTCCTCCAAGCATAGCGTCGCAGCCGGCGACAAAGCGAGTCATCGGGACCCTTTACAGTCCTTTCGACAATGATCCACGGTCGATTGAAGCGGCCGAGCACAAAAATAACTGGAAGTGGGACGACGCACGGAGGGTGGAATACGCCATCTTCCAGGAACACTTGCGGACCCTGGGTGCAGACCACCATAGCACATTGCAGGTCGGCTATAATCTGGCAGAGATCGACCTTGAGTCGGGATACATCGGCAAAGCGGCCGAATGGTGCCAATGGGTGTCCAATAACAGTCAGCGCGTACTTGACAAGCGTCATCCACTAGCAATGAGAGCGGAAAGCTTGATGGGTGAGATTTTGGTCTCCCAGGGCAAACAACAGGAAGGAGAGTCCGTTTGTGCCAATGTTCTCGCCCGGCAGCAGATGGCAATCGGTGAAGACGATATCGATACGCTAGAAACGCGCCGTCGCCTGGCGAACGCATATAGCTCTGTCGACCGACGAGAGGAGGGCATTGCAACCGCCGAAAAGCGTACGGAGGCCCTCAAGCGATTGCTGGGTGAGAGTCATATCAAGACGTATGCCTCGGTGCTTGACACTATCGAATTGATAGTGGCCAAACTTTCAAGCAACAACACCGAGATGGCTATAGCCCGGTTTCACACGGGCACAGAAGATATAGTCAATGTCGTCCAAGAGGCCTCCCGGGAGCTGAACAACTTGCTGGGTCCTCGTCACCCACTTTCTATTCGAAGTCTCCGGCTGCTGGGTGCCTGCCAGGTCTTTGTTTCGGGCGGAATTACAGAGCCATCGGAAACGCTACGACGAGCGCTCGCCACGGCTGAAGAATACCTCGGTCCCGACAACCCTGAGACTATTCAGATCGTAGTGTACATGGGTCTCATGTACGCGAAACAGAGCAATCCATATAGCTACATAGTTTCCCAGCAAAACCTCGAGTTGGCTCTGCCTTGGTTCCGACGATTTCTGGACTGGGCTCGAAGCAGGGATATTTTGAGCAGTCCCGATCCCCAGGCGGTCTTGGGCATGCTAGCCAATATGTACATGGCCAAGAGGGACTACCAACAGGCACAGAATTACTACGAGCAGCTCGTCAATGCATGCCAGAAGGGGAACATCCCCGTCTCCCCTGACGTTCAGAACATGCTACAGTTGTGTCGGATGAACACCCGAATTATATCACCCTACGGATCTTCATCGGGGTTTGAATCGCTTCTCTCCTCCTTTAAACGATTATAAGTGAATTTCATAATATTCATAATACACAATCTGTTGTATTCATTATCCATGCGTAACTAGTAGTATAATACATTTCGTTGTCATCATCATGACTATCGTAACCGATTCGATCTAGTTCGAGATCTTCGAGGGCACATGTTTACTGCACGATGCATCGTCAGTTATACGTCTGGTATAAAAAGAGGAAGCGGAAGAATAGCAACACGTACCCAGTAACACTCTCGAACTTGTTCCTGGCGCCATCAGTGATGCGTTCATTCGTCTGTCGCACCTTCGAGTTATGGGGGTCGATCTTGCCATGGCCGTACTTGGTCTCGAGGGAGTCGAGGCCTGTGCGTCCGTTAATCCGTATGTTCCTCATCTGGACAAATGGACAAGAGTATACTCACCCTTGTCAACATAGTCCTCATTCTGGGCACCACCAGCACCACCGTGCTTGTGACCACCGCCGAGCTTCGAGGCAAGCTTATCCATTGTGCTGTGTATTGGTCTTATGTGGTTTTGATTATCGGGTGCAAGAATATGTATTGTCTTCGTGAGAGGATGTCAAAGTGCAAGAGGATGAATGCTATGAGAAATTCGAAGCACAACATCTCAACCGTCCATATTTATAAGTAAACAAACGTCGGATACAAGCGACGTGATTGATATTAATGATGTCATCCGGGGTAGATCAGTGATGTTTACTCGGTTCTATTCTTGTATCCCTTCTCTCGGGCGAAATCTGAGCGGAAGTTGATTTAGGAAGTGATAGCCGCTACTTAGGATTGATATTGGATGAGATGTACAGGGCTGCGTCGGAGGCTTGATTAAGTTGCGTAATGTGGAACCCTCTCTGACAGGAAATCGGAGCTATATTTAGTGGGGGGTTTTATGATTATGATGGCTGATGATGTTTTCAGGGCTGAATGTTTTTTGATGATGTCATAAGGTGGGTAGGGCTGGCGTCCGAAAAGGGAAATCGATTGTCCCCTCACAAAGACTCTAGTTCGAGAGATATACTAGGATTGGTAGTGTTACTGTGAGATTAGTTCGCAGGATATTCGGTAATATGAGGGATACGGTAATTGCAAGAGTATGTGAATAAGAGCCCTAACAATCTATCAAAAATATATACTAACGGGCACCACCCTTTGGGACTATAATTGAGCGTGACCTTGGATGTTTCCCTCAGTTAGACACAATGATGATCCAACTCTTTCCATCACTAGGAGAATTAATATAGCTGGTGTTATAAAATTCAATGGATGCAACAAATCCATGTTCATGTGTGACTACGAATATTTGCGTACTATGTCTTACTCCGAACATCTTCCGCGAGTTACAACCACAGGCCCTATAATATCCATAGTGGTAGAACAATTTTATGAAAAGCTTCCGGCTATCCCCGTCCAAACCCTGGTACGACCTTCTGTTTTTAACTTTTTCCACACTCCCTCCTAGGCCCAAGCAGTTCGCACAGCAGGCTTCAGGCACACCCGTTGAACCACGCCATTCCACAGGAGGTTGTGAGATATCGAATGACGAGGTCATGAACTTTAGATCAAAACCTAGATGATAGTAAGGAAAGATACAAGAGAGGTTATAATATCATTGAATATCACTTCCAGAACTTCACATCTCGTATCCCAACACAGCAGTAGTGTATTCTAAGGCCTTGACCACGCCATATCTCGAAATACGTCAATCAGTTCTATGTTGATTTGTGGATGGTCCAGAAGAATTACTTATGCCCTATACCCTCGAAAATCAGACAAACGTGACATGTTCTTACTCCAGTGACTATGACTGGGGTCTATCATGTATACTAGTGTGAAATTCACTTTGTACTCCCTTTGACACATTTCAGAAGAGGTAGAGCACGTGCTTACAAAAATAGGACGCTAGGATATAGTGAATGGATATGGCTGGGCCTTGTATTCAATGTATGAAACGACCAATCGACCCAAACAAGCCGGACTGGCAAGAACAAACAAAGGTGTTCCTTCTACCTTTTAGTGCACAGTTTGCACATATTATTTGCCTTGTACGGAAGGCATGCCCGATCACCCACGTTGCTTGATATCCAGGGCTACATGAGACATTGTCTATCTCTCCTGTTGTTAGGCCTTCTGCTGAACCCACAACATTTCTACCTCGTTTACAATCCTGCCTGCAGCTCCGTTTTCTTTAGCTCTGGTTCCTCCTTTCCCTAGTATACAGAATCAGGTTTTCTAAAGTTGCTGCTCGGATAGCCTTATTTAAAATCCTTGCATTAGACCTCTTCCCACTAAAAGCAACAGCTCAAACAGAAGGTGCGACAGCTATGAAGTCGTAATGTCCAACACTAATAGTTGTAGCGATGTGCGACTTGCTCTGTGAACATTATAGAGGCCGAAATGGCTGTGGCCACATGTACGTCTATGGCGTTCAGCGGTGCAGAGCTTCGTTTATGCGTCCTGATCAGGCTCGCTGTGTGGCCCCAAGTGGAAGGCTTCGCGACCTCCCTCGAGTTGTCGACGCCCAAGATGATTATAAGGACGGGCTTTGTCGAGCGTGTCTCGGTCAGACACCTCCCAGCTCGGAGGGTTCCGAATTTGGTTGGGTTTTATAAATAGCAGGACACAGGTTGCTAGGATATTACTCAGTTGTTTCTTGTCAAAAGGGATACTGTTTCATGAGTTTGCTTTCGTGGCCAAGGATGCATCACTATCCCTCTGGTTCCTTTATACTTGAGAGCTGAATTTGTCAATCATGTTTCCTCGGACTCACCCAGATGTTCCACATGCTGTAGTCCTTTGAATGTTACCTATCAGCAGGTCAATAAATGACGTGCCTTAGACAGCGCGGTGGTTTGTGCAACCTCTGTACATGGACTGGATAGATGTGATTCTTAGAGGGCGAATAGGGACCTGCTGCTATCCCACATGACCTGTCCCTTGCACATATGCAGTCTAACATACCTTGGTCTATATTCGCTCAAGTGTTAGACGGTCAAACAAAGAAGATCGCCCCAGGGGCTGGGTTGATGCAACCCTTTTCATAGCGTCCAGCGAAGGAGCCATAATATGGATGAATGTTGCGTTCTGGGCCTTGAGATGGTTTATCTCCTCGTGTTACCTACGACGATTCATTTCAGTGACCCGTGATATCCCTATCCCTTGCGTTAGAAGATGGGTTACATGGCATGGCACAACATTGGTAGTTCTTCCACCTCTCACATTGAAGTACAGTAGCATCAATATCTTGCAAGGCGGACAAATAGGAAATATATACCAGCCTCATCTAGACGGAGACCTATCATCATGCCCAACTACAGTATTGCAAAAAATAGTTGTAAAGGAGCCCAGAGAATCCTCGATGATGAGCCGGAATTAACAACGCGGCTTACCCATAGGAAACACGTCTCTGCGTAACCCATTGATGACTGCAGCTACAGTCCCTTAGCTCAAGCCACAACACTGTCCAATCCAACTAAGCCAGCCTCGCGCTTCCGGAGTCTCCGAGATAGCTCCCCGTTTTTCATCCACCATCACATATTCCTCTTCCTCCGGATCATCGCGGTAATACTTGAATCGGACCGCGGCGATCGAGACAATTTCCAAGCTAAAGTCTCCTTCCTGTATTCCGAAGAAACTATACGTAGTCAATACCACACACCGCACTTCGGTTATATAGAAAACACCCACCTGCGCATCATAAAGCTGATCTGCTTCACCCCGGTCAAATCTAACGGCTTCGCATCCTCCTGCTCCTTCCCTCGATACGTAGGCTTAAAATCAGCCCACTTGATAAAAATCCTCTTCTCTCCATGCGCATGGAAATCATACTCCCAGCTCAGGGTACTCTCCTGCCTCCCATCCGACCGCTTAGGCGCAGTCTCATCCTTCAGCGTGATCGTATACAATTTATCATCCCCGCGAGCAATATGCAATTCCAACCCGTCGTAGCGAGAAAGATCCCAGCTCCTATCTTCGCCTGTTGTCCGCTGCGAGGCAAAGCCTGCTCCGCCGAGTGTGGTGATATCGAGGTTGCCGTGGAATTGGGCAACGAGTGAAGCGGGGGAACAGCTCATGTGGGAATGCGAGGATCCACCGCGAACGCGGTCGTCAGCGGAAGTCCAGTCGGAGGAGTGCCATGCTCTTTTTTTCCTTGTCAGTGGGCTGTACGGACGGCGGCTAATGGTCTTGTTGAACTTACCTGGGACCCCCGAAAAGGGGTAGTCTTGCTACTTTCGAGTCCATGTTGTTGATTTGATGTGATTGTGATGTGAGTGGGTTTTCGATGAGGCAAATGCGGAGTAGCTTCGGGGCTGGTCCTGTGACGTCAGGTGCTCATCTATCGACGCTAGTCTTGACCGGGAACTCTCTCGATTGGGAAGGGTGGAAAGGCTGTCATTGGTCTTTATTCATAACAACAGCTTGTGGAATGTCGGAGAATACATCGTCGTATTCCGGAAGCACTATTGATGTTACGCGAGCTATATCGATGCAGAAGCAGTATCTCAAGTCATATACTGTGCAGAGTCGTCTGAAATCCACAAGGTGCGTGAAGGAATCTATTCTTTACACCTCAACTCTGCAGGAAGAAAGGGTCTTGGACTGAACCCGATCCAGGACAATACCCTTCATTCACCAAGGATAGAGAAGCTCATTGCACTAGCATCAAGCGCTTCGTCATCCTCACCCTCGTCCGAATCCTCTAGGAAGACTTCCACAATCTCTGAATTTTCCTCGGCAGAACTTCTATTGTCGGAGGCCATTCTCCAATGGCTATGTTTTGCCAGACGTGCATTTTTGGCATCTTTTGTTTGCCAAGTGCGATACACCACCTTCTTTAGTCGTACTGCATATATCTGCTCCCCGGGCATGGTACACCGATGTGTGGTACCCTGATTCCTTTCATGACTGGCAGAAAGCCCGACATTGACGGCTGGTGAAACTGGTAGATCGGCAATATCACCAACAGATGCCGAAATGTCTCCGCTAAGCTTTGATGTTTGTTCTAAGTTATCGGACACCGCAGCGTCAAATACAGTGTGCAGTCCGATCACGAAATAGACCTGATTTCCATACTCAATCTGCTCCTGAAGCCATTTTTGTACCTCGTCCTTCCCGCATAGCTCGTTGAACCATCTGGTCGGCTTTCTTAGGACATAGGTGTTTCCGGTCCGCGCAAGGATGTCGAGGTTGGTGTGGTTGGAACGATCAGAACTCAAATTGAAGATGCGGGCGAGAAACGCTTCGAATTTGGTCCTATCTGTGGCTTGGATGGTAGCCGCAAGATCGTCCCGCTTCTTCACCGTGTAGTCTTTCTCTTGTAAAGGCAAGACACTTTCGAGTGAGTCGAGGTCCATGTCGTCGATGTTTGGGAGTAGGCTCGCAAGCTGTACATCCTCCGGAGCGAAGAAGCCATGTCCCAGAACGAGTTGGGACGACATGTTGAAGGCGATCCACTGAAGACAAGAAACTGGGGCGGATGTAATCGGACAATTGTGGCTTGCGGGATGCACCGGTGACGGTGAGAATAACAATCACTACAGTCGAATTTACTCGAAGGGCAGCGCGCGTGGGATGCAATGTTGAGGGGGAGCTCCACGCGCTATGCTTGTTCGGTTTATCCTCCTCCTGCGCCGCAATTTAAATGGACCCAGGCACCAACCAAATGACTCCGAAGATGCAAATCGCTGCTTAGGCTGTCTGCACGTGCTTCTTCGAAGTCACATCACATCAGTTTCTTCATGATGTGTTTTCCACATCTCTTTCCCTCAGCTTGTCCCGTGTCACAATGGAGTACAGTGAACACAGCAATTCGCCTTTGGCGATGATTTGGGCCAGTCAAGGCCGGAACCTACTGCAAGAATACTACGAAAGTGGGGATCTAGCCTGCCTCGACGAATCGATCGATTGTGCACGACAAGCGTTAGACAATTCATCTCTCCCGGAACGTGCGATCTACCTTAATGACCTAGGCTGTCGCCTGCGCGAACGATTCGACACAACAGAAGACATACAAGATATTTCAGAGGCGATTGATTTATTAGAGGATGCATCCCGGGCCATCCATGACCGTACCAAGCGAGTATTGATCCTTAGCAACCTTGCCACGTCCCTAGGCGACCGCTTTGAGATACGCGAAGATGTACGTGATTTAGAGCGAGCCATTGCGGTCGGACAGGACGCACTGAGCGCGAGTAGCTCAAGCCAGGGATCACAGGCCATGTGCCTGAACACTTTGAGCCTGATTCATGGCTATCGTTATACAAAGCTAGCCTCCCTGGACGATTTACAGACTGCGACGCAGATGGGGCAACGGGCTCTGGATCTCACACCCGCAGGCCACCCTGACAGAATGATGTATCTGGGCAACTTGGGAGTTTGCTACGAGCGCCAATTTGATAGATTGCAACGTCCGGCCGATATTGACAGAGCGATAGATTGCGCAACGGAAGCAGTCACCTTAAGTGAGAGTGCAATGGACAGTGTCCCCTATCTCACGAACCTCGGCAATTCGCTCGCAAGTCGATTCCTGCTTACGGAGGATCCTCAGGATTTGGCAAACGCGATAGTTCACGCGAAAGAAGCTATACGATTGACTCCGTCAGAAGATCCAAAATACTCTGAATTGCTCCACAACCTCGGCCTTCATCTGGAGGACCACTTTCGGCGATATGGAGACGCCACCGATCTAGATAAGGCTATCCAGCTCCAAGAGGATGCCATTGCCGCCGGTGACTTAGATAGTCCTCGGTTGGTCACGTATCGGGACCAACTTGGGGTCCTTTTGTGTCTCAGATATGATCTCAATGACGACGTAAGCGTTCTAGAGAATGCAACCAAACTGGCAGAAGAGGTCTTACACTCCAGCTGCAATGAAATTGGTCCCGACCGGGCACAGTATCTGTCACATATGGCCGCATGCATGGGTCGCCGGTTCGAGCGAACGGGGAATGTAGCTGACCTGGAACGAGCCATTCGCATCGAAGAACAGGCCATAGAAATTATTCCACACGACGATCCGCACAGAATGGAACTCCTCTTGGACCTGAGCAATGATTACCATAACAGATCTGTAAAGCTAGGCTCAATGGACGATCGCAAAAAGGCGATTGAAACGATGCAGATGGCTCTAACTGCTGGCGTATCCTATCACTCGCATCGATCAAGCCAATTATGTACAATCAGCCAACGTTTTAAAGATCGATATGAAAGTACAAGAGACGAAGCCGATATCAGAGAGTCGATTCAACTTGCTCGCAAAGCGGTTGAACTGGTCCCTCCAGATCACCCCAAACGCCCATACTACCTCCATTGCTTGAGCCTTACACTAGAGACACGTTTTCTTGTTCTCGGATCATTGACCGATCTCGAAGCCTCTATACAAAAGAGTGAAGAAGCCCTTGCTGCGAACCCACATAATCGACATGACTACCTCTACGCCTTGAGTATGCAGTTGATGTGTCGATACGAACAGCTTGATGCTCTAGTCGACCTACAAGAAGCTATTTCTTTGATGGAGGATTGTATAAAGCGCGCTCCATCAAATTATGCACATCGTATTGTGTGCCTGAAAGCCCTAAGCGACCAGCTTGGCTTTCTTTTCGCGAGGAACAACAGTATGGAAACCTTAAATAAGGCGGTAGACGCTGCAAATGAAGCAGCAGCGCTTGTTCCTGAAGACGATATGATGCGTCCAAGCATCCTCAACAGTCTTCATTTGCTTCTCGTATCCCGCTCTAAAGCAACCAACGCGCCAGCTGACCTAGTAGAGGCAATTAAAGTTCAACGCGAGGCCCTCGACTCTCCTGATACCCTTAGCGACCGAACCATTCTGCTTCATAACCTCAGTCAGACCTTAGCTTTCAGCCAAAAAGAAAGTGAAATATCTACATCAAAAGAGGCTGTCGAGCTAAGTTGGGAAGTTGTCAATACAGTTGCAAAATCTCACCCGAATCGAGCAATGTACCTGAATACATTTGGTACGTTCTTAAAGGAGGGCTACGGGCACTCCAAGCAATTGATTCATGGGAACCAAAAACCACAAGACTTTTTCCAAGAAGGCCTCCGCAGTGCCAACTCCCCCCCGCTTGATCGGATCAAAGCTGGGCAGAACGCTTTTGACTGCTATATCACAGATGGGCAGTGGGCCAACGCTGGTGTAGTAGCGACGGAAATTGTGAAGCTCCTCCCTCTGCTGGTGCCACGGTGGCTAAGCCGGGATGACCAGCAACATCTGCTGAAAAATATATCCCACTTCACATCTCGCGCCGCATCTGTTGTACTTCAGGCAAATGGATCTCCTGCAGAGGCTATTAATGTACTGGAAGCAGGGAGAGGGGTAATAGCTCGCTTCACAACAGATCTGAAGACTGACATATCAGAACTCGAGAAATCGCATCCCGCATTGTATGCCGAGTATATCTGGCTTCGTCGACAAATCTTGCTTCCCCCTTCGCCAATATTCTCATGGGAACCCGAGCCCACCAAGGCTACCATAATAACGAGACATCATAGAGATGAAGAATCCCGCACTTCCCGAACTACTACCACTGGACGTCAAAGGGCAGAGAACCTACGGAAGCTCGAAGAGATTGAGAACGATATCCGTGAGCTTCCGGGGTTTGAGCAGTTTACGAGGCCTCTTTCGCCGGCAGCCCACATGTCGCTTGCCAAGCTTGGGCCGATCATAGCATTTAATGTAACAGAGCTACGGAGTGATGCGATTATTGTGACTGACAATGACATCTACGGTATACACCTTGAGCAACTTCGATTCCAGGATTTAAAGGCCAACGTCAGCAAAGTGATTGGGGCGAACCAGCTCTCCAAGGGGCCGCCCAGTGGAAGACCACGGCGAAATGAAGAGCTCCAGCGCATATTGAACTGGCTGTGGGAGACCGCGGTGCACCCAGTACTTACTAAACTGGGCCTCGATAGCAACCCACCGCCGGGTCCGCAATCGCGTGTCTGGTGGGTTGCAAGCGGCTACATGGGTCTACTTCCCATACACGCAGCGGGAGACGGGACTACCTCTACGATGGACTACGTCATCTCAAGTTATACTCCCACTCTTCAGGTGCTGAAGTTCTCCCGGGAAAGAAATAGCTTGCTGAATTGTGATTCCGAGCTAAAGATGCTTCTCATTACTGCACCAGACAAACCCGGTCGTGGAGGTCTAGACACAGAGACCGAAATAAAATCGATTCAGAAGAGTTTCAGGCGTAACATATCCTATACGCTGCTCAATAACCCGTCGAACGAAGATGTTTTGCGGGAGCTGTCCGAACACCACCTGATTCATTTTTCATGCCATGGTTATTCGAATGCGACTGACCCGTCAGAGAGCGCGCTTGAGATTGCTTACGCCGCGGGATCCAGATCAGGCTCGTTACTCACCGTGAGGGACATATCTACTATTGACCATGCCAAAGCTCAAATCGCATATCTTTCTGCATGTTCCACGGCCGAGAATTCATCCGATGAGCTCCTAGACGAGGTTATTCACATTGCTGGTGCCTTCCAGCTCATTGGGTTCCCCCATGTTTTGGGCACGCTTTGGGAGGTTAGCGATAGAGCTGCTGTTGAAGTGAGTAGGTTATTTTACGAGGCACTCAGCAACCAGGTAAGCAGTGGCAGCCCTGGTCATGGAAACATTGCAAGCACTCTGCATGAGGCTCTTCGGGCATATAGGAAAAGTAAAAAAGCGAGGGAGAAAGATGTTCTGTCTTGGGCCCCGTTCATTTATATGGGCGCATGATTCATAATTGATCTCCTTTCATTGCCTTTCAGGGGGTAGTCTATTCTTCATAGCATCATCTCCGTTCAGTGTCATCGATGAGCAAATATCGGGCGAGATGGATATAGCGTCAACGCCACAACGCGCAATGTACGGTTTTCTTGACCAAGTACCACGCTAAATGGCAAATATTTGAATTTTACATATATGTACATTTCTTGATACAATATACCAGAGTCTAGATTGTTTTAGAATCTAGAAGTATAATTAGAAGTTTAACATTTCGCTAGTATTCCAGTTATACCGAGTAGACCTGACCTAACCCGACCTGTGAGGGTTCCCTAGAAAGCAGAGATACAGCAGCCGCGCAATGGTCTTCTATTCCAAATAGGATATCCCGATAAGGACTATCTTGCCACCCTTGGTAATCGAGCTCCTCTATCTGGCAGGCCGTACGGAAAACCGTTATTAATCTGTAGCGGTGGAGCAGGCTTTGGCCGAAGTTGACCAGCCTCGTGGGCAATTTCCAGTAGGCACCCATGCTAGGCTGATTGGTGAGATCGACATGGGCCATGAAGGTGAATGATGACGTTACCTTTTAAACAGGTGTGTAATAGCCAAGAGTGCTTTCATACCCACTGCTTTACACGCTTTTAAAAGAGAAAAGTCCATTTGGTATCACATATCAGCCTACCCGCCCAGTCATATGCGATGTGCCTGGGAGCCACGGCCTCTTGTCCAGCATATTCCTATAACCAGAAGTGCCACATCTGCGACGTGAGCGGGCTGGATAGTCTAGTTTCATTGCAAATAGTATCAATATCATATCGATCACAAACCGTATGGTCTCGCAAAACTCGCTCTCCGAAGGCTAACGATGACGTTTTTGTGTTTTATTAAATGACCTACCCTCTAATGGAGTGGCTGTGCCATTTCACTGTGCTCTCTCCTAACTCCAATTCCTTGGTAGGTGGGCCGCGTTGGTCCTTCGTCCAGCCTTGTGCCCATCTTCAGCTAGCCATTCCCCCACCTTCTGGGGAGCATACCTTCGGTCCTGTTTTCATTGGCTGAAACTTGGTGAAGCGTACCAATACCCAATGCAAGGCTGTGGAAGTCGAGTACTCTCTGGAAAATGAGAGAAATTTCCATACGGCGCAAGGCTACAGCGCCCCATGTCGCGCTCACCTCCGACAAGTCTGCCTTCTTTTCTTTCTTAGGGTCCGCTCTCATATATTTAGGCTCGAGCGAGTCCCGCAGTCTGGTCCCCGCTCTCTGTGTCCACAAGTACAGTTAAAAACATGGAGAGCCAGTATGACTTCTCTCGATTCCCCGGCTTCCAGCCCAACCCATCGGCCTCGGCAACTAGTGAATTTACTCGTCTAGCACGTCATATGAATTGGAGTCCACGCTCGAAGACCTACAAACGCGAGCGTTCCAATTTCATGGGATCCGAGTTCGGTCTCCACTTTGGCACTGAAAGCAAACTTCAGAATTGGCAAGCTCTGTGTCGAGAGCTGCAAATAGATATACCAATGGCTTCTATTACACAGTGTCGGAAGGTTAGATACGAACAGCCCCATACAGATAATGCTGCGATGGTGTATTGACCGTGTTAGGCACTTGCGCGGGTTCATGTGAACCTGGTGGACTTGATCGATTCGCGCCGCACCGGAACAGCCATTAAAACATTCTCGAGCTTAAGCGCTTTGAGAGTATATACCCTCGACTCGGGGAAGGTGTTTCCTAAGAATGCTGCCAAAAGAGATGGATTCCTGAAAGATTTGCTCCGAAGGATTTGGTGAATTCTTTGGCTTTTCCGTGTGTCTCTGGTATCAACTTGGAAACATAGGAGTGGCTGGCTATATTGTGGCACAAATTTATACGCTGGGCGGAGATTTCAGGGTGTATCTTAATTCATGGAGCGTGCTAGACAAGCTAAGGTACTAGTTCCAGTCAACGGGCACGGTTGGAGGTCTACTTTGCTATTCACGACGTAGGGAGTACAGATAGTAGTAGTAGTAGTACTCGGTTCATTTACCCTGTGCCTCGCCGAAAGTGATATGCAAGCCATAGCCACTGTATGAACCTGCGCACGTATATGCAGAATGTTCCACTTCCTGTCAACCAGCTTGGAGCCTTGCCACGGTCAACTGATATCGGAAAATGAGAAGGCTACTTTTCAGTACTCTTCGGCTCAGCCACAACACCTATATTAGTTTGGCTTATAAAATACGCTTTGCCTCTATGGTCATTGAATGGTCTCCTCTCATCCACTAAACCGTACCTCTTCCCGTATTGCTGATTGTTAACCCTTTACTCCCGAGTGATATTGTATCAAATAAAATCGAAGATGTATTGTATGCACGATTGGAGCACTGCAGAGAGATAGTAACTGAAGGATAACATTGGGTAGAAAAGCATAAAGCTAACTTTTGCTTCGAAGGTCGATGAACAATCAAGGAAATGACACGAGCTCATCCAAATCACTGCGTATTTCCATGAATAATGGAAGTTCCGTAACCACAGTTCTTAAGTTTTCTGGAAAATGCTTTCGAATGATATTCACGACCAGTTGCGGCGTAATTAGGCCGAAGATGAGCCGGTCCCCAGGAACAGCGTTAGTCAAGGCGTCAACGTGGCTTGTCGCGATATCGCGAACATCGACCTGATACTCGTCAAAATCCATATTATGTTAATCTCTACAAGTCAAGTAGAACGCACAAAATGGTAAAATGAAAATCGCACATCCCCGACCTTCTGGTTGGTCCCATCGATAAAGCTCGCGATCGCCAAATGATTCCTCTCGTTAATTGACCCTGGGCCGGAAATTGGATGAATCATAGGACCCGTGATAATGTCTGAATTGATCACGGCCAGATCGAATGCGGGTTTGTTGGTCTTCATGAACTTCCACGCTGCGTCTTCGGCTGGGGTCTTGGAGACGTTATAGCCTAGAACGTTGTCCTGTCTCTCGATAGCTTGTTTCGCAGTGACCTAGATTACATGAGTCGCTGGTCTTGGATTGAAATGGGACAGGTCTGACATACTGGATTCCAATCCTCTTCCGTATAAGGGTGTCCTTCGCGACTCATATCCTCGAAGGAGTTCAGGACGGAAACTGCACTCCCTAGCAGGACGAAGCGTTTGGGTGATGTTCCTCCGTGGTGGTGGGCACTCTCGAGTATTTTTGTCGTCCTGTAATGATAACTAGTCTCTTAACCTTCAATATGAGGATATATAATGGCAATATCGTACCCCCATCACGGCAGGCTCGATTATATCCTTCTGGATATCCTAGACATTGAAGTTCAGGGGAGACGCTGTGTTAATAATATAAGTGAAAGACACTTTTACATCTTCGAATAGGGCATTCAGTGGTCTCTGGGAGGTGAAATCCGACACGATCGCAGAGTTAATCTTGCCCTTCCACGAGGGGTGGGTTTTGATGATATCGTTCGCCTTGTTCTGGGACCGCACGATGGCCGTTGTCGCGTATTCACGCTATCTCAATTAACCTGTCTAATCTTTACATGAGCAAGGGGGGAACTGTATCCCAAGCAAAATAGCCAGGATGTGGGTGGCGACGAATCCGTTTGCACCCGTCAGTAGGACATGCTCACCACTTGACATATTGGCATAGATATGAGATATCAGAATTCCGTGGCCACTAGTGTGTGACTTTGTCGGCGAGATATTTACAAAATTCCAACTGTATATGGTTTGATTGATCATTCATTACCTAGCTCTCTTCCTCTATAACTAGTCGTTGCAGGGAGAATGAATTTATGTGCGGTTGATGGTTATAAGGTAAAATCCCTCCAAATCCCGAGCACTGAATCCTGACATGGTCCGAGTGATCTCATAACGGGGTACAGTTTGGTTAACCACTCTCATCGTATAAGAACAGAGTACGTGGGTTATGCCCTAAGGCGTAGGGCGCAATATTTGAAGCCAGACACCTCACGTAAACTACAGCATCTGATTGTAGAGCCACCAATTAGGATGTTTATTTTACCATTTATTGTTGGTCAAATGTACCATTTGCCTATAGCTGATAGATATATCGGTTCACGTTGGTTATTGTTACGCGAGACTACGCAATCTAGGATGCTCACAATGTAGGACAACACATTGCATAAGCTGGATAAGAGTGCACCACACAAACAGCTAAATCAATCGAGGCATCATGCGCGTGAGGGTCTAATAGTGCATACAAGACTAACAAGGTCCACATGTGCTCACAGAACTCAAGCCCTCTCCGAACTTCAACAGTGAAGGCAAGTGCAAGTACCCGGAAACTTGCACATAGCTCCTCTTACCCATTAGTATAACATCGCCGTGCCAATTTCCGTGCTATAATCACTGTTATATAACATTAAGGCAATGTGAGGAAGAGAAAGAAAAGGACAAAGAAACACGAAAGGGAGGATCAGCGAAAGAAATTTCAAGCGGCCTTTTCCCAGACCCTTTGATCGATCCGGCTTCCACCGCAGAATTACGCTCAGGTCTTGTTAGTACCCCGTGATTGACATTGGACATTGTGGTGTAAGAACCTGTATTGAGATATGTACAGCAACAGGGTTCAGCCAGGAGGGGAATGCGATCAAATCAACCGGATGAAGTGGAGAGTAGAATGAATACGGCCTTGGAAACATGTCTATAAAATGAGCATTAGCGAGCTTAAATTGTGAAAAATATATGCGGGCAAAAGAAACAAACAAATGACAAAGAATAGCATTCAATTAAACTCTCTTCGAGTCATATACATACCATCATTATCCATAGATGAGAGCTCTCATCACACCCCTCTCATGAAAACATCCAATCGATTTATTGAATTTTTAACAAGCTATGGCTGCCGGCCAGCAGACGGGAAGTATGGCCACCACGGCGAAAAGCTACCTCTATGACCGTTATAGTAGTTAACGTATGGCCCAGGAGGCGCCGTAGGATAAGGAGGCGCTGTGGGATAAGGAAACACTGTAGCATAAGGAGGAGCCATTGTGGGATAAGCAGGACGCATGCCAGGATTGGGCTGGGGCATCGTGGGATAAGAAGGCGGCACGGCGGGATTAGGGGGAGGCACAGCGGGATTAGGAGGCACAGCGTGATTAGCAGGAGGCACAGCGAGATGAGGGGGAATCGGCATCATCACTTGGGCAGACCTTAGACCAACGTTTACCAATTGGCCCAATACTTCATCCAGGTTATGGTCGTGGTTCCGGTTCCCTTCATGCTCTTTGCAATCAATGCAAACACGAAGGTACCTTCCAGGGCATAACTTGGCGTGTCTCCCACGCACTTGACCGCTGGTGAAACGGGAGTAATGGAGGAGTTGGAGGCAGCGACTGCAGGCGAAGTACTCTTGGTATCTGCAGATGTCAGCCTTATTGCAATAGGAAAACGTACACTCGGGCATCAACGAGGGCTTACCCGGGCCATGTTTCCTTATCACAGAGATACTGTCTTCTCAATTGTGGTGTGGAGGGAGGTTGTGTGGGAATTAAAGACCGAAGGTATTTGTTTGTCTGCGAAAGTGATAATCTGGAGGGATAGTCAAGCATGTCGATGATTATCAGTTGCAACTCTGTCGGTAGATCAAGGAGGGGAGAAGCCGGTAATTCTGCCATCACGCGAGAAGAGAATGTTCACAAGGACAAAGATTCCGAGGAGGCTGCGTTGGTTCAATGCTTAAGAATACCGAAAATTATAACGAAAGTCTGGTCGTCGTGACCTAATGCGACGATGCAAGATGTCAGTGTTGTCTGTTGATGTTCGCATATATGAACGTAGTGATATGTTATACCCTACTTTCAAGGGTTTTAAAGAGGCAAAGTACGTATTGATGAGGCGGGTTAATCGGCAGAGAGCAGTGACTCGAGGGAAATGGCCATACTCGTTCCTGCCTTTGGTATGTAAAAATGACCGTTTGATGACTAGACAATGTCCCGCTTGATATTTCAGAGGTCAGTGTTTGACGTCGTCCAAAAATAAACAGCTGCTATTTCACTTTAATCTTTCCATTTAAATCGACCATAATCCACTACAAGCTGCGATGATGTGTCGGTATACCCCCCTATCCAGTACACGGGGATCACTGGCCGTGTCGAAAATTAGGGAACTGTGAAAAAAACACTAAAAAATCCAACTGTCTGTAGGATGATTGAAACTTTCTGATTAATATTGCCGCCTCCAAGAAGATACGAATTGAAATCACTCCAAGACTAATAAACGCCTTCGTCATGGCATGACGGAAAGGAAGTCAAGTTGCAACACGACCCTAGTCCCTTTCACGCGTAAGGGCGTCGTGGAGGTCGGTAAAGACGCCAATGTTTCTCCATCCATGGTCTACAATCGGCACCGGCTAGCGATCCCCTTGTGCTGCAGCAATATCGCATAAGCCTGCGTGTTTCATGTCCAGTTCTCGTTATGGAATTAGGTAAGTTGAGGCCGCTAATACTAGGAAAATGTGGCTGCCCTAGGCCATCGAAGTAGAGCAGTTTATCTTCCCAAAAATCAAAGGATAACGAAGGGAGGGGTAGAAGGACATTCTCATTGAGGCGAACCAATAATCTTCATCGAGTGCCTGAAAACAAGACACCACACGTGATGGCGCCACTATGAATGCTTTTCGTGCGTCTCTGTGCTGGGCTGTGCAGAACTTTGTAGATCATGATTCAAGCACTATGGTGGGCAGTTGGACGAACCAACTGAACATCTATCGATTTCATATGCTATAAGACCTGTTTGATTGTCTATATATGATATGTGCAATCTCTATTGAACAGATGCAGGTCTCATTCCTCATTCTTATCTTTCTCTGCTATCGTTGGTCTCGTTGCTGTATACTAGAAGGAGGCACTGGTCCTGCGGCTAGTACTAGTCGACTCAGGCTCTCAGGAACAAATCTTTTTGCTTCTTCTACACTCACACATGGTACATCGATTTGTCTTGAGCAGTTGCAACAGTATACACACTAAATCTATCAATGCCGGCTTGGTTAATAGATAGAATCACTTGAATGGAGTGAAGGACCAGACTCAGTTCGAATCAGCACCGTGGTAGTAATACGGGCACGGCGTCCTACTTCCAACAGCCATGCGCATCATATCCTCGGTATCTCCCGAGTTGAGATACTTTGGAATAGCTCTGCAACCTCTCCGCGGTCGAGTATATAAAGGTGTTCGATTTGATAAGATTTACTCGGTGAGCATAGATCCCAAATGACAGAGTACACGTTGCGGATAGGCCTCATGTGGATGTTGTGAGAGGAGGTTTTGGTTATGGTTGACAAAATAGGATAGTCTAGAACTATCGTGAAGTGGTCAGGCCTTAGTGGTTAATCTGTTCTTTCCAGTCTTTCCTTCGTTTCCCGTTTCAAACTACGGTTTCATTAGTATCTCCATTCTTAAAATTAGGCCATCTAGCGTACTGTAGTCCCTCATGTCTCTCCACCCGGAGACCTCTGTGACTCCAAGGTAGATGTTATACGCGTAGTATGGGAACCCCACGTGGCTTTTTTAAAAAAGGATATTCATTCTTTGAAAAGAAGTTCGATACGAGTACGATTAGGGCATTTAAGTGGATCCTCGTCCTACCAGCCCTACCCAAACACTAAGCACATTTGGACCCAGTGCCTTCTCAATAGCGTCATACTATTGGGTCGATCGTCTCCAAGCAATAGTAAGATTGTAGCTCAGCCTACATTGTCATGATTACAGTACATGAAGCGAAATAATCCCTCCGCTGATGGCCCCCACGGTAAAAAATTTATCGAAAAGGTCGAAGGTGAATTAAGCCTCACTAACTCCAAGGTGAACCAACCCTAGACAAGGGCGGTTTTTTGTAATAGTATTCTCCTAAGTTAACAATAACACTGGTGGGTGATGTCAGTTATGGACAATTTCTCCACGGATCTCTGATTGTCAAACACGCTGAGTATGACATTACAGTACAAAGAAATACTATGTCAGAGAGGAGGTCCTATTTTTGCGGCGGGTTTAGCGGCCCAAATGGGAAGCCTGCTGAGTTTGCTGAGACGCTATTGAGACGCTAGCCCTACGAATGTCGGTCTGTCTCTTGTCAGCTACACAGGGGCTTGACTTGGCCTAAAGGCAGCTCTGATTTGCCGGCATGATCCTTGAGGCATGTTTTGGGTCATCCTTTTGTTTGATTAAAGATGCAAGGGGGCTGGGGAAAAGCCATAAAAATGACCCTAATGGTTGGACTGCAGGGAAGTGCGAGGAAGGAAGGGGCCCATCAGGAGGCACAGAAAAATAAAACAAAATCAATCAAGAAATATTAAATAGAATTGCCGAGAAACATTGCAGAAATTTCATGAAGCATCAGTGGGATGTTTATTGACGGCCGCCTAAAGTCAGTCGGATGATGGAACATCAGTTACATAAACATAAATATTAACTAACTAGTTATGCATAACTACATAAAGTAAACAAACAAAAGCATAAATGATGTGCAGGGTCTGTTTTTGGTGCAGACGTCATGATCGGACACATCACATGACCGGCAAAGACCTTCGAGTCATTTCTTTGAGCCAGTCGTCTTGTAAAGGACAACATCGCAGCCACTTCAGACATCTGGATGTCAACGGTTGCCAAGAACCAGGAAATGAGAGACTAGGGCCTTTTATGATGCTGCCTAAATTAACAAGTGGCAGTGCGACAAGGCACAGTCAGCTCGAACAGCGACCACGGTGGATGACCCTGCGCTTTAAGGTGACATTCCGAGAGCGAACACAACGAGGAAGAACCATTGAAAAGTGCTGCCTAATCAGCCCTATTCGACTGCCGGGCTCCGAAGAGGAAGGTGATTGGCAGGGGATGCTCCACTAGAGTTGCTACAATGGAGACGTTCAATTCCACTATCTTCCGGTTGGTCCACGCTAAATGTGGTACAATCCAAAGAATGGGACCTCATGGCTGAACCGTCGTCAATATATTACTTCACGGCGGCATCCTTCTTTTGCTGCCCCTTTGGACGCCATTCTCCGTCTTTTCCTCCATTTCCCATCCGTCTCTGCCACTATGAAGGTCGCCCTGCTCACCTTCGCGGCGGGCCTGGCCAATGCCGCCTCGCTCGCCGTCACTCCACGGGCTCTCCCCAACGCCCCTAATGAATATGCTCCCGCCAATGTTTCCTGTCCGTCGACTCGCCCCAGTATCCGCAGTGCCGCCGCCCTGTCTACCAATGAGAAGGATTGGCTGCAAGTGCGTCGGAATGAGACCCTTCAACCCATGAAGGATTTGCTCGGTCGGCTCAATCTGACCTCCTTTGATGCTTCTGGGTACATTGACCGTCATAAAAACAATGCATCGAACATTCCAAACGTGGCCATTGCCGTTTCGGGTGGTGGTTACCGCGCTTTGACCAATGGCGCGGGTGCTATCAAGGCGTTTGACAGCCGTACCTCCAACTCCACAGCCCGTGGACAACTCGGAGGCCTCCTGCAGTCGTCGACTTATCTATCGGGCCTGAGTGGCGGTGGCTGGCTCGTAGGCTCTGTATACATCAACAACTTCACCACGATCAGTGACCTGCAGGCCAGCGAGAAGGTCTGGGACTTCAAGAACTCTATTCTTGAAGGCCCTGATGTTAAACATTTCCAATTGATTAACACTGCCGCCTACTGGAAGGATCTGTACGATGCTGTGAAGGATAAGAGGGAGGCGGGGTTCAACACATCGTTGACCGACTACTGGGGCCGCGCTCTCTCCTATCAGTTTATCAACGCTACCACCGACGATGGCGGTTCCGATTATACCTGGTCGTCGATCGCCCTGACCGACGACTTCAAGAAGGGCAAGATGCCCATGCCCATCCTCGTCGCCGATGGACGTAACCCGGGCGAAATACTTATTGGAAGCAACTCGACCGTGTATGAATTCAACCCATGGGAGTTTGGCTCCTTTGATCCGTCTGTATACGGCTTTGCGCCATTGGAGTATGTCGGATCAAACTTCGAGAACGGTGAACTCCCCAAGGGGGAATCGTGCGTGCGTGGCTTTGACAATGCGGGTTTTGTCATGGGTACCAGCTCGTCCCTGTTCAACCAGTTTATCTTGCGTCTAAATGGCACCGATATTCCTAATTTCCTCAAGGAGGCTATTGCTGATGTCCTGGAGCACCTAGGCGAAAAGGATGAGGACATTGCCGTCTATGCACCCAACCCCTTCTACAAATATCGCAATTCCACGGCAGCCTATTCGTCGACCCCGGAGTTGGACGTGGTCGATGGAGGTGAAGATGGACAGAACATACCCCTGCACCCCTTGATTCAGCCCAGCCGCAATGTGGACGTGATCTTTGCCGTGGATTCGTCCGCCGATACAGACTATAGCTGGCCCAATGGGTCCTCTCTGATCTACACTTATGAACGTAGCTTGAACACCACGGGTATCGCCAACGGGACTTCCTTCCCTGCGGTGCCCGATGTGAACACGTTCCTCAACCTCGGCTTGAACAAACGCCCGACCTTCTTTGGATGCAATTCGTCCAACACCAGCACCCCGACCCCGTTGATTGTCTACCTGCCTAACGCCCCTTACACCGCCGAGTCCAACACCTCGACCTTCCAGCTGGCGTATAAGGACCAGCAACGCGATGATATCATCCTGAATGGCTACAACGTCGTTACTCAGGGCAATGCCAGTACAGACGCGAGCTGGCCATCGTGCGTTGGGTGCGCCATCCTCCAACGGTCCACTGAACGTACGAACACTAAGCTTCCTGATATCTGCAACACCTGCTTCCAGAATTACTGCTGGGATGGCAAGACCAACACCACCACCCCGGCGGCCTATGAACCGGAGATTTTGATGGAGGCGTCGACTTCCGGGGCCTCGAAGGATCAGCTGAACCGCACAGCTGCGGTCATCGCGTTCGCGGTCATGTTCTTTATGACGATGTAGGTGCCGGTACCTTTTTTTCTGGGATACGTTAGGTCCTGGCGTAGTATGCCTCATGAATACTTCAACTGATTCATTATCTACTATTGCAAAATTCTGAATATTCCCCGATTGCGTTGGTTGTGTTTTTATAGCGCGTTTCGAATTGAGTGTATCTTACATGCATATTGTGGCGATTACTGTGTCGTACATCTCAGGGTACACCTAAAGATGGTTCATGATCTGATCAAACATTTTGCATATTTTTCTCGGTTCATTTAATACCAGGTACTGTAAGTTACTGTCACCTCATCCAGAATTGGGATGATGTGATACGGCACTAGACCCGACCGGGAAAATGGCAATACGGTCGGCTGTGGCCATAAAACCGTCGACACAATGGCAATAAACTTCATCTTTCCTCATATAATTAATTTGATCGTAAAACAAGCACTGGTTTACATACCATGGCGACGAATACATCATCCTTTACTACAATCCCTATATTGGATTACTCCCTTTCCACCTCGCCGACGACCAAGGCGCAGTTCTTATCCGACCTTCGGAATGCGTTGATCCATGTGGGGTTCTTCTACCTGATCAATGCGCCCATTGCACCCCAAATCCAACAAGATGTGGTGAATAAATGCAAGGATATCTTTGACCTCCCGTTAGAGAAGAAGGTCGAGATAGAAATGGTGAACAGTAAACATTTTCTCGGCTATTCTCGACTAGGAGCAGAGATCACTGCGCGCGAACAGGACTATCGGGAACAGTTCGATGTACGGCTCTCTACAAAGATATATATATGTGGAATAGCAAGCTGAGGCTAACCACACCATGAGTAGTTCGCTACGGAGTTGCCAGCTCCAGGGCCCGACGAGCCACTCTATCGAAATATTCGGGGTCCTAATCAGGTACGTACTTTCCATATTGGATTGCTTGTTATTCTTCCAGAACAACATGTTAACCCTCACAGTGGCCCGATGAAAGCGTAATTCCTGGTTTCCGCAAGGCTATCGAGGCATATCTCGCGGAAGTCAGTCCCCTATCAGATGCATTTCGGGGTCTCATATCAGAGGCACTGGATCTGCCACCAACCGCGTTGGACCCGTATTTTGACGACCCACAGCAACTGAAGTTGAAGTTGATCAAATACCCACCACCGCCCGTGTCCTCGACTGAGGCAGCGGTTCAAGGTGTCGGGCCTCATAAGGATTCGGAGTTCCTCACCTTTCTCCTCCAAGCATCGCCCCACTCAGGATTAGAAGTGCAGAATAAATCCGGCGACTGGGTCTCGGCAGCACCGGTGAAGAACTCACTGGTGGTGAATATTGGGCGGGCGTTGGAAGCGATCACGGGGGGCGTGTGTACGGCGACGACCCATCGGGTAAGCCTTGCGCCCCGGAATTTTATCGACACGGCGAACGCGTCTCTCGGGCCGCGGTTCTCCATCCCTGTGTTCCTGGGAATGGGCCTGGATCTCTCTGCTGAGAAAATTACCCTGCAAATTCCACAGCATGTCAGGGATCTCGTACAGGATGAAAAGGTACGATCGGACGCGGAGGCTACGTTTAATCGCATATTCAGTGGCCGGACGGGCGAAGGGACGCTGCTTCATCGGGTGATTAGCCACCAAGATGTGGGTCGGAGATGGTATCCCGATCTCTTGGATTTTGCTCTGAAACAATACGAGAAAAAATAGCGACGAGAAGAATAGGTCTATGTACACGAGACAAATTTAAAACCTCCAGTGTCTGATGTTAGCGGTGTATTTGTACAGCACAACTGCAACCACCCGAGTATCTGATTTCCCATAACAGCCTTGCAGCTTGTTGTCAGTAGCTGGCCGTGATCGGCAAAAACCACTCCAACCAGAAGCCGGATGGCTTAGTATACCCCGGACACCAGGAGATCGAATAGGAGAGAGGTTGGGCGTTGCCTAGCGACTGAAAAGCCCATGTGGGGAGATTATGGCGTCTGAAGCGATGGTTCTTGCGATGACCTCCGGAGCGTCGCGGAAACCCGACGGGGCACATGTCCGTGTGCATAAGCCCTAGTTTGGTCGCGATTACGGGCCATCAACCATGTATTAAAGACGATCACTGACTCTTGGGCATCGGTTCTATCGTAGTGCCGTGACGTATCCAAACCAACAGAAAGGGTCCAGGAGAATAGATGCAAGGCTGAAAATCAGTTCAGGGCCCCTGCGGCTTACTACGCTGGTCATCCCGAAGCAAAAGGGAACTTCTGACAGGTTGAGATCCTCCGCGGATCTGCAGATGCCAGCATTGCCTCCCAACATTCGCCAATCAAAGGGGGGCGCGCGTCCAAAAATCCCTACACACCGACGCAGCCAAGCCGCTTAGCCATTCCCCCACCTGGCTCAGGTCTGGACACGAGTGGCATCATACGTAGGTGCAAACGTAAGCTCTGGTGGCTGTTGTCTCTGAGTTGCAGAATGTCCCCGGTATAAATAAGGAGGACTGTATGGCACCGTCGCTTCCCAACCCCCCTTCCCTCGATATCTATCAATCCATCACCCACAATCTCTGCCTGAAATCAGATCAACCCTCCACAATGCAGATAAAGTCATCCACCGTTCTTGTCGCCCTTTTGGGCTCCTCCGTGGCCCAGGCTGCCAACCTCCAGGAAAGGCAGTTTGAATCGACCGACGTAGCCGCAACTCCCACCGACACCGGCTCGGGCTCTACGGAGACTGGCTCTGTCACTCTCCCATACTTCACCGGTACCAGTGAGACGGGTGTCCCGACTGGAACTGAATCTCCCACCGGCACTGGATCTGCCACCGGCACTGGATCTACCACTGGCACGGGGTCTCCCACCGGCACTGAATCTGCCACTGGCACTGAATCCCCCACTGGATCGTCCAGCAGCGGAGCCGAATCTACCTCGGACTCGGCTACTCCCACTAGCGGATCGGCCTCGCCCACCGAGTCCGGATCGACTTCCACCACTACCGAGGCCTCAACCACTACTAGTGGAAGCGAGACCAGCAGCTCGGGAACTTCTTCCTCCACTTCCTCATCGGCTTCTCCCTCGTCGACTGACTCCGGTGCGGCCTCGACTTTGCCTCAAGGTTGGGCCACATGGATGCTCCCCTTCGTTTTGGGTGCTTTCCTGTGAGATGGGTTGTTAATGGAATGGTGTGATGCGCTTAATGAATATCCGAAGGGATTTGGAATTGAGATATGATCCACGCGTGTGTTTTGTCGGACTGTGAATATCGTTCTCCCTGTACCTTCGCTCAACTATAATGATGCTTTCGTTGGCTATTTATCTCTACGGCTGTGCAGATAGTTAGATGCACTACATCTAATCATGTGGACCTATGCGATAATACAAGACCCTTTGATTGGTAAAACTGTTGTCCACCCCGCAATTCTCCTCGTAAAGGGGACTCTTGGGCAAGATTAAGCCTCGTGCCTGACCGCAACCCAGTCGCGCGATGACAAGCACCCACAGGATGCATATTTTCTTTGTCTGAATACGGCCTTTCGGCAAATAAATCCAAATGTGGAGTTTTTGGCAGTCCTTCGTGTGCGGGTGGAAATTGGCTGCAGGCCCTTCTCCCTAAGAATAACCTCGTATTGACCCTGCTGAGCCTCAGCCATGTCGTGTTCAAGCCAACCACAACGTTTCTCTCCAAGCGATCTTCCCATTTAAGGTTCTGCTAATATATAGTAGGCCTCAACACGACTGCCGCCATGATTCACCGGTCTGGGCAGAATGAGTATCATGAGGCTATGTGCCCAAGCGTGGCACGGCAGTTAGTGTATAGACTCAGCCTTGGAGACTGGCGTGCCCTTATTATCCCCTGGGCGCCCAGTTCCTTCGCAAGCAATTAATTTGTTCATTCTCTCTGATCCCAGCGACCTTTTGCACAATGGCACCGAGACGTGGTGGCGGTTCCTACAGTGGCAGCAGCTCCAGCTCTTCCAGCTCCAGTTCATGCAGCGGCGCCGCGTTTAGCGCACAAGCAGCCCAAATTACTATCGCGTTCCAGGCGCTCTTCTTCCTCGTCTTCTGTGGGCTGTTTTGCTTCGCGGCCTTCAAGTTGATCCGGAGCAAGCAGAAAGGCGTAGCCTTACGACGATGGTTCCCTCTCGGCTTCTCGATCGTCTTCTCGATCGCGTGAGTTCTAGCCCTTGTCGCCTTTGGCAGATCAACCTCGACTAACAATATACAGTGCGGTCATCCTTAACATCGTCCTCTTCACTCTAATGCAATGCGACATCACATCGATCACCATATATCAGCTTGTTAGCCTTTTGCCAAGTTGGCTCTCCGCCCTGGCCAACTTTCTACTCATTGCCGTGATCATGATCCCAATCTGCAAGCGCCTGGTTCAGGGAAACAGACAAATTGCGAAAATGGTCACCATCGTCCATACTATCTACGTCGTTGTGCTTGGGATTATCCTCCTCTGTCATCTGGCCATCTACACTCATCTCGTCGATGCATCGTATCGCACCGGCGCCCGGGTTAATGCCAACACGTTACGACATCACCAAATGAGACTAGCCACCGCATATACTGTGCTCTCTGTAATTGGAATGCTCATGGCAGCTGCGAATATGCTTTTCGCGCTAGCCCGAGGCCGTCATCTGAGAAGAGGGGTATGTTGCTACTTTCTCCAGTACACCTCAGTATCATATAGATGGCACAGATGACTGACATAAATATGATATAGATCCTCTTCCCCGCTGTCATACTCCTTATCCTATCATCACTGGGAATGACCGTTCTCGACCTCGCCAACCACATCATCATCGATTACCTACAGAGTGAATATTTACAAAAGGGTGTTGAGGCATTTAACCGCTCCTTGGAGGCTCAGAGTTTCCTCCTGTATTTCTTCTACTCTGCGACTTTCCTCATGGCTCTCCTCGTCGCTTCGTCAAATCAACTATCTGATAAGGCCTCAACGGGTCCCGTTAAACATCTCCAGGACCAATAAAAATATAACGCTGGTCAGCAGCCTTATCGGGCGTATCGACCTCAGGGTATGACGCAGATGCCGCAAGGTTATCGGTAGTTCTTTGTCATGTTGAGACATGCGGAGATTTGTTAGTGTTTTATGACGGGGGAGAGGCTTGGACTTGACTCTGGAGTCTATTTGGTGGGTCAGCTATTGAAGATGGCTGATGGATGTGGTTTTGGATGCTGGATATATGATGATATAATGTTCTTTCCTTTTGTGGGTTGATTTGCTTGGAGACGTTCTTGATATACCCCAATACCCGGATACTGATTTTGAATATATTATTGCTTTGGTTGATATATTGTTTGCTGTAATTTGAAGAATTACTTATGATACTAAGCCTACTGAGGTTCGGGGTAGGTCGGCCTGTGATCTGAAGAGCAAGGATAATCTAGTATGGTATCTGAAGAACCATAACGGACGTCACTTGACAGTATATAAATAGAACAGTGGCTGCACCGACATACATAGTCTAGGAACCATAAGTACAACTAAAATTCGGGTCGGGATGCTTGATTGGATCAATAGAGTGGAGCTGCTGAATCCTAAGGGCAAAAGAGATTCGATGTAATAAATGGGTCCACAAGTTTAATAAGAATCGGCACCTATCACATGGATGTGTCCTCGCTGATATGACTATCTGATATCAGCTGATATGATCCGTCTGCTGAAATCGACCCAGTTGGGCTTCCAGCGCCAGCCATGGAGAATCTACATGTAAGAAATTCGTATCACTGCTTGCTCGCCCTGTATTTTTATGGTTAAAGTAGAAGACTTTAAGATGTATCATAACGTTATCATAGTACAAGAATAACCCATCTGCAGCACTCAGATAGCAATAGAAAACCCCCTCAATCCTCACAAACCTTCCCAATCCTACCATAAACACTCAGCTCACCCCGATGCGTAAATCCAACCCCCATATCCCTCACTATCCTCATATCCTCCAGTGTTGTATCGACCAGCTCAACATCGAACCGACGTACAAAGTACGCCAGAGTCATATACAACTCAAGGAATGCGAGGCTTCACACGTTAGTACCTATCTCAGACCCCAGGTAATCCTGTAGCTTACTTCATGCCGGCACATATCCGGCTACCTCGGGAGAAGGACGTAATGTATTTGAAAAGGTGCTCGTTGTTCTTACTGGCGGAGATCCATCGTTCGGGAGAGAACTTCTCCGGCTCCGGGAAGATACTTGGGTTTTTGTGGCCGAAGTAGCTTGAGGAGCTGACTGGGGTCTGTGGGGTTCTGTTAGTGATATGTTGTTGGGTGGAAGAGAGGTTGCTTACGCCGGGTGGGATTGTGTATTCTTTGTAGGTTAGGGGTTCGTCCGGTGCTATGCGAGGGGATCGGGTTGTGAGGAAGCCGCCCAGACGGAGGGATTCGTTGACGGTCCCAGTCTGTGAAATAGGGTTAGTGGTGTTTGAGGCAGTCTACCAGAAGACGGAAAAGGAAAGATTGGGGCTTGAATTGTGAGGGGTAATGTTGTAGGGAGGTATATCTGATCACCCACTAAATAAGGCAACCTTTCCAACTCGGACCATGTAATAGGACGGGTAGGCGTCGGCAGGACGGCCCTCAGCTCATCTCGTAATCGACCGCGTACCTCATCGTCCGATGCGATATGGAAGCAGGCCGTTGTCAATGCTCTGGCGGTTGTCTCTGTACCAGCACTGATAAACAGAAGACCTTCATCTTGCAGACGCTGGAGGGATCGTTCTTCAGCTGGAATGCTGGGATCCGTCAGCTGGTCGTAGATGGTCCTATGTTTGCCAACGGCATCATCCTGGCCGATATCATATTTATCCCCATGAAGTGCCTCAGCTGACTGCTCATAGATTGTCTTCTGGATATCCAATACAATTGATCTTCCCGGATGAATCGCATGCAACAACCGAAGTGGTAGCTTTTGGAGCACGGCAAGGAAAATTGGAAAAATTCGATTGAAATGAACACTACAAGTGAGATCATGAACGGCTTGGCGAACATCCGTGCGCAGACTCGCGTCATCGAGATAGTCCCAACTCTTGCCATAGCAGTAATGTGTGATGACATCAGAGGTCATAGCTGCAAAGGCATCATCGAGCCGGACTACTTTCTGAGCTCGATGAAAGGCTTCAAAGCGTTGCATAAGCTTGTGGACCTTCTCTTCGACAAGGTGAGATAGCCCACAGATCGACTTCTTCGAGAAGAGATTGTTCACGATGCCACGACGAAAGCGGTGGACGTCGTGATCTGTTGTCGACAGGGTGGAGTGGAGCATGCCCGAGAATGAAACGAACTCTGCATCCTTATTGCGTCTGCGGGTGCTTGGGGCGTAGATTTCGTCGTAGTAATGCGGGTCGCTGATGTGGATCTCTCGGGGGTTGATACGCACGATGGGCCCTGGCTTTCGTCAGTTGTGTGTTATATGTATAGGCATTCAGGATTGATGATTACCGTATCTCTCGTGCATTCTCTCGATCTCGAAGAGGTACCTCCCTCCCAGGAATAAATCATAGTACCACTCATATAGGTGGGTAGCCGCTGCTAACTTAGGACCCGGTATGTTTCTCAATGGATGGGAGTAGAGTCGATAAAAGGTAATCACGATGGGGTAGCTGATCAGCCCAATGAGGGTTATCCAGAGCCTTGCTGAATCCATTTTCGTGGCTTATGCTAAGTAATAGTCTGCACGGCACGCCGCGCATTCCACATGTCCCGACCATCCTTTATATAGTACGCTGCGACAGCGAAGGCTAGGTATTGAGTGGTGGGAAGTAAAGCCATCCCGTTACATTTTGTGTTGCAAGATGATCGAGGATAAAGGCCAGTTGACGGACCTTTATTAGGATCGTTGTGTATCTACACAGGGCAGGCGCCGGATTTGCCCCTCTGGCGGCAGGTTTGTCGATAAGTCATCTCGGATAATGATTCCTTCGGTTTGTCATTGGTAGCCTGAACCAGTCTACCGGGTATCGAGTGCACCTCATACAATGGATGTGGCGTACTGTTACTTAAATGATGGTGGGCTAATAAGCGTTTGTCACTTTACTGGTCACCCAATTACCGTGACATAGTTTGGAGCTTGTTTCATCATCTCCTGGAAGTAAGAATTGGTACCTGCATGTCATATTACTTGGAATTCGTAACCTTGACCTTCTCATAAGCATGTCCATTGATCCAAATACATGCGTAAAGTTTACATCTGGACTATGTCACAAACACGTATGCTTTATCAAAGCACTCATCCCACCCTGTTTGCCCCGAAGTCCAAAACCTATGGAACACAGCACTCGCCAACATAGGCGTTGGGCACCCCATGATTTTGCTCAGATCTGACAATTGCTCGTCAACGATATGACGGACATTAGGGCTCGCATCAACCGCTTGCATCCCCGCTACGACCAGTGGCCATATCGCGAGATGCTTGATGCGGGAGCGGCGGGTAACCTTTGGAAGAAGAGTATATAGACGAGTCCCATGTACAGTCCTCATAGCAGTATAATACTTGCTGGAGGGAACGATGAAGAGGCTTTGAAGAGACGAGATACAGTACAGTGCTACGGAGGACTTGTACATGCGTCCTAGGAGCAACCAGTCCTCTCGGGCGTCGGGGTTGGTGCCGGTCCAGTCTTCGGGCGAGAAGGCCTCGATGTGCTCAAGTATCTCGTGTGCTGTCGCTCGTGTGATTTCGGTTATGGGGGCCGATGTCGTTTGGAAGCGGAGGTTGTTGATCTTGATTACATCCATTAGGAGGTATGGAGGGCATAGGAGGATCGGGTATATACCATCTCCGTATAGCTCTGTCATGATGTCAATCAGTTCGAGTTGCGATGTGGGTGGAATATGTTGTGATGGAGGAGTAGTCGTGTTGGCCATGATCCCCAGGCTAAGTCGTGCGAATTAGTAACTTAGGAGGCGAAAAGTGGGTGGAGGGCAATAAGTGTGAATGAGAACTAGAGTCCTTACATGAGAAGATGAAGTATCAAGGGCTTCAGGTACTCGGAGGAATGCGCAAGACTTGCCAGACCACCACGTAGCTTAATCAACTCCATGGCGGCAGCGAAATGGTGCTGCCAGTCCACTGACGGCAGCTGTCTGGCCTTCCCAATCACCGTTTCATTTAGCCCCTGGCCCATTTTGATGATAACGGAGGAGGCGAGCTTACATCTACAATTAAGAATAACAAAATACTTGCAATGGCAAGATCGATGGTCATTTGATTGCTCAAATTCCCCATCAGCTCAGACAAGGATCGAAGTGCTAATCCTCTATGTTGATAAAGGCTCGGTCGCAAACGCGCCAACGAGCGACCATGATCCCCTGGGTATACACGATGGATGCGGTGACCGAGGGCAAGATAAACTAGTGTGTGACATATTGACATGGGCATTTGGTGCAGCGCATCTAGGGGAAACTGGCCCAGGTAAGGGTTCGGCGCTAACTCGTGCATAGCAGAAAAGTCAGGATAGACATAGTGGTTGACTAGGAAAAACTATGAAAATCAGATGCATTGAGCGGCTCGATGAGACATACAGTACCACACAGCTTCAACCATTGTGCATGTTTGACTTTTCAACTCTCGGCCTGGGTTTGGTATTCGTAGTAGTGCACTTCCTACCCTGGCTTGCCGAACATCCTCCTTGTTAGCCGTCCCTTCGCTACTGACCGTGGAGAAGCAGCCCGTTCCAGGAGGAAAACGTCGCTTGCGAGCACGAGATGTCACTTTTCCCGGTGCGAGCCATCTGAGTGGTTTTTTCTCGTCATATCCGGGGCAAGCAACACCAGTCGATCGGCATTTGTTACAAGTGGGGCGCTCGAAATCGCATACGAGCCGACGGCGCATACACTCCCAGCAATGTCGTTGACGCATCGCGGGGCTCAGGTCTGCTCGGGTGTCCATATTACCATATGGAGTATACTGATGGACAGAATTTTAAGTAGGGTAGTAACATAGTGTGCAGGAAGGAGGGAGTTGGATACTAACTCAGCCTTGCTGACTTGGCAAGATTTGAATCCATGGGGAGGGGCTGAATGAGGGCTTGGCGTCTGTCAAGCCCTAGTACCCTACTTAAAAGAGTCGGGCTCTCCAAATAATAGATATACGTGAAGCTTATCCTTGGAGCTAAATCCTTATTAATAGACTCGATACCGGTCCAATTTGCTGGTTCCGGGAATATCTTCACGAATATCATCAATCAGAATATTAATATTAGCTCCAAAATGGCCCCCACCAAATCAGAAAGATTTTGGCCCCTGATTGTGGGTCTTTCTTGCAGGGAAAGAAGAAAAACAAACAAACAAAAAAAAAGGAGGGAAAAAAAAGCATAATAATCATAATCACATATTTTAATATATTCTAATAACCATATAAATAAAAGTTTTTGGTCGAAACGAAAGAATCCGCATGATACGGCGTGACAGCTCTCGATGAGCGGGTATAAGATACAGACCTTCTCAGGCAAGCTCATGGGGTCGGGGCTCTGGTTTCCCAAGTTCAACCCTCTGTTGTGAGTCCAATTGATGGGTTTCCGCCTCTGGCCCGACCCATAAAGGTTGAAACGATGTAGGCGTTGAGGATTGCTGTGGCTGTGGCGGCTTCCGACGTCGAAAATACAAGAATGCAGCCGTGATGGCAATCAGAAATACACCCGCTCCCACCCCAACCCCAATGCCAGCCGCAGCACCGGCTCCAATCTGACTGCTGGAATGCGAGGATGGTGTCGAAGTGCCGTTGCTTGTTGCACTTGTCGTGCTTGCTGTTGCTGTGGGGTAGCTTGGGGTGCCGGTCGAAGGCAGATATTGTATCGTAGCAAGGTCGCTCGGCATTGGAGCAGGAAATCTCTCGTCCGTGGGGTTTGAGCAATTTTTCTTTCCATCACTATTATAGCTGCAGCATGCCCAGAGCCCGGACGCTTCGTCGTACGTCAAATCCGAAAACTCGTGGCCACCTATAGGTGGGCTCTGTTAGCTTCTGCGATCGCTCAGATAGCGAGCGCATCTCATGGAATTACCGCATCGGGTCATGCAGGCCGGATCCTGGAGGGTTGGATCGGTGCAATCGGCGGCATAGTAGCCTGGTACGCCGTCATTCTGATATTGACAGATGCCATTGCTCATGCAATAGTCCCCCTTCACACAGCATTGTACATATGGGTGTGTGGAATTTGCAACTCCACAGGCCGAGTCCACATCAAAATTGGATGAAATCTTGCCTGAGTGGAGGGTATAGCAAGGCATCCTGAGAGAGACTTCCAAAGGGAAAACGTAAAGCGAGAGAAAGGGTGAGAAAAAATGCGGCTGAGAAAGGCTGCATGGGTACTTAATAGCTGCGCGCTACTCGGACCCCTACCCTATACACTACTAGTCGTTACTAGTGAGTAGTTAGTCGGCAGGAGCAGTATTACAATCTGCATATCATGGCCATTCAGAGTTCGGGAAATTTCATGTGGGTAAAAGGCCTTTCCCAGTGTCCACATAACTCGTATAATGGCAAATTTTGTTATGATAAAAGAGGAAAACAAAAAAGAAAAAGCAATAGTCCGTAGTCACATAAAACATAGCGATCGGAGTGTAGATGGAGTTGCTGGTGTTTGGATTCTGAACCGTACCTTTTCCGTTGGGGGGGGTTTTTGCCTCAGGACTCCACAGCGTCGGCTCGGCCTTAGGCATGTTGAGTGGGTCTTGTTGCGCGAAAATACATCGCAAACTAAGAAGCCCGAGCACTCAGTCCAGGAATATGGATGTCAAGACAGTGCCGATCAAGCTGATGACTCCGCTGGGCCCTACGAGAGGATACACAGGTGATTATCAACGCTCATATTGTGCATGGGTTGCCGCTGTGAGTTGGGCTGGGAAACAGTTACTCCAGCGGAGGTAACGTCTGTGCTTGTTTATGAAATGTATGCATTGAACAACTTAGGTTGCACTGACAGGAGAATATGGAACACATATCATGAGTTTGAGTAGCTACTAAAAACACTCAAGTCTCCCCCATACCCTCAGCCATCCTCCTCCAACATTTATCGTCGGCAACATCACCGACATTTTCCACCTTTGCTCTGCTATACTTTGAAGATGAGATTGGATCTTCCGCTTTAGGCTTTTGTGGTATCGCAGCAGCACTTCTGGGCGAGCGTATGGCAACCGTCATCGGTCATATGGGAGAACTTGTAAGGCGCGCAGTACTGCTCGCACTTGCCGGCCCAGAACTTGCTGCAGGAGCTGGGCTTGTGGCAGGTGCCGGATCGGGCGGCCAGGTTGTTCTCGATATTTGCTTCAGGGTGGGCGAGCACACCGGCGGCAACCGCAGCGATGATGAGGAAGAAGTTTGTCTTCATTATGATCTGAGGTGGATGGAAAGAAGAATATATGTGATTGTGGATTATGACGTTGTGACTAGTTATTGATGGTGGTTTGAGTGGAGTTTGAACTGAGGTTGATAATGGGAAGGGAGAGGAGGGCAGATTTATACCTCAGCTGGATGGGCGATTTAATATCAGGTTTTGCACCCGTTACCTTTTTCGGAATTTGAAGATTCCGAGAGATCTGCATCTTTGACGGAGAAACCCCCCCGCTTCGCCTTTAGATCTTCAGATGTGGTTGGATAAGCAGTATGTTTATCCTGTGATCATCGTGTTAAATTAACGTACTATGAGGAAGCGAAATAGTCATCCGCGGTTCACGTCCCCACAGGAGCACACATAATACGGCTCATCAGGTATCTCTGGATATCTTTTGCCTGAAGGGGTCTATGACTGTGGGGAGCCAAGCAATGCTTTTTCGTATTGACGGATGGGATAATGGAGGCGACCCACAATCTTGCCAATCACTTCGTGTTCGTAGTGCCGATGTAGTTCAATTAAGACTCAGCCGCACTTTTTACTTCACATGAGGCCTGCCCCTGAAATATGAGCGTCGGGTTGGCTTTTATGTCAAGGGACACTTGTGCCAGGAAGGTTTAGGTGGTCGTGAGCGTATGGTTGAGGTGGTGAAGCATAGTTAAATTTATCCAATCCCAAAGCTGAGGGAGGTGAGAGGTAGGTAATATCATTCAATAGATCGTTTAGCGGGCACAGCCAGGCGAATTCCCGTCTCAGTAGAATCAGAACAGCCCATAGGTGGGTTGGGCCTCCAACAGGCATTTAAGCTTCTTGTTAGTATACTTACAGAAAGACTAGCTTATGCGGCACATGTGGAGTCAAATCCAATCAAACCTCGCCTAACTTCTCCTTTGCATGTAGGGGTATGGCGCTGGTGAAAACAGTAGAGCTGCCAATGGTCACCATGCCGTCCTTGCATCCTCGGCAGATTTGTTTCCGTGGTTCGATGGCCAGCGTGTGGGTACTGTATTTCACTGCGCGCCTAATTGCCTGTTAGCGTGTCCTCAGGTCGATCTTTTGTTAGGAGTAAACTAAATAGGTGAATTGAAATTCGCTTAAAGTATTAAATCATAGACCAGTGATAGAATTGTACGCTTGGGAAGGTCATGCCAGCAGAGCTACATCATGAATCTCTCTTATACCTCCCAAGAGATATTCGACAAGGTCTTATCCACCGTTTCGGAGCCTGACATACCGCAGTAAAAAGCTTTCACGATATTTATTTCGACAACAGGGTTTACTGTGTCTAAAGGGTGTACAGGTCCGATGAAGGGATGGCTGTTAGCAAGCTGAGATCCCAAGAGGAGGAGATGACCACAAGTCGAAGTTTGAGTTAGAACTTGAATACCGTTTAGAACACGATAAGAGATCCGATTGGGACATTAGTCAGTCTAGAGAGTTTAGGGTGACTGAGACAGATGTGAGGATTAGTGCCTTTATCACGCTATACTCTTGGGCATTCTGTGGAGACGTACCAAAGGAGAAACCGACGGCATACTTTGAGAAGTTTGATGGAGTTTAGGATGGTGGGACTATGCACAGCTTTCGGGAAATTTACCAATAATTTTGTTTCCATACTTTCGCTGATTCATATCGAAAGGGTCTTTCAAGCCAAATAGGAATTTGTCCTCCTTCAAAAAGCAGAAATGATACTCAGTAGGAATGGACCGGAAGAAGCTTGTTTAGTGGCCAGCAAAAGTCTTGACTGGTAGCCTCTTTTACATCTCCGCTTAGTCTCACCCTCTCATTTTTGTCTTCTGCTTTCGTCTTTTACAGTATTTTCATGTACTTTTGGTTGGTACGGCAGAAACGCTAGCAGATACACGCTGTATCTTAAATTGATTTCATCAGATCCTCCAATCATTCAGCTGCCTAATGGGAGAGAGACAAGTATTTCTTAGTATAATAGGTGTAAGTAATAGGTTGATTAGGGCAGCTATGGTGTAGACTTCATATCTAAACAACAGTACAGAGTCCGATAAAAAGCCATGACAGCATAATGATAGTGAACCTGTTGAGGGGTATACAAATATTCATAGTAATCCAAGGTACTTCCAAAATCAATAGGCAGAGCAAAGAAACCCATGCTGATCACCTTTCGTTGGTCAGTCCTCAGGCAATCGGAATGGCCTTTGTCACGATCTGGAACTCGATGAGCCACAGATGTACTGCAGTGATGAGGGTCATGATCTCCCATTTTTCTCCCAGGACGCCAGTAAGCCCACTACCCACAAAGGCAAATTTGAACCCTTTCGACAGGCTCCACGATGCGTTGTGAGCGATGACAGCGACAATCTCCTTTCCATCGCTGGAACACCCCATCGCTCGATGGGAGCGACTCCCGCTTGTCTCGCCCACTGTTTCCGACAGTCGAACTAGTTTCCAACCGGATGTGTGGCCGGCGAGCTCCTTTATTTCTTTACCGTGGCTTGAGCGCCACTCAAATTGTTCATAGGAGGCGTCTTTGCCGCTTCCACCAACCGCGATGGAGAATGTTGGGCTCATGCGTCTGCCTGGCTTGACATCCTCTAATGGCTCTACGATAGAGTTCTCTTGGAACTCGCCCTGCGATGCAAAGGTCACCGAGACTGGCTTTGCTCGGAGATATGGATCACACTGTAGTGATGCAAGAGGCGGATCCTTATCGGTCGGCCCATCGCGCAGGATCATCGTCTGGGTGCTCTTACGGTGCTGAACATCTATCGACATGAAATATAACTTCTCCGACGCTGATGGTCCCAAATGAAACTCTGGAGTGAATTTCATTGGTATGTAGCCATTCATCGCTGGGGGAAATTTGCTCGTTGCAGCCTGCAATCTTGTTGAATCGCTGGTTGAGTTGTTGAAATGCGGGTATTCATATTGCGGAGCCTGTTCTGTAGATACACTGCTGTGATCATGTTCTACGTACGGGGGAGGCGCGGAATCCCAGATAGCTGGTCCCGATGATGGGATGGTATTTTTGCTCATTGTTCAGATCGAAGAAATTTGGGGATATGTGAAGGATGAGTAAGTTAGAGTAATTCATTGCTCAGAAGCAAGGAGGAATGGATCCAACATTATGGACATCACGTATTTCGTGCCCTAACCGGATTTGGATGTATGTTGCGCCAGTGAGCCTCACGATGGCCATCGTGGCAGTGCTGCCCAAACTTCCTCTTCATTTCTTCCAGCTGAAGATGTCTTGGCCATGTATTGAACCCTTTCTGGTTTAGCGCCCACCGCTGATCTCTGCGGTATGATTGGTCGGATGGAAACGTATCTCTGCGGACAATATTCCAGTGCCAGTGCTCAGAGAAGATAGGACGCTTCAGCCCTGTACGATTGAGGCTTTGGAAAATCTTATCTCACAGCCTGAGATATTCTTAAGCTATCTGAAGTCATTAAACGCGGGATATTGTGCCTATATAATACTCCCTTGGGTCCTCCTGCACTCTCTAGTCTATCATATTCTTCAAGCCTACTTGTGTCCCCATTGAGCACCACTACTGCCTTGACCTAGTTACGGGAAGAAGATTCCATAAAGATGGCTGGTAAGTAAGTCAGTATTCTCTTGCGAATGATCCAGTATCACTAAGAGCGCACTAGAGGAGAGCATCTACATCTACGTACCCAACAAAATAGCGCCTATTATATTTGCCATAGCATTTGCCGCCTCGTTGGCCCTACACTTCTGGCAGTGCATGTAAGTGACTGAAGATTCAAGAGCTCTACATCCGTGTGTATGGAATTGCTAACGGTTGAATGTTAGCCACTACAAATGTTTTAAGCTCATGATTCTGCACCTCGTGTGCTGCTTGATGTTTACTATTGGGTTCGCCTTGCGAGAATACGGCGCCTTCCACCATTCATTCAGCAAGCCAGATCTCTATACCTACATTGCTAGCACATGTCTAATCTATATGTCTCCGTAAGGTCACCTCCTAGCGCCGAATTTATCAACTTTAATCTAACAATACATGGAAAGACCTCTCCTAGAGCTAGCCAATTACCACATTCTCGGCCGTATCCTTTACTACGTTCCCTATCACTCTCCAATCCACCCCGGTCGAGTCCTGACTACTTTCGGCATACTCTCCACCGTCGTGGAGGTCTTGAATGCCCTAGGCGTTTCCTACCTTGCGAATCCAGAGTTGCCAGAATCCACCATCAAGCTCGGCCATATTCTTATGAAAGTATCACTCATAGCTCAAGTCCTAGTTATTACCGTGTTCTGTTTCCTAGCGGTAATATTCCAACGGCGGTGCTACAGATCGGGTATTCGCAGTCGCCGTGTCTCCGCTCCTCTAATCACCCTATATATCAGCACCTTCCTTATCTTCGTACGATGCATCTACCGCATCGTCGAGCACTTTGGCGCCTCAAAGATCGGTCCTTCATCGTCGGGAGACCTCGAGGGTCTCAGCCCTATTCTGCGTCACGAGTGGTTTTTCTATGTCTTTGAGGCGAGCCTCATGCTTGTCAATACCCTCATGTGGAACTGGCGCCACCCAAGAAGGTTCCTCCCCGAGAGATCTAATGTTTATCTTGCGCAGGACGGCGAGACAGAACTCAAGGGACCCGGTTGGAAGGATCAGCGCCCGTTCCTGGTGACGCTGTGTGATCCTTTCGGCTGGTTTGATTCGAACAAGAAAAAGGAGCGCCCATTTTGGGAGAATAATGGGTATACGCTTGTCAATAGTGGAGTATGATATGTTGATAAGCCTTGCGTTCAGGTGTGGCGTTCCTGGTGGCGATTTATTCCTTTTGTTTTGTCTCTTACTTTTCGTGGATTAGTTGGCGTGCATCGGCGTTTCTAGAATTTGCATACTTCTTGGCTTTTCCAGTATAGCATCTTGTATCCGGGTTTGGTATTCATGTTTCACTAGTGAGCTATCGATGCTTTTACTCTAACTGGTCAATTCTATCCTATAAGTATACAAAGACATAGTTAGGATTGCTTGTAAACTTTGATTCATCGCCTCACCGCAGCTGCACAAGAAAATGAAACTATGTTAGTCGGAAGGATAGTAGTTTTCCATCTCAAGTTTTCATTAGAAGTGTCGAAAACATGTATGTATTCTTGATTGATATTGACAGAGATTGTTCCCTTAACTTGACGGCCCCCAGTGAATTTAATTCCAGACGTAAACTCCTTCACTCTTCTTGCCCTCGTACTGGATTATTCAGTGACTATTGACTAGGGGTTCACCACCGGATTCAAGTATTCAAAACCAGACGAATTATGACTATTTAATAGGAAACATGAGCTATCTATGAACAGAAGCCACATGCAGTGCGTCCTTTTTCCTTCTCAACATAAGGACTTTTCCAAGCATCCAGGCAGTCTCACAATTGGCATCACCTTTGGCTTACGGGCCCTTCCTTTTCATGATGCAGGACTTGACGGTTGTATTTATTCTTCTTGCTGCTCTCATTGCAGGCGTCTTCGGCTTTATACCTGAAACGGGTGGCTTGCAATACGAACGCCTGGTAAGGAATAGTTATGATTTTGAACACTCAACGATGTTAACAATCCTACTTCCCCAGACTAAGCCGATCCAACTAACTCAAGACCTCGGAGCTTCACAATTCGCCAATCCAATAGCAACCAATTCGTGGTGGTCATCGTCTTTCGTCCATGCATCAGATGGCCATGATTATTTGATCGTTTCCCACGTCATTTTGCCAAATTTAAATCTGTCTACAGCTCTTCTACGTGCCTCTATCCTAGACATCAATGACATAGCATATTACCGACAGGTTAGTTGGCTACATAACGGATCTAGTAGGGCTACGCAAATGCCGAATGGGCCTCCTGGAGTTGCTACGAAAAACTTCGGATTTGTGTCTGTGGATCCAGCTAATCCGCTGGACAAGATGCGTATATGGTGTATCACCGAACACGTTGAGCTTGACCTCACCTTTCAGCTCTCTGCTCCCGTTATTTTGAATGGAGGTACTGGGACATTTCCGTTCGGTGATGAGACCACGTTGGAATGGTCAATGCCTGCTGGAATCACCGATGGTTATTTCACTGCCAATAGAAAACTTCTCACTATTGACTCTGCTCGCTCTTTGACTTGGTATGATCGTCAACTCATATGGGCGTTTGCCCCGTTGGATGGCCCGGTGAGGTCGAACTGGACATGGTTTCAAGTACACCATGGTGAGCGGACGATGTCTATCTGGGCGTGGGATACCCTTGGCGGACAGCGCTTCCAGTTCGCCACGGTCAGGGATAAACCAGGCATCCACCAAGTACTTGTCGTCACTGAGTTCACACCGTCAAGCCGCCAGTGGACGTCACCCTGTTCTAAAACTACCTATTCTCTTGACTGGACCGTGGCTCTGGTAGATGGAACCAGGCTGGAACTATCGAGTGTTCGCGATGACCAAGAGCTGTGCACTCAGGACGGAGCCATTGCAACATATGAAGGATACATTAACGTGGCTGGTACACGCGGCGGAAAACCTATTTCTGGGTACGGGTTGGTTGAGATAGCTCCAGTGACTGCGATACCAAAGCCAACTTAAATCACAATATTCTAAGGCTTAAAAAGGACAACGTCTCCACAGAATCAATTTGTTTTCAATAGGGACATAATATTAAGCTAGCTATAACCACCCTGAAATTTATTTAGTCATTTATAATAACTAGAATAGTATGGGTTCCCCAACACTTTCATTTCCCAGCCTTCCTCGTCAGTCTCGTCCGATGCGCGGTCTTGGTAAAAAGAGACGCTGTCTCTGAATAATCACGCTCTGGTTGCTAATACCTCGCACTGGAGATAGAGCCATGCAATGATCCATCCCGCTTCGAAAAGAGGAAATCAGAGTCGTGGAATAGCTCATAGCAAGAGCTTGAAGTATGCGCACCGTGCAGCCCACAAAATTTCGCTGTCTACGCAGCTACCCACATAGGTAGACATATTAAACCCACGAGTCCGTTTATTCCAGTACTCCTGGGAAACTGAATGACCTTTCTCTATGTCTGTAGCTACGTTATGTCAAAATGCGGGTGTGATGTCGACGTCGGTATCTTCCGCAGTCACCGGTGGAGAGATTTTGGGCCCGTAACTGGCTTTGCGGAGCAAGAGGGGGTCCATGTTGTCCATCAATACTTGATGCGAGTCACTTTAATGCATGGCCTGTGACGTAGAGCAATGGTGACAAGAGTCGGGTTGAGGCTATACCTTGTGCGGGGACAATGATCATGTAAATATTTCAAGACCAAATCCATTTGGTTTCTTTGATCCCTTTGTATTTTATATCGATACGATATCGAAAGCATCTCTAGTCAAACGGCCTGTACGGCCGAGGTCAGTGTAAATCGCTGACCCCCCTATGTAGACGCAATGGCATATCGAGAGGTTTTGTAGGGAAGGCAGAACCCGCGTGGCAGGTTGTGACTAAATTTACTACAGGCTCAGGTAAAGGCTCAAGAAACATGAGTTCCAAATTACATATTGTCAGATATTAACTTTATTTCATTCAGCTATGCAACACGAGATTATGAGTCTTTAGCCTGTAGACGAGGTGATACCGCCATCCACAACAATCTTCTGTCCGGTGATATAGCGAGCAGAGTCCGAGAGTAGGAAGGCAGCACAGTTGGCAACATCAAATGAGTCACCCATGCGACCCATTGGCACTGCCTTATTTCTTTTCGTGATAAATCCTTCCAGATCCCCATTCGCATACTTGTCTGCAAGGTAACTGACCAATGGTGTATGCATCAGGCCTGGAACAACCACATTGAGACGTATGTTGCGGTCGGCATAGATCACAGCCGTAGCTTTGGTGAACTGGATCACAGCGGACTTGGTAGCGGAGTATGCAACCTGGGGCTTGCCAATATACCGAATTCCGGCAATCGAGGCAACATTAACAATGGCTCCGCCGCCCTGCTTTTCCATGATTGGGAGGACTTCGTGGCAGCAAAGATAGACAGATTTGAGATTGATATCAGTTTGGGCGTCCCTACAACCCAAAGAGCATTAGAAAAACCATTTTACTTTTCACGCAACCTGCTATATATACTTACCAGACTTTCTCTGTCATCTCAGCAGGGCCGCCTGGCTCCGAACGGCCAACATTGTTGATCAGGATATCGATTCGACCGAACTTTGCAACACACTCCTCGACCATGCGCTTCACGTCTTCAGAAGATGTAACATTCGCCGTTGTTACCTCACACACGCCACCCTCAGCCTCAATGCGCTTTTTAGTGTGTAAGGCAGGCTCGAGGTGAAGATCGCACCCAAAGATTTTAGCGCCGTTGCGACTCAACACTCGTGCTGTTGCAGCACCATTTCCCCACATTTGAGGATCACCCATTTGGCCAATGCCAGTGACGAGGGCAACCTTGCCCTTCAGTTCGAGGAACGTACCAATATGATCCGTCATGACTTGGTTGATTATATTGTTGTGATCAATAGGAGTGTTGCGGCTTATCGAAGGTTGGGTGGACATTATATAGAGGCATTCCCCGCAACAAGGCCAGGGTAATTTCGGTATAATAACAAGATCTACAGGAATGCATATGCCACAATTAACTCATGTGGCAGGTAAGAGCCCGTCTTCTCCGCCAGTTCGGGGGTCCAGGATTTGTCGGAATTTCTGCTAGAATTCCGCGGAAATGATAATTCGGTCACCACAACACAATATGACCGTAATATACCCGTGAAACGCAAATGCAATTTACTGAGTATCATTCCGCGGAAATACAGCAAGATACTAAGAGATAGATAGAGCCACGGATAGGCTGTATGGTGAGAATCATGTGTTCAATGGTCTCATCTTTCATTTTACAAAAGGCTATTTTGGGCGTAAACCACTACCCAAATTAACAGGGTGAAATGGTCAGGGAATATATCAGCTCTAACAGAGTAGATAACGTGGTAAAGGTCACTGGAAACGACAAGATAGCGTGCATAAGGAATATGGTCTTAGTCAAGATCGAAGCCTGTCTGGACTTGCAGATACACTTCAAGGGCCAACATTTCAAATATTATAAAGGGACAGAAACGATACCTCAATATAAATTATAACTGCTTAGTCGAATGGAGATTCTATTCTCAACATGTTCTATGTAGCTTCCATGACGTTTCCCCCGTATAGGAGGATTGTAGAGTTTGGATCGGTTATGCTTTGCCAGAAGATCTGAAGAGATCCATAACCCGCTGGACAGACCTAGAATAAACGTCGACAGCCTGGACCTTGAGTACTGTCAACTCCAATTTGCCAGCATTCTCAGCGACAAACGTCGTATAATCATCTCGCACTGTTCGGTTGACGTTGATCTTCGAAACCCCACAGTCAATTGCCTTGAGGAAGAGTTCATCCTCAACGGGGTGTGTTCCGTGCAGCACAAGTGGCTGCTCAACAGTTTTCGAAATCTTGCTAAGACTAGTAAATAAAATGTTAAGATTAGAGCAAGTTCGCATACAATGTTGGCCAGGTCAGCTTACAGAGCTGTGTCCCACGACTTTTCGGCACCACCAGGTCCGTAGCCTCCATGAATATTGCCAAAGCTTGGAGCAAGGAAGTCGGCACCAGTCTCTTCCATGAACCGTTTAGCATCCTCGGGGTTTGTAAAGATAGTCCCTAGATCCACGTTAGGCAGTCCATCCTCCCCGCCCTCTATCCGTCCCATCTCGACTTCAATAGAAATGCCGAGCACGTGTGCCCGCTTAATGTTTCGTGCACAGATTGCGACATTCTCCGCCTGTTCCATTGTCGAACCGTCAATCATGATAGAATCGAAAGGAAGAGTTAGGGCTAACTGTACGTCCTCGGGCTCGATACAATGGTCCAGATGTACTGCAATGGGAACTGAGGCGGCATGGGCATAGTTGACTACGTAACGGACAAACTCGGGGCCTTGGAAATGCAGGGTCCAGGGGAAAAGCTGAATAATAGCTGGTGACCTTTTGGCTTCTGCAGCACGAATAACGGCCATCACACCGTCACAATTGTAGCTGTGCAGGTGCAGAAGGATCAGCTATTTGGATTTCAGTCAAGCATTATCTTGCAAAATATGACATGCATACCAGTTGTATGCACCAACGGCATATTTACCCTCCTTGGCTGCATGTAGAATGGAACGAGTGCGGTTGCTTGCTATTGATGGGTTGGCCATGGTGTGGGATTGTACATAAACCGGAGAATCGCGATAGAGAATAAATCAGATGGATTAAAGATCTAATTTGACAAACTTAGCCCTACCTCCTGGTCATTGAAGGAAAGATGAATAAATAAGAGCCTTTGAGGCGTGTCACGGAAACATGGTAACCCAGGTTTGACACAGCTTCTAAGTTTCTCCAATGTGTCGCGCGGAGAATCCAGAGCGGAGCGGAAATTGAACCGGAAGTTGAACCGGAAATTGGACAGTTCTTGGGCCCACGCATAGAGCACTCGCAGCGGCGATGGCTAAATGGGGAGCATAAGGATAAATACTACGGTGTAAGAGTTATATATCTAGCAACAGTAAGGTGAATTTATGTACATAAAATACCAAGTCTCTCATCTAGGGAAATGCCCGATACCAGTTGCGATAGCAGCTTGCCTCGATTATAATTAGCACTCTCATGACAGTGGTAGTATGTTCGGTGAGATACTCCGTCTCGAGGCTACTAAAATACGAGGTTTTATCTCAGAATATGTTCCTGCGGAATTCCTAGATCTAGGCATCATTTCCCCAATAACCTAGTGATGTGTATGTCTTACGAGCCATGGCTTAGTCCCAACAATTCCAGCAGTAATTTTCGCTAGTTGGTAAGCAGATGGAAACTGTGCTTACAATATTCATCAATACGATCTGTAGTAGGGATAAAAGATGGAAGGATAGGACAATACTCCATATAGACAAGTATAACGGAAAATGAATGTTCGATCAGCGTAAATACAATAAGAACGATAGGTTTATTTACAAAAGAATCTTCATGATGATCCACACGTATTTCATAGTTGCGCCCGGGGGTCAACGCTTATTAAAGAAGAAAGTTGCCATTAGTTTTGGCAAGCTGCTCATCATAATAGGGTTGAAATGCGAGCCAGCCCTTCTCGGGGCCACCTACCTGAAGTGCTGCGTAAGCAGCTTCATCATCATCGATGATGATTTTCTTGTAACCAGCTGCAGAGGCTGCATCCGCTAATAGCTGCGCATGGCACGTCTTGTCGAGACTCATGAACCAGAATGCTGCCTCATCAACACTCTGACCTACGGTCAGTAAGCCATGATTCTGGAGAATAGCAGCTTTGCCCTGACCCAGAGCCTTGGCTATGCGCTGTCCCTCTTCTCGATCCAGAATGACACCCCTGAAATCGCGGTATACACCGTGGCTCTTATAAAAGCGGAGTGAATCTTGCGTTATCATATCGAGCTCCCGACCAAAGGCCGCAAATGCCTTGCCAGCAACACTATGGGCGTGGCACGCCGCATGAACATCGGGTCTAGCCTTGTGAATCTCAGAGTGGATCGCAAATGCTGGGGCATTAATGGGCTCGTCGCCTTCTACGACTAGACCATCCTCGTCTACCAAGATCAGATCAGATACCTTGATCAGGGAGAAGTGAGCTGAAAGGGGGTTAATCCCTAGAATTATCGTTAGTAATTATATGAAAATGTCGTCTATTCTATATAGTAATGACTCACAAAAATGATCGGTAAGAATAGGATCTCGAACGGAAATGTGCCCCGCGACACCCTCATCGAAGCCACGGTCTGCAAAGACTCGGAAGGCGGCTGCCAAGTGTTGCTTGCGGTATAATCTCTCCTCTTCGAGCGTATCAAACTTGGGATAGCTTCTGATTTTCAGATCCCTGCCATCCTTGGTTTTACCAAGCACTTGCAGCTGAGGTGGGGTTGCCCTTTTGCTGTCGGGCGTAGCGGAGGGAGTCTTCTGTTGAATGGGGTCAGCTCCAACCACCGACGGGGCCATGGCGAAGGATCTCTTTCTTTAATCGATTCTAAAGTTGACGGACAAATGGAGCACTTCTAGAGTAGCAGGCTCCAGCTCGGATAATCAAACGAGGGTGTCTAAATCGGGTAACCCCTCGATATGGATGGTTTTTTATAAAGTCCGGGGTAAATGCAGGCCGAGACCCCGCACTTTGCCCTACGCAGCCCACTTAAGCAGGTATCGCACGACATCCTCGGCGATCACTACAAAACTTGCCGACTAGTATCTCCAGTGCCGGAATACATTATCCGCGGAATTTGAGACTCTGGGGAAGCTGCGGGGGTAGCGGGGGCTTTTCCGCGCACGTGCCTCGCCTTAACTCTGTCGAGTATGTTGACTTCAACACCATTTCCGGCGCGAGCAACTCTCAACTGTCAAGTCGCCGCCTTTTCCGTTTCCTGTTCAGATTACCCAAAGATATATTGGCACCTGTTACACTATCTACTGACATGGCGGGTGGCACGGAATCCCCAAGGGGCGGAATCCTGCCCAGCCATGTGCAGAGGACCCCCAAAAAGTATGTAACTCGTGCCTGTGATGAATGCAAGAGGAGGAAATGTAAATGCGACGGTTTAGAGGTACCAAGTCTCTTGTCAGTTACATCAACTATAAATGCTAATATCCTTTGTAGCCCTGTTATCGTTGCGTATCTATGGGACTCGGTACGTTCCGTGTGCATAAGAAATGCGCTTAGAGTGGCAACGCTAAGATCTGCCAATCTTTAACGGATAGACTGCGCATATCACAGCTCATATAATCGTGGTCAGAAGCGAAAAAGACATGTGAGTGTTCCAGCGGAGCGAGCTTCCCATTGTCACTCCTTTTGGCTTTTCCAATAGGTATTCTTGAGTAGGAAAGGAGTGCGTCTCCGAGAGAAAGACAGCAGCTTGGACGCACCAATTTTGCGCGTCCGCAGGGAACAGAAGGACAACAGCAGCTGGAGGTAGACGATAAAGGTATGCTTTGTCTAGTTCTCAGGACCTTTCTCTCATTCACATCTCTTGCTTATTTGGTTGGATAGGGGATGCGAGTGCACACACCTTCTTGAGTCGGGTATACAGTCACCTCAAATCTATGGGTCAATCTTTACCGCGGAATCTATCCCGACCAGCTGAGGAGGTCCTTAGCGAACACCCGCTAAAGATATCTCTGATTCCTCTGGATCGTCGCCTGGCAGAGGAGTACATTGATTGTTTTCACAGTCACTCATGTGCGACTTATCGCTATATTACTCGAAGCCAGAGCATAGAGTTTCTCGGAAAGCTCTATTCCGAGGATGAAAGCTTCCTGCAGGATGATGCCAGTATGGCGGTTATCTTGCTGATTCTCGCCGTTGGGTGAGCTATTGTCAACCTAGGTTTGGGCTGTCACGGGGGCTGACTGATAAGTCCAGGTGCATCTGGTACCCTTCTTTGCACAATCGCGACTTATTCGAGTATAAAACCAAAGCGTAATGCTCATGTCTTGGTTGATTCTCTCTAACCGCGCTAACTTTCACAAAAGTTCACGACTGTACGAAGCCGCGCAATCAAGGTTGGAGAAGACAGCATTCATGTTCCCTCCCTCAATTCTAGTGATGCAAGCGCACTGTCTTAAGGTAAGCGTGTAATAATGTGCCACAGGACCTCGTCAGCAATTTCTAACAGCACACAGTGTCAGTTTCTGCTAGCCGTCAATATTTTCAACAGTGCTTGGCTAGCAGTAGGGACTGCTGTCCGCCTTGGTCAGATAGTCGGTTTCCATAAAGCCAAAGCTACAGGCTCCAATAGTCGAGATGAATTCACCCGCAGGGGTGTGTTTTGGTCACTGTATATTATGGACCGGTAAGGCGTGCCTGATGATTTCCAAGCATATAGAGGCTGACAAAGTTTTTAAGGTATCTTTCTGCCGCTCTTGGGCGTCCAATAATGATAAATGACGACGATATCACAATACCGTACCCAGACGCTAAGGTGTCATCCTCACAGGGGATAGAAGACCCTCATGAAGCCAAGACCGTCCCTGGAATTGTCGCGCACATAAAGTCAGCACCTCCTTTTTATCATGTCAGAGTAATATTACTTACATTAGCCTTGACATACAGACTTGCTCAGATCACATCACAAGTACTCAGGAGGCTTTATGGCTCTAAGAAGCACGACAAGGTCGCCCGGGATGAGTCGGTTTCCCAAATCGAAGCACAGCTCAGTAACTGGTCAGAAGAAACCCCGGGATTCTTCAATCCGGAAGAACAGTCAGACCAGAAGGAAAGCGAAGTCTTTTATGATGTCCCCTGGATATTCAAAAGGTATCTAAAGGTCCCTGGTATCTTGAGACAATTCTTGTTGATTACACATAGGCAACAACGCACTATTCGTGCTGCTTTCTTTTTCACATTCATGCAGCTTTATCGAGGATACTTGTTGGACGAGTTTCTTCAAGCAAATTTTCACGATCGGTCCGCCTTGGCCCCAGCACCACAGGTACAGAAATGTATACAGGCCGCGTTGCAAATGGCGTTGTTGGCCGCAGAGATCAAAGAGGATGTTACATACAACGCAGTCTTTTGGGTATGCCATCTCGCATTGGTTTGATCGTTGATTCTGTTCTTAAATTGCTATTTGGCTAATGACTATCTGGCAAGACAACGTCCTACTTTACCTTCTGCGCTATTTCAATCTTGACCGTATATCTTACCTTATACCCCGAAATCGAAAACCGTGCCGTCATTGAGAACGTCCTGGAACGGGCGATAGAGGGCCATCGAAAGCTTGACAACAGCATGAATAAACATTCTCAGAGGTTACTTGAAGTAAGTTTTCAGTGGCTCGAAAATATGACCAGACCATTGTCTACCATCAGCTATTGACATAATCCTTTGGGTTGCTTGTGAAGGACACCAGGGCTATTGCGCAGCGGGCCTTCAGATCATCCAGGACCAGGCTAAGCACTTCGGGTGCCAATGATAGAACGGCCATCATGCTCAATGATGCTAATGCATCCGTCACCGTAGAGCAGCCAATTCCGCCACCAGGCTCTGGCTACCCACGGGTTGAAAGGCGGGAAGAATGGGAGGATACCCAAGGCGTAGTGGACAACATTGACGAAGCCCCCATCCCCGGTTTGGTAAGCCTTTTCTCATTGATAATTTTCACAGTGGACGCTAATTGGTTCTTCTGGACAGAATGAACTTGCAGACATCGTCAATGGTGATGACCTAGGTTTCATCATGAATATTGGCTTTGATGCCTCGCCACTCAATGATGTAGACCCACTTCAGTCTTTCGTTGCCGATAAGTTCTCAAGGCCTGGACCGCAGGCGTGAAATTTGTATTAAGGCTGAAGTTTCTCAAGCATATTTACAATAGTAGTCACTGGGGGCAATAAACAGTGACTTCATCTTAGTCGTTTTACACATGCGACGGCAAGTTTCTATGCCACAATCCCGTTTGATGATCCGACCTTCTAAAATACAGCAATTGCATTTGGAGGACTGGCCACTCCCCCGGGCACCTTGAGTGGCACGCTCGAGAGGAAAAAGGTGTATCTCCCAGTTTCTCTACAATGTTGGGACAGCCGTTCGAGGTCAAACAACTCGCCAATGGGACAGCCCCAGCCGGCAAGTACCCATTCGTGCAAGTTGTACCGAGGATCAGCATGAGGACCGCGAATCGGTGCTCGTTCGAAGCTGGGTGCATCCCCAGCTACTGCTCCGAATTGGTGCTTCCAGAGCCATCGTAGCATATTCTCAGTTGCCTCCACTCCAATAAAATCCGGGGACGGTCGCTGTGCCAGGTCTATTCTTTCTTGCTCTTTTAATTCATTATAAGCAGCCGTAAAACCACTGCGAATGAGTAGGATATCTCCTGGGTGAAAGCTGATTTGGAAATCTTTAACCATAGCCTCGAGACTTTCAACCATGATTGGGGTCGAAGATAGAGGCTGGATCTCGAGATTCTTGCTACTCGCCCACTGAGCGTAGTCAAGAAGCACACCACGACCAGTTATTCCTCCTGCCTCCACCACGGCTGATTGTTACGAATATCAGCTCATTATCCGTGGAAAGGGGGTAACATTCTGTTCATTAACTTACTGTGTAGCCCAATTACATCAGAAGACTCGATCTCCTCTTGGGTTACATTGTTGTAGAATCGACGAGATTTTTGATGGGCTGCGGCCACCGATCAGCATTTAAATACCGTGGAACGAAGCAATTATTTCATACCGTAGTGCCTAAAGCCATCCCACTGGCTCGAGCCTTGCGTATTGAAAGTCAAGATGTCGTCGTTGATGCAATTTGGGCTCCTATGTACAATCTGTTGCTGAAAGCCCTTCCTGCCGAAACTCGGATGCGATGGCATACTTAAAAGCCAGTCAAGCGATATGCGCACGCCAGTCTGGATCTCCTTTGCTGCACGAACAATAGTATCCGGTGTGATCAGGTTTAATGTCCCCAGTTCATCTTGATCTCCGAATCTGCCCCAAGCATTTCCTGGTGGCCCCTGCGGGTCCAATGGGAGATCTTCGAAAGCAGGCGTCATTTGCTCCTAAATTGACGGAAAGGGACGATCTCTGGTGGGGAAACGTGTGAGAACACGGGATTTAAAGGGTGCTTTATATTTGAGAGATATCCGTCGGGAACCCCATTTTCCATGGCGGGCGGAATTCCAATAATTTTTCTTTCCACGGAAATGTCGGCGTAGGCGGATATTTATGCGTATCGCAACATCTGGGAATTCTGTTTTTCCGCAAAGAATCTCCACCAATAGATGCTGAAGAAGATACTAGCTACCAGACAAGCTTTCTGGGACTGCATAGAGCGGGAAATAACCCCATGGGGTGGTTACGACTGCGAAAGAGATTCCAATACGTAGTTTAGAGCTCAATTTCCTAGCAGGAAATAGTTGTTAGACACCAATTTGGCCCTTCATACATGAATGTTCGATCGTGCTCCCAAGAAATCAGTCATACCATTGTTTTAGTGTCGTATAGATAATAAATCTAGAGATATAATTGTTAGATCTTAATAATGACATGATCTGCCCGGAGAATGCATGTCTTAATGCACGAGCCACGGCCCCAAGTAACAACCTTAATGGCATCCCCTAGCTCGCCTAAGTATTAGAAACTCAGTTGTAAGGAGACATGTACCGATAGTAGGACCTTGAAGGCCTGCCGATAGTATGACGGTAATACAAGAATCACGAGTCAGAAGTGGCGAGTCGCATCAACAGGACAAAGGTTCATTGCGTATTGAGCGTTAACTAAACTTGAGCCCTTAAGCAACACGTTTTCCGGTCTGCGGATCAATCTTCTGGTGCCCTTTGAATTCAACTTTCAGAGATTTGGTACCACCACGAATCAAGTTCTGCGCCCAATCAAGGGCTCCTCGCTGCGTGGTCTGTTAGCAGGAGCGACAATCTCTTTTCCACGAAGGAACGACTCACCAAGCCTGCAAGAAGCCTAAAGATACCCGGGAGAAAAATAGTCTGGCTAAGTCCACTGTCAAGTGTGTCCACAATAGCATCCACGACCGTAACATGCAGAAGCGGTAAAAAAGAACTGGGACTGATTGGTCTCTCCTTTGAACAAGGGTGTTTTGATAAAACTTAGCACTGCAAGTGAAGTACGAACTTTGGGCGCATTCTGAGCTCGCAGCTCTTGGGCAAGACATTAACAGAATCAGTGAGACAATCAGGATGAAGGCAGATACCGGAGATATACCTCGTGGAACGCGATCAAACCAGCTTTCGACGCCGCATAATCCGCAATTCCTGGCGGTGGAATATAAGCAGTCATTGACACAGCATTTTGTACTGGAGTGATTTTCCTTATACGCCGATAACCGCCTATCCCTATCCGGCGTTCCTTGAGGCGCTGGAGTCGTATGAAATGGATCCGGTGTTAAGGGACAAGATCAATTTTGGGAACGCGATGAAGCTATTTCCGCGGCTGTCAACTCCAAGAGGCGGCAGTTTGTAGTGATGTTGATGAGCTTTGCCTAGGAATGCCTCAACGAGGGGGTTAAGATCGAAGAGAAACTCAACAACACTTCAATGGTGCTGGTACTAGCATTTTCATCAGTTATTTCTCTAGGGAATCAATTTCTAACCTTTTTGCAAAAACTTTCACACATGCTGTTGCTCTCGAAATAGTACAAGACCCACCAGGCCTGTAAATATGAATTCGGAATCGTGCTTTCTTTAACCTCCCTGGAGACCGCACAGGTTTCCCTGCTACATGTATACTATATAGCTCTTACATCCGGTACAAGGTATGTCCAGGGGTCTGTCATTGCTCATGCCCCAAAAAGATATGCGTCAATCCTCGGTCAATCATGCGCGTGGAATTGATGGAAAGCAAGGATCGAAAATTGACTGGCGTAGGAGTGTGCTGACTTATATCGCGTCAAAGGAGCCTCCACTTGAGTTTCAAATATTTGAATATAACACACAGTTGACAGGTAATGCTTAACAAACGTATTATCTTGATCTTATAGTTTGGGCATTTAAGTATTGCTCACATTCCAAAGTGCAGTGGCCCTGCTCCCGGCGAAGCAGGGGTGCGAACGACATAGATTTAAAAATCTTAATTTGGTATTCACATCATTTCGATATAATAATAAATAATTCTTTCTATCTACCCTTTCAATAGCTTACCAGGGATGCAACCACATTGCGTGAGTAGCATTGCCTTAACTCCCGAGAAGGACTGATGTTGTCTCGAAGCGCGAGCTGTCCGTTATATATCTTGAGTATCATAACATGTCGGCGAAAATATATACTCGTAAAATCGATCGAAAAACATTCTTCTGCCTCCATATAAGCCATAATATCTATGTAAATACTTGACAGCTTGTGAAATATATTTTAAATCGGTCAACTAGATTGTTTATATCCCTAAGATCGTCGATAGCAAGTGGTTGTTCAGCCGCTGGACGACGGAGGTAGGTGACTTTTTGTCATCGTATAGTGCTTTGACTTATTTAACATATAAAAGTTCAAATTTCAACAATCATCCGATGTGGTGTAATGGCTAACATCGCTGTCTCTCACACAGCAGCTCGGGGTTCGATTCCCCGCATCGGAAGCATTTCTTTTTGTCTTTTTTTTTCCCGTCTAGTGCAGCGCTTACTCCCTACGGTCGGTCGTCTTCACCGACGCATCTTGTATAATCTGATTCTTATCCTGACGAACATCCATATTTCCTTTTAGTCATAGTCAATATCGTATAAGACAACCTCTATACGACTCCCGATCTGCGCTACCCAAACATACTTAATATCCCAAATTTACCTAGCTGCTTATGAAGGCATAAAGGAATCTTAGCACCAGACCAAATGAAATAACTAAACATGCACGGCTGGCCGGTTTGTACTAGAGTCTTCTTCAGCTGCCTCCTTTCCTGTTTTGTAATGTGATTGTTCTGTAGAAGCCCATTTCTTTATGTAGTCAAAGAATTGGCTAATATGTCAACCAAGTCAGTGTGGCCGAGTGGTTAAGGCGACAGACTAGAAATCTGTTGGGTTCGCCCGCACAGGTTCAAATCCTGTCGCTGACGTTGAAAATTGAAAGCTTGCTTTCGTGTTTCTTTTTTGCTCCTCTCTTGTATGTGTGACCCACTTTTCTGCTGGGTCCAGATTGCGGTCTACTGTTACCATGTTGGAGGCTTGTTTGTGCCTACTATCCTAATTCTTATCCCTGTGCGGACCATGCCCCTTTCTATCACCCATCTTATCAGGTCGCCTGCTGGTTATGAGACAGCACGCATAGGCCTTTCGCCAGAGCCGGAATCTCACAATGGATAGGAAATGCATTGTCCATAAACGCCTATATGACTCGGATCCCCAGTGAAACCATCCATTATTAAACGGAGATGCGAGACAATGCGCGAAAGAGGCTAGTTAGGGCTCGGTACTCCGCACGAACGATCGTAAGTAGGGTGCTGACGCCGACACACAGACGGTTAGGGGTGACGTACAGGACTGGATGGTTCTTTGTGCTGCAATATTCGCTAACTCCTTACGCAATCGTGTGCAAGGCCTACATGGTACTTTCATTGTTATTCGTCTCTGCTGGTAATCGTCGTCTGGTATGCCCGGGATGTCGGGAGGTCACGAGGGTCAGCTTTCCGCATTACCCGCAAAGGCCTTCAACTGCGGCTGTACCACTCTTTCCGATATCCATCTTGAATTCTAATATCGCTGGTAACAATGTGTGAGCAATACGGATGCTGCGGTACAATGCTTGGGGTAGAGAGTACACTTCTTTCAACCATGACTTCAAAGTCGTTTGAGGGGTATACATTTAAATTAAGACGACCGCGCCCTTTCTTCCTAGGTTGCGTTTGATCTATATGCCCTAAATAACTTATTGCTTTGTACTATACGAGAGAAATACAATTCACAATGGCTCCTGGAATCCTGGTCAACGGTTTCCACGACCGTGCTACACCGTCCTCGACGCTCCCCACGCGCCGACGACCGTATCCTCACGAAGGCCTCCGGTTCGATCCCAAACTCAAACCCAAATCGTATCGCATGGCCGGTACCTCAACGGACTCAAAGATACTGTTCCTGGATGTGAATATTCTCGACTCAACAGGAAACGACGCATATCGTGGCGACGTGCTGATCCATGGGGAGCGCATAGTCTCGGTTGGGTCAGTCCCCAATGTTGAAGCGCTTCGCCATGACCCGAAGGTCCGTGTCATCCAAGGTCGTGGACGCACTTTGATGTCTGGCCTAGGGGATGCCCATACACATTGGACCTGGAACAATATCGCTCTTGAGCTGCTGGGTGACATTGGCGTGGAGGAGCACACTCTGATCACAGCACGCTCGGCGCTTTGTTATCTGGACTCCGGATACACCATGTGCTATGGCGCCGCATCTGCCAAAGATCGCCTGGATTGCGTCGTCAGAGACGCGATCAATCGCGGTACGTTGCCCGGACCGAGACTTCTAGCAAATGGCAGAGAGATCGCCAAGCGAGAGGGGGAGCTTGCGGCTGGAATTACTGCCTTTGCCGATGGCCCACTGGAAATGCGAGAGGTGATCAGGCATCATGCTAAGATCGGTGTTGATCAAATCAAATTGAGTATGTCGGGCGAAGCGATCACCGAAACTGTATCGGCCGAGGAATGTTTCTTCACCGATGAGGAAACAGCTGCCTGTGTGGATGAAGCCCATCGCAATGGGATTCGGGTTTGCTCCCATGCACGTGCTCGAGACTCGGTCATCCAATGTGCCAGACACGGCGTCGACGTCATTTACCATGCCTCATATACCGATGAAGAGGGCATGCAGATGCTCGAAAAGGTTAAAGACCGAGTTGTCGTGGCGCCCGCGCTTAATTGGCTCTATGCTACCGTTTACGAGGCGGAGCCCTTTGGGTATTCCATGGAAAAGGCTGAGCAGGTCGGGTACCGTAAAGAACTGGAGACCGCTACAAAGGCTTTGAAGGAGATGCACAAGAGGGGTATCACTGTTCTTCCAGGAGGTGACTATGGCTTTGCCTGGTGTCCTCATGGGACGTACGCTAGGGATCTTGAGCACTTTGTGAAGCTGTTGGACTTTACGCCGATGGAATCCATTGTCGCTGCGACAGCTGGAGTAGCCAAGCTGTTTATGCAGGAGGACGAGTTGGGCAAGATCCTTCCCGGGTATTATGCCGACTGCATCCTGGTCAATGGTGATCCTCTAAAAGATATTGCCGTCCTCCAAGACCATTCGAAGCTAGATGTGATTATGATTAACGGCCGCATCCATAAAGCTCAGCCGACGGAGTTCATTAATATAACTGCGGTTCCATCATCATTGAATGAGGAAAAGAGTTACTTCAATTTTGTGGCCTTTGAAGACGGCTTGGGACGATCTTGCATTGGCCATTTCGACCTTAGTGACTCCACAATCCAGCCGTTGACTATGGCATCCGGCTCACCCCTTACCAGTCTGAGCCAGGTCATTGAACTGGGCCATGAGGGGGTTGTTCGAGCTGCGGAACCTCCATTTCCGCTGAGCTCGGTGAAGCTCTTGCCGCCTCTTGCGGATCGAGATGTTCTCTGTATTGGCGAGAACTACCGCAAGCATATTGAGGAATACCGAGAAAGTGGGTATGCTTCTGCCGATAACAAAGTAACTGATAGTAAGCGATGCTTTCTCTTTGAAGACACCATGTATGGAAGACACTAATGGTATGCAGGCCCCCAAGTCCCAACTGTCTTCACTAAGCGCAGTACTAGCATCACTGCCAGTGGAACGGACATCTATCCCCACCCTGGATTTACTCAAACAATGGATTACGAAGGTGAACTGGGAGTCATCATCGGCAAAGCAGGCTTTTCTATCAAGGAGGAAAACGCTATGGATTATGTCTGGGGTTATACGATTATAAATGGTAAGTTTGTGGGACGAAATGAAAGAAGTGTACTGATGCAATCCAGATCTATCCGCCCGCGAGAGACAGCGAGACCACCGACAATATTTTATGGGAAAATCACCAGACACCTTTTGTCCTATGGTATGTTTGGATCCTTATCTTGCCCAAGTGCACTTGGCTGATAGTCTATTTTGTCAGGGGCCGGTTGCTGTTGAAGCTGCAGCGTTATCGGGAGAAATTCGAGTACAAACCCATGTCAATGGCGAAAAGCGTCAGGATGGCACCGCGGCGGACCTGATTTTCTCCATTTCCAAATTGATTGAGACGGTGTCTGGTGGCATCACCCTTCAGCCGGGAGATGTGATCGCAACAGGCACTCCACATGGCGTTGGAGTTGGCCACCATCCGCCAAAATTCCTTAAGCCAGGCGACTTGGGTAAGTCGAGTCTCCCGAATTTCCTAGACAATATGTCCCTAGGCTTCAAAGCTAACAGAAAGTTTTTTAGTCGAGGTGAGCGTCACTGGCCTTGGAAAGCTTTCCAATCGCATTGCGGATCCTGGTAGCAAGAACCCTACTATCGATCGTGTCCTCCAGAAGCCATCGAGCATTCCAACTTTCAACCTTGACCGGACTTGGGGCGGTGTTGGGTTGACCAAAGTCGGACCCGATCATTACATCAACGTCCGGGAATTAGGTTCCCAGAGCCCAGATGCAGAAACGATCGTTTTCATCCATGGCCTTGGTGCCAATCTGGAGTACTATGCGCCACTTGTCCAAGCTGCTGGGCTAGAAAATGACCACCGTATCATTCTCTACGATCTCGAGGGACACGGCGCAACGCCCGCCCGCGCTTCCTCAACCGCTACCCTGCAGACCTTCGCGAGAGACCTCGACCTACTTTTCGCCGCCAAATCTATCACTTCTGCCACTCTCGTTGGCTGGTCCCTCGGCGGGCTGATTGCTATGTACTTCGCAGAAAAGCACCCGTCTCGTGTCACGACGTTGATCCTGCTCGGACCAGGACCGACCCCGTTCCCAGAACCTGCCGTTGAGGTATTCACCAAGCGTGCCGCTCTCGTTCGCGAAAAAGGTATGGAAGCGTCGGGAGTGGCCAACGCTGTTGCCACGGCTGCCACCTCCAGTGTGACCAAATCACGACCCTTGGCCATTTCCGCTGTGCGCCAATCACTGTTGGCTACTCATCCGGAGGGTTATGCCAAAGGATGCATCGCGCTTGCGAGATCGAGGGGTACAGAGATCGCAGTGGAGAATCTGCGAATGCCGACTTTGATAGTTGCGGGACAGGAAGATGCGATTTCGCCAGTTAAGTTAGCCCAGGGTTACCGAAGCAAGATACCTAATTCGCAGGTGGAGTTACTCAAGGACGTGGGTCATTGGCATGTATTTGAGGACCTGGAGGGGACTGCGCAGGCTATCAAGAGGTTCTTGGGACGTTTGTAGCTTGTCTGTCACAGATGGGAGAGGAGCTGTTTGATGATTGCGTGTATATTCTCTTGTTTTCTCTCCTTTTGTCTTTCATTCGTGATATTCCTATGTTTAACCTTTCCTTTTATCTGAAATTGAGACCAATGATGTATAGTATTTATTAACTCCATTCTGTAGCAACCCCAGGTGTAGCGCTTGCACATGATTCTGTAAAGCCCTGACTCGAGCTGCAAAGTGACGTACAAATTCACCCCCTACTGGGATCCCATTACTGGAAACGAGAAAGCGCTCATGCAGGTTCCATTGTTCCGAGAGTACCGAGCAAATGGGCGGTCTGGACTTCGCCCCTCGTATTGCTTTAATAGCGAGCGTCGTCATTCTGGTCTAGTTTAAATGTTAATGATCCTTCGGCTCTGACAGCAGCCTCCAGTTTGACCATTAATCCGGGGCAGAAAAGGAGGGGAAAACAAAGAAACAGAACCTGTCTTCCCCGCATTGATCCTTGTTATAACCTGTGGGTCCGCCCGTACTTTCTTATACGACTGACCCGACCAACCCTATCCCTCTCTTTCGTGGTTACGCATATTGTCGACTCGCCCAATCTACGGCTTATCAGTCATATGGGAAGAAAAGGTAGACTCAGCGCCTTCAAAGCCAGTCGATCATATACAATGGACGCCAACCCACCCCCAGAGCAAGCCCCACAAACTCGACGCCGCCGCACCCGACTCGCCTGCGAGGCGTGCAAGATCCGGAAACGCAAATGCGACGGCCAAACACCATGCGAATCCTGCAGTCGATATGATTACCGTTGCTGTTATGAGCCGCCTCCTCGCAAAAGGCGACTCACGACCGTAGCCGCCGGGCAAACATTCTCGCCACCCGTTACACTGCCATCACCCGGTCCAGTACCCCCTTCTTCTACGGCTCGGGAACCCAGTAGCCGCCGACCAACTGAGGAGAAATCAATGGAAGCCAACTCCGGGGTCATCTTTCCACAGTTACTGGGCCTTAAGCTGAGTCCCGACCATGCGCCTTCTATGCAGCACGGCTCCGGATGGAACTTGGGTGTGCGCCGGAGTCCGCATCGTTCGGAAAAGAGCATTACCTGGATCTTATCGCAGGCTGCGTGGCAGAAGTTGTTTGGTGTTTATGTTGAGAAGATTCATCCTGTGTATGGGTTCTTGGATCTGGAGGTTGTGGCTGGACAGGCGGGGAGGAGGTGGGAGGATCCCTGCGCGTCCAACGAGTATGATGCCGTTCTGTGCGGGGTGGGGGCATTAGGATCATTGTTCTCTTCGCGGTCAAAAGCAAGCGAACAGGAACGTCATTTGATTGATTGCGCAAAAGATATTCTCGAGACGACGAGTACGTTGGTAGTTAGTCCGGGCGTTCACGATGTGGAGGGCTGGTTGCTGCGGACCATGTATTTGAGATGTCACAGTACGCCGCATGCTGCGTGGATAGCCTCGTGCACAACGATGCATATTGTCGAGGCTGCCGGGTTACATCGTGAGTCCACTCGTGGCTCACTGGTTTATCCGGAGATTAACCCCGGCGGCCAGCCGGAAAACGTGGAATGTAGGCGACGGTTGTTTTGGATTGCCAAGTTACTCAATACATGGATTTCTTTCGAGTATGGCCGATCGCAGGTCGTCATTCGAGGAGCTCAGTGCCCAGCTCCTACGCCAAAAGCTGGGGATCCTACAAGTGACCTCATTTCACTGTTCCAGTTATCGGAAAAGTTAGACCCGGACCAGACGGTCCAAGTATTGGAGTTGGAAGAGTCGCTTGTCCGGCTGGAAGATTTTCAATTTGAATCCGACGCTGTCATCCTATCTCAGAGTGTGCTCGCCTTTACTATTTATCGCCGTCTGCAGTTACTGAACTCCACCACCAATATGACATCCGTCGTCGACCGGGTCATTCGACTAGGCTGTAGAGGCCTGGCCGCTTCATCCAGATCCATCGATGCCAGCTGTCCTTGGTGGCATGTTAGTAACGTCCCCTTCCAGTTTACCTGTATTCTCCTCGCGATGGATACGCGAAAATCACTCGTCCACGTCAAGGATTCGCTCGCTACGTTGAAAAAAGCAGCCGACCATTTCGCGACACAGAAGGCGCGAAAGGCATACAAAAACATCGATTTCCTAGTCAGGTTATCTCAGAAACGGAAAGAACAGGATGCGGCCCTGTTGAATGAATCCGTAGGATCGAGCCAAGGTAAGCCAGATGATCCTACGGCCGAAGAGCAGTTGAATGGGTCTGCATCACCGCTGGGGGGTACTGGCACGGAGGATACCTGGTCTGCAGACACGCTGCTGAATCCAATGGATCCGGCTTCATTGAACTATAGCTATGACTGGGATATCTTTGTGCGTGATGCTCTAGATTTCTCGACTACGTTTCCGAGGTTGGCGGAGCAAGAATATTGATTCTTTCTCTTCTTGATGAGTTCTCTTTACAGAATGTAATGACAAATAATGCTATACAATCAACTTTGGAGATAAAATGCTTGATTATATTATTGTAATGCATGGGTTATTCGACCCATTCTGGTTTCGAATATGGATTGCTGACTCCCTCCGTCCACCCCACTCTTAATTTCTCTAATGATTTGTTTGCGAAGACCTTCCGTCGTTCTCCATGAATAGCATGATACTGCCCTGTTGGCTGTATTAGCTCTTACTCTTGTTGTTTTAAAAGAATCTTGAGCAGGATTAAAGAGTCAAGGCAAAACCATACATGAACAGTCGAACCCAGCAAACCGTCTCAACACAGCCTCACCGCCGGGGTGTCTTGATAGGAAGGATGTGCAGTCGTACACGATGTCATCAATCACCAACCCTGCCTATGTTAATTCTTTTGTACTTCGGCTTCAAAGGTAATTGTTGTAATTGAAGCTGACGTACAAATCTCGGGATTATCCACTCCGTTCCGTTTCGAGACTCGATCGGGGGAAATGTAGGGGAGGACGGTCGTATTCTTTTTGGAATACATGGTTTTGTAGACGGTTTGGATAACCAAATATGATGGATGTTATAATGTAGATAGTAGAGAAACTCCAAGCAACCGACAAGACTCATATGGTATAAGTAGTCAAACATGACGTCTAAACCCCTACCACTCCCGCCCATGGCTCAAGTCCGGGGTAGGAAAAAGGCAAGACCTTTCCCGGTTCCAGGACCCAGGAATCCGGGTCATACCCCTGTTTAGCCTGTTCATTAGTGGCGATTCTGAGTCTGTGGGGGTTACGTTGGCTACGCATGGAGCGGGTGGAAAGGGTTCGGTGGGAAGTAGGTAGGGTGTTGCGGATATTGCGGGAGTGGCTTTGACCAGTCGGGTTTTCGATATTGGCGTTGTCCATGTGCAGGTTGGACCGTGTATCGACGGTCAATGCGTTGCAAGTGCAACAGGGGCTAATTTATGGGGAATGTGGCGGTGGAGTTGCTGGATTGCGGGGTGCTCGCGTGGTGGTTGAGTTTGCGGTTGGGTGTGCGAATCACTGCATCTCAATTTCGGGGCTTCTCGATCTTGGCTTGGTACTTACGGAATGAACTGTAGTCTGTCTTCTACGCCTGAGAGGATATGTGGGTCAATCAGGATTTCATTTTTATTTTGTTTTATTTTATTTTTATTTATTTTATTTTATTTTTATTTTTTGGACCATGTCACGAGGGTTGTGACACGTCGCAGAGATGCTATGCACAATGACGATAGCCCTTACGCTCCATGAAAAAGGGTTGCTGCCATAAACCCGAAGCCGAAGAGAATATATGGTGATAGCAGGTGCTCTGAATATACGAAGAAAACATAGAGAATAGAAAAGGGTATCTATTGTAAACAGTACTTATTATGAGGGAGATGGCAGAGAGCTAAGAGAACTTAGGAGCACCCCTACACCGATATTGTGTATTTTTTGCTTGTTAGTAGTACCTATACAAGCTGAATCTCTACCTGGGTCTACTGCAATGCCAAATCGATTGACTAAACTTCGTTTTATGAGTCTCCAAACGAGAGCGACACAGAATGTACCTAGCATTGAAATCAAAAGTTGATAGGATTCTTCGAGAGACAACAAGTGCCGGGACCAGCGAAGGAACTTCTCCTTGTGCAGTGGGCCATAGCAACCACTCCGTGAGGCGGTGGAATGTGCTATTGAGTTTATGTACATATAGGCTGAGAGTCCGCCGATCTCACTATAAAAGGATCGCTGTGGTGGACACGGATTCCTTTGGTTGCACTAAGTACTCAGTAATAGCTAAGGGAACGAAAATATCCTTTAACATAATAAAACTAGAAATGGTATAGAACCATAGACGATATGCACAAGCCATAGCGGAAGATACCCTGCCGTGGCTCCCGTTGTTTATCTCACCGCGCGCAACCGTCGAAGGTCTCGATATGGGGCTAAAATACCCCACTGATTGACCCACAACAGGCATACAGATTGCGGCTTCCAATCGTACAATTGGTCATGCTAGAACCTTTCGAATAGCTGTACCTCGCTGATCAGTATTTGCCGGATGCCAATCATAGTTAGCCACGCTTGAGACCCTTCAGCTGAGTTTTGGTCTGAAGGATGGCTAGCTGAACGACGAAAATATAATGATTGAATATTTGCATAGATTGATTCGTTCATGTAATAATAACATTAATTTCTACCAGCCAGTTGAGGTGGACTGGAGGAAGTGGAAGATCACCCCTCACCTGTTCCTAAACTAGCTATAAAGAACGGCAGTCCACTGCTGCTAGACCACGCATTTTCATAGACTTTAGTACCTCTTATACGATTTGACATAAAAGCTACTCCTTACATATCCCAGCCCGATTGCATGATGACTGCCTCTCATCTTTTCAATATCAAAACTGTCGACAAGACGGGGGAAGTCAAGCTGACGAATCGCGTCAATATCGAGAAAGATATCGAAGAAAAGGCCACTTTACATGATATTAGACAGTTACTGGTGTCCGCTAAGAAGCTAGATTCAGCAAAGTAAGCTATTCATATCCGCCATGATGCTTGGTAGCAAGTCAGTAACTAACTCATGCTCAGGGCACGGTTTGCATTCTGTGGCAAAGATGGTGCTCGCGTGGGTGATGATTTCAGTTGGAGCCTCTACAAGGCCCTCGTCACCGAGAGTTCAGATCAGGTATGGTAATATGTCAAGCAAAGGCCTAAGGCGACAAGCTCAATATCCGTCTAGGACTCGAAGGTGAAGCTGCCGGAGGGCACTGATGTCCACGATCTTTGTTTTGAGTCACCGGAAAAGACTACGAAAGAAAAGTCACTGAGCAAGCAGGCGCAGGACCTTCTTGATAGCAAGTTAGATATGGACCTTGTGGTTTGTAAATTCCTTAAATTAATGCGTCCGCCCCTAATGATGAACAGAAAAACAAACCTGAGCTGATTACAGCCACTCTTAAGGAGCTGGCTAGCAAATACAATCATGACAATTTTAAAGCTGCCGCTGGAGGCGACGTTGTGTATGTTGAGATTTTACACCATGACCCTGTGCACAAGGTGACTGAAAATGAATCAGAACGGCGGCGGCTTTGTCCCAGGAAGACTGGGACATTGTTATGCGCAACACACAATATCTGAACGGCCATCGGGTGGTGTTTTCAGAACTGGAGAATGGGACTAAAGCGTTTAAAAGGATCGACAAAGCCCCCTTTGCCGGTATGTATTCCTTGCGAAAGTGGGTTCTACGTATACTTGCTCACTCTATTATTTGTAGCTTTCTCTACTGCCCCTAGAAAGATATTCTCTTTCGAAAAAGCCGACAAATCCATCCGTGTCGAGGTGAGCTTCAGACCCAATAATTCGCTTGTTTCCCTTGCCCTTCGCTCTAACAGCGAACAGGGAGAATACCGAATTCCTAGATATGTTGTTACAGATGATTCCTATGTCAATGTTTTTGAAACGGCGAGTTCATTGTCTGAAAGTGTCGCTTCCAGCTCCTTTTCCCAGATGGATATTGAAGCCTCGGCGTAAGCCAAGATTCGCACTCCGTACCACCCTAGTATACTGATTGGATTATACAGTGGTGGAAGCCTTTTTGGCGCGAGTTTGTCTGTCAAAGGCGGTTTTAGTAACAGCGACAGGCAAGCTCTCGCTACATCAACCTCCAAATCGGCGAGGTCCATGAACATCACCTATAATGTTGGTCGCACGCCGTGGCAATTGTATACATCACTGGAGGCTAACCAACTTTCATAGTTCCCCAGGGTGGTCCTACACCTCGACTCCAGAAGCTTGGAGCTGACGGAGGAATGCAAAACAGCATTACAGGAAGTCCAGTGTCCGGATAGTCTAATAAAGTTTCACCAGGACTTTGGTAAGAGACTTCCTGTGCTCACTCAAAGAGAATATTTCATAACCTGAATCCATCATAGGCCATTTCTTTGCGACCAATGTTGAGCTTGGTGGAAAGCTCCTTGCTTCGGAACAATTTACATCGGAGGATTCGGCCAAGGCAGAAGAGAAGGCTAATGCCATGAAGGCTAGTGCTAGTGCTTCATTTTCTTACGGGGCATTTTCTGCCTCTGCTAGCTACACGCAGGAGAACCAGACCAACAGTTCCAATAATACCTCGAGGAGTCAAATGACAAACCAACTCACCTGGGAGGCCCGGGGCGGCGATACGATTCTTTGTAATGAGTAAGGAGGCACTGAGAATGAGATGTGCAAGGAGCTAACGTTCGTTTAGCCCTCCAAACTGGTGCCCCACTGTTAAACCATTTACCAACTGGAGAGTCATCAATGTGCGTCTCATTTGATATCCGAGTATGACTCGGCTCTTATACTAACATTTTATTCATAGCAAAAAGACGTGATGGCTTTGGGTGATCTTATCGGGACTTTCCAAGACTTTAAGCATATTCCAAGCCACTTTGACGCAATTCGAAAGGAATCCAGACATTCCGTTGCTTGCAAGTTCCGCCTCCGGGCCAATAAACAGGAAGAGGTTGGAGATGATGAATTCTACGGAGTGCGTAAAAAGGATCAGAGAAAGAACTTGTGTAAGTGAATGAATGAATGATCCTATTCCACGAAAGGCAAAACATGCACCTTTAACATGCTATTAGATAACTACCTGCAGCGGTATAAGACGGAACTAGCGAGGGACAATAAAATCACTACTAATCTTGGATTTGCCACTGTGGACATCCCCGATCCCGTTATGTTGCAGTTTTACGATGCTTTCGAAAAGCGAGTTGCAAGCCCGTCCTTTACCGATGATTTCAAGGAATATGTTGGGATTGATAAAATCGACAGTCATAATGCAGGCTGCGATTTCGAGGTCGAAGTTGTGGTTGAGCTGAATGCAAAGCCAACGGTATGATGTCCCGAGTATTATCAATGCCATCCAATGTCATTTTTGCTTCTAACACTCCAAGCAGTTACAATTGAACGTCCCGTACCTCATCCGCGCCCCACAGCGCAACACCTATCTTGCCGCTGACACATCCGGCAGTTACAGAGGCAGATTCTTCGGTTACTTGTTCTATGCTCGTCAGTCCCGTGCCAGCAAATTCATGTTCCGAAAGGTCGGGGCCAGAGAGAAAAAGGGCATCGTTGAACACAATATGGAGGTCGAACTGGCATATTGCAATGATGCCGGAGAGCCTGCCGCTGTTGTTCAACGTTTCGAAGGTGATCAGACGACGCTGGTGCTGAGCAAGTATGGAACACCGGATTCATCGAGTTTCAGTAAACAGCACAACGCCAAAGTAGAATATATTTAGGGTTTATCCTTCAAAACGGTAGTAGCATTGGAGAAATTGAGGGAGGGATTTTGCTTGCATTGCACTTTGATATGCACCCTTGCTTCATTTCTGTCAAAATCCCCTGATGGCCATTGTCCTGTCAATAGTGTGTTCATAGGCTAGAATACTGAGTAAGATTTCCTTTTCTGGTGCATCATACATATTAGATGGTGTTAAGGCTGTCTTCTAACATTGAATACTTCCTCGCAAAACCGTTCACGATCCAATAAATAACACTCAATATGCTACAGCTTTCCTGATCCCCGTTTTTGATGGCTTATGGTGATCATCCTGGGCCGATAATAAAAATGGAAAAAAAAAAAGAAAAAATGAGAAAAAAAAAGAAAGAAAGACAGAAGTGAGGGGAAGCGGAGCAGAGGAGCTTGCAACCTAATTTTTTACTATATTCGGAGTCGGGGGAGTGGGAGCGATTTCCGTGGAATACGACATAAGCAAACTCTCCTCCACCGGATAGAATCGAGAGTGAGACACTGAAACAAGATGTTCAAAAGGCTGACATAAAAATGGGCTTGACTTCTGATGGACGAAGGAGGTGAGATCCCTAGAACTGATTGTGTTGATTACCACCATTTTAATATGATATTCTTACCTATTGTTACCGTACCAAGATGAGGCCGAAGCTCACTCGACAACGGCTATCTCGGCAGAAGAGTGCATAGCTGGTCAGATGTCATGGGGAAGGAACTTGTATAACAAGACCCTTGGGTGTGTCTGGTGCTAAGATGAATCACTCTGGTTCTGTGACGTGCGTGGCTTGCCTCGGATCCTGGGTAGAGCTCAGCTCAGAGCCCTAATTCTCCTATCACGCCACAGCTAACCAACTGTTGAGAGTACGCTTGTCTGCTCCTAACCTTTGTGAGCACAACCCTTCGCGTCTGTCAAACATAATTTTTATACAATGTGCGTGCCACTTTCTATTATTCTATAGTGTCCTGTTTGACTGCGGGCGGCAAAGCTGTCCTGAACACCGTCATGAGTTCGCTTTCTTTCGCAGCCAAGGCCTGTCGGCTTTGCATAACAGCAGCAACGGATGACTTTGATAACAAGTTACTACGCTGGTGTGAGCTTGAAGGTTTTGATACGACTTTTATCACGTATAACTACGATGATCGGCACTATGTTCACGAGCTGAATGCTGTGAAGCAGGGACTTGGGGTTAGCGAATCATACGCAGTAATAGGTATGTATAGCTAATATTATGTGCGAGTCAAGCCAGGGATTGGGCTAAATTTGTGAATCTACGCATTGAGGCTTCGGCGATGCGGCTGCATTTTGTCTCGAGCATTATCTCAAAGTCACTAACACGAGCAAGCTTTGTGCCCTCGTAGCGTACTACCCATCGCGAATCCCGGATCCTGAATGCCGTTACGCCTCATCTATGCGCGTCCTTGTGCATCTCGCAGATCAAACAGTCCAGGTGCTCTCTGCTTCTCACGATCATAAGAGACATATTATTAAACGACGTGTCGGGGCAGGGCAGGGTACGGGAGACCGGCTGGACTTCGGATACCCGGCGTACTCATACCCTGGCATAGGTCCAGGATTTGCAGAAAGTGACTTGGACAATTATGATCCGGTAGCGACTGAGATTGCATGGACCCGGACTTTGTCCGTTCTGCAAAGTGGGTTTCAGAAGCAGCTAGATTTGGAAAAGACTTGGGAAGATGTTCAGCAGGGTAAGTGTCCGGTGCAGCGCCATTTTCGAACCTATATTCAAATAGTGGCGAGTGGCTGTTGACGGCTTTGAAGAGAAGTATTTCTCATCTGATATGCCTACCGCGATGACCAATTATACCACGGAGGAAACTCCTACGGTCACATATACCCCGACACTGAAAGGTGCTAGTGGCATAAAGGCTCTTCATCAATTCTACAAAACTTCCTTTCTACAGGGCAGGCCACCCTCGATGCGTCTCCGTTTACTTTCACGGACAATCGGAGCAGATAGAGTAGTGGACGAGATATATGTGGCGTTCAAACATACTCAAGAAATGCCGTGGATCCTTCCTGGCTTGCAGCCAACCGACCGACAGGTGGAGATAGTACTTGTCAGCATTGTGACGCTCCGTGGTGGAAAGCTATATTCAGAACACATATACTGGGATCAAGCAAGTGTCCTTGTTCAAGTTGGTCTCATTGACCGTAACTCAATTCCTGAGCAGGCCAAAGGGATCACTGCTCTCCCTATTGCTGGAAGGGAGGCCGCAAAGAAGATTCTTCTGCACGATAAGGAACAAAACATGGAGCCTGAAACTGCATCCATGGCAGCACAGGTGGATGGATCGGATATACATTAAGCAGTCGCTCGATGGATCTTGCAGGGATACAATGTCGGCGACGCCTTCTGGCACAAAACCCCGTGAAAAAAAATATACTTATTATTACCAGCGATCGGCAACTTAGAAAGAAATAAATGCCAACGAGTACCCATATTGTTGTCCCGACTTTAGGATGTGCGGGGACCTTGAGCCATTCTATTAATGTTGTTGACAAGAGCTATATAAAAGCAACGAAAATTGTAGTACAGCTTATTTTTCCTTTCTTTCATTTTTCTTTCGGTGTTTTGCTTCACTAAAGTCTCCCTCTAAACATGCCAATTGCGGCGACTTTTGCCCCCATCGCTGCATAGACTGCTATCCAGCCGGGTGTACTTCAGGCTAGGAGGGTTTCTTTCCCTAAAAAATCTCCATCTAGGTGAAGATGCGCTACATGTTTGTGGCGATCATTCCAATTATTATTCAAGTGATCAGTATGCTTGATAACAAGACTCGCAATAAATTAGATACCTCCTTTGTATATTTTTACTCTTGCTAATGTGACATCATTTAAACATCGCTCCATACACGTCCACCATGTAATGTACATTCAGTGGCCAAAAGACCTTTATATATCGTAAAAGAAATCAACAGGCGAAATTGAACGCGATTAGGAAACATATCAAGCAAGTACAGGCTTGAATTCATTTTCTAGTTTCTGCCGAAGCATTGTTGTTAGCACAGGACACCAACCACCACGAGCAATAATCATAAACACTTACAGTAGCTGGAGAGTCAGATCGCCATGGATCTTTGCCTTAAGTTGGACTTCAATATCCAGGTTTAAGTCCAGCCGTAGCCGTAGCTGCTCGTCCTTGCCTTTCTTATCCTCCGACTGCCCTCCAGAAAGAGCACCACCGACCACCTTTCCAGCGGTATCGGTGACCGTGTTGACAGCTTTGGACCCCGCGGCTTGTACAAGCTCCCCAGCCTCGTTTACTGTGTTCCCGACGTCCCCGACATTACCCAGGGGAACCATCTCTTGCTGTCCCCGCCGACGTCGTCTACGTCGTGGGAGATTCTGAGCTGGCTGATCTGCCTCCATTGTCTCTGGTCTGGGAGCTGGTGCTGCCTGTGGCTCGGGCTGCATCTCCGGTCCCGAGGATTGAGCATCGACACTTTCAGTATCCCCCTGGTTGGCATCCATGCTCTCTGGCTCACGGGCTTCGTTGGGCGGAGAGGTCTGTGGTTTATCCGACGATGGGCTCTCTGCTGTATCTGGATTACCGGATTGTTGTTTGTTTGTTTCTTCGGCCGCAGCCTGTTTCTTTCGTAGCTTGGGTGGTTTACGCCTGGTAGGCGGCTGCTGGATAGTAGAATCTGGTTTTGTATCTTCGATTTGGCTCGGTTTCGGTGACTCGGCCATCTCAACTGAAAAGCATTGTGAAGTGAGAATGCGATGTCGTATTGGAGCTTTACATAATTAGGAGGAGGCGGGAGGAATTCTCATCCATGGGGCAGGTAACAACCATCTTCGAGAAAAGCTGATTAGCTTATTAGTAGCAATGTCACCGTGATGTCAATGGCTCCGGCTTGAATGATCGAAGGATATGGATATGAATCAGGATGTATAGGTAGCGACTCAAGCGAGCTGGCTACTACAGCCGAATAGAAGGTTTGTCCGCTAGTTCGGCCCCTTGTTTTAACTCTCAAATGGTGATTGCGCTTCCACCTGTTGGTCAAGAAGTACCGCTTGATAGGAGCGAGTACTAGTCAATGATGTCGCCCCGATGGGAATAAATGTTTCTAGGATGCTTGTCATCCGTGGTTTAAACCGGTTAAGGTCTCCTTCTGAACGCGTGTACAGGCATAGAGTTTAGGTGTGCTCTCAGTGTACCAGTCACCAGAGGTGTGGATATGCAATTGCACATCGGAAGAGGAGTAGATTGGTGCCCATGATATCATGTATTGCTTTGTGGCGTCGCTAGCAGATCGGCTGGTGGCGCTGATATAGAATATCGGAACCGAACACAAGTGAGAGACGATTTCGCCGCATCCATGCATTGCCATATCATTGAGCACGAGCAATACGAGCAAAAGCATATATCAAGCATGAGTGGTGGGACGTGCTTCCGGTGCCCAATCTTGGGAAATGGAAACGGCCGGGCGAGTCCTCTAATATTGAGTTGCCATTGAAAAGTTTGCCTCATGCAAACACTGCGGGGTCAGACTTGCAGGACTTGGGTGTCCTGTATGGCTTGAGAGTCCCTTTATAAATCCGCGGGACTTCTTTCGTTACATTACTGGTAAATATGCACTTTATGGTGGAGTCGCATATGATAGGTGTAATGCATACGGATTGACGTACGCCCATAGTAACTCCTGGGTGGCAATAGGTATACTGGAGAGTTCATCCAGAAGGAGGTAAGCAACCTTCCCAGGGATCGACCTACACTCTCTTGAGTTCCTGTATATGTTACGTACAATATGACGTAGGTCTAGAGCTATCCTTCATCGTGCATAGCGCATCGCCTCTATGGATAAGCATAGAATATACTCTATTCTTCCATAAGTTAAACTAGGCCCTCGGCTTTATTCCAACACATATACACCCACGATGGCCACCGCTACACCGGCAACGAAGCAGTCGAAGCCCCGATACGAAGACAAGTACTCTCAGGATCTAAGCTCCGACACGGAATCTACCTTTGAATACGAAAGCGAGTCGGAGCCAGAGACCAAGCCCCAAGCTAAGACGCAAGTCGCACCGTGGCGACAGAGAGAACAACAGGGGAGACGTCAACCAGCGCAAGATCCGAATGCGACAGCATTACAGCCGTACCAAAAAGGCACGCCAAAGGCTGGTCCACTTACCTATAGAGGCGGGGCTGGCAGGGAGGTTGGAAAAGAGGGACAGACGGGCATACAAGCGAAAAATGAGGAGAAAGAAGATACGGGCTTAAAGCTGCGTTTAGATCTGAATCTCGATATAGAAGTGGAATTGAAGGCCTCCATACACGGTGACCTGACTTTGGCTCTACTGTCAGCGCCCTGTTTGAACTGCGAGACTTGTGTTTGAGCTAACCAAGCTTGCAGGTCTTGATATTGACGCATAGATAGTTATCGATATGGGCTCACTATGAATCTTGTCCGGGTTTTGACAACTGCCTATTGCATCTACAAGGAAATAAAAAGATCCTATACATGTGGAGGGTCTTTACAATCGTCTTAGCAATGGCCGCTGTCGATGAGACAAGCACTAGTTAGCCTAAATATGCCTTTATTTTGTCGCGAATTTGGAGTACCACTCTGTCTATCCCCCTGGCTCCGTAAAGATGATTCACAATAACCAAGATATACAGGCTGAGAGGTCTCATACTAGCCAGAATGCAAATAGTGTCTTTTAGTTTCATATTCTTCAGTTCAGCGCTATTTAATAGTTATAAATAATAGCCTACAGAGGGACCACAGTGAGCAAGTCTGGCTGATTGAAGAACAAGCTAGATGGACAAAATTACTCTAAGATACCTCTCTGTTTGACCATGTAAGCTTTCTATCTGACGCCTGAAGAGGTCTCCGGGCTCACGGCTGAGCTCGGATTGAGCTTGGACAGAGTCCTTCATGTAGTCCTTGATCAGTCTAGACCTGTCCATATGATACGGTGGATTCTTGGACCGCGTCAAGGAATACATTGAGCCAAACTTGGAGACATAAAAGCAGGCAGAACCCTGGGTACACTCATCGAGGCGTAGGTATCATGGTTCAGTCTTCATTTCGGCACGATATCGGCACAAATGATGATAGTTTAAGGTTTCCAAGTTAGTCACACCCACCTTTGAATGAGACTGACACAGGATATGACAATGTATATTCCGCCGATATATCCTGGACCCTTACCAGGCAACCGGGGAAGCGAACACTGTCATACGATATGGTCCCTAATCTATTGGCCTCCAGGGCCATAACCACCTAACTTATCTGATTGGGGATTCAGTAGTGGGTTTCAACAAGATAAGGAGTGGGGCTGGGGTCTACTCAGTACAAGGCACAGAATGCGGAAATCCGTCATTTAGTTATGCATTTGGACATTTATGTCATTAACTGGGTTACCCGTGGTTCTGCGTCCCGTATAGTGTTGTGGTACCATGGAACCATAGCGTCGAACATATCCGTCGTGGAGAAATACTCATAATATGTTCCTCTAACAATATATTCGAACCTTTCGACGGTGATGTAGTCATTATGATGAAAATACCATCATAACGTGTCATATCACCGTTTTCGAAACAGAATAGTTCCTCAAGATGTCCTATATTATCTTGAGCGCTTGGTGTTTCTAGTAGATATCTGTCTACTACTGCCACACTTTTTGTATTTCTGGATAAACGGTTACCATTCGTATCATCGATTCCCCTAGTCCTTTCATTACTTAACGTATTGAGAAGGCAAAATAACGGGAGAAAATAACACGTGCAGGCCAGTCAGTAGACGGCGCTATATATAGATGCATGACACTTAGCCCAGCTTGGAGATGGCATCCACAGTACAGCCTAGAGCTCCCCCCACGAGGGGTACAAAGGCCAGACCTCAACGTGGCAAAATCCCCAAAATCGGCACCAGCATAGCCAAGAAGGGCGAGCAAAGACAGCAAGCCATACCAGGTCAACAACGTGCGTCCGGATCTGTTGGAACCCCGGCGCCATCCGAAGCCGATGATATCACATCGCAGCCTGGTGGCATCGCTGCTAGTCCGACACAAAAGGCAAGCGGCAGCGTCCCAGGTGGAAAGACTGCCACGAAGGACTTTGGCTGGGATGCCCAGGAGAATAAGGAAAAGCTCAAATCTGCTGGAGAACAAGTCGGAGAAGAGCTGCAGGAAAAGGTTCCCGAGGCCCCTGATAACCTTCCTACAAGCCTTTCTGACTTAGACGGACTTGAGGTTAGCGACGGGGGACAGATCCTGGATCAGAATGGGCAAGCTATTGGTCAGGTTGTAGAAGGGGATCCTGCCGACCTGGTCGGCATGACTGTTGGGGCCGATGGTGAGATATTAGATGAGGATGGAGACCTCGTTGGCCGTGTCGAGCTTTTGAGTGTACCTGAGGAAACAGCTGAGGAAATGGCCGAGGGAACGGCTGAGGAAGCAGGCGAGGAAGTGGGCGAGGAGGCGGGCGAGGAAAGCACGGCAGCTATCGGCCAAGCACCTAGCCTCGAAGCTGCCAAAGGTCTTCCTGTTACTGACGATGGACGCATTCTGAATGATGATGAACAACCGGTGGCCAAGGTCGTTGAGGGTGATATCAGGAAGCTAGTTGACAAAACTCCCAACGAGCAAGGAGAGATATATGATGAGAACGGTGAGCTCCTGGGCCGTGTGGAACCTCTTTCCATGGAGGAGCCTACTGGAGCAATTGGCGAAAAGATGGAAGGGGTCAAGGAGCAGGCTGGCGAAAAGATGGAAGGTGCCGAGGAGGAGGTTGGCGAAAAGATGGAAGGAGTCAAGGAGCAGCCTGACGAAAAGATGGAAGGTGTCGGGGAGGAGGTTGGCGAAAAGATGGAGGGAGTCAAGGAGCAGGCTGGCGAAGCCGCTCAAATGGCAGACGAAGCAGCTGGCGAGGGCGAAGCAGCAATAGACGAAGCTGGTGCCGCCGCTGCCGAACAGTTGCCTGATATCTCCACCCTCGAAGGGTTGAGGTGCAACAAATTCGGTAGCATTGTCAATGCTGACGGCGTTCCCGTCGGTGAACTTATCGAGGGTGACCCCAGGGTCCTTTCCCGCAGTGGCTTCCAGCTCGATGATCAGGGCCAATTCTGGAATAACCGGGGCAAAGTTATTGGTAAAGCCAAACCGGTCCCTGTGGAAGAAATCCCACCAGGCCCGTTTGCAGATTTTGATGACCTGTTTGTTGTTGAGGACGGCTGGGTTCAAGATGCAAATGGCAGGCGGGTAGGCAAGATTGTTGATGGCGATCCGAAGAAGCTCGTCGGCCGAGCAGTAGACGACGATGGTGATGTGGTTGATAAGCGTGGCAATCTTCTGGGTCGTGCAGAGCCCTGGGAGGAACCAGAAGAGCCTCCACCTGAGAAGGTCGACCTCTCCATGCTTGAAGGATTGAAGATCAACAAGTACGGGAATATTATGGGCTCTTCCGGTGTTCCCATTGCTCGTGTTGTCGAGGGGAACCTGAAAACAGTCGCGGGAAGATCTGTAGACCGTGAGGGAAATATTTGGGGAGATAGCGGAGAGGTTGTTGGACGGGTCGAGATCATTCCTGAAAATGAGCGTGAAACCCGAGGACCCTTCAGCGGGTTCCGCGACCTGCAAGTGAACGAGGAAGGGTTCATCGATGATGGCGATTCGGTGATCGTTGGCAAGATCATAGAAGGCGATCCGAACACCCTTCGCGGTCTAACTGTCGATGCGCAAGGAAATATTATCGACGAATATGGAGATGTGAAAGGTCGTGCTGAACGATATGACCCGCCAGAGGAAGAGATAGAAGAGGCGGACCTCTCGTCGTTGGAGGGTAAAACTGTTAATAAAATGGGCAACGTTGTGGATGCGCAAGGAACTGTCTTCGGCCGGGTTGCATCTGGCTATATCAAGCATATGGTTGGCAAGAAGGTCGACGCCCAGGGCCGCATTTGGAGCGACAGTGGTAAAGTGATAGGGCAGGCCGAGCTTATTCCAGATAATGAACAAGAACGACAAGAAGGACCCTTTTTCGGACTCGAGGGTCTTGTCTTGACCAAGGACGGCATGGTCGTCGATCCTGAGCAAAAGATTGTTGGTCGGTTGGTCGAAGGTGACCCGCAACGACTTGCCGGTCGAGCAGTCGATGAGGATGGGGAGCTGCTTGATAAGGCTGGAAATGTTATAGGCCGGGCAGAACCGTGGACCCCAGAAGAGAAGCAGCGCGATGTGAATCCTATGGCAGGCTATAAGGTTAACCGTGAGGGTGAAGTTCGTGACCGGGATGGGAACCTGATTGGCAAGCTGACTGAAGGGAATCTCCAACAACTGATCGGTAAAGAGATTGATGACAATGGGTACGTAGTTGATAATGATGGGAACAAGATTGGGGAATGCACCCTCATCGAAAACTTGCCAGAGGAGGAGGAGCCAGAGCCGGAGCCGGAGCCGGAGCCTGAGCCTGAGCTGTCTCCCGAGGAACTGGAAAGACAGGAGAAAGAGAAACAGGACCGAGAGTTGGCAAAGAGGATGTGTGCAATCCTTCAGCAGACGCTCGACAGTGTCCAACCGATCTGTAGGCAGATCATGCAGGTATGAGATCGCTCACCCTCCCCCTTATGTCAAGGACAAACAAGTAACCCTTCTTTCACACTAGAATATAGAGAAGGCTCACCAAACGCCGAAAGATGAGCTCGACGAGGAAGAGTTGGTCAAAACGGTGAAACCCTTAATTGAAGAAGCTGCCTCCATGCTGCAGGAGTGTAAAGGTGCATTACGGGCTTTGGACCCTACAGGGGAGGTTGCAGCGACAGCAAAAGCTCGCGACGCGGCTCATGAAGCCACGCCGGAGCAATACTCTTTGGCAAACCTGCTCAAAGAGCTCACCCAAACGGTCGTCGAGACCATTGAAGAGGGACGCCGACTCATTGCCGACATGCCTCATGCCAAAAAGCATCTCAACCCGTTGTGGGCCCTCCTGTCGGAGCCACTTTTTCAGATTATCGCCGCAGTTGGTCTTCTACTTACTGGTGTATTGGGCCTGGTTAGCAATCTTCTGGACGGCCTCGGCCTGGGCGGACTTATTCGGGGGCTATTAGGCAGTCTTGGGATTGACAAGATTCTGGAGGGCTTTGGCTTGGGCACTTTAACTGACGCTCTGGGTCTAGGGGGAAGTAAATAACTAATCATGGGGTTTCTGTTATATGCTGTAAATGTTCTTTGGTTTTATTTTACTCTCAGGGCCATTTGTGCTCTCAATCTGTATTGTAATACTGACTTGTTTATGTCTGTTGCGCTTCGGCAGGGCTAATTAATAGGCCTAAAGTCCAATATTACGCCTGGGGCTTCCTCCTAGGCCTCTGCAAGTCGGCTATCTTGGTAAAATGTAAATTATCGCAATAACTGTCTAGTGGTATTCAAGAAGGAGGAAGAGGTCTAATGTCTAAGGAGTGATATGAAAGCAATCCATAAGTATCAGTCTCAGACCTATCCACCACCCAAGGGCCATGTAGTGTTGTGATGAATGTTCTACGCCTTCCATAGGGATTTGACTGGAGAGTTTGTCCGCTAGATTGAAGACATGCCCAAATGCTACGTAATGCTACACGTCCACGAAAGCTCTTGCCTTGCTCGTGTCCAGATCAAAACGTCCATAGATGCACCTTTGCGAGCTCGAGCCCCGGCATGATTTTATTCCTATTCTAACCGTTGAATGTTCTACGTCAGTCGTCGCAACCTACTTTTCAAAGCTAATTATCGGCTTCACTCAACCAGCCAAAACTGGAACAGCTCACGAGTGCAGTGAAAGACCAAAAGATCACCTGGATGGAAGGCACAATGTCATCTGACAGCGGAAGTTTCGTATATCGGATGTGTCGCCCGCTTGAGTTGACCCCAGTCGACCGCTCTCGACTCGGCCTCGACAACTTAATTTGGCCCAAGCATTGGCCGTGAAACCTTAATATACAGTCATATCTCGCCTGCCCCAAGTTAAACAGCTTCTTAACAAAATATATGATGATCTAGGTCGACAATGAATTCCTCCTCTGACGACATGACTTCTACGCTTTAAGTGTGGAACCCCTGTCGTGGGGATACATTCCCTGATGGCCAAAGGGGCAAAAACAACAGTAACCAAAAAATAAAGAAGGAAAGTATAAATAATAATAGTGGGAGACTTCCTTCTATGCTCTTGAATTCACGTTACTGATTTTTTATTTGAGTTTCTCACAACAATCCCCAATATAATATACAGAAAGCTATGGGTACTGCTAGCCTTGAAGTTGACCCTGACAGCTTTGTCAAACTCGACGCCTTTACAAGCCAAACGTATCGAGATGTTTATCCAGCAATTGACCCTACTCGCCCCGAGCTGTCCCAGGCGGGAAAAGTGATCGTTATCACTGGCGCTAGCCGTGGCCTTGGACGTTTGGTATGTTCTTGCTTCTCGCCCCTATATAACGAGGAGATAAATATCCAAGGACTTCGTTAAGACCCATTTCTAGTCCTTTGCAGCATCGTTCGCCCATGCCCATGCCGATGCGATCATCCTCTTGGCACGATCCTCTATCAATTTGGCGGAGACCGAGAAGCTCATTAAAGATATTAATCCGTCGACATGTGTGTTGTCGATCGTCTTAGATATCTGTGACGAGGCAAAGGTCAAGAACGTCTTTGATAGAATTAAAAATCAATTCGGCATTCCTCATGTCCTTATCAACAATGCAGCTGTACTTCCCTCACAGGGAAAAATTACGGAGCAGAAGTCCAGTCAATGGTGGGAGACCCATGTACGTCACCTCCCTTGTTCATTCATATGTGGCTCTTCAAGCTCCCCAAAGGGTACAGACACCACGGGGTGTCGGAAACCATAATGAATAATGGCTGACTGTGCTTTGTAAAGGAGGTTAATGTCCGAGGGACATATAATGTCACCAAGGCATTCCTACAAATGACCGGACCCAATCCTGCCAACCCAACAACGATTATCAATGTGACTTCAGCCGCGGGTCATATTGTCGCCCAAGGGATGAGTTCCTACTGTCTGACCAAGTTAGCGGTTACCCAGCTCACTGCGTTTCTCAAAAACGAGTACCCCGGAATTACGTCTGTTAGTCTGCACCCAGGTATGATTCTCACAGATATGGGTTCGAGTGTCTCCTGGTTAGAACCATTCATGAGAGATACTGCAGAATTATCAGGTGGTACAGCAGTGTGGCTGTCAACTGGAGACAAAAGCTTCCTGTCTGGCAGATATGTAGCAGCGAATTGGGATGTAGCTGAGCTTGAGAGGAGGAAAGAAGAAATTATTCGGGATAATCTGTTAACTGTATGTCTGAGAGGGAGGTTTGGTGAACAAAGTTCAACAGGTAATCTTTACGCAAGTTGATAAATAAATACGGGATGGAAGGCGTCCTGAGGATTCTCAACGCTATATAGTGTCTGGAGTCCATTCTGATAGTGGCTAGTGATGTGTTTTTAAGTCTGTTATGTCTTATTCACATTCCTTGTCTATTATTTTGCCCACTGGTTAGATATTAACGCCAGTGTGACTAGAGTGGCATAACCTAAGTATGTAACCTAGTTAGCCTAGCCATAACATCACATAACCAATTTCGATCAGGTTCAGGCATGATATCATTTAAGTACAATCGAGTATCGATCAAGAAAATTGATAAATATCTCTCCATTTCTTATTATGTATAACATCCTGAGAGGCGGATTCGCTGGCTATGAGTGTAGACTTAGTGCCACTCGCTGCATACTAGGCCGTAACTCTGAAATGCGAGAGCATTTACATAAAGATAGTCTGTCGAGGACAGGTTGGGAGCATTTAAACCGGCACCTCACCCTGCCGCCGCTCAATCAAATGCGATTCTCCCAAAGTACCCTTCAGGACCAACACCATGTCATCGACGGCAGACAAGAACTTCAAATACGAACTGATGGCCACACAATACCGACGATAATTCTCATCCCGCACTAGCGTCGTACTCAACTCCGCAGCGCGGTGCTGTGCATACCACTGCTCGAAACACCGCTTCACCAGCGGCGTTGGCAAGCGTTCTGGCAGGGGAAGGCCTGACTTCAGCGCCTGTTCGATCACACTCAATACCGCCATAATATCACCAATGTGATGATCGTTCAGCAGGCCCACATTCTGGGCAAACCGTTCCTGGAGGTGCTGTGGGAGACTGGTGGATAGGATCAGTAATCGACCCAGGGCTTGGTTCATGTCCTGGCAGAGGCCATGCATTTTTGCCAGTGCCTCTCGGTGGAACGGACCAAGCGTCATTTCGAATCTTAGGAGGCCGATTGAACCTTGGATGGAGAGGAGGGTTTCCGCGACCTCGACGGCGATCTTCTCCGCGACTGCACCTATGGGGCTGTTGGTTTCCGGTCGGCCCCAATGCGATAGTAATAGAGCATAGTGATCAGACAGCGTGCGGATGGTGTTCGATAATGTCTTACAAATATGTCGTGTTGCGGAGGGCGGACGGGGAAATATCTGAACGATGAATGCGGCGACGAAGCCTAACAGCACGGTGACGAGTCGCTTCCAAAAGGCTTCATACCCGTGCCCCGGTAGGCCATATTGCCATGTGTGGGTGTCATCGTAACTGAAGCCGACAACCAGAATAAAGGTGGCGCCGCCCATAATGGCCGCCATGGTGAGGATTGGAGGCAGGAACAGACGCCACCACATCAGGATGGCGGTCATCGCCGCCGTAATTGCCGCCAGGCCATAGGCATTCCCCGGCCCATTGCCGGCGCCAATGTACCAGGCGACCATGCCCATCACACCCCCGACGACGGTACCAATCGTACGACCGACGAGCGATACGGTAAAATCGCCCATGTACACGAGCAAGGTGGTTTGGGCGGTGATCAGAGCCCAGATACCTTTTTCTCGGTAGTAGAACCCAGCACTATGTGGAATAGAAGCAGGTATGGCGACCGCGATCGTGACGATGACCATGCGCAGTGCATACATTCCGCCGGGATTCGTGAACCAGTGAAAAAAGCCAGTGAGCGCTCTCACCAACAGGCCTCGTCGGATAGGCCTTCCGTGGCCGCGGCTAATCTTCAGACGCCGATGCGCCTCTTTGGCTTGCTCTTCAGCATCGTCAGGGTCGGTCGCAGGGGCTGTGGCGAGATCTTCTGCGGGCGCTTTTTGGCGCGGGTTGACCAGCCAGCTGAAAGCGTAGCGCAATCCCGAAGGAATCCAGATACGTTCCTTAGTGCGCGCTTGCATTAACCGATGGACCTGGGCCAGGAGTCGTTCTAAAGCTTCTGCAGTGCCGAGGATGCGTTCCTCCATTACCATTCCCAGTATTATTCCACGGAGGGCATGGGGCCCCAAGTGTTCGGACGCTTTTAACTGGCCACTCTCATCAAACAAGTCGGCATGGCTGTCGAGAAGCGCTTCAGTGGTCTCCGCCGCACATGATGATCGGGTTGACTGTAGAGTATGCAATACGGTATCCGCTCTCGTCACAAGCTCATTCAGGCGGTTGTGCGATGCGGCTCGACGAAGCCATCGGCCAGAATTGACCCCATGAAGGCACTGCACAATGAGCTCACTCGTTTCCGAACACAGTTCGAGCAGTTCAGTAGTTGACTTTCTCAATGCCTCGCGTGTGCGGGCTCGAGAAGCCCCGTGCTCGGGACTGTTCAATGCTTGCAGCAGATCTGCGCTCTCCTGTAACTGATACTGCCCGACTTCGCGGACTCGCTTTTCCTGCATGTCGCTCTTCTCAGATCCCTGTTTCGAGAGCGGCTGGAATTCTTGTAGCTTTCGGTCGGCTCTTAGGAGGGTAATGTGGTAGTCCATCAATGACACAGTGGATAGAATAGCCTGTCGCAGAGGCTCTTGTAACGTTTTGATGTCGTCTGAACTCCAGCGGCCACGGGAAAAGTCAAGGGGTAGGAAGGCCAATGATGGTTGCATGGCCTTGAATGCTCCGATGATCTTCGCTTTGGTGGCCGTCAACTGCTGCAGGTCGAGGGCTTCGCCTGCAAACCTTTGCCGGGTGCACTTCAGTGGGATTTCCCCCAGACGGACGAGTTGCTGCATTTGCGTGAGGGCTACAAACGATGTCGACTGCGGGAAGAAGACCAAACAGCAGGCAAATCCCAAACCGATGCCGATGGCGCCTGGTTTAATGAGGACCTCCGGCAGGGAAGAGGTGAATGATGGCAAACTTGGCCCAAAGAGCAGAAACAGGTCCGCGATGATGATGCCGAAGATCTGCGCCAAGGCGAACTTGGGATTGGCGACACGGACACGAGACATGAAATAAATGAAAACACAGATCATCACGTAGAAGATGACGGTGACGCGGGCATCGAGCATGAAGCCATCGTACACGAGGATTTTAGCCTCCGCGGCTGGACTCGTGCCTGTCTGATTACCGATCGCGACCGCTTGCTGTTGCAACGCCTGTACCATCGCCTTCGTTTGTGCGTCTGGTCGTGCCGCTAAGGCGGCTTTCATACTGAGGAGCCCCCATGCCCACGCGAGACACATGCCAAAGAGGAGCGACAGCGTGGCTAGCAAATAGACGAAGAGGATTCCCGCTGGGGGTACAATGTACAGCACCAAAGCCGCGAAGAAGGTCGCGATGCCGATCTGGTGCAAGGCTGGACCGATGAATATCAGCAGCGAAGCCACCCAGGCCGCAGCCCAGCAGCGAAAGAGTACCTTCAAGTCGCGCGCATTGAAGTGGTCCAACCAGCCCGGGAGCTTCAACCGACGACCCTGCTGGCTGAGCTTACCATTGCGGGCAGCATCAGAGGACTTGGGATCGGGCATTTTCTGCACGACATTCGGGTCTCAGATCTTAAAAATCGGAGACAGGACACGAGGAATGCAGGTCATCCGAAGTGCGAGAAGTCGGGAACGGACCCGTGGGACGGCCCTGGCCAGTCTGCGAATTAAGTTCGGAGGTCCAGGAATGCAACCATAAAATCCTGAGCTCAATAACATCCAATGGTATAGCCTGATTTGACGTCATGACGGGGCCCTGGACTGGAGGATCAACACTCCACTAGACTGATTGAGCCCGAAACAAACACGAGAAGTCGGAGAATGTCCATTCAGCTCAAAGGTCGGCGTGGGTCTATCGATCATTAATCGTCTCTCGTCGTTCCAGCCCTAGTTTTCCTGCCATGTGCCGAGGTCCATTATCCACATCGGGGTTGGAGTTAAATTTTCTGTTCCCATAAAATAAGCATTTTGAAGAGGGAGTAATAATCATCATAATGATAATACTGAAAAATAAAACAAAGCTGACATATACAAACGATTCTTCAGCGTCCGAGTTTCTACGTAGACCGGACCATATTGGTGACTCGAGACACTCAAGTCCCATCCAGCTTCGGCCCTGGTCGGTGAGTACGGAGTAAAATAATAAAGGGATATATATCCTTTGCGCAGGAACCGTAGTTTATACTCGTACCCTAGCACCAAGGTGGAGACCACGCCACACTGAGGGTTTCTGTACCTGACAGTTGCTGCACCTGGTGTCGATAAACACACCGACGCTAGGAGTTGATCAGAGCTGGAAGAGATCATTCCATGGTCATGGCTCTTGTCACACAACTGGTACCCGGTATTTTCTACAACTCTAGTTGTGTTGGATAGGGCTAGCCTTCCAGAAAAAAGCAAATTCCGACTTGACCCTCATGCAGCCATGGCCTTCTCCCTCGCGGACATGGCGTCGCAGGTTTGACCATCGATTGGTAGTCATGAATCGTATGGCCGCCGAACAATATGAGTTGCACAGAACGAACTAGATATGGCGATTGAAACGGAAAGACTGCTGTTAGGCGTCTTTGCTGGAGGCTACTCTTACTGCTTTCTTCGAGACTGTTGGGCCAATCATAGTGACACAGATGAAGAAAACATGAGACGGAATCAACAGGATTATAGTGCAGATAAGAAAAGATAAGAAAAGGATCACTGCAAGCCAAGTTTTGTATGAATATAGAATATGCCTCCTGAGTTGGGATTAGTAACCTCTCTCCACTGAGGACCGATGATAAGCAAATACCTCCGAGAAATGTTGTGAGGCGAGAGGCATCAGCCACCAAGAGTCTAGATCGTCTTTGTCCCGACGGGAATCCCTTGGCGAGAGGTTACGTGCAATCCTCCTATTCGCTGGCTGGGTTGCTAATGGATTGCCTGATGGGGTTCTATACATTACATGCATGTCTACAGGGCCCAATCGTAGGATTGCACCAGGAGTGGATTCCAGGAAAACTTCGCGGATGCCTTCCCCCCTGATCCTACAAATCTGTACTGACCAACGACCGGAGCATCGTCGGACAACACATCTCTTCTAATGCGTGGAGTCTTCCGATTCAATGCCCTTCTCAAGTTTCCAATGGTACTCTCGGTCTGCGAGCATCACTGCCAAGTCGGCATCTTCGTAGACCTGTTCCGCAACGAAAGGGAAGCGTCCTGCTCGCACCGATGCACAGGAAGGAAAGCCGAGGCGACTTACTGGTCGGTGCGCAGAGCATGAATCGGAGTCTTCCTGCTACGACAGCCGCTGAGAGGGATTGACATCCAAAGCCTGATGAGTTTGAGTTTATCCCCACATGGCATACTTTGCGCCACTCCTGACTGCGACACGAGAGAGCGTGGAGTCCTTTGTCTGCCTATAGCACGGATCAGTAATGCCCCGCGGGAAACTGGCGGCCGACGAGATGGGCACCAGTGCGTCAGCAACAGTCGCCAACGCAACATGCTTCACCGTGACAATCCGTGGAGACTCCACCATGGCCTTCACGATAACTAAGCGTTCCGGCCCCCGTCCCTGTCATGTGAAACGGAGTTGCTTCTAACCATGCAGAAGAGGAAACAATATCTAGGAGCTGAAGACTTCTACAAAGGCAAGAGATCATCACCCTTTCTCCATACCATGAAGGCGTCTGTCCCTAACCCTATGCCAGGTCTAAGATTGTTGGATTCTAAGTTGGCGGCGATACCGATCATCGTCGCTTTTGCACCCATAAAAGTCATAGCGGCCGGAGGATTCGTCGCTGTGGCGCATCTCAAGAACCGACAAACCACGAAGGACCTAGACTACCTGCTGGAACCCGACTGGGCCAACGACAATGACATCAAACAATCGCTTCGCGAGGCAATTGTGCAGGTAGCAGATGAGCTCGGCTATCCACAAAACTGGGCAAATGAGGATGTCGCGCTGTTCGTAACCAAGCAAGCGAGGCAGTTGCTGATGGACCTTGCGTTGAAACAGAATATTGTACTATGGTCCGGAAACCAAATAACCGTTCTTTCAGCACCGGTCGAATGGGCACTGGAACGGAAATTGCGACGCATTTACGCGGCAGACCGGGGCCGGAAAGCCGAACTGGATCTATCTGACGCGCTGGCGATGTTGAACCTCTTGAAGAAGGCCAAGGGGAAGAGGCTGGACATGGAATATTATCGCACATTGAATATTAACGGCTTCGACGTGGTCCCGGACCGAGAGACGATGCAACGCGTGTCGGCCGCTTACAAGGCAAAATACAATGAGGAGGTCTTCTCCTGATCCTACTATAGATCGATGGTCATGATCCGACCAGATGCGTCACGTGTCGTTGCCTGGGTGCCTCCGTAGCCGTCAGTGCTGGCAACCTCGTTGGAGGCACGTACGGTAAGGCATCGACAGATTCTATCCCATGACCAGTCCTAATATGCGTAGTCAATGTCTCAAGGTATTAGACGTGGCTGATTCAAATGGTGTAGAGCCACCCAACATTCGTGACGATATTTCGACGAGCAAAGACCTTGTTTAATCCATCTGCTTCCAGCAGGAGCTTCCTGTCGTCGGAAACATATTCTGGTGGAAACCGGTTGAGGTCTCCAGGGGAAATTGCTGGCACCGAGCTTGTCCAGACCGGCCCTGAGACGGGCGCATACGGAGGCAAGAAATCCTTTCCCGTTTCTCGCATGATATGGTTGCGGTTCCGGCGCAAACCTAAGCTCAAACGCCAGTTGAACGCAACGACCAGTTCTTCCACCAGACACGCTAGAATGGCATACCGCACCGGATCCGCATCCCGTGGGTCGCGAATACCCTGTAACGACCAGTGCCGCTGATACCAGAAGTATTCCGTTTCGGGACCGAGCGCCTCATACAGGCCGGATATCATCGCTTCATACATTCGGTAGAGGGATCGCATGGGGGTGTCTCGCGCACGCCATAGTGGGATACTCCGTAGGTCGTCCAAGTATTCTAGTTTATTTTCTTCTAACTCCACATTACCGAGAATGTCGAGGGGCGCAACCGGGTCCGGAACGGGAAAACTCCAGCTTGGGAATGGAATCAATAGGCGTATCAGAGCGAGAAGAGGGCTTTCATGGAATCGGCGTAGTCGGACCAGGCTGCCTCGCAGCCGCAAGGGTGTGCTGAGATTTCGAAGTCGCCAGAGCCATTGGTGCAGCCTCAAGCGTAAAGACTTTTTGCGGGGTGGAGGGGACATCAAACCAGGGGAGGGAATTTAGTTCATGAAGAGAGAGTGTCTGTATGAATGTGTATATTTGGAAAGGGAAAATGAAGACAAACAAGCGGTCAATTTGGCACCTGATTTGGTGGCCGGATTAACACTCCTCCCGATCACTTTTTTGTTTGGGGGAATCTGGGGAAAGTGACGTCATCAGTCACCGTGTTTATGCCTCTGGCTATTCCATATTCCTCTCTTGAATCTTAAAGCATTCATGGTACTGTGGTAGTGTCTTATAGGATTAGAACCACTTTGATACAATTGCTATGTTTATAACTTCCGCGGGAATGTGTTTAGACCCATCCAGGCACATCGAGCGTATCTGCACATAACCATCCCGATATATATTCCCAGGACCTTTCTCCCCCTTGAATACCCGTAGCTCTAGATGTTCAGTTGCCCGCCTGTACTGCGTCCGCCATGCCCCCTAACGTGTCAAATCTCCAATCATAGACGGTGTCATCCCGATTACCCATAATGGCTCCTGGACGCACAATCCACACAGACTTGATATCCACCTTCCGCGCCGGGTGATGGTCATGAAACTGGCTCTGCGCGGTCTGGAGCACCTGACTGGGTTCAACCCCAAACTTCTCCTTCACAGCGCTTAGCATATACTTGAAGTTGTTGATATTGGGCTTATATGATCCAATGTCTTGTGCCGTAATGATTAGATCGAAGGGAAAGCCTTGAAGACTGCCGGCATTGGTCTTGGCAAACGACTCACGGTCGACGTTGGACAGGACCACAAGCTTGTAATGCTTCGATAATTGCTTCAGTGCGTCGACGGTGTCAGGGAACGCTGGCCAATGCCCTACTGATTCGCCGAAGGCCTTACTTTCTTCCGCGGTGGGAGTGGGGAGGCCTAGTTGTTGCAGCAGCGCAGGGTGGATGGTAGCTAGAAGATCGGAGTAGTGCATCTCCGGTGTTTTGGCTTGCTGATCCCGCTCCAGCTCATGGAAGACGTGGAGAATATGCTCACGGGATAACTGAGGGGTGTTTCTATCAAGAGACGTTTGGAGAGCAGCCAAAATGCCTCCTTCCCAGTCCACCAGGGTGCCGTAGACATCAAATGTCAGCAGACGGTAGTCTTGAAGTTGTGACATTTTTTCTTGAATGCTTGAACAGGACTCAAAGAAATAAAGATATTAGAAAATGTAGAAGGGGAATGAATCTGCAGCACAATTGTTACAACCAGAAGTCTTCCATGCCATTTATATCGATTTTCAATCTCCCCAACTGCGGGGTTTCATATTTTCGGCTTTGCCCGTTTTGGGACGCCGCTATCAACAGCCTAAAGATGGAATATCAAAAGACAGAGGTTGGGCTGAAGTTTGCATATTTCCAAATATTTGTAAGCTTATTGCGCTTTTAAACAGGAAGAGCCCCGATACCGATTCTATTCATGTTTACTAATACTTACTGCCGAGTGGAACTGGTAGTAAAGACACGCTGTTCATCACGATGAAGCTCCGTTTGGACTATATTATAAGCTGCCCTTCTGGAAATGAGACGTGCTGCAACGAAGGAGATAATGCTTCACCGGACAATCGTTAGATTTGCCGACGGGCAATTATACTCCTGATCTCTCCAAGCCTCTCCTCTTCGCCAAGTCGTTATCCACAACGTCATCCAAAACCGCCTCCCCTCTCTTCATAGCCTCTAGCCTGGCCAGCTTCAACCTCCTCGTTGCCCTCTCCGTATCTCTAGTTATCCACCAAGTGACAAGGGTAGTCAAAATACAAGCCGCCATTAACCCCATCGTAACGGCGAACGGCACCGTATAATGCGGCGCATACTTGCTTTGGAATATCTGCGGACCGATAGCACCTCCAATCTGACCATAGCTATTTACGAAGCCGATGGAGAAGGCGGAGCCAGTCGCGCGGCTCGTGGTCTGTACGCGCCACGGCCACATCAGCGGGAACCAGGCACTTCCTAGTGCATTGGCGATGACAGTCACGGCGTAGACGGCGCCGTTACTGGGGAAGCTGTAGAGAACACCGTAACAAGCTAGGATGACAACTAGAAAAGACAATGGGTAAAGGGGTCGGGGAAGACGAGAGCTGTCAGCCCAAATACCGAAAACCCCGATGCAGATGACCGTTAGGACGGAGGTGGGGATGTTGAGAAGCTGGGATGTCGCAATGTCCCTGGTTTTTTTTCAGCTAAGCATCATTATAGAAGGCCAAGGGGGACATACGTGAACCCTAAGTTGGCGATCACGGTCGGTTGGTAGAATCGTAGACCGTGCGTGCCCACGGTAAAGAAGGCCCATATCAGGGTGAAAAGCCACAGGCGGCGGTCTCTCAGTGAATCGAGGATTTCACGGAAATTGAAGTTGATCTCTTCGGCTCGGGGTGCATTGCGTGGTAATCGTGCCTGGATGAACGCTTTCTCTTTGTCTGTAAGCCATTTGGCTTGAGGAGGAACTGTCACCTCACGATTAGTCTCGCTATCCATCGTCTCCAGTCAGGGGGATGGTATGCATACAATCAGGAAATATGAATATCAGTGACAAGCCGAACGCGACCGTGATAATACCCTCGGTTAGAAAGAGCCTGAACATGCCTGCATCAGTAACGAATACCTCACAGGAAGGACGAAATCGCACCATTGCCAACCCGATAGTCCATGAGAGCCAGAAACCGTATCGAATGCGTAAGCGAGTACGCCGCTGATAATTCCAGAGAAGTTTCCAAGGATATCTTGTTCTGTTTAGCAATGCTAGCATATCGGAAGACGCAGGCTCACTTACAAAAATAAAGCAATCTTAACGACATCTCATCCGGCCTATACCAGTAGCATAATTGGAGAATAACGCCAGGAAACAACCCGGCTTCAAACTAAACCACAATGTTAGCAATCCAAACGACCGAGTCACGTCAACAGGGGTCCTACCAAGCCCAGAAGGAAGCGCACCGCGTACAGTCCCTCCTTATTCTTGACTGCGGCATGACAGGCGAGGGCAATTCCCCAACTAATCTGCTGCTGTCAGTTTTCCTCCCATCCAGTAATACTAACTAAGCGCTTACCATGATCCGAGACTGCCACCTGGAGGGAAGCAATCGTTTGAATAAGAGGTTTGACGGGGTTTCGGCCACAATATATGGAATCTAAAGCTGTCAGCAAAACCCGCAAAGAATACACTCGATACATACGTAGTAAAGAACTGTGACGAGGTTATATTGATCAGCGGTCATGCCGAGCTGGGTCAAGATATTTCTGTCTGTTCCCTTGTTCATGATCTTCGCATTCGCGACCTAAGTAAAGTACGTCAGTATCGCCCTCGTTGACCAGAAGAATGCTCTCATACATTTTCAGAATCTATGTTCTTCAATAGGAACATTATCGCACAAAGTGGCATAATGTGCCAATCGACCCGACGCAACAGCTTTTTCTCTTCATCGGCTGTAAGGGAGGTTCGTGCCCTCATCCACTCGGCATCGAATCCCGCAATATGCTCAGTACCGGCGCTCTCATTGTCGAGCGCCTGGCCACGACTTGCGTAGTGGAGAGTATTATCTTTCCTGCCATCATGGACGGAGCTCTGCTCACTGACAACATTGTTTTTCGAATCTCTCATTCTTGTATGCACGCACTCTAGTAAAGCTCGGTGGACAAGAGGATGTTGGAATATATGGAAATCAGGTCGGAACCAGAATTTTACAATCGTTTACGATGAAGTATGCATGTATTTTCTAGCGGCATTGGCTTGGTTGAATTAAACTATTGCACTTTTTCGTCCCTCTCCTACCCCAACAGCGTCTATCGACCGTAAGCACAGATGCAGCATAGTCTCCAGTTGACGTGCTGCAAGGATCAAAGCACGTTCATACTACTGCAACTACCTCTGCGGACTTTGTCCGAAGTACTACGAATGTACTAGTCTTAGATTTAATATCGGCAATCAAAATAGGAAGTTCAGCACGGCATTCGTTAGCTTCTGCCCCACTTCTATCACATCATCAGTTAACCTGAATCAGTTGCTCTAGTGATAGTTGGTACTTTTTCAGGGTCATCGACTTCCCTGAATCAAAGCTTCTAGCTTCCAAAAGCTGAAAAATATCTGGATATGTAACTATCTTCCTGACATTATGAGTGTGGTCGTCTTTTCATTGGTAGCTATAACATCACAACTAAGCAATATCCCCTGTTTTAAACTGTCTCAACCACATGGGTCTCAGATCCTTTCTTCGTAACTCCCTTGTAGAACTGCCGCTCCTCATAGACCTTAACATCGTCATCGGCATAGATACGGCCCTGCTTCTCTTCCTTAATTCTTAACCGACGGATTCTACGGACATCCCACTCAACATTCCTGGTCAACCACCATGTCCACAGGTTCGCTAGACAGGCTGCACCAATCACACCGGCACAAATACCGAATGGTGTCTTGTATCCGTTGTAGGCAAATTTGGATTGAAAAAGTTGTGGTCCGATAACGCCGCCAACTTGGCCAACGCAGGACTGGAATGCTAATGTGAATGCGGCGCCGGTAGTCCCTTTTAGGGAAGATGTTCGCCCTGAGATAGGGTTAGTTTGTCGAACTATTAAAGAAAGAAGAAAGCTGAAGTAAAGCAGAGCTCAGAAGATAAACTTACATGCCCAGAACGGAATGAAATATACCGAATAGAACATATTGCCCAACACGCACGAGATATAGATTCCAACGCGGGATTCCAAAACTGTTAGCAAGATGAAACACACAAGCATTGGTCCCATAATACAGAACATGGTGTACGCAGGGCGAGTCAGGTATGCCTGTTTCAGGAACCAGCCTGAGAAGATAATCGCTAGGACTGCCGCCGCAGATGGCGGGATATTAAGCAACTGATTGCGTGGAAGCCCCGCAAACCCAAGACTGGTGGTGATCGTGGGAAGCTCCCATGTTAAGGCGTATCCTGAAAAATTGACGAGAACCTGGGATAGCATGAAGGCATAGGTTCGCGGATCCTTGAGTGATGCGATCACTTCTTCTTTGCAAAAGTCGGAGTCTGCTGTCTTGGGTGCATTCTCTGATAGTCGTGCTTCGACATAGTCTTGTTCTCGTTCCGAAAGCCACTTTCCAGTCCTAGGAGACTTGGGCCAGTCTGGAAGGACAAGGTAGATGACTCCGGAGAAAAGGATGGTAAATAGGCCTTCTAATAAATAGACCCTTGTGACTCGTTAGTTAAATACGTCTCCAATGTGGTTTGATACTAACCATCGCCATGCACTCATTCCACGTAACCCGTTCATGTATGATATTCCATATGCTAATAGCGAACCTACAATTCCGGACGTATTCTGGAAACCGAACATCCACATGATGGGCTTGCCCATCTCATCGCTGCGGTACCAGCCGCATAGCTGGGCAGCTATACCTGGAAACATGCCTGCTTCGCACATCCCAAGGAGGAAACGTAGTGCCCAGAGAGTTTCTTTATTCTTTGCTGCTGCATGACAGGCGAGCACAATACCCCAAGTTAACATAATTCGCGACTGCCATAAGCGCGGCGTGAGCCGCTTCAGTAAAAGATTACTCGGTACTTCGAACACAATGTAGCTGATCTATAACATGTTACTCCTTGTTCATCTTTTGTGCCCAATAGTTGTGGTTATAGCTGACAATAGCTAAATAGGAGTTTTGACAAGGGACGAAAGGAGAACTAACAAAATAAATAGACTGGACCCAATTGTATTCGTCCGATGTCATCTTAAGTTCGTTTAGCACGTTCCGGTCTTCTCCAACTTGCAATACCTTGACGGACGCCGCATTGGTATAATCAATCTAAGGTAAATCAAATGAGTATTAAAACAGGGCCTCGGCACACATGGGAGAATGACGCTTGTTACGCACTGTTTTGATAATGTACATCATGCCGATCAAAAATAAGAACCGCCTATCAATCTTCCTCCGGATTCGCTTGTCCTCCTCCGCCGTAAACGATTGGAGTAGGGCTTTTCTTCTTTCATCTTCAACTCCAAGGTTGGAACTGCTCTCTCCTGCGTCAGAGAACACTGTTGAGTTGGTGATTTTTTCCATAGCCGCGAGAGCACGGCGAGGACAGTAAGCAACAGCGAGGGAAATCGAAAATTCAGGAAACAGGAAGCGGAAGATAGAGTTGACAATTAAGAAATACTATGCTAGAGGAAACACGGCGGTATTCATGCATCATGAATGAAGGCCAGAAGGGCATCCGCCAAGGTTTAACGGACATGAACAATACCTCGTGGCTATCACACAATTACTCTCTCCCTCCTTGTCAACTCCTAGAACTGACCTGCCAAGTCTAGACAGAGTTTAGTTCAATGTGGAGAAAAGCAATACGAGTTGGCTGTTGTCGCTAAAGCCTTATCGATGGGGTGATCTGTAAACGGGATGACGTGCGCATATCAGTCTCGATTTCGGCAGTTATCCCAAATGACAGCTAAAGGTATTCGTAAAACAAGGACATCGCCGTTTCGTCCTTTTTTGCAATATGCATACTAGTCTTGGAAGAAATAAAAGGAGTTTGGACTAATTTGAAAGTAACCACACTATGCCAGTACGAGCGATACATTCATTTAATAGTCATAAATTGACCATACCTAATTCCCTGACATCTGAGCAGTTCTTTGCCTTCTCCAGTGGGGTGACTTGACACGTAGGATAACCATTGCTGACCCGACTAAAACAAAATTTAGTATCCCCAGCCCTGTAAAGCACCAACCCCATCCCATCCTCACGGTCAGTGGATGAATGATCGCTGCAGTCACTGCCGCCGCAGGGCTCCGAAGCATATTTCCCAATGCAAAGGCCTGCGCAGCTTGCTGGCGGATACACTCGGTAAGGAAAGCATTAGTCGTCACGAATATCCATGACATTCCAAGTCCCACTGCGACCAGACGATAGCTGTTAGTCAGGCTTTTCCTTTTTTTGTTTTCTTTTACATACAGCAAGCTGTGTTAAGGGAGGCAAACATACCCAGAAATGTCGACACTAGCACTGCTGCCGGATGAGTTGCCCTATGCACGAACCAGCCAAACATTACTAGACCGGCGGCACAAAGTATTATGCCTTCAATCTGGTCCCGAAGCCTGGCCTCCGGTGTGACCTTATCGTCTCCAAGCGCCTTGACCATGCGAGCTCGACGCCAGTCAGACCATCGACCGCCAGCAATGGAGCCGACAATCATCGCAACGCCAACGGCAAGGTATCCAGCTCCGACCTCCGTTGAGCTCCAGTGATATACATTCTCCAGTGCTGTAGGAAGCTGGACCGCGATCCCGAAATATGACGAATAAAGAATGGCGGTATTGACAGAGACGATGCCGATGGGAGGATAGGTGAAAAGGCGCCAGTAGCCTTTTAGGGTAGGTTTCGGGGGAGGAGGTCCGCGTTCGGGCTCGGGGGCGAGACAGGAGAGTGGGTTGGGAGGCCATAGGATCCAACCTTTATCACTATACGGCTTTCCGTTGCCTACACGGGCGCGAAGGGTCTCCGGCTGGAATAGAAGCATGACGAGCCAAAGCGCAACCGCCATAATTGCTAAGTTTGTGTCAGAACCGAAGGACTAGAAAAACAAGGGAACCTTCATACCCAAGAATGCGAAAATCCATCTCCAGCTTGCTTGACCAACGATTGCACCTCCCAGAATCGGGCCCAAAATAGGACCGCACTGAGGGCCCAGCATGAAGTAGGACATGGCCCGGGCACGTCGCTTGGGCTCCGTGATCTGTTCATAGAGTGAGTATAACCATTTCTTTTCAGCAAATACGAAAGGGCATGTCATACATCAGCGACTGTACCAGCACCCATTGACACGACAGCCGATGAGCCGAACGCCTGGACGATGCGCAGAAACACCAGAGCCCCAAAGCTTGTCGGAAGCACAGCCATTAAAACATTTGCGATGATATATACTACTAGAGAGATCAAGTACAACGGTCTTCGTCCCTTCCAATCCGCATAGCTTGACCAAAAGAGGGGCTATGTAAATGTTAGCCCATGGCCGCTGGCAAGCTGAGAGTATGCCAGAAGACTTACACCGAAGCCGAACACCGCCATGAATACGGAAACGGTCGCATTGATAGCTGCAGTGCTTACTTGAAACTCATGTTCTAAAACAGGCAAGGCAGGGAGGTAAATGTTTCCTGCCAATGGACCCAAGAAGCCGGCCACTGTCACCACCGCGAGAATGAACACTCTCCTCGGGCGAGAGAAGGCCGTATAGGGCGGCGGCTGTGTGACTGCACTTGCTGGTGATTTCTCTGGTATCGCCACAAGGCTTGATGCCTGCTCCTCCTTTGCAACCGAGCATGGCTCGCTCGGTGGGCTGGTGGCAGGACTCGTCATGGCCAAGATATGCTTGAATAACCGACTCGCACGCCGCACACAAACAAAGCAGTTCTTGCCCCGGGTATATGAAAGTCGTAAAGGCTTTACTTACTAATAAAAGAGTGAGAAATAGGTAATAATAATCATCATAATATTTAACTAGTTAGTCATCTTCATCCTCGTAGCACGAGTGGAGTTCAATGTTGAAAGGGCAGGGTTTAATAGCCAGGGCTATTCTCCACAATCGTATCCATGAAAATGTGCTCAATCCCGCGCACCTACACCTTGCCAGCCAGTAACAGCCTCTTGTAGTTGCTTGGGTTGTCTCTCTTTCTTTCTTCCTTTTTTACAGTTTTATCTAGTTAGACTAAGGCTTTCTTGGCCATTTACATATCAAACAAGCCTCTTTCATATAGTGACTCGTTAGTCACCTTGGTCTCGCATATTATAATCTCTCTATAGATGATACTGCGAACTCTTGCCACTACACTTTCCAAATGATATTGATGTGAAAATGTCCTCAATAGATCGCATTATGAAAGGAGACCGGGATAAGGATAACATCCACGCCCATGAACAAAATGCTGGCTCTGATGAAGAGTACGCAAACGAAGCCACCATCAACAACCAACAAGTTGCCTCCCTCAGTACCAAGAAGGCACTATGGGCTTATCTAATTCTGTGCTTTTCTGTGAGAATATCCCAAGGAACATGGTTAGTAGCACCTTTACTGATAATTGAATCAAGACGGGCCCAACCAGTTCCATGGCCTTCAACTATGTCTCGGCAGCTATCCAGTCTGCAGCAAACACCGTCGGCCATCAGCCGGGATCAGACAAGCCCTGCGCTCGCCGAGGGCATATTAAATGCTTGGTGAAGTTCGGAGCAGGAGAGATTGACTATGTCAGCTATGTGTAGGCCTTGCCTCATGATGCTTTGGGAAGTGGCACTGAACGAACCAGGCTCTATCTACGCTCGATCGGTCGCGCAATGGAAGGCATTGTCACGATCATGACTGCTGGTGTCGCAGACTACTCTCGTAAGAGCAACCCCACTCTATGTTTCGCCAGGCCTCATGAAGAAGCACTGACTGACTCGCTCAATGGGAACTAGGATATCGCAAAACTATGATGTTGTGCTCAATTTTCCTATTTGGCGCGCTGGCGCTGCCATTTGCTGGTCTAACCAAGCCCGACTATAGCCACCTCAATGCACTCGCGACCTTGTACTGCTTGCTGACTACGGTGCAAGGCGTATATACCGTTATTGAGGCATCGTATATCCCGATCTTCATGCGCTCGGTTGGGGGGTTGCACTCTGCATCTCCAGTAGCAGATCCCGATACAAAGCGTACATGGAAAAAGGGCTTCACTGTTAGTGTTCTGGCATTGGTTGCCAGCAATGTCGGAGGAATTGTTTCCTTGCTCATCGGTGTTATCCTTTCTTACGGTATCGGCTCGTATGTGCAAGTGGGTTACTTCAGTTACCTCCTCGCCATTACAATTGCCGGTTGCATTACCAGTAAGTCCACTTCCACTCCACACCTGGACCTGTATCTGAACCATTCCGTGCAGTTGTCTTCGCGACCATTGGCCAATTTCTCCTCCCCTCTGTTCCGGGTCAAGAGCGGCCCGAGGGCCAGAATCTGTTGCTCCTGGCCGTGAAAGGGTGGATCCGCATGATCAGGTCAGCGCGTCACTATCCTGAAGCGTTCAAGTTCTGCATTGGCTGGATTCTGTGGAACACCGGCTACAGCAACTTCCTCGGACTGACTCAGTCGCTTTTCCTGGAGGTCACTGGCATTGCGAGAGGCTCGGGCGTGTATCAAGTTTGGTCCTTTACCAACGTGATCTTTGCCTGCGTGGGTAGCTTAAGCTTTCTGTTTCTCTATCCTCATGTCCGTGTCCCCATCAAAAGCTGGGCATACTTCTTCTTGAGCGTCAACTTCCTGTGCGTCCTGTGGGGATGTATTGGGATCAGCAACCACGTCACGATCGGGTACAAGCATGCCGCCGAGTTCTGGGTGGAACAGGTCCTCTTCATGAGTACCAGTAGCGCCCTGCGATCCTATAACAGGACGGTCTTTGCGTCACTCATCCCATGTGGATCTGAAGCCCAGTTCTTTGGTCTGGAAATTACGCTAGATCTTGCTACTGGATGGATTAATCCCCTCGTGCAAGGAGTGATTCAAGATCATACGCATAATCTACGGTTTCCCATGATTCCTAATGTGTTACTTATTTTTGTGGCGGGCTTACTGTACATCTGGGTGGACATTCCGAAGGGTATCGAAGATGCCAAGGTGCCGTTGAGCGAGGTGAGAGGAAGCAACTAATAGGATGCCCAGGGAACTTGGTCCTCCGAGCGGTTTGTGAGACCGAAAGTCTATTGTTTTGTTACTTATTGCATAGTGATTGGAATGAAAGGATGTTCTGTTCCGCCCTTGTATGACTGTTATCTGCGTGGACCCGCGGCAGACCATAAGCCATCATGAAAGGGATCCCCCTGTTGATTCTGTTCCACCACTCTTTCAGCCTTCAAAGCCTTCCTACACTGACTCAAATCAGTGGAGTAAATTGCCTCACATCGGACGGCTCGGCAGGGCATCAATCGCATGCCAAGAAGCGCATCCAAGGAGAACTTGACATAATAGCGTTGCGTATCTTGTCCTTTAGTGTCTCTTGGCAAGCAAAAAGCTTTGTCCAAGTCCGGGGCGAAGGAACACAAGCACCACCTTTCGATATTAAAATGTAAGCACCAGAGAACATTTGCGCACATTTCCTTTGGCAAGAAGTAGCACAGACCATTGTTTGGTCCCCTCTTTCTGTTGCCAGTTATGCTTTTTTACAATCAAAAGTGGGAATATACGAGAAAAGAGAAGGAAAGAGAACTTTTTCTTTGCCCTAATTTTCAACATCGGAGAATTCCCGGTGATTCTCGTACGTAAGATAAGCTATTATTCTACGAATTGTCCTGCACAAGACACTGACTTCGTTGTTCCTGAAAAAGTAAAACAAAAAAGAAAGAAAGAAAATAAAAATAAAAAAGAGAAATGCTCGAGTTTGTCTCCTACATATCAATCCGCCTTCCGTTCCGTGAAAATTAGACGAAGAGCTCGTGGGTACAGCGGACCGGCCTGAAACACTACGAGTCAGCGTCTGTTCCTTTCTTCCTTCCCTCGAGTATGGCCTTTCAGCCTCGGGGGTTAGAATGACGACTTACGGGAGTCTTCCGATCTGGCCATTCTGGATCCAGCGACCATGAGAGTCTGCTGACCAGGACAAAGAGCGCCACTCGGGCCTCAAGAAGCGCGAATTTCTCCCCTAAGCAGGCTCGGCTGCCACCGTGGAAAGAAATGAATTCCGCACGGGCTCTCCTCTGACGGTAACACTGCGATATCTCCGTGCTACTCTGACCCCACCGCTCCGGCCGGAACTCGTCCGCTGTTGGTCCCCAGACTGACGGGTCACGGTTGGTGGAGTAGCAATTGTATCCGACATATGTGTCCTTGGGTATGTAGATCTGATTACCCAAGACGACGTCTTGTGACGTCCTGCGATTGATCAGTTGCGATATAGGTGGCAGGAGGCGGAGGCTCTCATAGATGACGCATGTCAAATAGGGAAGCTCGCTGAAAGCAACATATGATGGATCGGGCGTACTACATGCGTCGATTTCTTGTCTCAGACGGGATTGGACATCCTATGACATTAGCTACATCAGCCTCAGAGAACATGCCACGCTTACCGGATGCTTGGCAAGCAAGTACAGCATCGAAATCAGGAGCAGTTGCGGGTTCTCTTGGCCGGCGACAAAAAGCACGTTCAGGTTGTCCCGGAATTGCTTTTCTGTCAGTACCCCACCATCCCTCGCAGCGATTAGACGTGCCCCTAAGTTACCAGGTTTGGGTGTTCCCTGTCCATGCCGCACGCCATGCTCCAATGCGGTGGAGAACTGTTCCACCACGTTTCGGGCTCTCGCGCGGCACGGAATCAGCCTACCGAATCTGTCCAGGACTGGAAAGTTCATGAAGATGGGTTTGAAGATCTCTCTCTTTACAGCAAGCTGTAACTGATGAAGCGTTGGTTCGTCTCTGGTTGTGGGTTTCTGTACCTTTCGAGTCAGTAGTGAATAAGCTTCCAGTCTAGTAGATAAGGGGACAGACGTGGTTTGCCTGCAAGAGTACTTGGGAAACATTGGCGATGGTGAATTGTTGCAGAAGATCCTGAACAGGCACACCCCAGTTCTCGACTGTATTCTGGAATGTTAAAAGCGACGAACACAGCTCCTCTGCATTTGCGGCTATAAGACCTGTGTCAAAGTGCCCTTGAAGACCCGGCGTGATAATGTCACGATAGAGTCGCCAAGTTGTGCCTCGGGAAGATATGACGTTATCACCTTTTAGCACAAGTGTCAGTGATAGAGCAATCGGGGAGAGACGGGGAATCAACCTAAGAATTCAGCAAGAACGCTGTGTGGAATCTTTTTTTGGTTCCCGCTTTTCTGATACACGTCCTCGTTTCTGAAGATTTCGTTCAGATAGCTTGAACGCTGTATAAGCAAATTCCATTGCCCTGCAAAAAATATCTTAATTGCTCCATGGGTCTGGAGAGGCTTCTGGATATGCCTTCTGTAGATATCCTCTTGGTCAATGTCACGAAACAAGGAAACCAGAGTCACCCAAAAGGGGACGGCGGGGATATTCCGAGGATAACGAGGAGGTACAATCCTCGAGAGGACACAAATTACTAAAAGCAAAATCCCTACCGCGAGGGCTTTCCCGATAATGATGCAGATGGCGTGCATGGCCATTCTGCGAGATGTTGGTTGCTGAGATATTGGGAAGAACACGGAGTCCCGATGTCCTCTGGGGTGCCAAAATATTGGAACAAGATTAGCGGATGGCCGCATTAGTCCTACTAGACCTCGTATACACTTGCTGTTGCGAGAGCCATGCATAATAGCATCATGGTAACTGGCTATCAAACGTCCAAGCCGCCAAATTTCGATCCAGTGTAGCCTCAGTGTAATCATTGTGGGCTCCGTCTGAGCCCCGTGTAAGTTCTGTTCGTATCATGTATGAGTAAGATAGGTAAATAGTATGGACCCATTATCTCCACTGGCTGGGCCTTCTAAGAGTCCGGTGTCAGATCCACGTTGGCTCGAAATCCTGCCTCGGGAATAACAGACCCTGCTGTTCACTAGTAGCTGTCCAAGTTGCGTAATAATACGAGCATCAGCTAGACGATAGGAGGTGGATCAGACTCTGGCACGATCAACTATGCCCTTTTGGCAACAGTTGCCAAAGGTGCCCTGGGAGTTAATTACGTGCTATCGTACCTGCTCCACCCAGATCTACTCGCCATCCACCTCCCATTCTTACGAAAAAGTCTTTTCCATATATTGCTATCAATATGGTGAGAACGAGCGTCATACAAAGCGCAACCACATCGCCCTCAATCCATGAAAGGGCGTTGGGGGCATATGTACGAACTCCTGGCGGTGGCCTCATCCGCTGCGTGGGACCGCATTCGCAGTGGATCCAAGGTACCTGGTCAGCGATCCGATCGACAGTCACGGCTACAAGCCCAAGTCTGGCTCATTGCTTTCAGGTTTGCCTACCTGCGAGTGATGCCGACTTTGGGCTGCAAGATGTCGACATCTACGAAAGACAAAGAGCGAATACCAAGACTATTGTCGGTTTCATCCTCAAACCTACTCCACCGGGTTGGATGATTGGCACAGTGCCGATAGATCAATTCTTTGCGGGACTTATATTGGAGAGTATCGATGTCACTGCTACCACTCCCCGAGGAGTAGCTGATCCTCCAGTGAACTTGACAGTCGAACGGATCGTCGATTTGTTCGACAAAGAACTTCGTTATCGTGTGCAAAACGATCAATGGGCAACTGAGGGTCGAAATTATTTTGCAGCAAAAGTGCGATTTTTTGTAAATCATAATTCCACATTGCAATTATGCCTTCCAGCGTTTCCATGCAAGTCATCGAATCAGGAGAAGGTGGTGGGTATCCTCCCTGATAGGGGCGAGGAAATTGCCCTGCGCCGACTGCATGCTTTTGCGCACAAAATTGAACAATTATATCGACCTGGAGCTAGGATCTTGATCATCAGTGATGGCCATGTTTTTAGCGACTGCAGTAAGTAGTCAACCGTTCATGTCCCTGTGACACACTACAACTAACAACCATGGCAGTCGGCGTAGACGATGCGACGGTGGATGAATATGGTGAACATCTCAAAGTGCTTAATCAAGCTATTTCTCTAGCCATGGGTGAGAACACCGAGCGAGTTCAGTTTCAATCTCTGGTGGACCTGTTCAATCTGACATCGCTCTCACCTTTGACTTCCCCGAATGCTGTCGGAATGCTGAATCTTCCCGAACTGCAGCATTACCTTACCACAAGTCTAGGCGACCTGGCTGAGTTATGTCGTCGAATCCTGGTAGCTGGCTGTCAGCCATCGGAAGATAGCCTTCGTACGCAAATTGAATCTGGGGACGAGTCCACTTTAGCCCTGTATCGTGGGTTTTCACGATTCATGCTCCAGGATCTGGATCGACATCCACTCACACAGTCACTGTCACGCTCTCAGCGAAAGAAGCTTGCCACTAGAGTCTCGTTCGAGATGATCTTGCGAAACCAAGCGTATTCCAACTTAATTGAGCTAATATTCCCAGACTGTCTGCGCCTATCAATCCATGCCCACAATAACGCCGGCCCCAAGTTCGGTATAAGACTATTTGACACTGCGACAGTACGCACCATTCGCCAACTGGATTCGGTGGGTAGTGATGATGATAACGGTGATGAAGAATGCACTGCGACTGCATCGCATCTTCTTCATATACCTACACCGTGGCATAATTGTATCGTGGAAGTCGCCGGTGATCCCAAACTCTATATCGTGAAATACGGTGTTGTCAAGCATGGGCCGTTCATTCACAAGTATAGTTCTCACCTGATCAAGGGGAATCTCGCGAAGGGTGAAGGTGCTTTTGTATCGTTGAAAAGATCATCGAATTTAACCCGAACTGCATGATGTACAGTTAACTATTTGTTGATTTCTGTCGCTTCATTTCTTTTCGAGCCTTGTCTTTTATGTATGTTCTTTGTGGAGAGCATGAGCTAAACCCCCTCATATACGTTGGATGTTAGCTTGCCATGCCACAGCTACTAATGGTTGTAAGCCTATTGTAGAGTGTGTAAAGACGAGCTCGTTGCCGATGATATCGTACAGAGAAGATCGCTTGCATACAAATTTCAACGCATTTGTGGTAGGCTTTCCTATTTTATTCTGCCTGTCCTTAGCAAGGAAGGAAGGTATACAGACTAGAGCTTCTAGACTTCAACCATCTCTACGAGGAGCTAGCCATTGTAACTATATCAGGTTAGCCCACTTTTTGACTGTCGCATTAGGACCTGACGAACCTCAGAGAATCGCCCCTGAACCTGATATTTCAATCTGATTTTTGCCTGTCCTCGACCGCAAGCAAATAGTCTCGTCGCTTTGAAGATGTAAAAATATTATATAGAGAGTAATTAAATATCAAAGTGATTGAAGGATAGTATTCATATGTAGGCTTCTAGTAAGTCAAGTTGATTCCAATGGCGGCTGTCCAAATATATTGAAAGAAATGTTGAAGAAGAGATGGTGATTCGGTATACACTGAACGATATATATTTCTCACTCCATATACCACATCAATAACAACCTCTCTTAGACTTAACTACTAAGAGCCTTAGGCCTACTTAACCTGACTGGATATGATACTTTTATGCTAGATATTCCATATACGGAACCACAGGATATATGGCTACAACGTTATATGCATGATGTACGGAGCAGGCAAGCGGTAAATTACATTAAATCAAGATGAATCATCATTTTATCCATCCGAAAAAGGCAGATCTTGGCAAATTATGCAAATCAGGCTCCATTAGGTTCGAAACCTGAGTCGACCCGGATAGAACCACGATCCGATTCAGGTACGAGAAGTTGGAACCTAAGAAGGTCAGCTTCAATTTCGAGGTTCCGTCCAACCTTCGGAACCTAGGTCGGACCATTTTGACGCCTACTCGCGGTTTCCTACGGTGTACTTTGTAGAATCCACCCCGCTCCAATAACCTTAGGTATAAGAACATATTTCACGTGATATTCCGGGGGAGGGAGCTGCTTCTCTTGCGCGTAAGAGTGGCTGTGCATGACGTCCACATAACTCGGTCAAGTCTGCTTATAATCCCAAGTGACCAGAGGGTGCAAGGTGTAAGTGACTGCAAAAATGTCATTTGGATTCAGCGTCGGCGACTTCCTAGCCGGTGCGCAACTGGCCCATAAGCTGTGCCAATCCCTCTCATATGCAAAGGGTGCTTCAAAGGAATTTCAAGATTTAACGAGAGAACTGTTTACAACGCATAGGGTTCTTCTACAGGTTGAACAACTGCGGGCGTGTAATCAGCTTACTCAATCAACGCTAAATGCCATACTCTTTCTCGCCGCTGGAATAAACGAAGCGATGGAGGAATTCATGATGGGCTGGGACCATTATAGAGATAGCTTACAGCGCGGAGGATCAGGAAACCGAATTAAAGATATTTTTAGGAAGGGGAAGTGGTCCATTAGTATGGACAGTGAGGTGAGTCTCCGGTTGACAGATTGCAATCGCCCTCAGCTGCGGCTGTGATACTAAGATGGCCTGCTAAATGGGGGTAGGTGGATAAACTCCGCAACGCCCTGAGGACTAACATGCTATCCTTAAGTGTTCTGGTACAGCTTGCGTGCTATTTCAAGTAAGTGTATAGGGTCCACAGGCAGTCTTTCTTACTAAATGGGGTGTAGCACAGGTTATGATCCCCAAACATCAGCGTCCTTAGATACAAGCCGACCTGGTGAAGCATTTACATCAGAATTTCCCGAGATAAAGACAGATGCTACAATAACGGGGCCTATGACAGTTTATTCAAGCGCGAGTGAGTCTTTTCGCTTTCTGCCGACATGCTGCATGACTGCCTGGGCTCAAGCTAAAGGAGTTCAGCCTTCCACCGCGTGCCAAAGCCCTCGAAATTCTTCCGACCAGGACAGGTTTTCTCGACCGTGATTCTCGCTAAGTTGGACCTAGAAAGCCGAGTATACCGTGGTCGTGACTGGCAGAGGCTCCCATTATTATCTAGCACAGAGCTGAGGGAAAGGCAAAAGATCCGAGATTCCAATCGAGAGGTTAAACTCGCCCAACTCTTGAAGCTCCCTTTAGATGAAATGTTTCAATACGGCACATGCCTGCCCAATGGCAAGGTTATGTGCGGACTTTGCTCTCAAGAAGTTTGGAAGGAAGAATGGCTGGGTCGACATTTTCCAGAAAGGCATAATGAGACCTTCCAAAAACTATCGACCCCCGCAACAATCCCCAATAGGAGTAAATGGACAACACTGGACGACGTGGATTCGGACCGTCCAATCCTTTCGGATACGAGGATTGAATCATACAAACGAGGCTTCTTCATGCAGTTACCCGCTAGTTATGATGTAGATCCCTGGCTGGGTGCCATTCTCATCCGGCGCTTTGTAGTCGTCCGCCAGGGCAAAAGGTCTTGCCTTTGTTTGGGAATCCATACGTTAGTATTACCCTTCCCCGTTATACCCTGACGTCCGGGATCTTTGCCGACACAGCCAAATCTAGGAACGCTGGAAAGGGATGTGGCGACCAGCCGGACCAGGAGTTGTTTGCAATCTTTCACTCTTCAAAGGAAATACCGCCTCCATTGACGGGTGAAACTGGGATGCGACTTCAACCCATCAGAATGAAGGCCGAACACCCATCAACAGCGCTGCCTAGCTCCGCACGTATCTGCTTTGGACGAGTCTACGAGGTCTTTCATGATGTTAACCTTAAAAGTCTCGGCCTCATCCATGACGTGTCTATGGAGAACCTTCAATTGCAGTTTTCGTCACACTGCCCGAAAGCTTCCGAGAATGACAATCAGGAGGAGGCTGTGACCGACTTTACTGTCTCGCCTGCTGATATAAATGTGGTCAAAGATATCCGTGAAGATATCAACACGGTTTTTAGACCGGAAGATGGAATCTAGGACAGGTTTCTGAAGCATTGGAAGTAGTGAGTCTATTTTGGAAAAATGATATGAGATGCGTAAAGTGTTACTGTTTCCTCAATGTTGTTGACCTAAGCGAGCGATAAATTACAGCCTAGTATAACGGCAGCTGCCTCATGTAACAATTATCCCGCTGCAAGCGAGGTGCCAGTGATTAGAGTAGCAGAGGCCAGGATCTTAATGTTGGACCCTGATCCGCCGTATTTAGAAGCCTAGTAGCGTGATCAGTTACCGAATGAGAATACGATAGTGATCGGCCGGCGAATTCAAGGTCACATCAGGCACGACACTTGGATTCACCCCGTTCGAGGTCGTTCCCGAGATAACATCATGACTGGTTGTAGTAGCCGCCTCAGGTGAGTGAGCCACCGAAATATACTCGGGAGTAAACAAACATCGATGAAGATAAGCCATCATGCATTCCTTTACTGTGGCCTACTTTGGTGGTAGACGTGGGCAATTAAAGAAAACCACTTGCACGGTCATATCATCTCGTATACTGCGGGAGAAGGGAGAACCCAGAGCGAGACGGCCTGCTATGAGCTCGTGGTGGTTTCCCCCGAGGGAATTGCGCACCAGGTGCACGGCAACGTTATCATCTTGGATTGTCGTTCTCGCCTCCTCAAATTCCCAGTTCACACCGTTCCCAAGGTCACCGAAGTCGACACGTTTATACTCTGCTTTCGGTTCGCTATTTGGATGCCCATGGATTTGTGCATTCAGCCATTTACCCACTAGATTTACAGCATGCTGATTGGAGAGCGTATCCCACATGCCGTCCGTAGCCAGTATGACAAACGAAGGTTTACTCGGATCAATCTTCGTAGTTGTCACAACAGGCTCCGCAGTCAGATATGGTGGTGTGCGAACGTCGTACCTGGGCGTCAGGGGTGATGGGCCCCCAAACCTTTCCTTCAGGTCCTGCTGTAGGTCCAAAGGCCACTTCCACCGACTATCGCCAAAAGCTCGCGAGACCATCATCCCTAGAATCCGTCCATTTTTCGCTATGTTCTCTTCGCCCGGGTGCTCCTGGTTGATCCGCGCAACCTCATTTTCGTTGCTGCCAGTCTGGTCGACTGACAAAGGGATTGCCTCCCATTTGCCATCTGGCCTTTGTTGTCCCAAAACCGCTCTGGAATCTCCAGTACACGCCACGTGCAATGAGCTTGTGACCGAGTCATACATAGAGAGTAGAGCGCATGAACCAGCGTAAGCAGGAGCCAGCTTCTTCAGCTTGTCCTGGAGCGGTTCACTACTCTGGACAGTTTGCATGGCTGTCTTTATAATCGAATCATCCAGGTCTACAAACGCCTTCGTGATCGCGTGGTGAAGCACCTCGTCGGGTATGGATTCTTGACCGGAGGATGCCGACTTAACTTGGCTCAGACTATGTCGCACAAACGGCAAGAGTTGATCTTTCAAGAGCTCTGCCGTTTGCCAGCCAGCATGTCCGTCGAAAACCGCCCAGGCCATCCATTGAGTGCCATCATTCAACGGGGACGGGAACATACCATGGGCGAACCGGTCCTCGCACAGGCTATTGGACTCCAGCTGTGTGCCATCGTATCTGTTCACTCCAGCAACACTCCTGACTGGAAATGAATATGCATCTTGAGATATGATACGCGTTACTTCATCTTTGGAAGGACCCAGCTCGGCCACTAAGTGTCCGGTTGGTGGAGCCTCAAGACGAGGCACATCGTCGCGTACGGATGTCAACAACCAAAAGCCTGGTGCACTAATCGCGCCGGCAACTGCAAAGGATTTCCATGTTTTGTTGGTAGCTGGAGATGTGCCCTGCCTTGAGTAGAAGTTCCTGACCTTTGTCCGTGAGAGGGAAGTCCTAGTCACGCGACCAACTAAACGCGTGCCACGCACGCGTAAGGACAGCATCGTCGACTGGGGGAGGGAAAGGCTCAGGCAATATTCTCAGATCGCGTTGCACCACGAGCATATCCCTTGTTGGGTTCTACGAGAATGCTTATATCAGTCAATCTCAAAGTAAGGGGGTGATCAGTAAGCAAGTGTACAAGTGATGCTTTCTTTCATCCATTCTATGCCATTTCCATCTTCATACATATCACTCTAGTCCATATCTAGTTAGTGTGAAATACTGCCACCGCCCAGGTCACGGGGCAACCGGAATCGCCTCATTCGGTTGGCTGCCAAATAGAGTAACCCGCCCATCATTTCACAGACTCATCACAGCACAACAGAACTTGATAATAGTATCAGCTATCAGAAGACGTAAGACGTTTGACCAATTGTACCTCGTAATATCAATGGTCCTCTAGTGGTATTATAGCCCTCGTGTCCTCATCCTAAGGTGAATAGATCACGAAGGATCCATTGCAACTGATATATATTTCCTGTATTCCTCTACTTCGATATGGCTTTTGGTATCTGCACAATTTATCACCTTAATGCTAGTTAAACGGTAGAGACTATGTATATTGTGAAATCTCGTAACGAGTGTGGGGCAACAGAGAAACTTCTTATGTGGTCCTTCACCAATACATAAAGGATTTTCAATATACATTGTACAAGCAAGAACAAGTGGCTCGAAGAACCAGGTTCACTATATCTTGCGATTTGTACGTGGATACCTTTCGCATGCCAATTGCAACGTATAGCATGCTGTTAGGCAAGAAATATGTCCAAGGGCTAACATAAATTGCAGTCATTTTGTCTTAAAGTATTGAACTCTTAATTGCTGTACTAAGCATATGCACTCTGTGTGCCTGCGTCAACAGACCTCTGCCATTAGATAATTCATCTTCATTCGTTCCCTCACCTTTAACATTTGTTTATATTCGACTTTGTTCTCATAGGTTTGTCTTGTGGGCCTTTTACAGTAGGTAATACGAAGAATCCATATTGCATGTACGTGAACAGTGAACAGAGGCTGTCATAAAAGGAAAGTGTTCTGTCTGCCTAATGTCTATCGTAAGACTCAAATACATGGAGCTTATCCGCAAACTACAGGAATATACTGCATTTATGTACGTCAGTTGAATCGAATGTAGGGCTTATATCCTCTCCAGTTCTTTTCCCCGCACTGCCCCGCAATGGATGGAAAAGCGAATATCCACCATCTGAGCGAACAGGAAGGCCTCTCCGATAACATCGACACCCACAAATTCCCTCCACCAACCTTTTACGCAACTTGATACTCTCGATTCTGCCGTCATCTTCTCGTATCACACCATGTCGAAGCGAATAATCGTAACTGGTGGCTCCGGCAAAGCAGGTCAATATATCATCGGCCATCTTCTCGCTCAGGGATACTCCATCTTGAACCTCGACCTCAACCCGCTACCGCCACCACTCAATGAAAAGGTCCACACTTTGAAGGTAGATCTCACCGACAATGGCCAAGTCCACGGTGCCCTGCTGTCGCATTTCCGCCTCACCGAGCCATTCCGCGAACCTCACCAGCAGGTCCCCGATGCCGTCATTCATCTCGCGGGATACGCGCGCAACATGATCGTCCCTGACACAGAGACTTATCGAGGCAATGTACTATCATTCTACAACGTGATCGAAGCGGCCTGCCGGATTGGCGTGAAGAAGATCGTCCTGGCGAGTTCCATAACCGTGTATGGGGTTTCATTCGCTGAGGGCGATGTTGATTATCCATCCTTCCCTGTGGATGAGGATGTCGATGCGAACCCAATGGATGTATATGCCTTGTCTAAGGTCTGCGGGGAGCGCACGGCACGGAGCTTTGCGCGACGGTTTGGGAATGACATCTACGTGATGCGATTAGGAGCGGTGGTCGCGCCGGAGGAATTCCAGGACAAGTTCCAAGGATATGTGGAGAGACCGGAGGAGTACAAGGTACATGGATGGGCATATACGGATGCAAGGGATATTGGACTTATGTTTGAAAGATGCCTGGTGACCGATGGGCTAGGGTTTGAGATCTTCAATGCAGTCAATGATGAGATTACTAATTTCGCCGAATCGACTATGGCGTTCTTGGAGAAGATATGTCCCAACATCCCGGTTACGAGGCAGATGGAAGCCAGGGAGGCTCCGGTGACCAATAGAAAGATGAAACGAATGCTGCACTTCGAGCAGAAATATCGCTGGCAGGACTTCTATGTAGCTGCCGGCGATCGATAAGGTTGGCTAGATATTATGTATTGTAACCTGGTTAGAGTATCTATAATATTAAAATATAGTGCAGTACTACTAGTAGGTGGTTGATAAATAACTTCTGGAACCTTGTTGGCTATTCTGTGACTATCTCTTTAGACTCACCAAAGTATCTGAATCTGGTAGAGGAGAGTTACTGTCGCTCAAAAAGACTCGGTGACTATAGTCAAATATATAATATCAGGATTGAAATACAGCCCAGTATCCCTGATTTATAAGTAGAGGGAACTTTCAAGATTTCCCGGATAGAGTAAGCCTCCATTTTGATCTATAATATACCTATTGTATCTAAGAAAGTTCCTTTCAGTTTACATATAGGATTCACTCAGAAGACCCAGAGACCATCTTACAATCGTAATGAAAATAGTGGAGATTAACTAAGCATGTCTCCTACAGGCCGGCAAACCCTCCTATATCCTGGCTCATCGTGCACAGGCCCTGGTCCCGGTTCTCCCTACATAAGACCTCAGACCCCTCTACAGTTTAGAAACAGTCGGATAAGAGATTACCTGAGCTTTTAACCGACCTTTCAGCTGGAAAGACCTACCGAAAAGGGGAGAATCCTAAAGCTATATAAGGAGGTCTGAAGACATAGATAGAAGAAGCAAGAATCAGTCTCTTTGTATTCGTTCTACTACGCTGTCAATGATAGATATCTCTTCTTCTTTCCGCCCACGTTTCCTCACCTAGTTGACAGATCATCTACCCTGTAGAGTACACCCTCTGTTACACTATATCTCTACTAATTCTACATATATACAGTCTGGATCGATATAGAAATATAGAAGAGATCTAAGAGCAGTTATAGATATTACTGTATAACCGATGATATAGCTAACTGCTTTACAACTAGTATATCATACAATTATTGTGGTTACTACCAAAAATAATCTTCTATATACTCATAACTAGTTTCGGCACGGAAAACACCAACAGTTTCTCCAGAGCATATCTTGCTTTCAAAGAATTGGGATTTAGGAATGGCTGGCCTTTCATTCTATCCGCGAATAGTCTGCTTACATTCAGTTCCATAGCCAAGAGTAGTAGACGTAGTAGTAGAATCACTCTTAGCAAGTAGAATATTGCCTATTTCTTGTAAATAGGCAGGCTGAGGACTTGCTCCACATTTATCTAGAGATAAGATTCACCGTACAACGGATTCCTCTTCAGGCAGTCAATTTGTGGTTTTCTGACTGTACCTGAGGCTGAAACGTTTTCTTTTTAAGTTATCTGTCAATGTAGAAGGGGCACATTATAAGCGTCAGTAGGTTTTTGAATGTCGTTAAATTGCATATCTTAATAGTTGATACCGTTAGTAGCATCCTAGCTTCCTGTTCCAGAAAATATTTCGAGGATTTAGATATTTTTGGTAGTATGAATGGTGATTGAGTAGTAGCTTCTAAAATCAACGCGCGTTCAAAAGCGCGTTGGGCGGCTGGATGACCCGGGAAATGTGTTAGGCCTGCCTGCCTTGAGTTCTGATACTTTTACCGTGCCATCCGGGCCATGCGAATTTCTAGCCTGTGACATGAGTAAAACTTAATAATTCATGATGACGAAGTATATTGTATCAGGAGGGTATCTTATCATTCAAAAACGCTTACGTTCGAGTAGTTCGAATTATTTATCTATTTATATCCAGTGCAACAATAGCCGCGAAAATGGTCGACCATAACCGCGCACATATTTTAGCCATAACCGCCTCCCAGAGACTCGACTCAAGGGGAAAACCCACCGTCAAGGTCACTGTGTTGACGGAAGCCGGTATAGAAGCTTGCCCCTCTAGCCAGCCTTCGGGTTATACCATATGGACTGATTGATAACACTCAAACCACCAACTAGGAACATCCAGCGCAATAGTACCATCAGGTGCCTCAGTCGGCAATTACGAAGCGCATGAGCTGCGCGACGGTAGGGCAACCGAATACGGCGGAAATAGCGTGCACCAGGCTGTCACAAACGTGGAGAAGGTCATTGGCCCTGAGCTGATCAGGCAACGGTTCAACGTCGGTGATGACTTGGCGAAGATCGATCGCTTTATGATCCAGCTGGACGGAAGTAAGAATAAGAACCGGCTTGGCGCTAATGCAATCCTCGGTGTTAGTATGGCTTGTGCCAGGGCTGGGGCTGCAGTGAAGGTTGGTCTTTCTCATAAAGCTTCCTCTAGACAAGGAGGAGATGAGAGGACACGAGACTGATTTGTTCGGTAGGGAGTTCCGTTATATGAATTTCTGCGCGAACAGGCCGGAATTACAGGACCGTATTTACTCCCTGTGCCGTTTTTCAATGTGCTCAATGGCGGGAAACATTCTGGCAATACGATGGCGTTCCAGGAGTTTATGATTGCGCCTGTCGGGGCCAATTCGGTGACTCATGCTGCTCAGCTCGGGAGTGAGGTATACCAGGCTCTTAAATCTGTGATCGTGAGGAAGCATGGTGCGTCGGGTAAGGCTATTTAAACCACTAAGAGTATCTATGTGGGGTTAGGGCCGCTAATACAGTGCTTTAGCTATCGGTGTCGGCGATGAGGGCGGATTTGCGCCACCGATTAGTGAGCCCTCTGCCGCCTTGGATCTTCTGATGGCCGCTGTGAAAAAGGCAGGCCATGAGGGAAAGATCAAGTTCGCAATTGACCCAGCTGCTTCAGAATTTTACAGCGGAAGGGAAATATGACCTGGGGTATAAGAGTCACAAACAGTGCCAGTTGGCTGCGACAGATCTCGGCGATCTATACCGGTCGTTGATGAACATGTATCCCATAATCCTTCTTGAAGACCCGTTTGCAGAAGACGACTGGGCGGCCTGGACCGCATTTAAGCAAGATTGCCCCATTGAGCTTGTCGGGGATGACCTGCTGGCAACGAATCTCGAGCGAATTGAGACCGCAAAGGAAAGGGATGCGTGCAATTCCTTGCTGCTGAAGATTAACCAGATCGGTACTATCACTGAGTCACTGGAAGCGTACGTTTATAGGCATCCATAGCAACCTTCACTGCATTACCGATGTTAATGTCATTTTAGGGCCCACAAGGCATTTAGCTACGGCTGGCGAGTTTTTGTCTCGCATCGCTCGGGTGAGACGACAGACGATTTTATTGCCGATTTGAGTGTTGCGCTCTCTACTGGGCATTTGAAATCTGGGAGCCCTTGTCGAGGAGAGCGGGTGGTCAAGTATAACCGCCTTATGGATATTGAGGACCGGTTGAATGTTTGTGGTTCGCCGCATGAGTATGCCGGAACGCGGATGAGTCGGAATGACATGAAATGAGGTACTTAGTTTGAGTATAAAGCATTGTTCTATCACTCTGATTGAGTCCCTTGTATACAATTAAACGGTTACCACCGACTCTAACCAGTCGCACATTGTCCGGTAGGGACTTTTATAGCAACCAGACACATGGTGGTATCATGTATAACTACCCAAAGAATGCACAAAAACAGTAACATGACCAACACGCCAAATCATTGGTTCTCATAATGAGAGCGCGAGAGGTGTCGCTCAAGCGAGAGGCGCCTTGCCATCTTGCTTTCCAACAATCCCTCAGTTGGTTCTGGTACTGTAAGCTCTCTCAAATCTTCATAGATATCGTCTCTCGTCCCATGTCCTGATTTTGACGTATCCGAAAGTCGTTGCTCAAGAGAAGGCAGACGTGTCTGCTCTTCTCGCGAGATTCTTTGCACGGATTCTGGGATATAATCTTGCACTTCACGGACTACTATGATTAGCTTAGTCACGTTGTTACGAATATCAGACCTACAATCAGCACAGGATGATCAACGCAGGCTGAAATCCGTACCGGGCCGCGCGGGCCGTCCTGCTTGAAAGACAGCTTAAGAGTCCCTACCTTTTCCGAATTGAATAGTTATGACGTTCAAACCCGATATTAAGCCTATGAGGCCAGCGGCTAGAAGCAGCCTGGCGAGACGTGGCGTGCCAATCCATGACTTGATCCAGCAGTACAGCCTATTCCTCGTTCTTCATTCCTCTCCGTTTGCTTTTTGATGCGCTGCACAAGTCCGCGATAGCCGGCCCACACGGATGGGGCAAGCTGCATTCATACCACATCATATGAGTCAAGTCTTTCAGCATAAACAAATCGGAACCAAGATATATGTACGCGTAAGTAGCATGAGAGAGAGGAATTGATTACATCAATGACTCGATTTATTGGTGCAGGATGTACCCCCTTGTGACTATGGTACTGTAAGCAGATTTTCTTCTGATAGCTTTCAAGTATGGCACATAAAGTCGGCTTGTGGGCTGTGTCACTGAGAACCTGCCATATTTGCTTTTCTTCTCTGGATTCTTCAATATTCCTACCTCTGAAGACAGAATGGGTGGCAACAGGGCAACCCACGTTAATCCTTTCATAGTGAACGACAGGACAGTAGATATCCATATCACTGTCCGCGGCTCAGACTGGTACTGGGCTGTGATGTCGCTTATGGGCTTCACCATGCTGGCGATAATGGGGCTGTCATTTCGCCGCCCTCCAACGCAGCGAATATTTCATTACATTCTCGCAGCAGCTGCTCTCGTAGCAATGGTAGAACATTATAGCATGGCGTCTAATCTCGGATGGGTCCCGATTGACGTCGAATGGCATCGAAGTGGCCACCTGGATTCTGGAATGAATCGCCAGATCTGGTGGGTTCGGTACTGTGGCTGGTAAGATGGATCCCCATCCCATAAACCCTGTGTTATGCATCGCATGTTGACAACCTTTTTCCGCATTGCAGGTTCATCATCTGGCCGCTTCTCTCTCTATCAGTGCTTTTCACCTGCGCCGCCCCTACTGTTCATATACTCTGGGCGTGCTTTTTGAGCGCGGTGATGGCGATCATGGCCGTAGTCGGTGCTGTGGTCCGCAGCGACTACAAATGGGGTCAGCATCAACACAATCCTTTCAAATAAGACTTCACTTACATACGAGTTTAGGATACTACGGCTTCTGGATCTGGTCCTGGTTATTGCTTGTCTATTCACTGCTCATAGCACCTCGAGGATACGCAAAGGCCCTAGGCCGAGATATCCAGCTTGCGCACATTATACCAGCCACTTGGATCTGTCTGCTCTGGATGCTCTACCCTGTATGCTGGGGGGTTAGCGAGGGAGGAAATGTCATCCCGCCTGACTCGGAGTTCATCTTCTACGGAATCCTTGACTGTTGCCTTATTCCCATTACTTGTGGGATCTTTCTCTGGTTGCATGAAAGGATTGATCCGAGGTATTTGGGGCTGTATATTCGTACATATAAAGACCCTATTCGTGGATGGAGGGATCCGGCACTTGTGAGTGGAGGGGTCGAAAAATCCCAGGAAATTGGGGCTCCCGGTCAAGTAAATAGGGGTACCGGTCAGCCCACTGCTTCTGAGCCTGGTCGGCTAAGCGAGCAAGTCCCGACTGCAGAAGGGCAGGAGATGGTCTAGGTAGTGTGCCTTCACAGAGGACGGGAGAGAGGGAGGGGACGCGGGTATGAGGTCGTTTTTACGTGTCTAAAATTTCACTGGTTTTGCTCGTTTCATTTTTGTTATGGAAACTGATTATGCAATATCAGTGATTTGATTTTGTTCTGTTTCTCTGACAACTCTGAATTAATGTCTAATACAACTTGGTCAGAAGCTTCTTTTATGGCCAAAAAGCTCAGCTATTGTATATGAAAGTTCTTTCCCTGACTATCATAACACCCCTGCCATATCCACCGCGACGTATTCCAAAGTTCCAACACGTCAAAATCTCAGATAAGTGGCGGTTAATAGAGCATATTACTCCTTTCATTCTATGACGGCGACTTCAGTTGCTTCTACTCAACTTCTTCCTCTTCTTTACTGGATGCCAGGAAAAATCGTCCACTTCCTGTCTCAGCCTCCTGTACATATTGAACAGTGACCTGGGCAAGGTGACTCAAGATATTTTCAACCTGGATCTCGCCTCTGCTGCGCTTCTTCCGGCCTACGTCATCCAACCATCGAATCTTATTTAGGGCATAATACAACAACGCAATCACAATAGTCACACCCAATGAGTACCCCCAGACACGGACAATAGTCACAATATCGGTCCATCCGTTGTGAGTTTCTTTAGGGGTGTCAAGTAGCTTGTCGAACGGGTTAGTAGCCATATCCCTATTTGAGAACCAGCCAAACAAGCAGAAGATCGTGGCCAGGGCATCAACGCCTAAGATCGCACCAACTAGTTGAACGGATGGCCATGTGTCGCCGCCTCTAGTTACAAAGATCAGCCAGTTCTCGGTAAGTGCCACTTCGAGGAATATAATCTCCTGGACTGAGCCCCAGTTCTGGATTATGCCACCGTTGGGGAGGAACATAGTTCCCCGGATCACCCATGTTGCTGCTGCAAGCAGGATCCCGAGAATAACGGAGATGATCCAGATCTTTGGCAGCTGCCACTCGACAGGACGGAGCTCGTAGGATGCGTTATCATATGCCACGGCGACCGTTGCGAGATCTGCAAACAGTGCTAGAAACACGACTAGGTCACTCCGGATACTCTCGTTGAGAACTATCATGGCGGTTACTAGCTAGATCTCAAGGTGCAAACAGAGTGCTATTCGGTATTGAATATAGGCCTTCATGCGGTGGAAGATCTGCCGCGCGACTTTGATAGAATCGATAATAGTTGAGAGTCCGGGTTCCAAGAAGACAATATCAGCAGCGGACTGGGCTGCTTCAGATGCGCCTTCGACTGCGATCCCACAGTCTGCTTTCTTCAATGAGGGCGCGTCATTTACTCCGTCTCCCGTCATTGCTGTGAGATGCCCACGCTCCTGTAGCATCTGAACCACCTGATATTTATGTTCTGGAAAGACCTCCGCGAACCCATCTGCTCGTTCAACAAGGTCCCCAGCCATGGCACCAAGGCCTCCGCCGATGAGCCGCTCGGAATTGTAGACTTTAGTGCCAAGCGACAATAGTTTACAGGTTTCCTTTGCAATCGCTATTGCATCCCCAGTTAGCATCTTGACCTCTATACCCAGTTTCTGGGCCTCGGCGATTGTCTGTGCGGTGTCCTCCCTTGGGGGATCAAACATGGGCATCATCCCAAGCAGCATCCAGTGCTCGTCGTCTTTGCGCACGGCAATACCCAGGGAACGGAATCCACGACTGGCAAACTCCGTCGCCTTCCCCTTATACATCTTTGCCTCTGGGGAATTGGTCAGCTGTAAAACGGCTTTAGGGGCCCCCTTCGTGCATGTATACTTGACACCCTGACACGTTGCAACTGTGACAATCCGTTTGGAGACGGGGTCGAAGGGGTGAAATTCCTCTACCTTCCATCCTTGCTGCAGAATTTCCTTGGCTTTGGGATACTGTTTTAGCGAGAGCAGTGTCACCTTGTCTATTGGGTCAAGCGCAGTTACGTTATGAGATGAGGCCAGGGCTGCCACTGCGAACATCCAGTTCACGTCGACACCTTCGGCTACGAACGGCTCTCTGATACTGAGGCGATTGGCGGTTAAAGTCCCGGTTTTATCAGAGCATAAGATATCGACTCCCTTCTAAGATCAGCCTCAAACTTGAAATAGGGGGTTGAGTTTAATAGAAAGGGCCTACAGAAAGCGATTCGATTGCAGTCAACTTCTGCACAATAGCCTTTTTCTTCGCCAGATACGCAGCCCCAACAGCTAAGGTCGTTGTGGTGACAACAGGGAGACCAACGGGGACCCCAATAATCATCAGAGCCAGGGTATAGAACAACAACGTCTGTTCTCCTGGAGATGCAATAGGGATATTTCGATAGAACCCGCCGATCCACATCGCAAGAATCCAGGCCATGACCAATACCAGAAGCGATGTCCCGATACTATCCATAACCATCTTAAAATGGCCAGTGTCTTTGGAATTCTGCACCATAGCTGCGGTCCTCCCAACGAATGTTCTCTGGCCGGTTGTTTGGACCACCGCATAAGCCTTTCCCCTCTTACACCCGGTGGTGTAGAAAACGGTGTCCCCTACATATCGGTCGACCGCGAGCGATTCCCCTGTAATCGCTGAATGATCGCAAGCTACAATTGCATGTCCACGTCTCTTTCCACCATCATCGTCATGGTCATCGTCATCTGATTGAGGGCTTGACCCGTCTAACATCCCTTCCTGCAAAAGTTCCTTATACTCCTTCCACCCGTTTTCACGATTATTGTACGCACAAATGACCTTAGCATCCGCGGGAACGGTCTGCCCCTCATCGATCACGATCTAGGACATGGCTTTAGTCAGATTCCGTTGCAGACCGCGCTTTCACTGTAGGCATACTGACCACATCCCCTGGAACCAATTCTCGAGCAAGAGAATCCATCTCCTGCGCATTACGCACGATCGTAGCCCGCATCGCAATATCAGCTTTCAGACTTGCAACAACATCTGCGGCTTGTTTCTCCTGGTACCAGCCGACTGCGGCATTCAGACAAAGAATCCCAATTATGACGCCGAAATCGATCCAGTCCTCTAGCCCAGCGGCAAGCAGAACGGCGAGCTCCATCACTAGGTAGCCGAGAATTAGCACAATGATCCAAGCCAGTCAAGGCTAATAAAGGTAGTAGGCAGCGCTCACCATAAAGAATCGGCCCCTGAAAATATGATATAACCTTCGCAAACGGATTCTCCTTCGCCGAAGCCAATTCATTGAACCCCACGATATTACGCCGATGAGCGACGTCCGCATCAGCCAGGCCATCTCGGATATCAGTAAGGAGCCAGTTGTCAGGGAACTTGCGTGAGGCTCCACCGGTGTGTTTCCAGCGGAATTTCTTCTTGCGCCAAGGGGCGTACCACACTCGGTGGATGCGCACTTCCCCTTCGTCGGGGCTGACGAAGTCGGATTCTCGGTAAGCAGAGACGAATTTGACGAGGCGAGTGAATTCATCGACATCACTAGGGTCATCGACATTCGTTGGGGACTGCACGTGCTGAGCAGCGTGATCCGTGTTGCCTACATTGTCCTGGGGCATGATATGGGCCATTTCACTTGGCAATACATAAAGAGGCCGAGTAGGTAACTGACTCTTGAGGGATAATATTACGAAATCAATACGTTTACGTGCAATGTGATTGTGAAAGAGATGCTAATATGCAGTAGAGTTAAAGGTCTAGCTTAACTCTATACATCCGGCGAAAGTCTCTTATTTGAGTTCGATGGCAGCAAAGGATATGTCTTTGTAGTGATGTGGTAATGCCATCTAACGTCATCATAGACGAAGAACTGCTTGTACTATTGTTCTGCGGTTCTACATGGGGTTAAAACCAGGAACAGAAGGTTCGTGGCCGGACGGGCCGGACGCCCCGGTGACCCATAGACCATCATCCCTCGGCGATCGGTGACCTCATGCTCGGGAATATCACAAAGATCAAGAAAGTAGAACCGTCTAGGATGTAGCAGGCCTGCTATCCTGTGCTCTTAACTCATCGTCTCAATGTTGCTGCTGGTGTCTGTATCTCAGAATCTCCATCCGACGCGCCTCACTGTCTACCGGAGGTTATCTGCAAGCCGTGGCCGCACAAGTCGTGACGCAGTGAGTATATTTCCATGGTCTTATACTGCTACCTCTTGCCAAATAGCTATTGAGAAATACCTTAGAGAGTCCGGTCCTCAAATATGCCTGCTATCACCGCCCATCCTTCCCAGCCTCCGCGCTTCGAAGTCCATCAATATGTGAAGCGAAGTGACTGGGCACAAAGCCAGCCAGGGGTTATTCTTGTATTTGTTATTGTTTTTAGTATTGGCTTTGGTGTTCTTGGAATTGTAGTCCACAAGGAGTGGGAGGCTCGCAGGGCCGAAAGGGCTGAGTGGACTGTTGAAGAGATTAAGGATGATGTATAGCGTATACGCATAATATTTGTCACGGCCTAGTTTGCTGAGAATTAAGATTTAACAGGTTCGGGCTACAGGAAGTTCCGATATCAGATTCTAAGAACAGGAGTGCCAACGGGTATAACTAGTACAGGACATCACTCGCTATCGAACGATTTTGCGCGTGGTCTTCATAGCCACAATACCAGTAAGTCCGTTACACACTTTATTCTCTACCCACCACTTCTTCCTTTGTCCTGTGTATCCATGCCGTAGTATATCACTAACTGATGATTGGGGTGAGGCGGTGAACAGGTACTATGTAAATGTATTACTTCGGCTAGAGAGGAATGAAAATGGGCGTCTATGTGCTAGGTGCAATACGTCTGTAAGAGCTATTAAGGCATTTTTTAGGAATGAAATGAAGCTGCAATATATTCCTCGATGCCTGGTCATACAAGGTGACACCAGGCGCATCGATCCGCTATGATCTTTGATTTTATGTGCAGATATACTCTAAAGCTTTATGGGAATGTTGGAAAAACTACAATAGAATACCAATTTTAGGGACATTGTCCCCAGGTCCAGCCTTTTCCCTCTCATGCCAGGCGCTCTGTGAGACTCCTACCGTGTCACCGGAAACACATAGGCGTGGTGAGACCACGAGTCCACTCCAGACTCCCGATTTCGATGACCAGGAAACACAAAGCAACTGCCACACTCACACTCCCATACACATAAGCATGCCGACGGCGCAAATCAGACAGTTCGAGAATCCAGGTGCTGACTGTTGTGAGACACCCGCAAAACCCGTCCATGATCCCTTCTAGTACCTCGCAGCCGGTAATTCCACCTATGGTTAACGTAGAAGTGCTAACTGTAGCATGTTGTATAGAGTATGCCATTCCAAACACCATCGTGCCTACTATGTTAACTATAAATGTTCCCAGCGGGAAACCGATTATCCGGCTATTTAGCTTGAGGGAAATATAGAAGCGGGATAGGCAACCAACTGGTGCAAAGACAAGAGAGAAAAGAAATGGTCCACGCCATGAATGTGGACTCCATAACGTGGCTGCTCCGTGATCTTGGGGCAGAAGGGCCACGAGACAGATAACAAGGATCCATGATAGCCAAGCTAGGATCGCTGAAAAAGGGTCGAAGTATTTCCGCAACCACACCTGCGGCAGACTGGGCGTCCACTGAGATAGGCTAACTGCAATATGAGCTCCAAGAAAGAGACCTGCCAAGGACAGACCAATCTCAGTGAACAGAACGGCGAGAATGGACATAAAGCTAAACCCGCCATTAGGAGATTTCAGACTGGCAGAGCCCGGCGCGAACAGGGAGACCTCATGATACGGTCCGTTTGGCACCAGTGGGTTATTTGAGATTGCCAGGTAAACATCGCGCATGAAGGTTGAAAAAGACGTAAGGCTCCCACAGAAGCCAGTGGTCAGCCCGATAAACAAGGGCACCGTTTTCTTGTGGGCTTTTATATGCGCGGCACGCTGTGAAGGGTCATTTTTCACTTGGCCAGGGGTACTTGTTTTGAAGCTTTCAAAGTGAAACAGCTCCTGGTCCTCGCTCAGGAAACCCATGATCATACTGCCTCCAACGTTCGCCCACAGAACACTGGTATTGACTGGTGCCCCCGGGTAAAAGGTCAGGCATTCGATGACCACCCGAAGTAAAGTACCGATCATCGAGAATAAAACAAGATAGGATACAATATATGTCGTATGCAGGAACTTCAAGATGCGGCTTGGTTTAGGGTGTTTCTCTTGCGGGTCTTCGTCCGGGCTCTGCACATCATCGGGTCGGACAGGTTCAGTTCTGGTGTCTGGAGGGCTTCTTTGAGAGCTTCGTTCTGGCTGGTATTCCAAGTAATCGTTCAGCCGTGACGACCTCTCAGACGGATCGTAAACAGGGGGTGGGGCAGCGACCTCGTTGAGATTGCCTCCATCGTGAGGTCCAGGGCGACCATTCTGCAGCGAACCGTCCGAGTTCATTGTCAGTTCTGCAAGGCCGAAGAGACTTGACAGCAAAAGTCGTGCGATCAATAAGACGTAAATTTAAAGTTTTTATTTTTATATTTATTTTTTATTTTTTTTATTTGAAGTTGAGGCAAGGGCATGCTGGCCCAGCAAAAACTACACAGTCAGCAGCACCGGATCGGGCGGTCCGAAACGGTGGTGGAAACACGACTGTTGACCATGATTTCCCCTGGTGGCAAATGATCCCATGTCTTATCTGTGCGAGCTCGATCCTCTTCGTTGCGGAGAGTTTTTACAGTGATAGTGCTTTCCTCCATGGTCAAACCTCGCCGCAGGCGCTCGTGAGGATAGACGGAAGGTTTGCTCAATAAATGGAGAGTCTCTGTCTAATCTACAATTCTATTCCCCCGAGGAACACATGGCATCGATATAATACTTCATATACACCGGGAGAGGGGGGTTGTCAGATCGTAACATAGATATCTCTCTCGGGCATCGTTATTCATAGAATTTACAACAGGAAAGAGAACAGCCGCCATCTTCTATAAAGAACCAATGATCGATATAAGATAAATAAATAATATATTTATACAGTGCAGCATAGTGCGCAGATTCCGAATCCCACTACTCCAAGCAGAGCTTATATTCTTTGGGTAGTACACCTATACTTTAGCCAGTCTCCCGTCCGAGAGGGTAAGTATAACAAGTTATATTAATTCACATAGCTGGCTGACCGTTCAGTATTTAGATCCACAATACCATAGTATGGCTGCCAATCCAAGCTCTTGTTTTTGTGAACACACCTCTTTCTGTCGGCGACGGTAGATGCAGACAGTATTGGGTCATAAGGCTCTGACTCAGTAATACTTTGCATCCAGTATCGGCTAAAGATAGAACACAATTACTTTATCTAAACTCTGGGAACCCTCTTAAGTACCACAAAAGATCCGTTAAATCCTACAGCAGCTGATCCAACAAGACACCTACCAGGGTAGCCGAGAGCTCCCTTTCTACCATCACAAACAGGACTTCCATTTGATTCGTCCGGAGCAGACGGGCCGGACGGTGCGGCGGAACTAGACCGGTTGAAATTGACAGAGCTAAAGTTCTAATGGTGCGTTGTCTTGGTCCTGAACCTAGTGGCTCTTATGATGGTGCTTCCGTAGTGCAGAGAGATGATCTTCGAGGCTTGCTCGGCGGTAGAGGGAGTTGTCTTCTCGAGGTACTGGCGATGGGGCACACACTTCACTCAAATGGCTGAAAATATCTGAGCCACTAAGTGAAAGTGCCTGTTCGAGATTGATCTCCGAGTGGTATGGGTGCTGTTCTCTATCGACAGGTTCAGGAGCTCCAACCTCGCTCAACGCCGCGTATTCATCGTCTGAATCTGTCTCAGAAGATGTAGGTTCTTCACCGCTTCTATTGGGATTGCTGAACGGCAGATAGGACGCTAGTAAATGTAATGTACCGATTAGACATACGCACATATTGTAGTCTGGTTCTTGCCGGAAAGTTGGGATTTGCAAATGGAGATGGCGACCCATAGCTTTGTATTATACTTGGCTTCGGGTAAAACGGGAATTTAGTGGATGCAAAATTAGCAACTAACATCCGGTTTTCTGATATTGTATCCAAGCCACAAGGAATCCTTTGTGTAAAACACTACCACGACATTGGCACGAGGTAAGCTTCGATCAATTTTCGTAGTGAATTCCGACAAAGTTGATTCTTACACTTGGCTTTACTTCGGGCATGAATTGATAAACCGAGCCAAGACATTCTCTCTGACTCTGTAGTAATATACAGGGCCTGGTTTGGTACACCTTGCCTCCTATAACCATTTCTGTTCAAGAGAATTGGTAGCAGAGAATTACGGTTATGAACGGTATCAAATAAATACGGCAAACATAGTAGATCTAGTGAGACGGCTAGTGAGAACTAGCCGATTGCATGGAAGCATACTGATGGGGGTGGAGGTATATATCTAGGGGCCAGTTTCGGAGCCTTGTGTGATGCTATTTGTCTAATTCTAGTTCATTGGGGGGTGGGTAATTTGTCTACTTTGTCCCCTTCGAAATTCTTAGTTGGCTTTTCGGAGATAAGTTGATCATCTTTTTTTTTTCTTTTGACATCTACCGATAAAATCAACAACTAGTGTGGTATATTGAGCAAAGATATCACCAAGGAGGATGTATATCAATAGACAATACGCGCGAAAAACAAATCTTGAGGATTGTTTAACAACGTGCCATTCGAGATACTGACGAGATCAATATACATTACTATTCCTGTGTGAGAAGATGGTACTGGGTAAGAAGCTCTGGAAGTATTGGGCATTTAGATTACTGAGTGAAGGCATCAAAGGTAGCAAATCATAGGGCATATAACTGTGCGTTGACTAGGACACTTCCATACTTGAGTAAATCAACACAGGAGCTTGCTGCTACTCCTAGAAATCTAAGGAAGAACAATTGTAACCTCTTTTGTAATTAAAATGCGTACCAGTGCTCCATAGATGACCACTCTGCTGATATTTTGAAAAGGCATGCACTTTAGATTTAAGGAATCCCTTGTCAATTTGTGTGGCTCTCAGTTTTAGCAGCACCAGCACCACCGGAACTACCTGTCATCATAGAATCGACTCGTGTACGGTGGTCTTCCGAAGAGTTGTCAATTTCAATAGCTGGATCTCGGTCTTGCGCGTCCCTTTCTATCTCGCCTTCTTCTACTCGACACAGTTCCTTGTTGTGATTTTGGCCCGGAGGCAGGACAAAAGTAGGCCCCGGAGCCCACCAATGCAGGGGATACCTCCGACGACCCAGATTATTGACTAGGATTGCCCAGGCGAGCATGATTAATGATGAAGCAAGTATGGTTGGAAGATAGCGCCACGATAGGCTGACAACGTCCGATTGAACGGCTGCGTTGAGACCCGTAGCTCCGGCCCTGGCCGAACAGTTAGTAATGCGTGACTGTGGAGGATGAAGGTAACGTACGGTGGGTGAACAGTTCGTGTAATCAACATCACGAGTAATGATGTTGCCATAGAGATGCCCCCATTAATAAAGGTCGAAGGGTGAAAGTGCGTGTTGTCTAAATATCCCTGGTACTGGCCGTTGAGTACAAAAAGCCGAGTTATACATGTTCCGACCAATGCAGAAAGAAAATGGCCACCGACAAAATTTCGAGGCTGTGCGACAGGAGACTCGACTACCCCAAAGAGCAGCACAGCTGAGGCACCGAATGATGTGATAATAGTAGGGGTATGGTATACATCGCGGAATGCGGTATCTGTGGACATAATTGCCTCAATTAAGAGAATACCCCCAAAAGCCCCGATCCATGCAAACAGCCAAGTCTCATACTTTAAGGGGATTTTGTGGAGCCATATGAATGGAGGGATTGGTAGCGGATCATAAGGAGGTCCTGCCTCTGGGGGGCGATAACCAGTGAACCGGTGGAGGCTAGGTGGTAGATCGCTACGATAGTCACGGGGGAATTTGAGTTGGGCGAGGGAATGCCAGTACTTTGCAGGGCTTTGCCTGATGCTGTGCAAGCGCGCCTTCTCATTATTCCCCATTATTGTCAATAATATACTTACTAGAAATGTAGGAAATCTTAAGAAAATCGTAGGTCTGTATGTCAGCTGCCACGACAAGCTTATACCGCCATTTTATATCTGTTTGGCAGCCTTCCCAAACATATAGGCGGCACGGACGGTCCGTCGTGGCAAACGAATGATGTATCGGTTCTACTATTGCGCTGGATTATACACTTTAATATGACATCTTCGCTTGATTCAGTAGCCTGAGAAGCAACGTCAACTTGCTATGTCATTGTATCTCTCGTGATCAAGGCTAGAATAGAATGGCTCTCTGTATGAGCCAGTTACGGCTGGGCCTGCCACCATTATATACAATATGCTTTAACCGGGGAATATATCATTGTTCAACGTAAAGGTAGGAAAGACGCGTAATTTACTCTGAAGAACGGCGACTGACCGACATCCGGAGAGGCCTCGTTAATTTTATTTGTGAAACCATGTTCCCTCACAACGGTGGTGTTATCCAAAACTAGGGCTGAATTCGGGAGATTAGATGCCTTGATGTAACGTTAATAGAGAACTGGTTGGCCTTTGTTACAAGAGGTGGCGGTATATGGCCGTCTCCTCAGCTTCTTGGTCTATCCCTTGGTGTGAAAGCTGTCGATACAATTTCTGCCTCTTCAGCTGGTTCGTGAAACTTGGTTACTGATCTATAAAACCAATTCTTTGACACTCTAAAGGTGACACACCTTGGGTGGACTGATGTTGTGGCTCTTGTGATTGCACTGTTCTATTTTGCTCTTGATAGGATCGCGTGGCTCCACGATCTAAGTCAGAAAACGAGCAGCGAGGAGACATTCAGGTTGGAAATGTCTTCAGTTATCTTTTAGGGGCTAAAACCTTCGCTTCTCTGGACTCGCCCAGAAAAGCGAGTTATACCTACGCTGAATTGAGGATATAATGAGCTACCAGTATTGGCTCAGAACATCCACTTGCATCCATAGAAGAATTATTATCATTATCAGAACGCACGTTAATCTATACGGTACCAGATATCATTTCTTACATTCAAGTGGATTGGTGGGTGGTTGGCACTGCTTGGAGGCACCTCTCTAAATCCATTACTAGGAAGCGGTCAGGCACACTGGGGCATGCTATGATGGCCAATCAAGCGTCAGGTTATGGTGGAATTACATGTCATTGTCGATCTAGATCTATAATCAAACACCCACTGTAAGATCGTGGGAAAATTTAAGTGCCCGAGTTTGTTGTTGCCGACCCCGTTTCATGATTCTCTTTAACGGCCCGCGCGAGCCTGCGTGATATTGCCTTTCGACGAAGCGGCGTTTAAACTTATTGACAGGGACCGTATCCGTCTGGGCCGGCTCTTCCATAAAGTTTTCATATAAAGGTGTCGAAGAGCGAAGCTTTACAAAATATGATACCACAATGGCTGGGTATTACCTGCATGTGCCACATCCAACAGAGTGAGGAAGATTGACGGTGCGAGATCTGTTCCTCTCCCAGATGCCGTTTGCATTCGGACAGGCAAGATGGAGTGATAGTAGGTCTTACATTGTATATCTATTACGCCTACAACCTTTTTTTTACAGTTCTGTAGAAATCTTCCCGGATACTTGCGTGTTCTGTTTAGAGACATTAGGACCCTCCTCGCCATATAGGCTCCTTCCATGCGACCATATTTTCCACCTCCCATGTATCGATCGCTGGCTTTGCGGCGAGGATGCAAGCTGTCCAATTTGTCGTCAGCCATTTTATCATCTAAGAGGACCTCGCATGGTCTATATTGCTCCCCCCTCAGGAAGCTCTTCACATCACTACGAGTTGCCCGATATCCGTGACCAATTCCACAGGTTGGGCATTTGGTTTGGCAAGATAACCCGCATTTTCTCGTGCCTCCATGATCGTTGCAGCCATGATTGACTCTTCGTATCACCCATGAGGTCCCTGACCCGGCATATCCTATCGTTTCCTCTTGGTTGGTGTCTTGAATTTCATTATTCTGGAAGGTATTTCTGACTCCAGACAGGCAACTTTCAAATCGTGTAGAGACAGTCTCGGGAGTGAGCCACGCTACTCCAGCCATGCTTGCCACGATTTCTGGAATTGTTTTATCTACCCAAACATTACAAGGCTGCGACTCTTAAAATAGCGAATTGGGTCTTCTGCCATAAGATTGATGTGATCCCTCACCTGACTCCTTCCTTGCTTTGTCCCCATTGCCTCATTAATCGGGTTTCAGATGATGTTATTAATACTTGGGCCTTTGGCTTGAAGCTCGAGGTATCTCAATCATTTAGCTGTCACTCCAACGTAATTCCAGCTCCACGTCGTTACCTCCAAATCATATACCCTGTTCTTAGTCTAGCGGGGGCTTTGAGGGTAAATAACATATTAGGTGGCTCGAAGGGTTTAGTAACAGCGTTCGCCGAGTTAAATGCAAATATCTGTCTACAACATGATTCTCTCCTCGCCAGACGTAGGCCTGCCAGGCTGTCGACTTGTATCTCGCAGTATTTCTCCAGCTCGCTGGTCTGAAGAGAATTCCCCCCCGTTGAGGTGAGACAGGCTACTTTCGACCATCCGGATAAGATATGAGGTTTCCTGGGAGCCGAGCCAGCGATGCGACATTCGAGTGTTGTCTCCTTTGTCAATTCATTATTCCATTTCGCACTGCATTGTACAAATAGAAGATACGTGCTTGATATACCTTTCCAAAGGAAACGGTGATCAAGGCGCACCCAATTGAGTTAAGGCCGATCTGTTCAATCGCAGTACTTCTTTCCGTGGTTTGTTTTTGTACGTCGCCTTCGCCAGGCAAGATTCTATACAGAATTATCCTACGGTATTACGTTAATACATCAAGGAACTAACCCCTGGCTTCGCGTTATAACCCTGGAGAATGCGGCATCGCTATCTGGCCAGTATATAACGCGAAGCTAAAGCTCCGAATCCCGAATTTGGCTGCAGTTCAAAATACTTAGACCCAGACATTAGCTCTACCGCGACAGTCTAGTGAGTTAATAAACGCCCTTCAATCGTCAATGAATGAGAATTGGCACAAAGTCTAAGATTATAATTGTATCAGTATCTATGCTAATAATCCTATACTGCTTGCTTTACCAAATTCAGCACGGGTCAAGTGATAGAACTTTTGGCCGTCTGCCCTGTCATCCTTTTCAACCAGCGATACATAGAGGCGGTGGTATTAGGGACTCTCACAAACCTGTCTTCGTTGCCCGTCTCATTGACGAGGCTGTTTAGTGCAGATTATGGTGTATGGCAAATGCTTTATTTGAAGTTCTTCTCTCTTGGGAACCCTTGATATGAGAATGCGGCCGCATTTTCATCCCAAGCCATAGGAGTAGCGCAAAGAGTCAATCAAGTACTTGCCATCATAAAGTATATAAGGGTTCGGAGTTGTCACTATCCAGACCTCTACACTTTCGGCCTTTATCTCGATACGTTGACATAATAGTAAGTTCTGACCGACCTGATATAAATTCGGAATAGAAGCTCAGTTATTAACGAAACAGTATATAACTAACGGCGTAAGCAACTTTCACTGTAGCCTTCACAGCTATGCGAATTTCGGAGTTTGAAAAGCATAGCAATGGTGGCAGATATTCAATACTGCTAATATTTCATAAACATTAGAACCGGGAGCTGCGTGACTGATGTACTTCAAGGCCTCCAGATACAAAGCAGGCTTTTGAAGGCTCCAATCTCTGGCCTGTGAGCCAACAACTATGTCATAGAAATAAACCATGGCTCGTCGGAGTACCTTGATGAAGAAAGAGGTCATACGGGCAGAGGCTCCATCTTTGCCATTGTGTGCGCCGATATTCTGGGGTGGCTTAGCTGGCCACAATACGAAAGGTATAACTGCGTCGCTAATATCATACTATCTCTGGTAGTCTCCTGAGGTGGGTGCACTTATATTTCAAGTGTCATGCTAGCGATAAACAGCCAGATGTATGCTCTAGCATACTTGATTTTTGCCCATCTCACTCTCTCCGCTCTTTATCAAGGGGAAAGCCGTGTTCTCGACCATAATAAGCAGTCGTTACCATGTCAACTGAGGATAGTAACAGAAGATCATTTTCTTAAATGATAAAAACGTGGCAGTGATGAGACGGAAAGCTCTACCTCTATTTGATTGCGGAAATAAGGAATATGTAATGGTAATCTGTCCACTTGATCACCCCTGGTCTAGATGCATAGTCTATGCTGAGTGCTCACGCAAGATGGAAAACAGACTCTAGAATTCCTCCTTCCACGGTTCATGTTAAACTACAACGCTGAAAAGTCTATCGTTCTTATTACATAGTTTGATATCCAGAACAATTTGGCTGATAGCATTGGCATGTGTCCAACATTACTCTTTGCTTCACGCCGTAAGGATAACACTGTAGTCTCTAAAGTTATTATTATCCCAATATTCAGCCGTATTTACACGATCGTGAAGGCAAAAGCGTAATACCAGCCGATCTGAAGGTTGTGGGTCCTTCAAATCAACTGTGAAGCGAAATTGGTCGGAGAAAACGGAACCAAGTACGTGCTTTGACCGATGATGAATAGCACGAGCTTCTTCAGACGTCTCCCAGTTGTTAAAGCTATACAGAGCAATGACAACTTTTTGGAATGCAAGATTGAGTACTGTTCCAGTCCCTATAACCCTCTGACTTTGTGGAGTGACTTCCAAACTCTCTAATCGAATTGGTTGGTCTTGAGAGAGTTGCCTAGTAAGTGCGAAATCTAGTAGATATTGTCCTCTATTTACGCTCACTTCGATGTAGTCCGGCTGGATTTGCCCACCCAGTACTGGATTGGGATTTAAAGCCTGCGGTGCGTCAACCGGATGGAAGAGACGCGTTTTCTCTAGAGGCTCCACAAAGTGGACGTTCTTTTCGACCCTGGTCACATTCCTGGCTATTGTGGTCAAGAGTTAGCTGGCTGGTGAACTTCAACTAGGATTTTCGGTGAATATTACTACCAATTGTTAGCTCGTTTAGTTTTAGGTCCTCAGAATTACGACTGCCTCCTGAGAACTCGACCTTTCCCGTTATAGAGCCCGAGCGGCAGGTATAAGAAGGCATTCCCAACCCCTGAGCTTGGGAGGCCTTCGGAGACTTTGCTCAGCCAAAAATAAACCGTATATTTGCCGAAATCACATATATATATATATAAGTATATTACTATATTTCCTTTCAAATACTCTCTATATATGATCTGTGAAAGCCTTTTACAGCTAATACCTATAGTAACTAATATTACCCTCTGCTAAGATACTTTGAACCGGTACAAGTCATATCATTCTTAATACTAAAGAAACCGGACTCTCAATACAAGCAATATCAATAATTGATGCAAACATAAGCAATTTACCATTGTGGCTTGAACAAAGCTTAGCAATATTGCAGGGACTCACTCAACATCGCTTTCTTCATCGCTTTCTTCATCGCTTTCTTCATCCTCTTCGGAGTCAAACGTATCGGTTCTAAGGGCTGGTCTGCATTTCACCTGGGACGAGGCAACTACTAAGAGCAGATCATTGTCTCCCTTGTTGGGGGCTGCCCCTGCCAACAGCTCTTTATAGTCATGGCCTAGTTCCTCCACTAGTGCCAATAACATATTTTTAGGAAGATATCTTCCCGGGGTGCCCCAGAAGGGCTTTCCGATCTCGTCCTTGAGTGTGGACAGAGCTCCTCCTCCTATATTATGTCCCCAGGCTCTTCTCAAAACCTGGATACAGTAATGAAAATATAAATATCGTGATGCTGGGCGGAAGCTTGTTCGGAAAAGCAGCCTTTTACCATCCAGTTCTCTCCAAGTCTTTTCAGTATAGCAGTGGATTGGACGATCAAGTCTGTCCCAAGACAGATCAATGACCTTGACTTTGTACTCTCTGGTTTCTCCTTGTATCCAGGCAAGAATATCTGCTACGGCTGGTCTGTCAGCAAGGTCGGGGACAATGACCAGCTTTCCTGAGTCGAAAACACTTTCAATGCAGCGATTTAGTAGAAGGCCATTCATGGCCGAGAACAACTGTGGAGGTCGCCTCTTCCCAAACATTGCATCCATGACATCTTGTCCGTGCATGTAGGGAAAGAGGTGGACAGCTTCAATATCACGATCGTCACACCAGTCCCCAAGCACTGGGCACCATAACCAATTTTCGGTCTCGTGCTTTGCATTTCCCACCGTTATTAACTCATTCCGGAACGCTGATTGTTTCTGAGAGTCACGGTTTCCTGCTCCAGTATTCATGATGCCGAGTCCCATTTTACTTGTCGTAAATAGCTTCATAAACGAGGCCCTCAAGGACCGCTTTCCTTCCTCTCCCTCCAGGCCTTCCTTGCACTTTGTGTACAGCTTTGTCTCGGTATGCTGTGCCTTGATCCTTTGAATGATCGATTTTGCGGCATCGGTTTGCTGCCAATCCGCCTCAGGTCCAGAAAAGTCTCTCAGAGAAATCTTCCTATCCACCTCGGCCTTCTGTAGTACGAGGTTTGCCATGTACTCAGATTGTGTCCAAAACTTTGCGTTGAACGACCCTTGTGCCTTGAGCCTTTTCTTATTCACCTTGATGCACTCTTCAAGACCGGCTTGTTCCTTCTCCAGATCAGGGCTTTCTGCTTGTCTTTTGGTGGAAGACATAGTGACTTTGGGTCTTAAGAAGGTTCGACTGGATATGCTTTAACGAAATAAGCCTGTTTCTCAAGTGTGTGGTAAGATTTTGAAGATGGGTGGACTTCTGGCAAAGATGTTGTACAGAAGTCGGATAGTAGCTGGCAACGAAGAATATTTTACAGAATGAGGGCATCAGTCTGACGGAAGGCATGACCAACGTTTACTCGCTTAGTATGTAATGGGCGTCATCATCGTTACGTAAACGATACCAGAAGTTCGATATCCCCTTATCGCTATACTGACTAACTACAGGGTGTGGAGAGGGAGATGTTTGAGCGGAAGCCCTGGACTATGCTATAATCATAATATATATGTCTGCTATTCTTGAAAACCTCAGCCTTTCTCCAGTCGCGCCAACAGACGCCAGCATGACGTGTAATAAGGCAGCCGTAGTGTCAAATTCACTTTCACCATAGCTGAGCTCCGTGGACTTGGATTCGTACAATGCGATGAAGATTATTTTCGCGTTCAATTATGTACTGAACGGCAGGGACGGAGTATTTGTCAAAACAGCGCCTCTATTCCGCATCATACATAAAATAAGTTCAGAAGAAATCTATCGGATATCAATCTGTAGACATACAAAATTTCACTGGTGAAGAATCTAAAAATCAACCCTTGCATGTGTTATATACTATGCTGTGACAAGTAGTATAACTGGTTGTTCTATTTCTATACTTTGCAATAAAATGCTGTCAAATACTTATCCCAAAGGCTTCGCACGGAGGAAAGAACTCTAAATAAACTGTGTACTACACATTATCATCTGGGGCAATCCGCCTAGTCAATGGGGACTGACAAAGAGGACAAGCATGGTGGAAGCTCCAATACCATCGTTCTAGACAACGCTGGTGGAAAAGATGACAGCACTGAAGATCAAAAACCGTATCACTTGAGTATAGTTGTTCAAGGCAAATGGAGCTAGAAGATTTTATTAACAGAAATCACCATATAGCAATGACCCTCGATGTCCTTACCAATTCTCTGCATCTCTTACTTGAAGCTTGCTCGCCAACTCCTCGGACTGCTCCAGTGACGCTAATGTCTTGGACGGAATATTTTGAAGTATAACATGTTCAGGCTTCACAGTCTTAATTTGTGTCCCACCATCTTGCGTCCTGACCTGGTAGGGATGCCTCATGCTCCAGAGCTTTAAAGCGACGCTGTGGTATTTCCTTAGTATGCTGATGTGATGACATAGAGTGAGCCTGACTGTGGATGATACATACAAGAATACAATAACCATGAACGCAAATACTGTGATAGGAACAGCAAGACTCACAACCAATTCGGTATTCTTTGCTTGTTGTGCGCTTCTCAACAGTATACAGGACATTTCTCTTCTCAACACTATGTAGCAATCTTTGATGTATTGTCAAATAACAAAGCTCTCGTATGTCGGCATGGCTCGCCCAATGTCTCAGGGAATGCTTGACCTCACATTTTATCCTGACGGCCGAAGTGGCCTGTTCCGCCTTAACCGGCTTTCACTACAACCATAATTTTTACGACGGGTGGAAAATGCAGATATCAAAGAATCGATAGCCACGCAGGCCTTCGACTGGAGGGAGATGAACCGTGGTGTGAATAGTTCCCTGAGGTCAATTTAGGGAACAGTGTTACCATACGCCCCCCTAATGCTTGGAGCATAATATATGCTCGTAATGACGTCGTCGATATAGAAGTCATATTGGATTGATAGCTGACGGACTGGTATGGACCTAACTCAGGTAAGACCCATAAGTTACTAACACCATGCGCCGCCTGACTAGAGGTTGAGGCCGGGATATGGGAAAGAAAAGTCCCGTGCATCCTTGATCAATGGGAACATAACCCTTCGCCGGAAACCCCAAGTCACTGTTTCATATCAGAGTCTTGCAATGCTTGAGTAGATAAGCAAGCAATTCCGGAAACCACGGCACAGGCGGCTGGAGTGGCGGTCGATCTTATAGTTTGCCATTACTACCTTTCGAGTTGCCTATTACCCTTTTTTTTTTCACGGGGAAAATAAGTTGCACCCCGGCCAACGCGGAACCAGTATTTGCCTAGCTGGTGATTCCATTAAGGACATAGTGGTATTCGCAGCACCGACGCTTATACACGTAGTGAGGAGAGTAATATACAATACGAGGGTCTAGCCTTCTCACTGCAAAACTATCGATCGACACATAGGAGGACAGCAATATGGTCTCATAGAAGATCCTATATGGCGTAGAGAGTGCTAACGTCTCCAAACACGGAAAGATTTCTATGGAACTGCAAGACAAGGCTGTAGCTGCAGCGGATATTTATAACTTACTATTGCTCCAATCTAATTGTCGGAATGCAAAGGGTATCCGCGAGAGAAACAGATCTTGTACCGTCGATTTCATCCGCTCTGTCAGATATGGCACATATAGGTAATACCCAGACACGGTGGGGTCATATTTTGTAAAGCTCCACTCTTCGACACATTTATATGGAAAGTTCTATGGAGCTCACTAATAGAAAGATGAGGCGAATGCTGCGCTTCGAGCGGAAATATCACTGGCAGGACTTCTATGTTTCTGCCGGCGATCGATGAGGTTGGCTAGATATCATGTATTGTAACCTGGTTAGAGTATCTATAACATTAAAATGTAGTGCTATAATATTAGAATGTAGTGGAGTACTACTAGTAGGTGGTTGATGAATAACTTCTGGAACCTTGTTGGTTATCCTGTGGCTACACCTTTACACTCACCTATGCTTGGGAATCTGGCAGAAAAAAATTACGGTCGCTTAAAAAGGCCCGCCGATTATAGTTGAATGCATATTATCAGGGTTAAAGCGCAGTTCAGTATCGTTGATTTATAAGCAGAAGGAGCTCTCGAGGTTTCCCGGATAGATTAAGCCTCCGGTTTGATTTATAATACAGCCATTGTCTCTGAGCCCCTATGTCATCGGCGTGTATATAGTGTTGAGGAGTTGCTGTTAGTTTACACATAGGATCAACTCAGAGACCCAGAGCACATCATAAAATCACAGGGAAAATAAGTAGATATTAACCAAGCATGTCTCCTATTCGAGTCGGTGTAATCGGGTTAGCTAGTGCTTCAGCAGAGAACTATGAGGGCACTTCGTGGACGGCCAACGCTCACTTGCCCTTCCTCACCAAGTCTCCCAATTTTGAGATTGTTGCATTGTTGAATAGCTCCGTGGAGTCTGCACGGACGGCAATCCAGAAATATGGTCTGTCGGACGAAACCAAGGCCTACGGTGACCCGCAAGGTAAGCCCCAAATACATCTTAAATGAGAAAATACTCATGGTAACAATAGATCTCGCCAACGACCCTAACGTCGACCTCGTGGTCTGCAGTGTCCGTGTTGACCGACACTTTTTGACTGTGCGTCCGAGCCTTATCGCCGGCAAAACAGTTTATGTCGAATGGCCACTAGACCGTAATCTCGAGGTGGCTCAAGAGATGGCTGCTCTAGCGGCCAAGCATAATGCGCGCACTATCGTAGGCATACAGGGCACCTTTTCACCGATTATTCGCAAGATGCGATCTGTTATTGGAAGTGGGCAGATTGGCCGTGTCCTCGCTAGTACGATCACTGGATCGTTTGGCAATAACGTTGATGCAGAGAGCAAGAACGTACGGTACTTTCTCGACCGTGAAGTTGGAGGAAATCCAATCAGTATCCATGTTGGTCACAGCCTAGAGTCCATTGCTGCCGGTGAGTAGTCACAAGACAAGCTTCTGCTTGACACTAATACGGTTTACAGTCCTCGGAGAATTCAAGACTCTGAGGAGTTTTTCGACAATCAGCCGACCAACGATAGACATTAAAGACTACAGCGTTGGAGATACCGGCAGGGTCGTCGAAACGGGGGCTCACAATACTGTCCCGGACCAGATTCTCGCCTATGGTACCGTTGAGCATTCTAATGCTGCGGTAACTATCAAATTCCATGCCGGAAAGGAGTTTCCAGGCCAACCCCGACTGGACTGGCGTATCCAAGGTGAAAAGGGCTGGCTACGAGTGGCTTCCCCACTTGTATCTTTGAATGTCGGCGGCCCGGGAATCAAATTGGAAATCGCGAGACACGATACAAATACGGTAGAGGAGATATTACCGGAGACCGACGAGTGGGATGAGCTGCCTGTCCCGGCGCAGAATATTGCCCGTCTCTACGAGGCCTATCGCAAGAATGAGTGGTATCCCACCTTTGATTGGGCGCTGAAGAGGCATGAGGCGATCGATGGGATCTGGAAAGAGTTTGATGCAGAGAACCATCAGCTTAGCTAGGGAATCAAGCAGAGTAGATAGAATAGTTCGCCAACGTCTTTGCTAAGAAGTTTGTGTCACTCTGAGTTTAACAGCGAGACTTATACGAGGTAGCTATAATGAATGAAATGTGGTCATAGTATCTCGTCAAAATAACCTGAAATTGAATTGATATCGAGTCTGGACTGTTGGGGTCAACTCCAAGTCCCCGTAATTCCCGCATATATAAAATTACAAGTAGTAGTAGTTCTATTCGTGATGTTTGATCATGACACGAATAAAAATACGAGGGCCTTTTGAAAATTACGGAGATCTGCAGATTAGTCCTTGGAAGGTTTCTGACACCATTGACTCCCGCGATGATGTGACGCCGCTATCCGGAATGGCTGCCAAAATACAACACCAACAATCATATCGCAGAGTGGCTGTCGATGGCGTGCATGTGGTCCATAATTAGTGCTCTTATTGAGGGGTATCCCAGGATTTGGGCCCCGCGATGATGAGCCCAACTAAGCTCCAAGTCGCGCAACATCACCTCGGCTACGGTATTTAAATGCGTAGTTGGAGACTCATCCCCAACTAATCAGCTTATTGTAGAAGATCACATACCAAAATGGCTGCTGTTGAAGTACCGGTCCTGCCGGATAGGACTGTCCCCTTGCTAAATGGTCATGCACAAAGCCATGCATTGGTCGGTGTGCCGACAGATATCAAAGGCTCAGCCGCGACCACTATCATAGAGAAAACAGAGGAGGTTTCCCCGCAAGGAAGACCTGCCTTTGAGATAGAGGAGCACCCGATTGATGAAGTTCGAAATATCAAAGTTGGTGTCATCGGTGCGGGCATAGCTGGTATTACTGCTGGGATACTCTTGCCGGCTAAATTACCAGGGCTTGACCTCCGGATCTTCGATAAGAATGCGGACGTGGTAGGTGTTTCTGAAAAGAAATATACCCCCGCGTAGCAAGATGTGAGAAATATTGACTAGTATCAGGGAGGCACATGGTACGAAAACACATATCCTGGTGTGCGATGCGATGTTCCAGCACATGTATACCAATCTGGATTTGCACCGAACACGCAATGGACGGAGGAGTTCGCACAGGGACACGAAATCCGAGAGTACTGGCAAGCGCTTGCCCGCAAGTACCAGGTCTACAAGTATACACGGCTGCAACACAAGGTACAAGAAGCCGTATGGGTCCCTGAAACAGGAAAATGGCGTGTCACCGTCCAGGACGTCGGCATAGGAAGGGTGCGAACGCTTCTATAGAGCCCTCACGGAAGGAATAGCACTGACTGACACTAGGTATATGTCGAACATCTGGACGTCCTGATTAATGCGATCGGTCACTTCAATGATTGGCAACTACCCAACTATCCTGGCATCGATCAATACAAGGGTACCATTTTCCATTCCTCCCACTGGAAACATGACGCGGACTTGAAAGGAAAGCGAATTGCTCTTATTGGTAATGGGGCGTCCGGCCTCCAGGTTCTGCCTTCGATTCAGCCGATTGCACAGCATGTCGATCACTATGCGCGTAACCGCACCTGGGTTGCAGACTCCTTTGGCACTACGGGTGTGCGCCGACTCGAACCGAACTTGTTCTCTCCCGAACAGCTCGAATCATTTAAAGACCCTGACACATACATCCAATATCGCAAGAGTGTGGAAGAAGGATACTTCTCACGCTTTGGTGCAATCTTCAAAGACTCGCCGGAGAATCGCGCACAACGAGACACGTGGACACAATTAATGCTTCAGCGCATCACCGAGAAGCCGGAACTAGCAAATAAAATTCTACCTGAGTTTCCGCCAAACTGCCGGCGAGCTACACCGGGACCTGGCTATCTAGAAGCCCTAGCAAAGGATAATGTGAACTACATACAGACGCCTATCGAACGATTCACAGCAACAGGCATTGTGACGGCAGATGGCGTTGAGAGGCCTGTTGATGTCGTGATTTGCGCTACTGGGGCCAATGTTGACCATGCGCCGCCGTTTTCGATTATTGCAAATGGAATAGATCTCAAGAGAGCCTGGAAACACGATGGTTTGTGGGGATTCCCTTATAATTACCTTGGTATCGCAACACCAGGCTTTCCGAATCTTCTTTGGATCGGCGGTCCTCATGCCACAGGCCATAGCGGAAGCGTCCCGAATAGCATGGAGAACCTGGTCACTTATATTGCCAAGGTCTTGCGAAAGATCCGCAGCCAGGGGGTCAAGGCGATGGCTCCGTCTAAACAAGCCTCTGACGACTTTGTCGAGTACTCTGATACATTTTACCCTCGCACCGTATGGACGGGTAACGATGACTCGACCCCTGGACAGAAGAACTGTCGGTCCTGGTATAATGGTGGCCGCCCTGGTGGACGGATCCATGGCCTGTTCCCTGGAAGCGCTGCTACATTAAACTATATCCGACGGGAACCACGGTGGGAGGATTGGGAGTACGCATATGTCAACCCTAGCGGCAATCGATTCGCCTATTTCGGCAATGGCTGGACCAGAAGAGAACGGTCTCTGGACGCAGATTTGGTGCCGCATGTGAGGCGGCCTGATACAATAGATCTTCGCACGTATATGGAGGGTTGGTGGGACGTTTGACTGTTCACTATGAGCTAGCCCTGGATGTTTGAATATTGCCTTAGAACCAGGTTATGCCAACTTGTTTTACGAAATTACCTTCCACCATGTGATATTGTCAATTCTCATGGCGATGCCATCCGTCACTTAGGCTCGCCTTAAGGAGTAATCGGCCTAGTATCGCTATAGCAGATACGTAAAGTGGGAATAAGTCGAGGTATACCGTGATCCGAAAAGTTCTGCCACTATGATTCACATGGTTTCCAGTTGGCATAATTAAGAGATTTACATGGTTGTCTTGGTATCACGTCTATCTGTAAGTGCTTATTGTATGTCAATCTAGCATTTGTCATACCAAATTAGAGTAAAGCATGAGCTTTAGTAGAGCAATTCCCTATTTTCACCTCTTCGAACTCCCCTGCAACACTGGTAGCAGTCAGGGTAAACGGAAATGTCGCCAAGCTGTCATATCATGTCTTTGTACTTGACCTTCATAGGCTAATTTCATCAATTCATGTGTTCTTTTATAACGCGTACTTTGGAGTCTCCTCTCCTGCGTGCCACACGTACTTCGCCCCTGGGTGAGACTGAGGCAGCCGTGTCTGTCCCTTTTCCCCATACATGTTCTCGCGGAATGTGCCTCCCTTGACAGCATACTCCGAGTGGAAGATCCCTCGCTTCTGCAACTCCGGAATCAAATACTTTATAATATCGTCGAAGGTCTCAGGGATTGAGGCGTAGCTCAGATTGAACCCATCCACATCACCAACTTCAACCCACCGCTCCAACTCATCCGCGACTGTCTTCGCGCTTCCAATAATCTTCGCCCCATTTCCTCCCATAACCAAATACTCTGAGATGGTTTTCTTGTCCCATTTCTTACCCTCAGTCCCTGGCACCGTGCTTGCCCAATGATTCACCATACTACGGATCGCCGGCTGCTCCACGAACCGGAAGTCTTGGTCGTCCTCATATTTTGACAAATCATACCCTGACCATCCACCAAAAAGAGCGAGAGCGCCTTCGGGATCTCCATATCGAGCCAATTCAGCGAACTTCGCATGAGCCGCCTCATCAGTCTCGGCCACAATAGCCAGAATACCCGCCACAACCTTGATGGAACTGGGATCGCGACCCTGCGCCTGCGCTTGCTGTCGCACATTATCGACGGATGGTCGCACTAGCTCCGGCTTTTGACCGTGTAAGAAAATAGCTTCTGCGTGCTTCGCCGCGAACGCCTTGCCTGCGGTGGAGGTACCAGCCTGTAGCAGGAAAGGCGTGCGCTGAGGGCTCGGCTCACACAGATGTGGTCCTGGGACATTGAAGTATTTTCCTTCGTGGTTAATCTGCCTGATGGCTTTGGGATCGGCGTATCCAGCTACTCCATCCTTGACATTAACAGCATCGTCGCGCCAGGATCCCTCCCAGAGTTTGTATGTGACATCGAGGTATTCATCTGCAATGCGATACCGCTCGTCGTGCTCGACCTGTGTGTTCAAGCCAAAATTACGCGCCGCGGAATCCAAATACGATGTCACAATATTCCATCCCACACGACCATTAGTCAAATGGTCAACGGTTGAGAATCGTCGGGCGAGCGCATAGGGAGCATCGTACGTCGTCGAGGCTGTCACACCGAACCCGATCGACTCGGTCGCGGCCGCCATGGCAGGAACACTGTACAGTGGGTCATTGATGGGGAATTGCGCGCCCGCAGGGATAGTCGGATCGAGGTTGGCTGGACCCTTGTAGACATCGTACCCTCCTAGCACGTCGGCGAAAAAGATCGCGTGGAATTTGGCGGCCTCGAGCTTTTGCGCCAGGGATACCCAATGCTGGAGCGACTTGTAGGCACCGCCTTGGTCCGGCGGGTAGCGATGGAGACCTGGGTTCAGGTGGGAAGGTGACTGCATCGCAAATGCATTTAGGATGAGTTGTTTCTTGGGCGTATCGATTGAACCCATGGTCGCTGTAATCTGTGCAGCTGTTCTGGGTTATGGGTAGGGTGCGATATAGGAGAGGGTTGAATCGCCTGGCTGCGTGCGGTACATTGCTCATGTCCAGGAATCAGGGAATATATAGGAGCCATTGAGGGAGATCCTGTTCGGCGACCTCGCCCATGATTGCATTAATGTGTAAATTCAATTGCAAAAAGCCCATTGTTCAAACAGCCCAGCTTGAGATTCTCTCGTATCCCACGGGACGACCCAAGTTCATTGGCTTAGGGTTCCGACATGACCCCAGTACGATTGCCGACTGCAACGATAATGCCCCATAGGTGAATTCTCATGTGGCTCAAATCCTCTACAAAGTTGCAAGAGAGCCTCCGAGTTGGAGTAATATTGACACTACACGCTGGTACTCCAACGGGGTCTCGGTCTTCCATCATCCACGCCGAGAGTGTCGCAATCGGCGATCCGAGGCACGTCTTCGCTGCCGCTTATTCGTCACGCATCACGCAAGAAGCAAATCAATCCTTGTCGCGAACAATGGTACTTTAGGAGAGACCTGTTCAGTGAGGGGTAAATATAATCACTGCAAGCGGGGTGTCTATGGATTTGCTGTTTGAAAGTGGATCCCCCTCATAAGCGCGGCATCTGGATATCTAGGGGTTTTGACGATTCCGAGATAAAATTCGACTTGCCTTGGGAAGTACTCTGAGTACTCATGTTTAATACATTTTGTATTTTTAATTCCCGTATGGAAGAGCCTACTAGAGATTATTAGAGGGGATTAGGCAGGAGGATACTGACGAAGTGCTTTGATCTCTTTTATCTCATTCTATCATAAAGCATCCAATGAACAGATTTCCGGCATCTAACGTAGTATTTGAACATAACCGTGCATATTATCCTGCAAGATCAACAACTATGCGCTTCCCCGACGCTGTGCCTTGTCGAAGAAGTTCTAACGACGCATTCACATTACCCAAGCCTCCTTCTGTGCGAATAATCTCTGGTAGTTCAAGAGCACCTGAATGTAATAGATCCTCGAGCCACGAGACCATCCGCTCTCCTACCTGTGGTGACGTATGGAACAATTTAATCGGAACTGTATGGTAAATGATATTGGAGCTTCTGGCCTTGGGGAGGCCTGTCAGGCCCAGAAGATGAGCGTGTGATCCGTCTCCGCGAACAGTAGCGTCGAGCGTTTGTTGAAGCAGAGTCGCAGTGTCTTTGCCGACAATGTCAATGGCGTATCGAAGCTTGCCCTTTGTCAATCCTTTGATGATGTCGACTGCGCGCTGGGTATCGTGTCGGTCCACCAGAGCATCGGCCCCTAGATCAACTAGTCGCGCACCGTGACGGGCAATATCTGCCACGCAGATTACCTTTAAGCCAGCAAGTTTGGCGAGTTGTAACGTGATATATCCAGTCGTGGTAGAGGCTGGATGAATTAGTCTAAATTGACCCGTCCTAAGAGGGATGTGAAGCTCACCTCCCCAAATGGCGATCCAGTCGCCGGACTTGACTTTTTCGATTTTGGAGAGACCGGAGTAACACTCTTCTCTGATATCAGCTGGGATAGTATCGGTGTCTAATCGGCGAACCACTTCTGCGAGGTCCGGTCCCGGGCATGCCGATGCATAGGAGAAGTCCAATCCCAGTGAGACGCCCAAGGCAAGGGCAGATGCCACAAAGGCAACTCCTAGGGAGGCAGAAGCGTGGATACTTTGGGTGGGCGGGATGCGTGCAGCATTGAAATGGGTCGCGATAGCATATTCTTGGAAAGCCGCCTTTCGAATATCGCGATAATCGGTGGAAGGCACAAGAACTATGTCGCCCTCTTGTACTCGTGAAGACTTATCTGCCTTAACGACGACACCGGCTAAATCACGACCATTAACCCATGGTAAGCTCGGAATGCCGAAATTGAAAGCTCTGGTATTCTGGTGATCAATGGTGGTCTTGAGGTCAAGTTGGGAGAAATGCTTACGGGCCCTTCCAGTCGATCGGGTTCAAACCAATCGCCACAATCTAAGGTTGATCAGTAACTGCATGCCCAGCTGCGGAAAATTGATTGGAGTACCTTGACCAGGATCTCGTCCTTGTTCGATATTGATGGAATCGCATGATCGGTGACCAGCGTGTACTGTTCATGCGCAGCTGTCAATAACAGCGCACGCTGAGTGGCCCGTCCGAGCTGTGGTACGATTGCCTCCTGCACATTAGGATTGACGAAGATAGGTTCCGAGCGTTGTTCCGGATAAACTTCTTGATACGAAATAGTTTGCTGTTTCTCATTCAGCGTAACGAGGGGCACATATGTCGACACGGCAGTCATCTTCATGGGATTCAAAGGCTCGCTGTGGTAAGTACCAAGTGCTAAGTGTGTAATTCGTCTCCTCCAGTAACATATATAGAGGTAGACCGGTTATCGGCACCGCACTGGACCAGCGTCTAGTAAGAGATAGAGGAGCCGATCCCAGCTCCGGAGTCGCCACGCGAGGCATAATGGATCCATCCTTCCAAGCTACAGTATTACCACGCCCTGCATATTTCTGAAGCTTGCCTTGGTCTTTGTTCGTCTCTTGGGTGATTTCTAATAATTGGGCATTGCGAATCGCGGGGTTGATATGACGTGATGGGTGGTTATCAAGAGGAATGTTGGAGAGAATCTTGGCTGTCATCCCTTGCAGTTCGGTCGATGGATATTGTTCATAAAGTAGCCGTAGATCATCTTTGCAGATTGACCTTCCTTTAATATATAAGTACTCTACTGGGACTATATAAATGTATTCGAGTCGGAATCATCTCCGGACAGATGTCATAAAGCTACCACGCTTCGTACACTGTCCGATATTGTAACCAAAGGTATTAATCTGGCGATCATACTGAGCCAATAAAAGTACTCGATGATGTGATTTAGGGCATTGATTGAGGAATAGCCCTCGCAAATAATACAACCTTTGAGAAGATTACAAAATTTCACCAGGTATTTTCACCCCGATTGATCTTTAATTATTAATTCATAGTGCATTTAAAAATATCAGGCTAAATTTTGTACTACGTAGAATAAAGTAGAGGGTCCTTAAGGTCCTTCTGTGGAGTAAGATGATGTCTGGGGATATCGTAGGTTTATCATCAGTGTTACCCCGTTAGGCTTCAAGTCGAATTGCAGGGTTGGCTCTCTAACATATAACAATCTACTCCCTTGCTGAATCCCGCATGCTGACCAATGCCGCCGGCCTCCGAGAGCTGTGATGTGTCCGATCTTTGATACCATCGACCACTTAGCATTCCAGGAATCGTACACATAACTCCTGACCAGAATGACGTGCCTAGGGATCATGGAGGGTGAGCTCCCTATCAATACCGGCCCTGCCGACCTTGTATGACATGCTGGATACTTTGCCCTTGCTTTTTTGTCAATCTACACTTAAGGCCAGTGACAAGAATCCCCTGAACTGTTGGGGAGGTTATATCAACTGTGCCAGATTTACCTGGTTCCAAACCAAGAGCTTGAGACTTGTATTAAAAAATAACGCACGCCGTACGAACCCTGCTACCGTGATGAGCAATACGGAAACAGAGCCCTTGTTGGACTCGACTTCTCCTGGGTACGACGCGGTGGATGACTCGAGTCTCGACTCTCCGCTTGATGCGCTACACTCAGATTTCCAAAGCAAATTGCCTGGAGTGCCATCCCATCGCAAAGCGCTCAACTGGTCTAGCGCATATATACTAGTTATTTCGCGTGTTATTGGGAGCGGCGTGTTTGCGACCCCGGGATCAATCGTCAAGTCGGCCGGAAGTATCGGATTAACGCTATTATTATGGCTGGTCGGAACAATCTTAGCAGCCTGTGGAATGGCCGTATCAATGGAATTTGGATGTATGCTCCCTCGTTCTGGTGGAGACAAGGTAAATCTTATTCGTTCTGTTATGGTTTCTTCTTGACTTTACACTTGTTTCGTATCTAAATCTTTGTTAACCCCATCTAGGTATACTTGGAGTACGCTTATCCCAGGCCTAAATTTCTCGCGTCTACCCTCATCGCGGTACAAGCAGTACTATTAGGCTTCACAGCTAGCAACAGCATTATTTTTGCAAAATACACACTGTTCGCATTTAACATCGAACCGAGCGAGTATCAACACAAGGCACTCGCTGTTGGCCTTTTAACCCTCATCACCATTGTGCATGGCTGCTTCCTCAAAACCGGAATATGGATCCAGAATATCCTCGGATGGGTCAAAATCTTCCTTATTATGGCCATGTCTTTAACTGGAATTTGGGTCATTCTTCTGCGCCCCTACGATGAATCGCTCGGTGAATCCGATCGTGCGGTCACTAACAATCCTTTCGCATGGGATACATTATGGGAAGGCTCCAACTGGAGTTGGAGCTTGATCTCAACATCAATCTTCAAGATCTTCTATTCATATGCGGGACTGAACAATGTGAACAACGTCCTCAATGAAGTCAAAGACCCGATCAAGACGGTGAAGACGGTTTGCCCAGCAGGACTTCTGACTGCGGGCGGTCTTTACTTCCTAGCAAACATATCCTACTTCCTTGTAGTTCCTCTTGACGAGATCAAGAACAGTGGTGAACTTGTTGCGGGCCTTCTTTTTGAGCGACTATTTGGGGCACATGTGGGCCGAGTGCTTTTCCCGTTGGCCATCGCCATTTCCGCGGCCGGAAATGTCATGGTCGTGACCTTTGCTCTGGTATGGACACCGTGTGTCGCAAACTGAATCTCCCCAGGCTGAACTGTTCATATTAGGCTCGTGTGAACCAAGAAATCGCTCGTCAGGGCTTTCTACCGTGGTCGCACCTTCTGTCCTCATCGCGACCTTTTAACTCTCCACTTGGAGGACTTCTTGTGCACTATGTACCATCTATTCTTGTGATTTCCCTCCCACCGCAAGGAGATGTTTACAACTTCATCTTGGACGTCGAGGGTTATCCCGGACAGATCTTTGCCTTGGCAATCACGGTCGGCCTTCTCATTGTCCGACGGCGGGAACCATCCCTTCACCGTCCGTTTAAGGCGTGGAATTGGGCGATATGGTTACGTATCGTGGTCTGCATTGCTTTACTAGCAGCTCCTTTCTTCCCTCCACCGGATTGGAACGGAGATGTGCATTTCTTCTATGCCACGTATGCTATTGTTGGAGCTGGGGTGTAAGTGTCTGATTACTAGTGATAACTTTCCATTAGCTAACCGATTTAGGGTTTTATTTGGCATCTTGTATTGGTACATATGGACAGTTCTACTTCCGCGCTGGGGGGATTATCAACTGGAGGAGGAGAAAGCCGTACTGGAAGATGGAACGGGCATTACAAAGCTTGTTCGCTCGTATAGAATCACCTAAGCTTGGATATGTAAGCGCTGACGTCAAGACGTTATATGGATTAGAAATGCGTAAACCCATAACTAATTGTGCTCTGGTGACCTTAATGAATCTCATTATTAATGCATATCGGTCCTCCTATTCGCCGGCCACTGCGGATGGTCTCCCTATTGCGTCTTTTGTAGTATTTCAACGGTCATACTTGCATGCATTCCCTCCCTTCCCAAAGCTCCAATAGGCCTGTTTTACATGTATCACCCCGAATCGAGTGACACATGCATCTGAGCCTTGGATGATGGCGTGCGAATCTGACAAATGCCAATTCGTCTCCACGTTTCACCAACAGATCTGTATATAAAAGTAGCTATTCACCTAATAGCTCCAGTGTAGATCAAAGCATAAAGGCTAGAGCAAGTTTCGAACCTCGTCAATTCCCTTAGTGCAAGCTTAGCTACATACGACACGAACCATCATGGCCTCTGCGGCAGTTCAAGTTCCACCCAGCCACAAACCATCGCCACTTACCCAACAGACCTCTATCCCTAACTCCTCCGAAAAGCCCCACCACGTTCAAACAAAACTGTACTTTCTGAAAGAGGTTGAGGATGGTTCTCATCTCACTCCAAACTATGTTACACGGCCCGAGACCTACGAACGGCCCTCCGTCGCGCTCGACGTCACCGTTCACGACGTAAGCGGTCATGAGCTAGACTACACACTGGATAAAAATGGTTTCCAGTACTACTACCATGAGAGCCTTGAGAAGGACTTCCTTGATGACGAGAAAATTGCAAGAGAATACTATCCGGAAACCGAACAGCTTTTGAAAGACGCGTATGTGCCACCCTAATCTGTCCAGTGTTGAGACACTAAAGTATATACAATAGGACTGGCGCTTCTCGTGTCTTCATTTTCGACCATACTATTCGCCGTGCACCCAAAGATGTGCGAGCCACGTCCACGCCCCAAAGGGGACCTGTCCAGCGTGTGCACATCGACCAGTCTTACGAAGCGGCGAAGAACCGTGTCACTTACCATCTTCCTGAGGACGGACCCGAGCTCCTCAAGGGGCGTTATCAGATCATCAATGTTTGGCGGCCTATCAAGCCAATTCTGAAAGACCCATTGGCTGTCGGGGATGCTCATACGCTTCCGGATAGTGACCTCGTGGGCATCAAGCTTATCTACCCTAATCGGGAGGGCGAGACATATGCGGTTAAGCCCAACCCTGATGTTAAATGGTACTATCGCTACGGGCAGACGCCTGATTTGGTCACCTTGATCAAGTGCTTTGACTCCAAGACGGATGGTCGGGCTCGCAGAGTTCCTCACTCTGCGTTTGTTAACCCAGACACTGTGAATGAGGAGCCACGGGAGAGTATTGAAGTGAGGGCATTGGTCTTCCATCCGGATGATCAGGAGTAGGTTTTCATCACTATGATTTATGGATTTGTCCTGCGTTTTGCCTTTTCATGATTATGTGTGTTTATGGTTGAGACTGGATACTTCTGAAGAGGCGCCAAAGCAATGATAATATATATATTTTGAATTTGACATATTATGATTCTTCTTTAACTCCATTTCGTCTCATGCATATTATCGTTTCAGATTTGTAACGGTCAAGTGTTGCGTTTTAGAACAAGCCTATCCTCGGTTCAAGCGGAAGGACAACAAGAATAAAACCAAAAACTAAAATTGTGGGGCATAATATGCATGTCCTGATGAAATTCGTTTTGGTAATTTTCAATTCAAAAAGCAGAATTGGTACGAAATTGGCATCCCTGTTCTAAAGTATTGTACACAATTTGTGCTAAAATGCCGTGCGAGCACGTAATCGAGCCCTCCAACGGCAACATCACCAAAGCGGCTGCGGCATTCATTGTGCAAAGCCTACACATTTAGCGCAATTAAATGCAACTTTACTATTAGAATCTACCTTCGTTATTGGGCTAAACAGGGGTCCACGATTGGCAATTTACCTGCGCGATAAGCTTAGATTGTCATGTAGACGAGAGCTCGGCAGCTGTAGTTGTACATAAATCCCACCATGGCTTCAGAATGACTTTCATTCTCGGATGTCGAATATCCAAAATCATACATCAAACGGTAGCTACGTTGCTGATTCATAATGACTCACGAGAAAGAGGATATCCGATCGGCTGATGAAGAGGTTGGGAGCACTTCTCTCCCTTCAACAGAAAACCATCCAGGTCAGCTGACTGCTTCAAACCCCAATAACTATGCTAACAGCAGCAGTCAAATGGTATCGCTCAACGTTCTACAATGCTCTTATCTTGGGATTGTGTAATTTCCTCGCCCCCGGAATTTGGGGAGCCATGAACTCAGTCGGCGGAGGAGGGTTGGAAAAGCCGGTCGGTAATCTCCAACGGGCCTTCTACTGTGACAGGAAACATTGACACCAAGTGCATAGTATCTCGTCAACGCAGCGAATGCACTGACATTCTGCCTCATGGTGCTTTCATGTTTTTTTGGCAGTGTAGTTGTCCGCTACATCGGGATCAAATGGACGCTCATTGTCGGCACGATGGGCTACGCCCCGTATGCTGCAGGTCTCTACACCAACAATCGATTCGGCACTGAATGGTTCGTTCTCTTTGGTGCCGCGCTTTGTGGCCTCTCTGCCGGTATTTTCTGGATGGCTGAGGCCGCCATTGCGATCTCCTATCCGGAACCACACAACCAGGGTCGCTTCCTCGGCTTCTGGTTGAGTTTTCGCGTCGGTGGTCAGATTCTGGGTGGTGCGATTAATCTGGGCATCAACTCCAACCGCAACACGGCTGGTAGTGTCTCATACGCTGTCCTCATCGTTTTCATCGTTCTACAGGCGCTTGGTCCGTTCGCAGGGCTGCTGCTGAACACACCCTCTCAAGTACAGCGCACAGATGGAGTTCCTGTGAAACTTCGCATAGCACATAGTCCGCTTCACGAGATCAAAGAGACGGCAAAGCTCTTCTTCACTCGGAACTTCCTCCTTATAGTCCCACTCATTAGTCAAGCAGTCTTTACGGAGGCCGTGATGTTTACCTATCTGTCGCTGTGGTTCTCAGTGCGGGCGCGTGCGTTAGGGTCTTTCCTGGGAGGCATTATTGCCCTGATCCTCGGCAACCTGCTAGGCGCATTTTTAGACACCAAGCGCATTTCACTCAAAACTCGAACTCGGAGCGCCTTTGCAACTATTCTCACATTGCAAGGGGCATGGTGGGTTTGGGGTACTATCATCGTGACAGAATTTAAGAAAACCCAGCCGTCGTACGATTGGGCAGATGCGGGTTTTGGCCGCGGGTTCGCACTGTACTTGTTCTGGGTTGCGGGATTCCAGTTAAACTATATGTTCTTGTATGTTATTGCACAGAGAGTGTATGACTTGATGATGCTGATGGCTGACCACTGGCAGATATTTCCTTATTGGCAATCTTGCCGACGACGAAGAGGAGGTTATTCGTATCTCCGGCTTACTTCGTGGCACGGAGTCGGCGGCTCAGGCTGTTTCGGTGAGTTATCCTGCCCTCATTGCCTTTTCTTCAGGTGTACTAATAATGAATGATAGTATGGTCTGAACGCTGTCACGATCATGGCTTCGGTCGGAAGTGTGTATCTCAACTTCGGGCTGTGGGCTATTTCGCTGCTACCCGCGTGGTTGGTTGTCAAAAATATCGGGGTAACGCTGGGAGACAAGAAGATTCAGAGGGAAATAAGAGTGGATTAGACTAAGAGAGCGATCCATAGATATGCGAGGTATATCATAAATAGTTTTGCACGAATGTGAAGCAATGCGCGCCCACATTTTCCACTCGCTGAGACATGCATTAGTCGTATTCTATCACTTCCAACCAGTGACAAGCATACTGCTACAGCACTTATACTACAGTGACCTCCTGACTCCAACAAACGCCATGGAAATGATATAGATTGGTTACCAAATGAGTTCTGCGAGAAGTGCTATATAATCTTATCTCCGACGTTCGTTATCAGATGAGCTCTTACGGACAGGCGACATTCAGCTCGACATCTCTGGAGCGTTTGGTAGGAACTCATCTTTGTCAACGCAGTTTTCTTCATGGGTCCGCAGGCTGTAGTGGGCGAATTTACTATTTGCGCGGATTCTCGTGCCATAGCGTCCAAATAGAGGCGGAATCACGCAGAATACCGTCCCCACTGCGGCCAGGATTGAAACAGCGACATTGTTCCCCAATGCTGAGAACATCTGTCGCGCAAATAGAGGAAAAGTGGCTGAAAGGATTGCACGTAGTGATGCGACTGCTGCCAGTCCACTAGCCGCGTAGCTCAAATAACTGTCGGCCAGGTACCCCAAGAGCACGGTCGGAAATTCGTTTATTGCATAGCCAATGAGCACGAGGGGTATGGTTGGCACTATCCAATGCATGTTTTCCGCGTAAGGAGGAATGGTCCATGCAAACCACCATAGACCGATGGCCATCAGTGGTGTACCAATGTATATCCCCAGAAGCTTATGTTCGGGCAATAGCTGACGACCATCACGAAGATAGTTTTCGATAATTCGGTCATCTGCAAGACGAGTGAGAAGGCTCAGCACCGTGCCAATTCCCAACCCCACGAACGCAAGACATGAAGACTCCGCGGTGAATCCCAAATGTTGATAGATCGGCTGGAGCGCTTCGGTGAACAGATACACCAAGCCAAAGGCAGTCGATGTCATCACGGCGACACAGATCACAATAGGCTCAGCGAATAACTCCACTGGCCGGACCAAGGTGGTGCGTACGAATGTGTGGAGGTCTGGCGTATGGTCGGGATTGAGCGGAGGCGGCGTTTTCATTCCTGTTGTCTGTCGGAATTGGGCAACCTGGCGCACGAGGAGTAGAGATGGACGTGATTCCCGAATGAAAAGAAGCAGGATGGTAAGAAAGCCGATTATACACGCAGCGACATAGAAGACCCATCTCCTAAAGATATCACATGAGCGTTCATCCATGTCATCATCCACGTTTGTAGCATCTTACCAGCCCAAGTTACTAGTGATATAAGCACCCATGATCGGCCCAAGTACAAGACCTAAATTCGATGCAACCGACCATATACACAGCCACCACGTTCGCTGCCGACTTCGATACATGTCTTCAATGCTACCTGCCAGTACGTTTGCCGGAATCGAGGAGAGAAATCCTGTTGCGCAGCGTCCAACAACGACAGCCGCAAGAGAATGAATCGATGCGATAATAACACACCCAATGCTGAACAAGATGCCGCTAATTATGTAAAGCTTTCGACGCCCAAATGTTTCCGAGTATGGCGCAAACAATATTGACCCAGTCAGTTGTCCCAGGAGTGACCTGTCGCAGTTAGGGCGATGGACATCGGAGGGGGCAAGCTGGTTCCGCATACACCGACACAAATAGGAATATGGCCAGCGTTTGGTCGATATTATACTCTGCATGCGCGGCCTTTGCAGTTATTGTCTGATCCAGGGCGATTAGTCCATTGCTTTCGGGTGTTTAAGCCATGGGTGGCACTCACGCCAGCCGTACTAGAGGCTGTGCTGGCGATTTTGATGAGACATCAGCTCCAGAAACAACACAAGTGAAAAGGAATCACCCACGTAAAAAGGTCCACAAGATTGATAATGGTCAGATCGTATGTCTTTCTTCTGAATGACCAATTTCGAGGGTGATTCTGGTTTGTGGGCAGCCATCGGACGAACCGACTATCCGGAGTCAGTTGAAGCCCATGCTGAAATAAACATTCGTCAAGAGGGTCAGTATCATGGCTGAATGGTATCGTCTTGTTCCCTTCTAAGGTATGTGCGCTCATTTTGTTTTGTCCGATGGGAGTAAAATGTGGTTAACGGGAACACAAGCGACTATCGTAAAGGATTCCCAGCCGGGTGTGTATTAACACGACATCTAGTCGTATGGGAATATTGAACACAAGGAGGCCCTCCTTTGCCTGCTCATCACGCCGTGACAGTAGCGTATATATATTGTGGTATTCTGAGCCTTGCATATGCACTTGTAAGGTCTATCTCTACATTTGGATTGCAGGGTACCCGTCAGAGAAAGTATAATCGGCAATTACGAGACAATTATAAGCGGACTTCCCTCTATTACAGAATAAACAAACAAGAATCTCGACCGGAAATGGTTGTAATGTAGATCAAAGAATGTGCGCCAAGTTTGTTATTGCTCCATCAGACCAAATGGATCCAATTATATGCACATCGAAATCCACTGTGAGAGGGATCATCAGCAAGGGATGACCCGCACCGTGCGGCTCATTGAATGATCGACGTGATCCGAAAAGGGCCCATCCTCTCCTCAAAGTTCAAACTATTACCAAGGACTGGCCACAAGCCTAATGCCAATCTCCCTTTTCACATTTCGGAGCTCACATGCGCTAATGAATGTGTTCATAAGGCATCTGACGCAGAAGCTTAGAAGGTCTTTTAAGCTTCCCTATGACATACATCCCTATTAGGTCCAGGACAAATTGCTCAAATAGGTGCTTTTCGTAGCTCAAAATTTTGATCCAATCAGAAATCAATCACAAAGTGTATCATACACTAGTAAACTGCGGTACTATCCTTGATCTCTATAGATATCCGTACATTCTCTCCGCAAATTGCGGATATAGGATAGCAATCACTATCCTTAGATTTCGGCAGAGCCCCATCTAGGAAATAGGCTTAAGCTTCAACAACTCTGCCCAACCCATTACCCATGTGGGTAGCCCATGATTCACCTGTGAATGACTTCCCACTCTGTATCTATTCAGTCCATATACGTAGTATGTGGTCCGATTCTCTCCATACTTTTCCTGCGAGTCACATACCCCAGATATAGTCAAGAGCAGTTTAAATAAAGTTCCCAAGTCTTTCTTAACAACTGTCCTGCCCAATACACCATCCAATCTTCTATTTTGATATTACGGTCATAGTTGCCATTGCCCCTGATAACTTCGCAATTAGCGCAGATACGCTAGCATTGCTTGGAGAACATAAGCAGAGATTTTTTGCAGGCGTATCGAGGCAAAAAATATAATCAGCAATAGTAGAACTAAGTCACACATCGTTGATAACTATAGGCTGTTATCTTCACCACTGCAGGGCGGGTCGAAACCTCCTTCTGCTCCCACAGGACAAGTTTATTGATATCCAAAATTTAATACCAAGGCGCCAATTCGTGCATGAGCCTGTATCTGGTCCGTGAACAATCTGCATATATATAAAAACCTGGAATATGCAGAGCCGAATAAAACTCAAGACATCTACGTAAGTACACCAGGTTACAAAAATGGCGCTAATGTTTTGACTGCGCTTTTTGTTTTTGCAGCCCTCACCAAAAGAACGGGAAACTACTTTTGGATGGTTCGCCTGTGCCTCTGTCACTATCTTCTGTATTAAAATGTACTTATGCTGAACTAATTCAGCGTTCATAAAAATTTGTATTGTCATACAAGTAAACTTCCTTGCAATGAGGCATTGTTCCATATCCACCAAGATCCTCCCGGGGGATCACGTCGTCGATCAAGATCTCTTCGAGTATGTTAAACCTCTGCCAGACATGTATATATGTAATCCAGTATATTTGTTTCATCCCATTATTAGAGATGCTAGGGCTACGGTGCCAACTTACAGTGGATTCTTCCTGTGAAGCATCGCGTTTTGACAGGTTACGCATATTACATTGCAAGAACCCGTAAGAAACCCAAATTTGTCACTGATATTAAAAGGGCACAGACGAAGAAACGAGATAGCTACAGGGCATATGATACAACAACCTTGATTTCTCCTTTCTTAGCGACTTCCACCTGTATGGTCTATCATGTCTTAATCATGAAACATGAATTAGTCAGAAAAAAAGCCCTTGTCATCAGTTCGTATACTGTAGAAACGTTGATATATCAGCCTCATAAGTCACGCATCCATATTAGAAGCAGATTCTTACCGCCCAACAAGCGACAGGATGGTTCGCTTGACCACAATGAATCTTGTCAAGATTCTTATGAATGAAGCTGGTCAGTTGATGCCTTACATGTCTCAAAAAAAGTACACGGCGGATTGCTGCTTACATGGTGGGCTTGCTCCTGGCAATCTCGCTGATTACGGCATTGCTCCTTGTTTTGACACTAAACCACAAAATCAGAAGTTGCCCTGTGTCAAGAAAAGGCATGCAGAAGGGATTCTCACACTGAAGCCTGCCGCACATCCATGCCAGTCTTGGGCGAAGACTCCAGTGCACAGGGTGAGAGCAGTGATAAGGGCTGGGAGAAGTTGCATCGTGCTGGATGATCGGTTTCAATTGGACTGAATTTAGTGAAGATTGTTGATAGAGAGCCAAGTTAGTATTGTTCGATGGGTGGGCCCCAAGCATGTATTTATAGCCCTGAATGCGCTCTGCTGTACCCTCACTTACGATACTGCCGAGGGTAACGCTTACATCGTAAGTTCCCCAATAAATAGGGCTGACTCATGGTCTCTTTCGTCGTCTATCCCGGTCCGCATCAGCGACAACCAATCATTACATATTGTTACTTGTTCAGTGGACTCGGGGTGGGACATGTCTCAGATACGTCACTGGCATTCTGCCACTCGGCGTGGGCTTGATCTCTCAGCTCGTCGTATTCTCTTGCAAATGAGGAAATGGATGTAACTGTGGAGACTCGACGGCATACTAAATTCTGACCTGGGATTTAATCCTATCTAAAGATACGAGGAACGCTTCATGCTTGGAACGGCCAGTATCTCTTTATCTTTGGCCCCACATTCTATCTTAGACAAGACAAAAGAAACAGTGGCGTCGTTCACGCAGTTTCTATCCCATATTTGTTGAACGCCATGTTACGTGTACGGAGGCTGTATGATTGGTCATACTGCATATAGCCATACCTCGGCTTCAACATATTTTATTAGACCGCAGCCAAAGCTTTTATTTCAAAGGTCGTCGTTCGAATGTCTTGTGCCCTATTTCCGGCCTAAATGATTCGGACATCTAATTTAAGCATCATAGAGGTACAAGCCAGAGGTTCCCAAGTAGAACTGCACGCCCAAGTACATGCTTCGTATACCACCTCGAGACTGGGGTATACACGGATTGAATAATACTAAGTAACTCATGGATGTGTAAATCATGCAAGGGGCAGAGTAGTGGCCTGCTATAAAGGACACCCGACGCACATGTACTTTGACCGTACACTATTGGATTATGCTAATGGAGTTGTAATGCACGGTTGTCCCCCACGTTGAATGCTTTAAGATAGATCTTCGCAATAGTCGCTCGGGATCTACGCCTAGCACAATATCTACAAGCCACTAATACGGTAGAATGCTTTTCCTTTTATCTCGAGCCGTAGGACAAAGGTTACATTAGTCGCAAGGTTGTACCGCCTAATATCGTATCATGTTATACTTCGACCAGGGTAGCATATGTTACAGTGAGACAGTGGAATTACAGTGGCTTTTTCCTACGTCATTGGCAGATCAGATCGAGTTCTGCATTTAGTACGCACAGGAGATCCACATCCACCAGAGGACCAAGATATAGCGATATGCCGACAGCTCGTGTTCCTGGGGGGCCTGACATACGTGTCATTTTTAACCCCAGAGGACGATGCAGTCAGAGATATCTCTACCTTTATGTCAATATTCCTATGAAGCCTCGTAACTCAGATTGACGTATCTCACTCTATCTGAGTATTTGCTCGGTCTCGCGTTATTGCAAACTGGCCCTTCCACGCTGGGAACCCCAGGTTATTAATAGAACAGTGTAAGACTAGGCTCAGCGCTACGCAGCCTTGCGAGACACAGAGTAGCCACGCTACACTAGCCTTCAAGATGCACCTGTTCAAGGTAAGGATTAGGTCCTTTTCCTGATCAGTAACGACTCGGAATGAGACTTTTTTTTTTGTTGATGATGTTGATCACGAAGCACTACGTGGCCATCGTGGATCAAGGATCTAGCCGCCTCTCTCGCAGTCATTACAATAAGATAATTTGTAGAAGTCACCAATATTGATTAGGACTTGGCAATATTCTCTCAATTATGTTTTTTCCAGGGCTAAAAGTCAATGGAAGTCAATTCCACTCCCAGAATGTTTGCCTGGTTTGCACCATGACATCACATAGCTGAGTCAGCCGTGGGAAAAAAGGCGCTAAGCTTTGCGGAGAATTTCGGTTCCGCGACTCCCAGATGAGGATTATCATCCATTCCCACCAAACACCCGCCCGCGTCGCACATACATACGTGCATACTCTCGCATACACAACATCTTTGTGACTATTGGCTACTCTGACTCCGCGGTTTATGATACCCGTCAAGAGTTAGGTTGTCTTTCACAACTGTTTAGGCCACTGATCGCCTGCCATTCTAGCGGGCCGGCCTGACGTAGACGCGATCATGGCGCGAAGATATATGATCCCATGGCTCTATGACCTGGGCATCTGGATCTTCACCCTATGTCTAGACATTTTCTTCCGGGAGGTTTACTCCCGAGGAGCTTGGCGAATCCCCAGACGCGGGCCGGTGATCATCGTGGCCGCTCCACATGCCAATCAATTTGTCGACTCGATCCTGTTAATGCGCATCCTGAAGCACGCAGCCAATCGTCGGAGCTCTTTCCTCATTGCCGAGAAGTCCATGCGAGAGCCATATATCGGCACAATGGCCGGATGCATGGGAGCTCTTCCGGTTGTGAGAGCCCAGGATAATGTCAAACCAGCCGAGGGTATGATCTATTTGCCGGATCCCGACAATGATCCGACCCTTGTTCGTGGTAAAGGAACGGATTTTACGAATAAACTCTTCATGGAAGGCGGCACCATTATTCTCCCGCGGGTGGGAAAGACCAGTCCGGAACAGCAAGCGATTGCGCAGATTCTCGGGCCGGAAGAATTGAGACTGCGAAAGCCGTTCAAGCAGTTCGACGAAGATCACCCTCTGTACGACGCGTTGCGCACCGGGACGAAATTCAAAGTGGCCCCGCATATCGACCAGCGTCAAATGTTTGACGCCGTTTATAGCGAACTCATTGCAGGCGGCTGTATCGGAATCTTTCCGGAAGGTGGCAGCCATGACCGACCCAGCCTGCTCCCCTTGAAGGCTGGTGTCGCCATCATCGCATTGGGTGCTCTGGCTCAGGATCCCACCTGCGGCCTGTCTATCATTCCTTGCGGCATGAATTACTTTCACCCGAATAAGTTCCGTTCTCGCGCTGTCGTGGAGTTCGGTAACCCCGTCCACGTACATCCGGACCAAGTCGAAGCGTTCAAGGCCGGTGGGAACTCGAAGCGCAACGCCGTGGGATCATTGCTGGAGACGATTAATGAAGCACTAACTGCGGTTACTCAACAAGCGCCCGACCACGAGACACTCATGCTCGTCCAAACCACGAGGAGACTGTACCGACCTCTACGGATGAAGCTACCCTTGCCAATTGTTATTGAAGTCAACCGACGACTGCTCAAGGGTTACACTCAGTTCAAGGACGAGCCTAAAGTCCTCCAGTTAAAAAAGGCTATATCCGACTACAACCGACGCCTTCGAGCCTTGGGCATTCGGGACCACCAGGTTGAGTGGGGCGACGTGAAGCACCGACCGTGGTGGATGGTCTTAGGCACGCTGCTGTATCGCATCGGTGAGCTTCTCACCCTAGCTGTAGGAACACTGCCATCTGTCGCGCTCTTTTGGCCAGTCTTTGTTACCGCCAAGGTTATCTCGGTAAAAAAGCAGCGCAAAGCTCTTGCCGGTTCCGTGGTCAAGCTTGAAGGCCGTGACGTGGTCGGGACCTGGAAGATTCTTGTCGCTATGGGACTGGCGCCTGCCTTGTATACCTGGTATACCGTGGTTGTGACGACATGGCTACACTACTGTCGCAACGATGGACATTACTGTGCCGTTTCGCCTTGGTGGACAAACCCCAGAACCTACGTCCCTGATAGCATTCCCCTTTGGCTCTTTTCTGTGTTTTTCTTCGGCTTGATGATTTCCGTTTCCTTCGCTGGTTTGCGAATTGGCGAGATCGGCATGGACGTACTCAAGTCTCTCCCGCCCCTTCTCGTTGCCTTGAACCCCATCTCTGCAAACTCGTTGGCCAAGCTGCGGGAGGAGCGCCAAGCCTTGTCGACCAAGGTAGTCGACACGATCGATGCGTTTGCCCCGGAGATCTTCCCAGACTTTGAACATGAGAAGCTCGTTCCCCATGGCTATCCTCATGATGACACATACCAATCTCGGTTGAAGAGTATGCCACCTAGTGAGCCCGAAAGCCGAAACACCAGTAAAACCCGAGGCAGCCGCAGCCGATCCCGAAGTGGCGGTTTCCTCCAAGACACCCTACTCAAACCACTGACGATTGGATCGAAGGATGATCTCGGAGAGGTCAACCGGCGAATTCGCGACTCCATGAAGGAACGAGGCCGCGAGCGCGTTCGAGCACAGTACGATTCGGATGCGGATGCTGTGTTGGTTGATGGATCTGCAGGCAGTGACAGCGGAGATGGAGTGGAGGAGAAGAAGACCAGATGAATTTTTCCTCCGAGGAATCAACACCCAGGGATTCTAGCAAAACTGTGAGATAGAGAAGAGCGGGGCATGTCTGGCATTACCTACTTTCTTTGTACAAAAGCGCAATAATGATCTATGAGAATTAACTTAATGATTACGTGAGTGAAGGTGAACCCTCTCCGATCTCGATGCGTGTAGTTTGGATCGTTTCGCCTTTAGTACCACATCTAAGCGCTAAGGTAGCTCTTAGAGGTTAAATTATCAGCTCAACATATATCAATCGCCCGGATGGTTATAGTGATATGATTCGCGCTTAGGTTTCACTCAAAGCATTAACTGCGCGAGGTCCCCGTCGACCCCGGGTTCGCGCCTTAGTTTTTCCCCCTTTTGTTGTTGCCCTATCTATCTCATTCTCCTAAGAGATTGAGCAAATCGCGTCGAAGGACTCAAGTTGTCAGAACGTGATCTCGTTTACTGGTCGATCGTGCACTCTGCCCATCGAGGAATCTCCAAGGCGTATCAAGCCCGCAACCTTTTTAGACCAACGCATTCCATTCAACTGATCTATTAACTAACAAAGGTTGTCCTACTCTCGCTCGAGTCGGTACCGCACAGCCCGATAACTGCATCTCAAACTATCTCCGCTATGCTTGATTGGGTGTGAAAAGCCGAGTTCCCTGTCTGCGCGCGGTACTAAGTGGGTACTTCTTATCATCCTCACGCCATGGGAGGCTCGTGTAGTGCGTACGAGAATCGTATTACTGCAGATAATCTGTGGTGTGACGTGATGAGGTGCATATTACCCCTCCTGAGGCGCTGATCACTTCGGCGCCATCGTACATGTAGATCTGAAGAGAAACGCATGATAAGGTCGACACTTGCGTTGCGACCAAAATGAACCGGGAGACATCTTCTCCGAGCAACTTCACTCACATATGAGAGATGACCATGGCATCGACTGCACCTGCCGACATACCTAAGGGAGTCCAATCCGACTCGATCACTGGTGACGATCCCAATGGAGTTGGTGAGACCGAGGTCCTCGTCCCCGGGTCCCAGAAGCTTCACAGGAAGCTCCGTGGGCGAGAGGTTCAGCTCTTTGCGGTAGGAGGAGCTATCGGTACATGTATGTTAGTCTTGGACTTGTTCACAATCGCCTCAATTTACTCATTCGCATCAGCGCTCTTTGTACAAATGGGCTCAGCCTTGCCCAAGGGTGGTCCGGCGGGCCTCTTTATCGGATTCATAGCATACGGTACAATCGTTCTAGCCGTTAATGAATGTTTTGGTAAGTGTCGGCCTCGAGATTCAGTTCAACCAAGGCTACTAGGGTATCCCGTGTTGGCGCTATAACGTGGTACCGGGCTAATACTAAAAGGCATATCCAGCGGAGATGGTTTGCTACATGCCCATTCCATCGCCCTTCGTGCGGTTGGCTGGACATTGGGTAGATGACGCGTTGAGCTTCGCGATGGGCTGGAATTTCTTCTTAGCCATGGGTTAGTTCCTTTCGCGCCTGACTTGTCACAGAGTATACTCACCTCGGAGGTGTCCCTTCAACATATACAGCGCTAAATATTCCTTATGAAATTGTCGCAATCAATATTCTGCTCACCTACTGGACCGACAAAGTGCCCACTGCAGCAGTTGTTGTCGTAGTTATGGCCATCTATGGGTAAGGACGCCATAAGTTGCTTGGCTCTAGGAAAGTACTTATGACCCCGTCTAGGATATTGAATGTTCTCACCGTTCGCTACTTTGGCATTGCTGAGTTCTACTTATCGTTCTTCAAGATCCTCCTGATGCTGGGTTTAATTCTCTACACGTTCGTCACCATGGTGGGCGGCAATCCCCATCGTGATGTCATTGGATTCCGATACTGGAACGACCCAGTTCGTACACACTTCCCGATAATGACAATCATGGCAGATGCTAAGCTAATCGATGCACTTTCCTTGCCGGCTTGCAGGGAGCATTTGTCTCACATCTAGTGCCCGGAGACACTGGCCGCTTTCTTGGGGTGTTAAGCTGCATGATCCAGGGCGCATTCACGTAAGTGGATCGAGTTGCCAATCTATCTTTGGTTGAAAGCATCTACAGTGTCACAAGGGACATGTTGATAGTTAATGCGAACGGTTAGAATGGTAGGGCCGGAGTTTATATCCATGGCGGCTGGTGAAGCCGAGCGACCCCGGAGAGTCATGCGGAAAGCATTCGCATCCTTTGGTTGGCGCCTTATGTTTTTCTTCTGTCTGGGAGCACTCTGTGTAGGGATCGTGATCCCGTACAACGACCCTACGTTAGCTGCCATGCTGGATGGTACAAAGCAGGGCAGTGGGACTGGTGCCGCGTCAGTAGTATTCAGCGGATGGAACCCAAGCATACAGTTGGCTAACCACGATTCAGGTCTCCCTATGTTATCTCCATGAACCACTTCGGGATTCAGGTCCTCCCGGACATTGTTAATGTGCTGATCATGACTTCTGTCCTGTCCGCGGGAAACAATGTCGTGTTCTCTGCCTCGCGGACCTTATACGGCATGTCACTAGAGAAAAAGGCGCCAAAATGGGTCTCCAAAACGAACCAAGCCGGATTGCCATACAACGCCGTAGCCATAGCCGTGGCTTTCAGTCTCCTAGGTTTCCTACAAGTCAGTAACAGCTCAGCCACCGTACTCAATTGGCTGGTCAGCTGTATCGCAGGCTCCTACCTCCTCAACTACTTCGGCACATGCATCACCTACCTACATTTCCACGCCTCGCTGCATCGTCAGGGCATCTCACGCGAAAGCCTCCCCTATCGCAGTCGCTTCCAGCCCTACACGGCGTGGTACGCCCTTTGCGGAACTGGAGTGATGGTTTTGGTCTTGGGGTATAACGTCTTTCTTTCCGGTGGTTGGGATTTGAAATCGTTCTTTCTCAACTATGTTATTATTGGGTTTTATGTACTTGCGTTCGTGTTCTGGAAGCTATTCCGGCGCACGCGATACGTGGGGATCGGCAAGGCGGATCTCCAGTTAGGGGGTATCAAGCGAGGGATTGATGAGTATGAGGAGGTGGAATATGCTCGTCGTAGAGGGAAACCAGTGGCGTTGCTAGATCGGTTGTTCGAGTAGCAGCGTCATATACTCCGTGTACACAGTAGATGCTTGACAATACTTGACATGTTTACATTGTGGGTCCTTTGGATAGACAACGAGCTGAGTTTCAGCCCCCATAGCCGATGTAACCGTAAGAGTGGAGCCAATTCGTTTTCTAGGAAGAAAACATTAAAGGTCCAGACGCTAATCTGATGCCTAAAACTGACGATCGTTGCATCTGGCGGGATAATTATAGATCCGCGTCAGTCCTGGCGGCGGGGGATCACTCAATAAAGATAGTACCACAAATGACTCACGAAATAGAATTAGTGCTGACGGTGGATGAAATCCTATTTATTGACCCAGTCCCGAACGGTTTACCATAATCCGCAGTCTTGACTCCTCCTAACGACTGTTACTGCCACACCCTGCCCCATTATGACGACCTCCAACGAACAACAATCCAGTCTCCCCTACCATGGCTCCTGTCACTGCGGGTTTATCCGGTATATCGCGGTCATTCCGATGCCACCAGCAGTAGCCCTCAGACCAGACGCGGTGCAGGGACCTCGTCTCCGATTCTACAAGTGCAATTGTACGACCTGTCAAAAAATGGGATTATTCCATATGCGACTGCCAGACGCGCCGAACCAATTCTTTTTACTCTCCCCGCTGGATCACGATACTCTGGCTAATTATAAATGCCAGAATGGTCACATCAACTGGTTCTTTTGTCCGACGTGCGGCGTACGATGTTTCGCGACCGTACCTCACTGGAAACAAGACCAGATCGATATCGAAAAGATTTCGGCAGCGGTTCCCAGTCATGATGGCAAGCCGGATCTACCGGGGATAGAGAAATCGTCAAAGACGATCACCGCTTGGCGAATGGATCCTGATACCTTCAAGGAGGATGTGACTGGGTATCTATCGATCAATGCCCTTACCATCGATCAAGACCAGGCTCATGGGACGAACCTTGATCTACGCCAGCTTGTGGACAACAAATGGGTCGAGTATTCAGACTGGAATGCTAAACAACATGAGCTTCGGTATGATTATCCTCATGACAAGGGGACTTGGTAGAGGTTCCGGCTAGCATGTATGTCCTATTTGAATCGCAAATTTGAGTCCAGATCGAGTGTTGCCTTCATATCCAGGACAATACACGACTAGTTCTGAGATTTATCGAAGTTTGTGAGTTTCCATTCTGGTGGAGGGGGGATTGGGAGGAAGATTGTTAGTGTGTGTGAATTATTGGCTGAATTCGATATCGAGGTATTATTTGGGAGGGATGTGGACGATAAAGTAACAAAATCATTGACCTATTCCTGAAAGAACAATAAACAAAGTAGCATGGATAAATTACACCGCGGGGTTAACTATAGATATGTAGAATGAATATGAATGATAAAACTGAAGCGGATGGAACTCAAAAAAATATATTTCTTGGGCGTGGACACAACAAAAGGAAAAAAAAAAACGAAAAAAAGGGGCCACAACATAAAACTAATTAAACCCCACTAAATCAGTCCCCCAATAGTCTTGATATGCCTACAGCAAACATCAGCTTCAATTGAAGGGTTTGGAGTATATGATATAAAGGATATACGAAACATTGGGTGAGATATTGAAACGGTAGACCTTTATCCTTAGCATGTATTAGCAAATATTCCATGGTTATTTCAACAATTGGCCGGCTGGCCCAATGGCAAGGCGCTTGACTACGAATCAAGAGATTGCAGGTTCGATCCCTGCGTCGGTCATTATTTTTTCTTTTCTCTTTCACAACCACCCTAAGGCGGTCAGTCCTCGGTCAGATGTGTCACCCTTTCCAACAACCTGCCCTGATTATACTCGACTCTCTACTACTCTCTCTGCTCCCTTTCATGTATAATGTATCCGTGTTGCGTCAATGGAGTCTTTAACGAGCCTGCTTAAATCACCGCGCAAATGGACCTCGGCGCAATTTCGAGCGCTGAATTTGTCTCAAAGCTACGCAGTTGCTGCTGTTCGCATTGTCGGCGTGGAATACTTGCCCGCTGATGGAGATGAAGGTTGTTGATCGCTACCTGTGCTCCTTGTTGCCTCATTCATAGTAACACACACATCAGAATTCGAGCACCTTGCCGCTGACCTCACGGGCCCATCCGAGCAAGATCTAGCGGATTTCGGGCTCAAGCGTTCCATTTATCGACGTAATCCGTTCCATTTGGTTTTTGTGCGACTCTATGAAGCAGCGCAGTCCAGGGGCGGTTCAGAGGCCTTCGCGACAAGCCATAACATTCCTTTTGGAGAGCATAATAGCCCACGTGGATGCTGCTGAACACTTGTTAGTCGGAACTGTGTCACTGGTGCCTCAACGGACTAACACAACACAGGCAGCTTGCTTTACGCCCAAGAATTCCATTTGAAATCTATCCTTATGGGATACAGGGTGCTCTCAAATGCGAAGGTGCCCTGGTGAATATATCACCCCCGCATTTTCCTTGGGGCACGCTCTCGGTAGGTTTCCATGATATCTCCTTGCCTGTCCGCTCAAACTGATTCGAACCAAAGGTTGTGACGGACAACAATTGGTCCGTTGCCCAGGATATCTCATCAATGCTTTTACAGGGCTTCCTGGCTTATGAACAGAATAGCCAGGACCTGAGCCATAGGTCTTTCGTCTTACGTATAGACAAAACGGCGTTACAGTTCAGCACGGCAACTATATCTTCTGCTTACTTGAGTGGCTTGATTTTGGGGAGGTTTCCAAGCGAGAAACTTCGAGTGTATCATTCTGAATCTTACGATCTTCGTCAACGTGACCGGCGGAAGGAGGCCTTAAGGCTGATCATTGGCCTACTAAGGCTGCTGGGTGATAACAAAGGAAACCATTAATGGCTGCAAACAATTATTGAAAAATTGTCTGCAGCAAGCCTATCTCAGCGCTACCGCTTCGGAGGTATTCAAAGATACCGATAGAGAGTTGCAAAGCGCGGGCCCGCCCTGACCGGGTTTTTAGGTCAAATGCTTCGGAACGCCTGACCCACAGCCTCTCGGTTTGCGGCATCATCGAGCTGTTGACGTACGCTAGATACGCAGCTGAAAAGTGCGCTGTAGTCAACCCCAGATGCGTACCATGCATGCTCAGTACGAACGCCTCCTGGTCTCTCCAACCCCCTACCTGAGTGGCGTGCTCCATCACCTGACCTAATAGTTCTGCCACTTCCTGGACAAGAACGCTTGAAGAATATCTCTCATTTTCGCACTCGAGCAAAACTACGCGAAGTGCTTTTAGATGTATATCATTCCAGTCCGAGCTAGGTACTGCAAGCTCGGTAGAATTCAAAGAGTATGACTTATCGTCAATATGTGTGATTCCAGCGAATTGTTCCTCGGGACTCGGCTGGAATCCCATGATGCGCGATCTGAAACAGATCGTTCGTGCCGGAAATATCGATCAGGTCCAGATGGGAATGGGTGAATGTCATTTGGACATTTAAGAGGAGAGGGACTTGCGAGGTAAGATGCTAAGCAGCTAACGGACAATCAACCTTAAGAAATACGTCGTGAAGATGGCCCGTTATCCCAGGCATTAGAAAAAGGGCACAGCCTGATTCTTGTTGGGTATACATACAGTCGATCCCAGCACTCTTCCCCACACGAGAGACTCGGGTATACTGTCCAATTAACTTGGCAGAACATAGCAATGTTGTTCTAATCGTTAATGGCCACTTACATGGTGTCTCGGCGCGTGTTTACTCCTTCAATAGCCAGTTGCTGGTCCCAACTGCTCTTCCAACGGATAGTTGGGATGCATACGCTCAAAACTGGGGCCTTTACACTGTCACACAGCGCGACGTCTTATTTCTCTAGTACCTAGTCAAAGATCTAAATGATATCGCTCGTCATTGCATGTTTGGTTATGTCATTGGGCTCCCTGACGCTTATGCTCACTGCTCCTTAGCTGCATCATATCCTACGCTGGTACACATATCGCACCGTGGGTGCCGTGGGCCTGCGCATCATTATCACTCGAAGGGCCATCAGACACGAACCCATGGGTTGCTCCTCCAAACTGGTATTTCTTTTACCGAGCTCTAGATTGACGTTGTCGCGTAGGACAACCAATCTACTATTCTAATTTGTTATTTGTGAGAATAACAAGGATTTGCCAGCATGCTTACGCATGAGTGTTCTCGTGGTTTAAGGCTTTACTTACTTTGCTTTGATTGGTCTAACTAGACACGCTTGTCATTTGGCGAAAGAAAGTAATCGGGGATCTTACTCCGTTAGGGTATAGGGTATGGATCTTAGAGTAGGTGTTGAGGTGGTTTAACAAACGATGTTTATCGCTTTACCATTTCGATGGAGATGTGAAAGTAAATGGACCTTTCCGTATGTCTCGCTGCACTGTATATTGTCGTTTCGATTATTGGAAAAATAAGCTAAGACTGACGACCACAAAGCCTATGTACCTGAATTGTATAATTCTCACCAGGTTTGGGTTTCTCTGCTTTACATGATCCCTGCCTCCATGATGTCCATGTGTGAATGTCCATTGTGACTTTTCGTCTATCTGAGATTCAATAGAACTAGCACTATAGCGCAATAACCATTCCTGTGATGAGTATGACACTACATGTTGCGGTCTCTTAGGAGCTCGGCTCGCTGATTTCCACTGTCCACGCCAATGCTTCTCCAAGATTCGGGATGCCATTGCTGCCCGAGCTGATCTCCTGCACCATCGTATAACGGCTGTCATCACATGCGCCGCTTTCATTGGTGGTAGCATGATAGGCGATCCACGTCTGCGAAGCGTCTGGGCTTTGGAAGAAGGAGTTATGGCCGGTTCCATAGTTTCCGTTAGCCGATGACAAAAGGCAGCCGTCGTGCTTGCTCCAGGCGTTCTTGTCGGTCGGGTTGGTGACGCCGTCCCATGTAAGGAGTCCCACGCAATAGTACGCCGTCCAGCAGTAAGAAGCCGAGTACGCGATGTGCGTCTTGCCATCGAGATAGAGGGCTGCGGGACCCTCATTGACCGGTGTGCCATGCGTTTCAAAGTCTTCAACAGGCTCGGAGATAACATAGATGTCGCCCGTCAACGAGGTATAGTCCGATCCCAGCTGCTGGATACAGAGGGATTGATACGTAACGCCGTGGAAGCATGAGAACGCCATATAGTTGCCAAAGTCGTTGAACCGGATGATAGACCCGTCAATTCCCCATTCCGTGGTCAGCTGGCCCGCGTAAGTGTAATCATCCCAGGGAGTCGCACCACCTGAAGACCGTTAGTTCTGCAAACACACAACGTGTTCCGAGGTGAACAGGGCACCGGCTTACCTTCCAATACATGCATGCGCTGGCCATCCAGATCGGCACTGTTGCCGGCCGTGTAGTAAATGTACCACTTGCCGCCCAGGTAGTGAACTTCGGGTGCCCACACATTGCAGCAGTGAGTCTCCTCGGTGGTCGTGTAAGCGACCTTCGTCTCGGGGGTCTTGAGGCCATCGACGGTAGTTGCCCGACTGACTTGCACGTCGTTCCATGTGGTCGTGAGAAGGTAGTAGTAGCCTCCGGTATAGACCATGAAGGGGTCACTGCCCCCGGGATTGCGGATTGGGTTCGTGTATGCGGAGGCTATGGGGAAGATCGCCCATAGCCCCAAAAGGGCCTGCAGCATTCTGAACAACATTGCGACTCGCAAAGAGAGTATATGTCAGTTCCACGCGAACTTGTTAGTCACAGTGATCGTCCACTCCCTCGCCGGACGCGGGTATTTATGCATCGTGGAGCATATAATGACCGTGCCAAACGGTCACTAATCATGATCTCTAGCAAGACTGCTGGTTCCATCTCGCATACCGAGGCTTTTCCCCCGCCGGAAAGATCCCTGTTTGATACCGACGGGGGTATCGTATATTCCGGAGATGTGGAGCAAACGCTATGAAGAAAATCATCGGCCAATGCGGGGGAAGTCCTGCCAAGACCTCCACAGCCGATGTTCTGCCAAATGGCGCTTATGAGTTGTGGAAGAATTTCCTCTCGGATTTCTCGTCACGGGGGCTAAGTGCTAGGCATTCATCATTGTGGACTGGGGTTTTTTTGCTCACCTCGTAGTATATGTAGGACGGCAATTCTACAGGCCTACGTATTGGAAATCGTTGAGGAACGGGCACGCTTGCAAATCATGACCTGTGGCCTTGATCGTGATACGGGAATTTGACCTTTAGTATTTTCTATTTGGGAAATATAGCTTACTGTCCTTTTCGGGGATTATTTACACTTATCCTAGCCAAAGGCCTTGTATATCCAAGTTTTTCTTTTCTTTTTTTTTTTTTTTTTT